GTAGCCACTGCTGCCCTCTATCTACTCTTAAACAAATCGTCTATATGAGAGTAGTCGCACTCCCTATTTTAAGCAGTCTCTTTTCTCCTCGCTGATCCATTTCAAAAACTTTTCCTCTTCGCCCTTTTCCATCGGATATGTGTGCGTGCCAGATTCAGGGAATGACCCATTCTTGACCTCTTGAACGTACTGTTCAAGGCCAGCAATTGTCGCCTTGCCCACCTCAGCGTACAGTTTGCAAAATCTGTCAAAACGCCTGTTAGGATACATGTGCTTCACAGATTATAGGTCTGCTCGCTTAACTGAACCATACTTTGGCATAAGTTTGTCATAAACTCCCAACATATCAAGTTGCACCAGCACCTGGCCGGAACAGCCTGCTCCGGCACCAATCCCAATAGTCGGCACTTTCAGGCTGTTGGTAATCTCCTTGGCGACTACTTCCGGGACGGCCTCCAATACAATTGCAAATGCACCTGCTTCCTGCACGGCCAAAGCATCCTCAATCAGCTTCTTGGCCTTTTCCATCGTCTTTCCTTGCACTCTGAAGCCACCCAGCGCGGCAGCGCGCTGTGGTGTCAGACCCACATGACCGAGAACCGGAATTCCTACTGATGTAATTTTGTGAATGGTTTCTGCCATTTCTACGCCGCCTTCCAGTTTAACGGCTTCCATGTGACCCTCTCGAATCATGCGGATTGACGATGACAGGGCGTGGGATGGAGAGGCTTCATATGATCCGAAAGGAAGATCGCCTACTAGAAAGGGATGCTTACTTCCACGAGCTACTGCACGGCAGTGATGTAGCATTTCCTGTGGGAGAAGAGAACGTGAATACCATGAGGTTACTGGTAAGAGGGGCCGTCTTAATTCTCACATCGAGGGTGATCCGATTGGTGTTGTCGTATCCCAATGCAACCATCGCTAATGAATCTCCAACAAGGCACATATCAATCCCGGATTTATCCACAAATACGGCAGAAGGGTAGTCGTGGGCGGTCATAACTGTTATCGGGACCTGCCGACGGTATGTCCGCTCGAGAGTTGTCAGAGTTACTTTTTTGCGGGATTTGTGGTCCGATGAGCTTTTGGATGTACAAATATCAACACATTATTTAATATCCTTTCTTTAAAATAACAAATGAACAAGTGGAGAACCTCTCGGTAGGACCTGGGTAGGAACTGTACGATCGGACACATGCGGGCATTCTACTCTTGCAAGGAGACACATGGAAGGCTCGGTTCGTTAGCCTGACGGCGCTTCGCGCTAGAGGACTGTAATGAAAAGCCATTGATGTCATTCCACCGGGTGCTGGATAATTGGGAGCTCGTCTCGCTGCTACGTTCAAATGGACCACCCTCGCCGACGGGCTACACCACAGTTCGAATGAGCAGCAGGATGATTCACCCTAGTCATTTTGTCATGGCAACAGTTGAGCCACAATTAATTTGCTTAAATTAATTACTAAATTAATTCAACAAAGTTTTTTTAATACGAGGCTTTGGTCGAAGCTCCGATGGCATTTGGCGGATTTTCAATAAAAGATCAGCATCTCAACATTTCCTCTGACTCCTTCCAAAAAATCTGTAGCATGCCACGCAATGCGCTGTACATGGCTTCATGAAGAGTTTGGAGGGTTCCGGTTTGGATGTTATGCTGCCAACATCCCGGAATCGCATATGCAGATCCTGACTAGATTGGATGCGCATCAGTGCGACATGTGCTTCGGTGACTATCTAAGGCCAACATTAGGAACATTTCCCAATTAAAAGTGTTCTTGCCTTTGCATATCGAATATACTTCACGTTGACTGACAACAGGCACTTGTCGTTTGGATCGTACGGTCGCCTTGACAATATGCTGTCTATACGGTACTTTCTGTATCAGGATAGTACAAAGATTCATACGCTGACGCCAGAATTGGAGACCACATTATGATGCCCGCGACGCAACTTTATAAACGCAAGGCGACTGCCCAAAGGATCCATTTGGGACCATCACAGCTGGACTGGGATTTTGACCTCCTAACAAAGGGAGACAGTCATTGGCGAGAAAACAAAGGTCAGCAAGCTCACGCAGCTCCAGGTTATATTCGTATCGAAGCCAGAAAAGAAACAAACGCCGTTTCCGGTCATGAGCTTCTGTGTGCCCATTTCAATGCACACTCGTGTTGGATGTTGATAGAAACAACTTTTTAAAATGCAGCGCCTCGCGGAATGTCCATTCGCAACGATAGGGATATTACTCTATCGGCAGCGACAATAAAGTGACTGCCGTCCCTTCCATCATCATTACTCTATTTAGAATCTAGGACATTATCCGTTCTCGTCCTTTTGCAAATTAGATCAGAAAAAAGACTGAATCCCAAATAAAATCCTAAACAGATACATCCGCCTCTTGTTAATATGCAGCTATGTGCCGTCTAAACTTTGGTCGGTCGAAGATTGTAGAATTTAGTCAAATCCCTAGCTGAAGGCTTTTGAACTCTTGCCAGTTGTGTAGTCACATGACCACTGCCAGCATCTCCATTTCCCAATCCAATTCTTGACCAAATTGCATACTGTTTAGAAAATGCCCCCAAAACGAAAAGCTGCCCCGTCCTCCTCGTCAGGGACTCCGGTGCCGAGACTGCAAGAAAAAAGACAACGAAAGAATGAAGGTATAGTGTATATACTGCACGTTCCTTGACATGGAGTAGTAACCTGACGTTGACGTTGGTGCAAGCAGTCGCTCAAAACCAGCATCTCTCTACAAATCCCGACGCAACCGGGCCAATGTACGAGCCTCTACCAATAGGTCTCACCTCAGATCCATCTGTGCCCACCGATGTGAGACTTCACTTTCCTTTTTCGCCGCTCCGTGACATTCCTAAAACCTGATTTTACCAGGTCACCCATGCAGCCATTCCAACACCATTCACACCAAATTTTGTCCAATCAATAGTCGCATCAAATCAAAATGCTTCCCTCAACTACGAAACAAAAGTCAAGAACAAAGTATTACTCGTTGATAACCCACCAGCATCTGACTCGATCAGACAGCAACGCAGATCAAAAAAGGATGAAATGAAGAGAAAAAGGAAGACCAAGCGTATGTCGGCAAAAGAGAGGAAGGAGACGGGCGTGTGGGATGTTCCTGTGGAGGCGCAAAAGTGAGTCAAGACCTTTTGCAAGTTTGGTGAGTGTCACTATTTGATACCGGCAGTCTCTGTTTATCAATAGGTACGCATTGTATGTCCCGCTGCACAACCTCTGGCAAGGATACATCAATGACCTTTTCGACAAATCATCGCAACCTGGGATAATTCTTCCCAGAATGATGAAAGCCGATTATCATGGAGCATTGCTCACAGGTGCGGCATTTCTTATGATATCGCTCTCTCTCAACCTTATCACTTGCTGACGCAAAGTATCTGGACAGTCGCAAAGTCAAAATGCCCCACTTACATTGGCATATCCGGAATCGTGATAAAAGAAACGGAAAACATGTTCTACATTATTACAAAGGACGACTGCATGAAAAGTACGACTATACCCGTTTCTTGATCGCTGGAACCAACAAACCAATCTAATTTCCTGCTTAAGTTATACCCAAGCGAAACAACGTCTTCACATTTCAAGTCAATACCAATCTCTTTACTCTTTATGGAAACCAGTTTCGAACACGAGCAGGAGAGCGAGCAGCCAAGAAATTCAAAGAGAAACCAACGGTGGACTTGTAGCATGAAAATGAAATAAATTAAAAAAAAAAAACTAGAATAATACTTATGATGTCTTATGCAAGAACTATGATCACCCCTCTTCTTCCAAGTCCCATGTATCTTTTACCAACCGCGCCATACTACTTTCTGAGGCGGATGGGGCCATCCCTTTTTCTACGTCATCCTCATTACCCTCCTCAACTCTCATGAACTCTTTTGGTTGAACCTCAGCCATTGGCAACATCTCAATTGGTATTGTACCATCTTCGTCCTCGGCAGCTTCAACGTGGAGAGCTGGTACACATGCATCCGATTCTTCTTGGGCGGCCTCTTTGTTGTATTGTGATGGAAAATCATGAACAGGTGGCTCCTCGCTCAACCGACTGGGCGCGCCCACAGCCAAGGCTATCGCACCCGCTGTTGCCGCGGCTTGTATTCCAGGCTTCTTCAATTTAGCGTAAGTGCTCGGTCGGCGGTTTTGCAATTGCTCGACAGTTGAGCGAGTGGATTGCATACTGTCCCTCGGTATCTCGGATGAATTTGTTGCTTTCTTGTGCCTCGAAGAAAATTGAGGCAGCCGTCCCCACCATTCTGCAATCGAGACCGGTACCCATGGCCTTGGCAGAGGTTTCGAGAGCATTGGGTTCAAGTAGCTTGTCGGATAACGTTCCAATGCGTGCTGTTCTGCAGAGGTTACGATATCCATTGGTGGGTAGGGGTCATCTGTGGGAGCTGCTGCAGTCGACGAAGCTGCAAGGGATGGTCGTCTAGCGCTGCTTCCTTCATCTGACAGGTCTGTTGGAGCAATGGAGTGCTGCCCGCTTCGCCGCGGCTGATCCAATGTTTCCGTAACCGACGGCGGCGCAAGTAATGAAGGCTGCGACGCCGTTTGAAAACCTATGTCGTTTACCGGTTGTGTTTGGGCTTTCTCTTTGCGAGCAGACCATGTAAATTGGTCCAAAGGAACGAGGTACGTTTGCTTTTCAAAGACTTTTCGACAGTACACATAAAAAATTATCGTCATGATAATCAAAGGAATGCAGAGAGCGGATGGTGTCGGCGCTGTGAACGAAAGCGGTTTGAAAAAAAAAAGATCTATGAAACGTATAAGTTGAAACAACTCACCATTCTTGACGGCCAGCATTCCAGCCAACAGGACCTGCATCACACCCAATCCCGTAACACACCTTTTGAATGCCATGACCCAATGCTGACCAAAACTTTCCCACTCTTTCACATACACAAAGAGCAGCTGATTCCGGTAAACAACCCAGCCGAGCGCAAAGTAAATGGCACCAGGAAGAAGAATTAACGGCGCAATGATAGAGTAGCATATAACGATGATAAAGATCAATACGTGCATGGGATATAACATGCCTATGGTGCACATAAGAACCGACAGAGTTAAAATACGAGACAGCGCTAACAATGAAGCATGCATTCACAAGTCCGTACCATAATTGAGATAGCTTGAATAAATGCTGAGCTCATGGAACTCTCGTGGTGTTTTTATCAACCATCGTCCAAGAAACATGAGCACCATAATACCCGGACGCAAGAGTTCCAGAGGGAATAACATCAGGTTGAGGATAATCTAAAGCGTAAACCGGAAAGCCGCCATGCGGTTAGAGTTACTGATCATTCATTCAACCACACCTCAATGTCACCTACGTAATTAATGAAGAATGTAGCCCCTTGTGGTAAAACCTCCACAGCCAAATTGATAATGGATATAGGATTTTGCAAAAATTCTCCCACCACTCTGAAAATGGTTTGGGCAAGTGTAAAAACGAAAAATATGTTGAAGAAGAGGAAGAAAAAGTATTTCGACATTGTCGCTCTTTCTACGTGTGAATTCGATTCAATTCCTTGGCGGTAGGACATCCCTGAGAAACGGATCAGCGAAATTGTCAGAAGAAAGCAAATTTGAAGATGCTCAACCTACACTCGAGAATAAACGGAACGATGAGATTAAAACTGTTTACAACTAACGGTGGACCGACGGTCTTGATCAAAAAGTAGAGTTGGGGAGACTTTGCAATATTGGTGACCATTTTTTCGAACGCTGGTACTTTTGCGAGGGAGTCCAGACTCGTTAGGGACGCAATAAGAGACGTTGGGACGATCCAGAAAAAGGAAAAGAGACACGAAAGCACGGTGATACTCCAGCTCTGCAATTCGCGACGCCAGGCTGGAAGCGAGATATTCTCCCACAAGACATCCTGTACTGCAGGTGCCAGTCTTATTGACATTGACCAATAATTATCTGATCCTCTCAGCAGAACTTGAACTGCAAGCTGGGCCGCACGTTGCGTGCGGAATGTCACAAATGCTGCCGCCGTTGGTACCACAGTTTTCGGATCACGATAGACGGCCCCTGGATCTCCCTTTCCGATTTGTCTTAAATGCTTTAGTTGCACCGTTAAATCGGTGAGCTTTTTCGTAAAATAATCGATTTCATCGCTGCCGGTGCCAAACGACCAACTGGATGACTTTCCCCTCGTCCTTTGCTTTCTGCGAACGGGTCGCAGTCGTTCCAGCGTCAACTCATCGATCCCTATTTCCGCCAGATCCAGCTTTGCTGAATGGAGTCGCAGCAATCTCCCCGGCGTATACATCCACACCTTTCCCCCTTTCCGCTTTGTTCTCTCAATGTCAATGTTGACCAACCATTTCACATAACTCCTCTCCAGCTTCTTCAGTGCCCTTTCCCTTTGTTTCGCTAGGCGAAGTAGTCGATTTCCTGCATCCCGATCCAATGTTGCTGCTTCCACTTCTCCAATTTCCAATGATTCAAACCATGCTTTCAGTTTGTCGTCGCGCTGCAGCTCGTCCGGTATGTTTTGAACAAGAATCGTACGTAGCTGAACCAGCTCCCCTTTTCGCCACTCTGGGGTTCTTTTCGTCATGACTCCAGTGTCTTCATGAATGTAGCTTGCCGCCAAGCGTGCATAGTCACGGTAAGATGTAAACAAAAAGTAGTATGTTACGGCAGAGACAAAGTACGCGCACACGATATGCGCCCACAGAAAGCTTGAACCTGGAGGAACGCTTGAAAACGAGTATCTCTCGAGCGATTCCTTTCCAAAATAAAATCTGCCTGACGTGGAATTGACACTGCTTCTTGATTCTGAATCTGGGGGATTTGACATGACGTTTACGGGAATCAGGATTGGGATCAGGACGCATATCAACCCGATTATTATAAAGCAACACATGCGAAGAAACCGGAGGAACCTGAAATTCGGATAAATAATAAGTTGGCTGGTCTTTCCCGAGACCATGACACCTCCCGTCTGTGAACAAAAGCTATGACGTACATTACGGCATCCAGTCCCACATTCTCCGCAATGTAGCTTTCCGGAAGGTCTCTGACGGGTTTAAGCCATCCAAATTTGCCCATTGGTATAGGAGGAGTCTCGCGTCTACCCGAGCGGAAAGAACGGTGAGGACATACTCCAGCACGACTTCCATCTTGATGCAAACCTGTTTGTCGCAACCCGTGTATACAATACTCTCCGCAGTCCGTGTCTTCGCCGTATGAGTTCGTAGACGAGAACACATACTACTGTTACCGCCGAAGCAATACCAAACCAAAGCCATGCTCCGCTGATGGAGGGATCCGCAACGTAGTATATAGGTGTGGGGAGAACGCCAACGGTTGGGAGTGAGGGTGAGGGAGGAGTATTTGTTTCATTGGTTGGAGTCGACATGCTAATCTAAATCCCCGTGCGATTAACTTTCCAAGAGACCGTAATGAAACAGCGATGGAATAGAAACTATGGGCTTGACAGCCAGAGGAAAAAAAGGGCTATGGTTCCGCGAGCGGGAGTTGACTTCATAGATCTTGTGCTAAGCCACTAGAGGTTATGTCATCCACTTTCATGTCAATTTGGACTTTTAAACCTTAAAAAATATTCAGCCAGATGCAAGTAACGGGCTTATCAAACCAGCAATCTTTTGAGAAGGTGCAGGCAAAAGCACTCGCTGTGTGTCATTATAATGTTGGCAAGCACTCTTTCACCCTTTGTTCATCAGTCCTAGTCCTGGTCATGCAAACATATGATGATGGGCCAAGTTGAAACAGCAGAACAACGTTCCAATACAAAATAGTAGATACAAGGTCCGATATATTGCCAGATGAAAAAGGTTTACACAAGAGCTAAACATTTCAAGCACAACATAAGAAATATGCATGATTAGCGACCGTGACACTGACCTATGCGGTCAAGAAATTCGCCAAGCATGATCGATGCTTACCTTCGTATGGCACAGGGCTGATAGTCGTCGGGCGGTTGTTCTTGGTCGAAACATGGTGGGCCTTGGTAGGGCCAACAGGTTGACGCTTGAGGTTGAATGACACTGTAAGGAACGAAAATCATAAGTCCAACATAACTCGTCACCCATGTCATTGAAATATCGACCCATGCCATAGCGCAATACGCACCACCCTTCTCCTTTGCTTCCTTCTTGGCAGCGGCATTAGCCTTCACGCGGCGCAAGAAATCCAACCGGCAGTTGGAGTGCTTGATGTGCTCTACGCGGATGTTGACACGCTTTTCAATGTACCGGTTGCCGACCTGCTTGTGAATGATGATACCGACGGAGCTCTTTGTGACATTGTAGATGATACCGGTTTTGCTAGTTGCCGATGAAGGTTTTTGGACTTAAAATACTCCTCCACCTTCCGCATAACCGTCTATTCCAGTACCCACCCGTGGTAGAATTTGTGGGGCATGCCCTTGTGAATCGCACCGTTCGCCTTGATATCCACAATGTCGCCAACCTTGTAGGTCTTCAAGTAAGTGGAGAGCTTCACTGGACCCTTTGCACGGAAGTCCCGTGAAAAGAGGTGCCTAGTGCGCGCCCTAAGACCTGCACGTATGGGCCCAATCCGTCAGTTCATCTAGCTGACATGCAAAACTCCATATAAGAGGACAGTTCCATAGCCGGACGTACCGAATGAGTGGGGCATTGTCGATCACTGCTTGAGTATTTGAAAATCAGTTTCCAGCTATATCGAATCTGCAAAAACTGTATCATCATTTCTTTGCAAAATGTCACCATACCTTATCACAAGACAGTCTAGGGGAAGCGTCTCGAACCAAGAAAAAGCCTCGGTTATTGAGATTTGCAAATGGAGCTCGTCGGTCGTCGTCGTCGCGCGCAGATGGACGTCCCATTGGCGAAGGAAAAGTCACGTGAGGCGTTCGCGTGGCTTGGAAGTTCAGGTAAGCCTCTGACGAGAGCGCGTTTTCCGATGCAGCGTTCGTAAAGAGTTCTTTGGATTCGGTTTTGTGTCGGCGATGCAAAAGGTAGCCAAACCAAGTCCCTTGAAAATGAAAATTAAGCTAATGTCACTATTTTGTGTCAGAAGTCATCAATATCACAACAGCAATCAAGCGTTGGTCGAGCTGCTTTAAAGGTAACTCGAATCGCATAGCTAGATCCATTCGAGACCAATCCATAACCCTTCGATGCACCAACAGCCGAAATTTCCATCACGTCCAAACGATGTTGCATGCGATATTCTGTATGAAAACGAGCGAGGGTAAGAAAATCAACTGCCGATTGCTTGTTTTTAACCGGTGTTCCTGACCTGAAAGTTTCTACAGAACGTGCATAACAGGGGATTCCAAGTTTAGTAAGAAGGTAAGAGCGGGTGCGCCTGACGTTCATCAGACGGGAGTCTATTGAATGAATGACATTTGACTCATTCGCCACCTGTTTCCTGGTGCAGTTCCTTTTGCCAACAGGTCAGAGACCCCATTGTTTATGGAAACCGGCGATCCAAGCTTTGACTTACTATTTTCCCCATTACAGACCTACCACCGTGGTCTGACGGACGAGGGCAGCCCCAGGTGGATATCCGCTCATATGAGTGTCCAGCTTCATGGGAGGTGGGGCCCTGACATGACATGGTCCCTGAATAACTTTTAGACGTGGTTCTAATTTATGTCAGCCATCTAGTGGACATCAAACTGGATTGTTGATATGAATGGAGATCTGGATCCGGGTATGAAATGCATGACTGCCACAGTGGCCAAGCAACCTAATGAACATCTTCATCCATATCAGATGGTAAGAAACACTACAAACCGCAGACTACAAATCAGGGCTTGATGTAATCCAGTCATTATCCATATACCTGTCAGGCTGGAGCTACAGTTTCCAATTCTCCTCTGATAAATGGCAAGGTATACACATGCTCCTTTCCATCAGAAAACACATTCAGCGATCCGATACTAAATGAGTGTTCACAGGTACATGCAACTACGGGCACTACGTTCGCCGACGAAGATGGATCAGAATGCGCAAAATGTCTGGGCGCATTAGCAGTACAACGACTCTTAGTCCCTCAGACGCACATCCATCGGGTAAAGGGTTGAGAATGCTTGGCACCATGACGACGAAACGATTGGACAGAGACAAGCTTGAGGTGTTGAAAGAGTTTGTGAGCAATGTAGCAAACCAGCCACTAGATGAAACGGTGAGTACATGTGGCCGGAATCAGAATGGGTAACCGGCTGAATGGCAATCTAACACTTCTTCAGCTTGGTGACATCGTAACAGCAATGCTGGAGCAATTTGACTTTCAAGAGAATAAACTGCGAGTGCTTAAGCTGCTCGGACCTTCCCTTCGGCACAACGTCAGTGTTGTTCGTCAGCTTGTGCTGGGGCTACAGTTTTATTCAGACCGTCTCGAGATTGTCAGTGCACTGGGACTCGATCCAAAAGACGTGCTACTATAAAGCCGGGTGCGAAGAAAGGATGTAGATGATGTTTCTATTTGATTGCAATTAAATGTTATGCTACAGGCTTATTGATTTCAATACCTGCCACCCTCAAGGCTGTATGGTGGTTATTGTTGCGGACAATCTTGTCCCTCCCTCGCCTCTTCTTGTGTACTGACACAATTTCCGTACTGACAGGATGTTCCACTACAACTGCTTTAATCGTGAAATATTTGGGATCAATGTACGGATTGCCCTTCAATATGTAATCCCCGCTTCCAATCTCTCGAACGCGGTCCAAAGCTATCACGTCTCCCAACCGCAAGTCGTTCATACGCATGGTAACAATGATATCATTGTTGTTGACAAAGTAGGGTCGATTCTTGATCTCAACTATAGCATAATATTGACTTTGGTTGCGGAGAAGATCAAGCGCGTCTTTGGTTTGTTGTGTCCAGCTTGTTGGTGGCTTCGTTTCGGGAAGGGTCGCCGTCGCCGTTGATGAGGGTTTTGAAGATTGTGAAGCTTGAGTGGAAAGTGAGGAGGAGGGGCTTTTGCGAAGGGGTGATAAAGGGGACGACCGCGAGCTGCCGCTTGCAGGACTCAGACCATAGCTGTACGAGACTGGTCCGTCGTCCTCCGCCAAAGCCAACGCTGCTGTCAGCGGAAATACATGTTTAGTGAGCCAATACTGTACGAAAAACGCTCGTCGAAACAGCAAGTCCGTACCTTGTGATGCACGCGCTGTACAGCTGAAAGTCTTTCCAGTCTCCGCTGTCAAACGCCAGTCATGTCAGTACAAACCGTACGAAAACGTTACAAAGACAATATCGCAGCACAAACCTGTTAGACCTGGTCGTGACCAACCAATCCTACCACAATTTCGGAAGGCTCCTTTAATTGCGGGGAGAGACATGGAAGCAATCCGCCTTGACATGGAAATTTGGAGGTCTCTTCAACAGCGTAGAGAAGAATGCTCTCAAGATTCAAAGTTCGCGCGTTGCTATAGCAACCGAACTTGGATTCTGATTACGTGTGCTTTAGTAAGCCGATCACTTCATCTCGCAATATGACGAGAGCGTTTCAGCCAAGTTTATTTGGCCATCGTCCTTTCAAAAACTTGCAGGGCGCAACCACAACCACATCTCATCGCGAACATTTCAAGGCGCACACCATGGCTCAACCCGAATTATACGTGTTCCCAACCCCTGATGACATTTCAGCTGCTCTAAACGTATTCGTGGCTGGAAAGTCTCGCGATGCCATTGCTCGGTCGGGCCGTTTCACTATAGCGCTCAGCGGCGGCTCGCTTCCCAAAGTACTTGCCAAACAACTGAAATCTAACAAATCCATTGACTGGTCAAAGTGGCACGTTTTCTTTGCGGACGAGCGCCTCGTTCCCCTTGACCATCCGGATAGCAACTATCTATTGGCCAAACAGGAGCTCTTGGACCATGTTCCTATTCCACATGAACAAATCTATACAGCGGACCCCAACGTAGACCGTGAAACGGCTGCAAAAAAGTATGAGGAGCATTTGAAGAAAGTGTTTGGCAGCCAAGATATCCCTTCTTTTGATCTGATCTTGTTGGGGATCGGACCAGATGGACACACGTGTTCCTTGTTTCCGGGGCACCCATTGCTTGATGTAAAGGACCGCTGGGTGGCTTCTTTGGATGATAGTCCGAAGCCACCACCGACCAGAATCACGTTCACCTATCCGCTGTTGAACAATGCGGACACCAATGCTTTTGTGGTGACCGGAGACGGAAAGGCAGAGACTGTCTATAAGATCTTGGAGAAGAGGGAAGACTTTCCCGCTGGAAGAGGTAAATGGTTTGACTATTTATTGTCAAAGACCCATTAAACTCACTTTTACCATTTCCTATCAATCCAGTCAAAGCCAAGCATCGTCTCATCTGGTTTACTGACAATGGTGCTGCAAAGCTGTTGACAATCCCCGCCTCCAAATTTTCCTTGTAAAAAGAATTCTTCGCTTGTAACATAGCATGTATAGCACTGGATATAGCATGTGCATGTACAGAGTAGATTGAAATTGGCAGCTGAAGCAAATTGCGGAGTGAACATTCTTTTCAAAAACTATCAACATTTGCTTTATACAGTGAGATAAAAACCTCAATATTTACACAAGAACCGATCCTATTTCTAACCAAATGCTTACTTCTCGCTGCATTGGGTGGAAAGTCCAGTACTGCCAACAGGTACATTCGGTCCGAGCCCTCCAGCTGGTCCAATTACAAGCCCTGCCTCCTGCGATGGTTTATACCCCGCCACAAGTCTCTCGACTAGACTGTTCCGACCGCTACTGTTTCGTGTTCTTGACGGAGAGGCACCTGGATCTTCCTGGCCAATGTCATCCTCCAATTCTTGCTGTTTTACCTTTTCCCTCATCCCCCGATTATGTTCTTCTAAGCCATGCACATTTTTGAAGGTGAATTCCTGGAAGTCTGCATCCAAGGACACCGCGCTGAAGTCGCGGGAAATGTCGTTAAATCGCGCAGGGCGGCGGCGCTGACCGCTCGGACGGCTACCTCGAGCCAGCATATCGGCTTCGCTCACGTCTCGATAATACGAAAGAGTTGAGTCGTGGCGGGGAAGAGCGCCGCTTGCCTTTCTGGAAAATTCGAGCGAGAGCATGGATATGGGTGCGCTGTCAGATTGTAACGCCCTTGTGGCATCGGCACCGATCGGACTGATAGGGAATTCGCCACCAGATTGATTAGGAGACCCGCAATCGAGTTCACGGCTCTCCGGTGGTACTGATGGGATGTGCATGCTGTGTTGTGAGAGTTTTCTGATATCTGCACGCTCATTACGAACTGAGAGGGCCAGAGTCATGAGACAACCTTTGCGTTGCGTGCATGTAAAACATTTGCTGCATACCATCAAAATAGCTTGTATCCGTTGTATCGACGGGCGCAGGGATAAACGGTGCTGGTTGTTCTCGTACTTTATCCCATTCAACTCCAGAAAAGAATGGATGGCTTTTGACCCCTTCTGCCTGCAGCCGGAGCTTTGGATCCGGATTCAGTAGCCGGTGGATAAGATCTTTCGCTTCCGGTGATATCCCGTCTTCCGGCCACTCGATCTCTGCACATCAAGCAAGAATCGTTTGCAAACCTACGGAGATGTATATTGCCTTGCATGTAGAACATACCTCCATCCAGAATATTCCTAAAAATCGCCTCCGGGGTGTCATCAGTGAACGGGGGAAAGCCCACAATCCATTCAAACATGCAGATTCCCAGCGCCCACCAGTCCACTTCCGGACCATGCCCGAGACCAAGCAACAGCTCAGGGGCCAGGTAATCTGGTGTCCCTAATAGTGCCTTACTCGAATTTTGTCGCCGGACTAGTCGGCTGTTTCGTCTCTGCTGTGACTTGACAGTAGATACCCGACCGATTGGCGTCGAGGTCGTATCGGGTGTATTCGGGGAATTGGCGAGCGGTGGGCGATTTACTGTGCCTTTGTTGCGCCGAGATAGGGTGTTCAGGTGCTGCAAGATAACTCACGTCAGTCTGTTGCATCCAATAGACGGCGTGCTCAGGACGTACCCCCATCATTTGCTCTGGACTACCAGGCGCGAGATCTTGTTCAGGAATCATGATACGCGACAATCCAAAATCCTGCATGACGGGTGAGATACGACCATCTGCCAGATGATAAAACAAATAGAGTGTTCTCTTACCGTCAACTTGATATGACCCTCTTCATTGATCAAGATATCTGCGGAACAAAGATTTCTTAGTATATGCGCCTCAGCAGCACGCATAGCGTTCACATACTGTCCGGTTTTAAGTCTCTAAAGGCAGACGCATGAGCATTTCATCAAGAGCAAGCCAACAATAATGGGTTGCAATACCTATGCCGAATTCCATTTGTATGCAGGTAATCGAGCGCCAACGCTACCTCTGCACCGTACATTCGCGCCATTGGCTCTTCAAACGTTCCGAAAGCCGCAAGCAATGAGCTCAAATCCCCTAAACACTCACGAAATCAGCAACTGCTGCCAATATGCCTGCACTGGGCAACCTCCTCCTCACCTCCAATCAGGTACTCCATGACCAGATATAGATACTCTCTACTCTGAAATGCATAATACAGCTTCACAACAAAATGGTTTCGAGACAATGCTAGCACGTTCCTCTCCGCCAGCACATGAGAAACCATGTTTTTGCGAATCATATCTTGTTTTTTCAATATCTTGATCGCGTAGAGATCTTGAGTAGTTCGCTTCCGTGCCAGGTATACCTTCCTTGTAGTTGAGGCAAACATATGTTGGCACGAATGATCGGAAGGATAAAATACAAGGGCCAACGTACCCAAATGCGCCGCGACTTATGGGCTTGATGATTTCAAAGTCACGGATAGAAGGAATCTTATGACGCCGCTCCTTGGGAGATAGAAATGTTAACATATGAACTTTAGCTCTCATGCTAGAAATGACCCAATCGTGAAATTTACGTTTATGTCGGCCCCTATAGAATTGACGCTTGACGTGCGACGGTGTTCCTTGCCGCCGCGCAATAGTGCGCTAAAGATGGACATGAAGCGCTTTCCACTACTGCCAGTACTTGGCTCACGTTGTCGTGTCTCCATATCTAGAGGGTTCTGATCATTGAGGGCCAGGTTCGGGGTTATCTCGCTTCATATGACAAAAAATTCTGACCTGAAGGAACAGCGGTGCTCTGAGCACTAATACTGCTATCATTACTCAGCGTCCTCCGTAGGGTGCTCGGAGGCGCCTTGCTTGTTCGTCGGCTATCCATGGTGGTAGACGTAGGCGCTAATGATATGGCAGACTCTGTCGCGGATGAGATGGTCGAAGTGGCACGCTCCACATGAATGGCACTGGGGGCCTTCGCAACTGGTGCAGTGGGAGACGGTCCGACACTCCGTAAGCGTTCAAGGCAGACTCGAAGCGCCTTGACCTTTTCTTCCGTCTTATGCAAGTACTTGTTAGTCAGAGGCATATTTGTATGGGGCTATCATCAAAACTTTACCACTTCAAGGACGGTCTTGACGACCATAAATATATCAGCATGATCGGGATACTTTTCCCCCTCCTCCACGTAACGCTTGAATCTCGCAATGCATCTTTCCAGTTTCCCAACTGTCTTTTTTCCACCGTGTTCTGTTGCGGCTGCGATCCTGCACAGGGTACCATCAATATCATTAAACCTGAAATCTACTTAAACACAAAATGGGACAATCTCTCGTACTTTACAGCTTTCTCTCCAATGGTCTCACAGATTTTCCGTAAGCGCTGCCAGTCGGTCCAGTCTTCAAAATCCTGACATTTATACAGAAATAATGTCATTGACTCAAATCAGATAAAACAATCTTTCAGCACTTGAGACTACCTCCACGTCCAGAAGCTCCTTTTTGGCCTCTAAAATGGCAGCATGTTTGCGAAGTTTCATGTCGCAATTCCAACTCTTCAAATGAAACTCCTGCTGCACAGCGCAGATCTTGGAATGTTCGTCAATTACTCTTGCAGGAACGTATTCCTCACAGATGCGACAGAGAAGAGCGACATCTTTCCCTCCTTTAGATGGAGATGCATTGCCGGTGGTGGCAGCTCGTTCTCGCTCTCTGGTGGGTCGGCGCTCCCTATCATCGCTTTCACCTTCGTGTCTATCACGCTCTTTGGATTTCTCGTCTGAAACGCGTGATTTCTCAATGGATTCTGTCGAACGGGGTTTGAAGAGATCTGAAGCCGATTCTGTAAATCCTTTTATCGAATCTGCCGACGATGTTCGACAGGAGGGAGTAACAGGTGTGCTTGGCGGGTGACCCTTAGCACCGGTTAACAAAGACGGCATGCTTGTAGTTGGCGTGGAAGACTTGAACTTTCCATGAGCTTTCAGATCTGCAGTTGACTCTGACGGGCTCTGAGGTGCCGAAGCGGAAGCAGTTCCGGAAAATGCTTGTCTGATGGATTTCAGGAACGAGACGACCGGTTTCTGCATGATGTGTCGTAGTCAACGTTTCTGAGCACAGGTCATTCACATCACGTACTAATACTACCTTCTTGAGGTGCTTGCTCAATCTCGGGCTTCGCTCCTTGTCTTGTTCCGTAAAGATATCTGGTTGACTTCCCGTCGAAGGCTTTTCATGCTTCTGTACCATCACTAATCTCGTATCCTCTCTGAGATCATGAGCACTTGCTGCATACTGCAATGACGGTGCGCCCAGCGCTGTGTTTGTCGGCATTACACAACTAACAGCACGTCCCTGAATGGGGCTATTGGGTTCTGTTGTTCTTTCCTCCCGTTTCCAGGGACTTGTTGGCTCAACATGGAGCAAAGGAATGTGCTCGGTGGCTCCATTTGCATCGACTACCACAGAACCCCCTGGTGCGACCCCCGGATCCCTAGCAGACTTGATGTTCTTCGACTGCTGGACCTCTCTGCTGCTAACCGTCGCCGCTCCCAGCTCCTTCGGAGCCTCTTCGGGAGATTCTTTACCTGGAGATATCGCTGTTGAGGCGAATGCAGACGCCGCCTCAATGCGATTATTCGACACCTGCGGGAGCGCACTTCCATCTTGTGTTGGACTAAGTAGCAGTGATGATGATCCACGAGATCTTGTCCGTCGAGGTTGAGGAGGAGTCTCAGCCAGTCCTTCGAGACCTGACGCTGTCCGGAGAACTCGTGCATATTGGTTCTAAAAGCAGTCTGTCAGCATAGGTGGCTCATGCATCAAAAGTCTTGATACTTACCAAGGACTCTGCTAAACGTGAAACTGGCGCAAATGTGAACTGAAATTTGGCAAGCAGGTCTTCAACAGCAGAGTTTGCTACCACCATTCTTCGCTGCTCCTCCATTAAACTTTGCAGCGTCTGCATTATGTCGCCAGCAATATTTGTATGAATCATGGCAGTCACTGGTGTCTGGAGGATGGTTTTTGCAATATTCTCCACGCGAGAAAGAAGCATTTCGTGGGGAGGTGCTAGCATATGGCATTTGAATCAGGCGACGTATTGCTAGGACAATAAGCTTTTACGTTACCTACCCAGCACGGACGGTGGCCAGCTGCTAGAGTGAGTTAAATATCGTCTCCTGTGTTTGACTCCTGATGGATCGATTGATATCCCTCCAGTCGTCAACCATGGCTCACCGGTACTCGTCTTTCTTCTTTGTCCATTTTCGGTCTTTGTATTGGAATGTGGTGGATGGGCTTTCAGCTCTGCAGAGGAATCTGTAACTGAAAAGGGTTCACCTCTGGGTTCAGACGGTGGAGTGTATCCCATTTTACTTTTGGATATGTTGATGACCGACGACATTTTATAGTTGAGCAGTGCCTCAGTCGTGCCATTGTCGATGGATTCATACCAGGAGTCCAGTATCCATCGAACACCAATGTCGGCCCGCTCTTTGGCGTGTACGAGCTCTTGAACGAGGGAACGCGACACATCAAAATCAGTCGTTTTCTCATCGAACACAGCGGCAGAGACATCAAAGTCCAGGGCCCCAAGAAGTGCCGTCGACGGTACTTCCACTGGTTGACCTTCTAGCTTGGTGACCATAGGAAAACTTGCAGTTGAAGCACCTGAATCATACCCATCCGAGTCCTGGCCCTCTGAAGTATCTGATGCAGGTCCCGCTCCCAACATAGTTCTCCGTAGGAGATTAAGTGGTGAATTCCCAGAGACGTTTCGTTTGCGTCCTGATAGAGGGGAAACGGGTGTGATAGATGCCGATAATGGGGTAGCGGAACTTGTCGAAGTGCCTGATGGAGTTCGAGCTCTGGAATGGGGTGCATCAGGGTTCGAGGACGCATCGCTTGCGGTCGTCGGTGCACGTTTCCTCAAGAATGTGCTGGTTGTTTCCGCTAACCCCATCCGAAAGCTTCCATCCGATGCGAGAGGCGACTTCCAAAATGAGCGCGATGATGAGTAGGATCGACCGCGTGTGTCCAGTGCCATGGAAGAAGGCGATCCGACAACATCCCCCTTGCTGCCTAAGCGGAGCTCCATGCTGGTGCGGTACTGCAATGAACTAGATTCAAGAGAAAAGGATCCACCTGGTATTATCCATCCAGAAGATTCTGATCTTTCCTGACCAGAAAATGAACGTCTCTCCAGTCGACTAGCTGGGTTGGGTGCATCACCAACCGGCGTTGTAAGCGACTCGGCGGATCCCAAGGCTGTATTTGAATCTGCAGATTGCTCTCCAGATAAAGAGGCCGCTGGCGATGGCTTTTCCAAATCCTCAAAGCCAAAAACTCTGTCGTGTGGTGTGATTTGGCCATGTTCTGCATCAACTGGATTTGTGAGTCCCGTCACAGCACAAGTTGTTCCCGGGATTTTTTGCTCCGCTTTGACGCCTGTTAATCCCGGTGAAGGTGGGGGGATGTTGAATTCTCCTCTATTGCGACCAAGGTGGGCTGTAGATGTGTAGCGTCGACGGAAACTGGGGTCAGAGCTACGAACTTCCAGAGGCGGTGGACGTGGCCGGATATGCTGGTCTTCACCCATGACCGTCCAGCCGCTCTAACCAATGTATTTTTTCCGCCGTCCAGATTAAAAAACAGCAACTTTTGCACCGACGCCGGCCGGTCAATACACGAGACAGATGTTCAAAAACAAAAACAAAACTCGAAGAAACGAGCGCGGAATCTGCAGCGCTCACGTGACATGAATCTTACTTAAGCGTGTGTAACGTTCCCCTGCGTAAGGCAAACGGCGAGTTTGATTCAAACTTTTTATCTTTTGCAGATCCATTCCTTTGCATTTTAAACGGACTTTTTTGCTTGCAACGCTGATACGCAGATTTAGAAAGGAATCCGCCAGGATAGAGTAGAACGGATAGACTTGAACATTATAGAATTGGGTAGATTGACAAATTTTTGTTGTGGTTGGAGCAGGGCTATCGTACAGGAAGAAACGTCAAAGTTGAGCGCCATGGTTAAATCTGCATACTATTCGCAACTACCCACTATTCGCTGTCGAGACTGCGGACAAGTTATTGATTTTGACCAAGAACATCATTGTTACGCTGGAGCGCCAGTTGTGCCGGAAATTCGTGGAGAACAGCTTCAAAGGATTAGGAATCCAAAACCTTATCCAGCTGATCCTTATACCGACCCTTACGCAGCCTCTCCCGACTACCCTCAAGATCCCTACCCTAATCCCTCCAGTCGTCAGAATCCAGGATACGCCAATAGTTATGAAAAGGGGCGAGGCCGAGAACGGGAGTACGAGGACCGAGGCCGGAGCCGTGACGACCGATGGGCGGACCAGGAGAATACGTGGGGGAAAACAGACCAAGGCAGACCTCGAGACCCGAATGTAAGCAGCAAGAGCTCACGTCGTGATCGGAGCCAGCATAGGGATAAATCGAGAGCTCGTGGGGGAAGTGACCGGGAGCGTCCTCGCGAGCGACGAGCGAATCCGGATTTGACAAATGTGCTGACGAAAGGATTAGATATCCGAGGAGATGGAACGAACAGCCCCGCAAGCTCTGGGCTGGCAAGCTCCATAGACGCTGTCATGGCAGATCTGATGAATGAAATGGTCGTTACCGATGATCGGGACTTACGCGATGGACGTGGTCGACGGGAAGGGAGAGAGGACAAGGAAGGTAGAACCAGAAAACGCCCTACGTGTGGTGGATGCAACCGTAAAATTACGGACCCTTCCACGGCTTTCCAGATCGACGCCCTTCGTAAATTCTTCCATATCACCTGCTTTCGCTGCTATGTTTGCAACTCTGCGTTCGATGAACGAAATCCATACATTCCTTACGAAGGCAGGGCCTACTGCGAGCCGGATTTTAATCGTGCTCTCAAGCTTACTTGCGCTGGCTGGTTTGTACATGACCACAATTTTGCCATTGATTATGCTTATCCACTAATACACCATGAAAACTTAATAGCAACCAACCGATATTCACTCATGCCGTGTACGCCCTTGGTAAAGCATGGCATGAGCAGCATTTGCGATGTGCTGCATGCCGTGAACCAATACAAGGTAACCCTTTCGAACACGACAACCAGGTAGGGCCACTGTGTATCCCTGCATGTACTCATATCTAGTTGCTGAACGTATTACTGGTTACATAGGTTTACTGCTCAGCTGATTACGCAGCTCTTGTGGCTCCTACCTGCCGTGAATGTGGAAACGGTATTCAAGGGGAGACCATCTGTGCTCTCAACTCCACATTCCATAAGGAGTGCTTCGTTTGCAAGATATGTAAAGAGCCTTTCCCTGATAAAAGCTTCTATGTTCTCGGTGATGATCCCCTGTGCCGTTTCCATTATCACGAAAGCAACAACTCCCTATGCGGAACTTGTGATCAACCGATAGAAGGTATGTAATACTCCCTGTCAATCACATTTCCCAGGTTTCCTCATTTGTGCCTTCTTGCAGGTCCATGTGCAGAGGTCATGGAATTTAACAAACGGTACCATCCCGAATGCTGGTGCTGTTATGTCTGCCAGACACCTCTGACCGCCACCTACTACTCATTTGCGAATCGTCCATACTGTGAAATGGATATAATGAAAGTTTACCGACAAGAGAAGGCAAATAGGCGACAAACACTGATACGAAACATTTGAAAGCGCATATGAGCTTTTGTAGATCTGATTTGTATACTTGAAAAATGGCGAATGTAAAGTCGGCATATAATTAGGACGTGTCATAGCGGGATTCTGTCGGTCCTGGCGGTCATACATGAGTGGTGCATTTCTATTGTATGAAACGTTGGCGGGAACTAGAGCATGTATTGTAATTAGATTAATGATAGGAACAGTTCCACATTTTTTTTACTACTTCTGACACTGAAACGGAAACCTTTTATTATATATCGAAAAACTCAAAGGTATCGTTGTAGGTAAGCAACGGGTCACTCCGACCCTGCTGCACTGAGAAGCGCGTCGCCCGAGAGTTCCGACTGTGATCCTCAGTTCTCAAGATCTACAAACCTGTCCTCGTCGGAAAACGAATAAAAGACTTTAGCTGAGCCCAATCTCATTATAAGCCCACAAGACCGACATGGAAGACTTTCAAGGAATGGAAGAGGTGGGTTTGGCTTGCATGCAATGATAAATGGCGAATGGCGGAGAGGTTTGGACCGCAGCGACTGGGGCCGGAATGAAATGGTTTGGCGAGTTCAAAAGTGCTCGTGAACGGGCTTCGTCTGGAGACCTACAGAGAGTGACTGCAAAAAGGTGGAACGGTACTTTTGAGAGTCCTCAAGCAGTCTGAAATGGAAAAAGATGCTATTTGGAAAGGGGCGATGCCTAACTTGCATGTTCCGTCATTTCTTTGCTTAGAAAGCCTTCGTGGTGGAAGAAGTCAACAATGTCATCAAAGAGGTTCGTTCTAGTACTCATAGCCGCAAACATTCTCAGCAATGAGGTTGATTTTTCTTACGTTGAGCTAGTCAATTGAAAACACTTTGCAAAATGCTGCATATCATCATGGAAAGGTAGCACAGTGGAATTCCAACATAGTAGAGCAGTGTTTAAAGAAGCTGACCGGATTGAATAAACCCTTCAAGTATATTGGTATGTGTATAAAAAGTGTAGCATCTGGACGTTTTTTTTGCAAGCAACAAACGTATTGACATCTTGTATTTTTATACAAGTGACGTGCACCATCATGCAAAAGAACGGTGCAGGTCTTCACGCTGCTTCTAGCTGCTATTGGGACAACTCAAGCGATGGTATGACGGGCTGTTCTTGTCCTCGCTCCGCACAGATCAAAGACTGATTCTCTTGCCGGTGTTCATCCAGGGAGCACGACGTATAAATACGAGTCAAAAACCATGTACGCCGTCGTTAATGTCTTTGGTCTCGCGATTTGAGGAACGCTCTCTTTTGTGTCGGGTGGACGGGGTTGTCTTGCACTTGGATGTACATACGGCTATTTATTGGAACGTCATTTTCTATTTTCCTGTCACTTTTGGCGAAATCCGGGCAAGGTGTTATAGCGTCCCGCGAGCGAGTTTTGTTGAATCCATGCACTGTCCTTTGCAAAGGAGATAAAGCTATCGAGTAGAATCAAGTAAAAAATGTTCAAACGTTCTTCAAATGGGATCTTTCCCTTTTTAGCCGCCAGCCCAATCCTCAAAGAGATGGCCACAGACGGTATCTCTCCATCCCGGCTCAGTCCAACTCCACACAAAATGCGCATGACATGCCCACAGCTCCTCCCCTCTGTTCTGCGCTTCCACAAAAGCCGGCATCAATCCAGTTCTGTTTAGGGCGTCTGAAAAGCTTTGCCCAAGTTGGGAACCAGAAGGACAAGTTAGACGGTAGTATTCGGTGGTAGAGGGTGTGCAGGATCCTATTACGCCTGTAAAAAAGCATTGCCGCAAACGGCGCGGTGATTCTGGGGAGGAGGGGGCCGACCTTTTTCGGGAGTTTGAATCCATTTCCTACTAGATTTCTGTCAGCTGGAAGCTTTCAAAAGCCCAAACGATGAGGCTTCAAGTCTTTTGGGAAGATCACCTCGAAATTGCAGTGGGGGTTCGACTCTTGACGGCTGCCAATCCACCAAGAATTGGGTTTCCAGATTTTGTTTTTTTCTCAATTCCTGCTTTTTTTTCTTACTCGGATCATTTCAATGGATGTTTCCGCTGCACACCCTTTTGCATCTGCCTATAATGGATTTGTTCGTCGCGGGTTTTGGAAAAAGTGAGCCCAAAGCTTGTAATCAAGATAGGCAACTATGGGAGGCTATCCGGAAAGCAATTACATTATGCAATATGAGCTTCTCCATCTCCTAAAGGACATCTCCCAAGAGTAAACGCAAAAGGAGGACCAGCCTCTAACCGATCACATTGGGTATATTCCGTTGACCATGCAACAGACTGGTTATGCCATCATTCTCTCTTCTGCCATCTCCCCTTCCTCTGCCACAGCTTGCTCTTGAGAATCTATCTCAAGCTGTGCAGCAGCCTCTGCTTTGGCAGCAAACCACCAATCCCGCCAAGCGAGAGCCATCAACAGAGCGTCACTCATATCGTCCTTTTTCTTTGTCGTGTTGAATACGTGCAAAAGTTCTTTCGAGCAGTCCACATCCTGATCCTCCAAGATTTTTTTCACGACATGAACTGCTGTTATTTTCTTTGCTCTTTTGGATCTGGGTTGTCTCTTTTTGACATCTGAGGTTTGGATGCTGGCAGGATCATTCAGGGAAAAGTGCCGTGACACATAGGCGGGCAATACGGAAGTGGCTGGTTCACCGCGTCGTTCCAGGAGCATACCCAAGAGTACCGCTTCCGTCACGAGAGAAGCGATAAGCTGTGGCGGTACCGTAAGTTTCCCAAACACGACGCGCCACGTCTGTCGCTCCACTAGGTACACCTGGGCCTCGGGTTTGTAACAACGCTCATCCAGCAGCTGTTTGCATGCCATTGCCACGCCCGGAAAGTCCATCGACGATACTTCCAAATCCAATAGGGCCCAGTCCAGGATCCGTGGGCGTGAAAGGACCTCGTCCGTTGCACCTTTGTCTCTATCTTTTATGTTGCTTGGCAAAGTATTTGGCAGCGCGAGATGAACATAACCCGTGTTTGACGGGCCAACATCGATAGCAACGATTGAGCTCGGAGTTGGTGCATTCCGAACATAAGTGAGATGATCTTGCAGCCGCTTTAGCAACACTTCTCTCGTTCCGGATGGCGTCAAACCGAATGACCGTGCTTTTTCCTGCAGTTCTGGGAGTGGCAGCTTGCTGAGTCGGATATTCGGTGATCTTCAGTCAAAAGTTGCACTTTAGTGGAGGTGCGAGCACATAATTGTTAAGCAAAACGTCTGCTTTACCTCGGCTCTCCTTTCACCACGTGCTGGCATATTCGACGAAATACCTGAACTGCCGATTCTACTGGTCCAGGTTGCAAGCCGTACCCTAGAGCTAGTCGCAGTAAGTCTTGTTTTGGGATGAGCCTAGCACCTTTTGCAAGGGTATCGTCATCTCGTTTATCAAGTAGCTCTTTCCACTGTAATACGGCAGGTGACGCTCCATCCCATGATGCTCCTAGGGCGTGTACAGGTTTGTCGAGACAGAGGATCTGAGCAGCCTTTTTGCTTACTACCGTGCTAGGGCGGCGGCATCTCCCTCCTATTCGCCCATCTGGCGTTATCGGTATTTCGGCGGAGAAAATATTGGGTCTGGACAACCGTGCGATCATTTCCACGGTAGCGCGGACATGTAGATCTGTCCGATTTAACTCAATGTACGACAAAATGCTACGGATGGTCGCACTTTTGCGCTTGGATATCTCTAAACCCAAGCTTTCTACTATCGGCATGAGGTCCTTGATAGCGAGATGCGTCAATCTAAACGCAAACGCCTTGTTAGCAAAATAAAATTGTTCATATTACGACAGAGTTCGTACTCGGCGGCTGTAATGTCGTTGAGCTTAAATGGCTGAGACTGCGAACCCACTTGAGCCTTTCGTACGCGTTCATGAATTGCCGTAACATATGTCATTCTCCGCTCGTCGTTTGTTTCGAGGTTTAGAAAGCGCGCCAATTCCCGGAGGGTCTCCAAAGAATAATCATACAACAAACTATCGGGCCATGTAAGAAGAAATAATAATATAAGAGCGACAAGGAGTCATTTTTACCTATGCAGTGCCGGAATGGGCACAGAGACTTTCTTATATGTTTTAGGGGCCCCCGACAGTAAATGAGTCGCAAGCGCTTCCACCATTCGTCCAAATGTCTTTGGGGAGTGGAATTGCCCTGGCCCTTCACCTTTATAGTAAACCATTTGCTTTTTGAGTTCGGTCTCTCGCATTCCACCTAAACTTGAAGGAATGAATAAGCCCGAAAGTAAGTATGGCTGGCCAAGTCAAATTGGTAACGATACCTAGCCATTAGTGCCTGCTTGTCATTGTCTGTCCATACCGGGCGCGTCGACATACACCGCTTTCCATTTATATCTCTCCAAAAGTTTCTTTTAAACGCATGCTCTTCGCCTTGTGGGAATGAACGCAAGGCGCGCCGCTGAACATTAGTTGTTACTGCTCGAGATGCTCGAGAGCAGCAAGATGTGGCTCGAGAGGGACGCGATGTATCAGCTAATATTGATAAAAGTGACCTTGCGGCAAGCCGCATTGCATTGCCATTGGAAGCGTTGCATCTACATGAAAGCATCTCGTTCGCAAACGACATCTGTATCGCGATCATTGAAACACCCAGCGTGATGAGTAAGGCCGCGTTGCAGTTGTTATGGTAACAAATATTAACGTGACTGTGCTTGACAGCATCCACAAACGTCAGTCGATCATCTACTCGATTCACTTTTATGCGAGCAGAACCCTCTTCCGGACGACCTGAACGTACTGACGACCCATCATTACTTTTGGCAAAATGGTAAATGTGGACGTATCATTGTGATCGCATAACGTTGATGACCCATGGCGCATTCCCCGATGGTACGCACCAACGGGAAGTCCTACGAGCATAAACACTCACAGCAACGCTCCGTCGACCTTGACGAGCATATGAGAGATGAAATGCGTACAATCGCCCAATGCCCGCGAGCATGGCAATGACTGCGCTGACCTATCCAACAGGTGCAAAAAGATGCCATTTTTGTCGTCTTCACAGGATGGATAAATAAACTCAACCTGATCGGATGCTGTAAGCAAGTCACATGACGGACCAGAACGTGTTGGCTGGCTGTTTCGGTGGGCCTTTGGGCCATGTATCTTTTGGTTCCAGGTTCCCCGCATTGTGAAGTAATGGCCGACTGGGACGACTACGAAGAGGTGCAATTAAGGCAACCGCCGACTCTCTCGGAAATGTGTATGCGAAAACTGGAAAGAAACTTGAACGGTTAGCTATGAAGCACTTAATTTGAGGGTCCGAATTTGTTCTGAAAACTCCAAACAATAGCGTTGCAAAGCCTTGGAGCCGCTCCCTACTATTTGGTAGAGAGTCTATTACGAAGATGCAATGCAGCGCAGGTGAATTGTGTTGTATTGGGCAAAAGAAGTGGAGTCATGTTTACCGAGTATTGTCGCTAGTTGGAGCGACTAGAAGAGAACAGCAAGGTATTGTTGAATTTCATATCTCACCGCTTGGGGTTTCACTTCTGATTGTTTGCTCATTCTAGAACTTATTGCCGGACTCGCTTGGTGAGAGACCGTGCTAAACGTGCCAATCTACCCCAACCATTCCATCCTGATAGACAATACGTACATAACAGAACTATGGAAAGCACATTGTCTAGCCGATTTTGCCGATATACGGCGTGGATACGAGGACGAAACAATGGACGAACCGGATAGTTGGCGAGATCTATATAAAGTACGAAATCATTTCGCACCAAAGAGTACTGTGACACGCGCTCACATGCGTAATCAGGAAAAACGCGAGGAACGAGACGAAAAAACCAAGCGCATTGGAGAGCGCATGAAGGCACTAAGACAACAGGAGGAAGCAATGAAGGAATCTCGAAGAGCAAGGTTTCTCGAACAAATACCACCTTCAAGATCGTCACATGGTGCCTTTGGAGCGCGTGGTCTACTAAGTAAGTGCCAAAGTGTTTTATGAAATCGAATGCGCATACCAATCGAAAGCGCCGTCCGGAAAGAAAAAAACGAAAGCAGTATAATTAGTAAAGCACGGCGAGAGACAAGAAAAATGTACGTAGCTGACTGCCGAGATTCACCAGCCTGATTTTGCTCATTTTGTTTACTCCAGTGCAAAACACTTTGACTCTCCTGCTTTAAAGAAACCGACTCCTACAATTGCACGTAATACTCTATCCTCAGATACACCCCTCTCGAATGGCATCAAACGAATGGCTAGCCAGGATGTATCCTCACCAGCCAAGAAAGCCCGACCGCCGGCTACATCATCTAACGGTCCAGCCTTCAAATCCAAAGCCATGTCATCCTTGGTAAGTATGTACTAGATGTTATTACCGATTCGACTAGCTTTAAAGGTATCATGTTATCTGGTTCAGCTGCGAAAAATGCGATAGCAGGGCTTCCACGCCGTCCCCTATATCATTGTGTAGATTTCTCATCGGTCATTTGTCATTATCAATATATATAGCTTTTAATTCCTAAAGATCTACTATTTTTCCTTACATGCCAGGAATGCGATTCTCTCTCTAATTTGCAAAACATATCAACTATGCGTATCATACCGTGACTTGAACTATACAACTACGTGGTGCTATCGGACTACCGCATCTTTCAATCTCTGGGTCTCCGCTGCAAAGGACTCTAATGCCTCTTTTGCTTTTCCACTTATGATACTTTGCCTCGCCATCTCAGCTGCTTCGGGTAGCGTAGCCGCCTTCCCCGCAACGTACAGCAAGGCACCAGCATTCAACAAAACAAAATCCAACACAGGACCCTCTAACCGTCCAGCCAATAACTCTGTCATCGTTTTCGAGTTAAACTCTGGATCCCCGCCTACTACGTCTGCCAGGGAATGGGAAGGAAGATTAAAATCGGATGGTGTTACAACGCCTTCAGTAACCTCGCCGTTGGGTTCGAGAGACCAGACGTGGGTCTTGCCTTCTGGTGCAATCTAGAGAGGAGTATCAAAAAGTGTCAGTTGGTAGCAAAGCGAGTTTTGATCCCATTGACCCACCTCATCGAGACCCATGGAGCCACACACCACCCACGCTCGTTCGACTCCACTTAGTCGCAGTGCTTCTGCCATGAGCGGTCCGATGGATGTTGAATGCACTCCTACTACAACCCGTTTGGGTCTTGCTGGACTACTAAGAGGTCCAAGACTATTGACCCAGGATAAAAGCAAAAGTCAGCGCCAGCGATTCAAGCATGGAGAGACATGCCGACTTCTTACAGATTGAATATTGTTCGTACGCCCAACTCTTTCCGCGGACCTGCAACGTTCTTCATGGCTGGATGAAACGTTTGCGAGAATAGAAAACAGAATCCCCCAGTTTCGATGATTCTTGGAACGGCGTCCGGTGTCAGGTGGGTGAGGTGGCATGAAAGAGCTTCGAGAACATCCGCGGAGCCGCATTTTGAGGACGACGCCCGATTACCGTGCTGTCCCAAAAAAACACATTTGTTCAATCTAACGCTAAAAACCATGCTCATTGAATAAAAGTAGATGCAAACCTTTGCCACTTTGCAGCCTGCCCCAGCAGCGACAATTCCCGCAGCGGTAGAAACGTTGAATGTATCTTGTCCGTCCCCTCCAGTCCCAACAATATCCACCAAACCCTCATTAACTAACTCCTCCCCAAATGGAATTTGCAGGGCCGCTTCACGCATTGCGGATGCAACGGCCGCAATGATAGCCGGGTCATGCTCTTTGGAAGAGTTTTTGAGAGCAATGAGAAATGCGCCAATTTGGGCAGGTGTGGCTTTCCCATTCATGATCTCCACTGCTGCCGAATGCGCCTGTGGAGCAGAAAAGCTTGTTGGGTTGTGAATGAGGGATTTGAGATACGGCGTAAACGTATTTGCTGTCATCTTTTCTAGCCCGCAGAAAAGATTTAGTGGAGGAAAATGATTTTGGTTGAAAGGAATCAGGCGCCAGATCGCAATGTCCAACGGGAGGAGTTTTGCAAAACACACGCGCCGTTTGATGAGATTTGATGGGCCATCAACAACTGGAAGATGAAAAACACTCCAAAAAAGCGGCAACGACTTTTGAGAGATGAGTTGCAGAGATTGCACCCATGCTTGGAACGCTTTTTCTGACCGGAACAGGACATGCCATTCAACCTTTTTCAGTGCGTTCAAACCTTTTACAGCGATGGAGCGCCAGCTGATACCCGATCGCTCATTTGTCTGGAAGAACGTGCGTGTGTGTGTGTGTGATATAGGTGAGTCTCTTATGGAGACTGCCATTGTCGGGACCTTTAGCTGCTGCGATTTCTATCTACGTAAGTCTGATACCTCGGCAAGGCAGATAACTAGTATGAAATGCTTTAAAAATGGTTCTGGTCGGTCAATAGCATGCACATCAAAAGCATCAGCTTTGTTATCGCATGGTAGCTTGATGGTCTTGGCGGTATCTGAATGATAAGCAAACGTAGGACTGTCATAGAGTGACAGTTTTGCCATTTCAAATGCAATGACGTTTGACACCAGAAGGAGTTAACATGAACAACGGAATCACCACGTCGAGTCCAAATCTAAAAGAGCATCCTATTCAACATATTGCAAAGTCCAGTCCGCTACCCGACTACCCAACTGCACGCAGCGACATGTCCCAGTAGAAAACGTTAACGAAATGACAACGAGATCTCGTCGAAATCGCCGCCGTGGTTTGTGTCACGTTTGCCCAAAAGCAACTCTTTGGCCAAGCCGCGCTTTCCAAAAAGGCTCATCAAAGACAACGCAACCCAAACATCATCGTTTTACTTTTTTCTTCATCAACCTTTTCATCATCACTTGCTCAACTAGTATCAACATTCAAATATGGAAGATTCAAAAAGCTACCTGCGAGTCGCTCCAGCAAAGGAACTGGAATTCCATCGGCCATTCACCACAGTGGTCAAACAAAGTCTTGTAGTGACAAATCAAAATCCCGACTCTCCTATTTGCTTCAAAGTCAAAACGACCGCTCCCAAGCAATACTGCGTTCGTCCAAACAGTGCTGTCGTACCACCAGGGGACAATGTGGAAGTTCAGGTGTTGTTGCAGGCAATGAAAGAAGACCCGCCGGAAGGATATGTGTGCAAAGACAAGTTTCTTATTCAGAGCATCAAAGTTCCAAACGACGTGATGGGGCTAGACGGGGACGAACTGACGGCTCGATTGCAGACTCTGTGGTCGCAGGCTGAACAGCTAAAAAAGAGTTCCCCTGCCGCGGCGGCTGAGGTTCTTGTTGAACGGAAGCTGAGATGTGTATTTTTGCCTCAGTTGGGTGCAAACGGCGTAGAAAAAAAGGACGCACAATTGGGAGCGAATACCCAGTCGGAAATCAGTCGGCAGCCAAGCATGAAACAAGAATTCAGTGATGCTTCGTCAACGTCCCCTCGCTCGTCCATGATCGTCGACAAGCAAGTACCAGAACTCCAAGCGCAAGCTGAATCGCTTCCTTCAACCCGTCCCGCGAGTGGCCAGTTTAACGCAGAGGCCCGTCCGTCATCAGCAAATGTGATCTCTCAACAAGCACAGGGCGCTCCGGCAGATTCGATCCATCAAGAGTCCCTGAGGGAGAAGCAATTAAAGGAAGCTCACGATAAGATCAAATCCCTTCAAGCTGCCTGCGACGGATATAAAGCGGAAGTCGAGCGTCTCAATCTTCTACGTCAAAGGAGAGGCGATCCTGCTACCGGCAAAGACAATACCGCTAGTAACACATCGACCGTCATAGCCCCTGCCCCTGTTACTGGACTCACCCTTCCTGTCGTTGCTGCTACCGCTGTCGTAGCTTTTGCCATTGGAGCTACTTTCTTTTAAGTGTTTTGTTTAACCAATACAGTGCAATTGTATATCGAATACCATAGATCCTATATGCTGGAAATGTTGAGATAGGATTAGCTGTGCATGGGTCAGCTCCGGCTTGCTGCGGGGAATAATGTCCGTATGTGTATTTAGGTTTGGGAAATTGTATTGATACTAGCTTCGAATTCATTCTAGAAAATATTGCAGTTGTAGATTCATCCATGCCGCCGTCTGAAAACTTCAATCAATATGGGGCAGATCCAAAAGCTGGCCAAAACCCATATTTTCAGCTCAACCCATTATATTTACAATCCTCGCAGCAATCCAATATCTGAATCAATTGCTAAATAATAATCTCAACCCCATTACAACACAACATATTGAGACGTAGGGACTCAGTCTTTCACCTTGAAAACCCCAGAGCAAACAGTTAGTATGACCACGTTCATTTTACGGTTCCTTACTCAACAACGTGTACCGCAAACTCAAATCCAGTGTGAACATACCTATCCTTGCAGCCTTCCAAAACAGACCAAGTACCCCAGTCTTGTTCTTATCCAGTATTGAAGGGAATTGAGCTCGAATATAGGTGCATGTGCAGATGGTTAGGAGGATGACGAGAAGTAAGGATTGAAAGTGAAAGAGTGCAGACTATTGCGATACGTGGAAATTGGGTTAGAACGCAGAAGAGAGATTTGCAGAGAGGCTTGTATCGGTTGCTGATGGGCTTACCATTTTCGTTGACGGATTCGGCGAACGATGGGTGGGTGATGGTCGAAGGGCCTTGCAAACAACGTCGTTGTTTCGCGACTGCTGTGCCACGATGAAGATCACATGACCGGTTCACATAATCGCAACAGGTTTTTAGATGGTGTTGGTTGGGATATCGGGAGGGCAGAGCTTAATGCAGTTGAATGATGCATGTTGCGAACCCGAACGCTTCAGATGTTTCTCGCCTGAGCCCCTCAGTTTGCAATGTCTACATTATGTAGTGAAATCAAAAGAGCTTCAGATACCATCGCTAAAGTGTTTCCATTGGAGATAAATAACAATAACTTTCTTGGACTAGTACAAAGCCCCAAGTCTTCAGTTACTGTATTGTATGCATAATAAAAAAACTTGTAAAAGATATAATATCTCATATTCTTTTGTACGCACGAAAATTCACATCCAGCAGTATTATTACCATCCAACATTTTCCCCGAAAGATGCACAGTTGCAACTGGCAACATATCTTTCACAAAAGCGCCCCAAAATGTCTCAGTATGGAGCAAAATGCCCACGGCGCGACCTGCAAGAATGAAATTGCTATGAGCCATGGCAACTGCGCGCTTCAGGAATGCAACTCGTAATACGAACCTGAACGGTGGCCTTCCTCTGTAACCCGCATACCCGCCTCCACGGTATCCTCTGTATCCGCCTCGTCCACGCCCTCTACCGCGTGCGTTCATACCCGGAAGGTTGGTGCGCTTTGCACTGACCTAATGCACCTCATCGTATCAGTATCATTTGTCGACACTCGATATTCGAGAGCGAAATGGGACTCACCTTGATCAATCTTCCTTTAAATAGGGAGTCGTTGAGCACCAATGCATTTGCTACAATCGATGGATCCGCAAATTCCACATACGCATAACTGTCAAATGCAAAATTGATCAGCATGTTTACATGGACTGTCTAAACATCAAAGCGTACCCTTTGGGATGACCTGTCCACTTGTCACATAGGATCGTTACCCGATTGATTGTGCCACACGATTGAAAGTGTGCTTGAATTTCTTCAGGTGTAGAGCTATAGTCCACCTGACAAAAGGGAGCTCACGATTCTGCAACTGGCAAGCTGACACGGTAAAAGTGTTTACACTCACATTTCCAATGTAAATGGATCGGGAATCCACCTCTTCTTTACTGTCTGCATCTCCTGAAAGAATTTTTTAACGACGCTCACAAGAAACCGCGCTCATCGTGGGCAAACGCTACCTTCACCGTTGGTAGACATGTGCATCTCCTTCTCCACCTGGGCCTGCATCTCTCGGAGTTTTTGCGCCTCTGCTTCCATCTCCTTAATACGTTGCTTCATCGCCTCTACCTCCTAAAGGAAGAGAAAAGCGCCGCATGTCAATATCATCGTCTCCGACTGTCACGTCCACGAGTGTTTGGCTATCCCAAGACCCAGTCGAACGTCCACTCCTTCCATGTAACCCAGCGTCCACCAGCGGTACTATCATCACCGTCACATTCTACCATAACTTGGACTCGGGGATTGGAAAAAGCCTACCTGATCCATGTCCTCTTCTGTACCGCCGCCCAGTCCCGCGTCCTCCTCATCGTGCCCACCAGTTTGCAGAGCTAATTCTTCGTCAGCCATCTTTCTGTAAGCAGATCAAGAAAAAGACATGCGATTAGCGGGTGTTGGCGCATGTGGTTCACATCTTCCAGAGGTCATTCGTTCACCACTGCCAGGAGATCTCCAACCATCTCCAGAAACCATGTCGCAATGTCCGTGATATTTCTGGGCAAGTAACGGCCACTCACGACCCACCATAGTGCGTCCCCATCTCACATGCGCCTAGTTACTCACATTGCAAAAACTGCCAAGATCCGCCCTAATTGTGCTCAAAGGGAGGTTGCAAGTCGCTCTCGATCTCAGCTCCCAAGGAGTCATGCGTTGGCATGGCAACTAGGTTTAGCTTATCACATGATCAAAGCCATATGTCGCGTGCTTTGAAGCCTTCGATAAGCTTTCCCTACGCAGCCAAAACAATTTACATCAACCAGCATTTGTCCAAGTTTTCATTTTTTAAGCTTTACATTTGTGTGGCCGATTCATAGCAATCTATAGTAAGAGCATCCCATAGACCCTGCCATGTCAAGCAGTAGTGTGAACCCTTTCATACGGCCGTACGGTGAGTTGTGTGAGGTAACCTTGTCATGATACCTCTTGTTGAACATCTCAGGTTTCAGATAGTACGAGGGTAGATTTTCGGGAGCAGGTAAACTACCTCGTGTCAGCATATAACGACATGATAGGGTTTTGCTAAGTTTGACACCACCCTTCTCGATTGCTTGACAGACTGCAGAAGAGCGATATGGAATTCCAGAAAACTTTCTTGAAATTGAAATTACCAACCCACAATTTCACGGCACGGGCCGCAACAAATATGTCGATTATGAAGTTATTTGCAATGTTGGTACCGACGAGTTTTGTCTACGAAACGCAGGAATGGAAACTCATCTGAGTTGTGAAATTGATCGTTTAGACAAACATTCCCGCTTTCAAATTGAAAAAATCCGTGGTCCGTCGACGATTTAGCGATTTTGAGTGGTTTCGGGATGCGCTGGAGAGAGAAAGCACGAGGTAAGATAGCTTTTAGTGGAACTGCGGGTGGTCTGTACCGGGCCTGAATCGTGGATCTGGTAGAGTGAATATTCCTCCACTTCCACCAAAAGTATATTTCAACAACCGATTTTCTGACGAGGTGATTGAGCAAAGGCGACAAGGGCTTGAGCGATTTTTGCAAATGTGAGTTACTCTCAAGTCTAGCTGCTGTGATCTTCTTTTACTCATTGATGACATTTACAGAGTTGCTGGTGAGCGGATATGATGCTAATGGACTCAGCTATGAATCCCAACTAAGCTGTGACTCATTGCCTTAGGTCACCCACTTTTGCAAACCGGCTCAAAGGTATAAAGTTGAATTCATTGCTGCTTATAATCCCTTTTATAAAGATGTTTGTTTCTTTTCCAGATTTTGGGTCCGTTTATCCAAGGTAAGACTTTTAACTTTTGGATGTCGATTATACGCATAATCTTACCAACGAACTACCCTTCCAGATCCCAGCTTCTCCCGCGACTCGTTCTGAGCCATGTACATATTGATTGATTTTCCCTTTTCTTTCTGAGAGCAATGCTGCTCTGTGTGTGAATTGCTATGGAATGAAGGTTTTTTTTTGCCGTAGTGTGATAGCGTGTTCAGATTTAGTTAGCGTAATTACAGGTTTTCTTCAATGTTTATCATTGTTTCCCCCGCGTACCCCACAATGCTATGTACAAAAGTGTTCTCTCCAATATTCTACTTCATCCAATCCATATCCGCTTGTTTCCAATGTCTCGTGGATAGGTGAACCTTCAACTCTCGCATATCTCTGGCTTGTGCCTGGCAGACGTTACATAGGATTTTGGACTGTAGCTTCTTCATATTCTGTAAAACATCAAACTGCAACAAAGGCGAGAGGGACGTTAAGGAAATCGACAAGCCGCACCATCAACAAAACCAGTCCATACTCACTTGTATTCTACCCTCTTTTTCTAGTCTTTCCCGCAAAGTTTCCAAAGGGACGAAAAAGCTCGTATTATACGAATTCCAGTGCTTACGCTGGCCAGATTTAAACATGTTTGGTGAACAGAAATCGGTGCTGATGACATGTAGATGAAGTTGTCTATAAAATCCATGTACCATCAGCATATCGCTCTATTTGCTTTTTGACGCTGTAATCTGGTGCCTTACCTCATGCTGGGCAATGCATGAAACCCGCATTTGAATGTCAACGATGGATCCTGTTCATGGTGACTGCATGTGGGTATAATGTCAGTATGAGCTGAAAAAGACCTCCTCCATGGAACGAAAAGAGAGATTACCACCTGGCAATCAGTTGCTCGGCGCGTTCTCGCAAATCGTCCAACACAGTTAAATGCTCCAATGTCAGATCCTCAAAGTCGTTGATGATCTGACGAGGCATAACCAGAAAGTGACATTTTGCCTATGCACAATTGTTGGATTATCGAGGTACTCCTTCAAGTCCCAGACACCGCAAGTTCCGGTCTTACCTTTGGAAAAAGGTCCGCGATTGTCACCGTACGATCGTCGTAGTGTTTTACAACATCCGAGTTGAAAGATTCCGGTGACTGGCAAATCCGTTTTAGGGCGTCTTTCCAGGATGGGGAGGACGCTTGGGATTCATCTTTATCAGCTGAATCGATTTGTGATGTGGTAGACGTCTCCGCTTTCGCTTCCGTAGCAACCTTTGTTCCGGATATAGGAGCTTTCCATGGCTCTAGTGGAGGTTGAACGTTCGTATGTGGCTCATATTTAGGACGCTTAGTGCCGTGTCTAGTAGAAAGTCTTGTTGGTGGAGGATACTTTAATGCCAGTGGGTGAGGTGGCAATGGTTCAGCAAACGGGTCTCGCCACCGCTGTGGGCCAAGCAGTTCCTCCTCTGGTGTCGGTACCCTGAGGTCTTCGTACTTGCGTCGTTTTTTGGCGTTTTCCTGGCGAGCGACCGCTGCAGTTGTGGTAAATGATTGGACGTCCAATGATAAAAGGATGTGACGTCGCAGGTTGCGGTGTATCGCTCCTCTCAGCGAGCAACTGGTGAGCATTTGCCAAAAAAAAAACGAAATGGAAAGACCAAAAGTTGAACGTCTTGCAAGTACGGTGCTGCGCCTTCCGCTTGTTGCCAAAGCAACAGAACATCACGTGCACCGAGGACTCCGCTTTGGAAAGGAGAATGGCTGGACACACATCTACTGCAAATTAACCGAGATGGAGGAGGACTACGATGTTGGGTCTGGAGCCCCAGAAGAAGATTTGTCGCTTCCAAAGGGTACGTTTGGCTTGGCAATTTTGGACATTGCTGTACTATTTGCTCACCAGTGCCGGCAAACTTTTACAGCGACCGTAACGAAACTCATACAAGAGATGATGCCTTCAGATATAGCGTGCGCCAAAGAGGCGCGCGATGTCATTGCAGATTGCTGTGTTGGTAATGTTTTGGAAGAATCGTTTCTATCAGTGTATTGGTTATCTAACGTCTTTTCCTCCCTAGAATTCATCCATTTGATCTCGTCAGAAGGTAAGATCACGTCTTTGAATATATCTATTTCGATCCCTATAAAAGTGTAACCCGTGTACCTCTCTTCAAGCGAACGAGATCTGTGAAAAGGAAGCAAAAAAGACAATAGCTGGGGAACATGTGCTTGCAGCATTGCAGGTAGGAGCGTTTCTGGAGGATGCCCGTTGGCTTGGTGCACCCACGCTTATAGATCACATAAATACAGTCGCTGGGATTCGAAGAGTATATTCAAGAATGCAAGGACGTATATGAGGATCACATGAAACAGACAAAGGTGGGACACTCTGCCTTGAGTAGTCCGGTTATGATGGGTTCTGATAGTCCACGCAGGATCGAGAAAAACGATCAAATAAATTGGATAAAGCAATTTTGAACTCGGAAGAAGCGGCGGCGATGCAAGAAGAACTATTTGCCAAAGCGAGGATGCGAATGCAGTCGCAAGATAACATTGTGACGGGACAAGGCAGTAACCCATCACCAGGTTGATAGGGTCCGCATATTTCTCTTCGTTTTTGTAGAGCATAATGGGAATTCGCTCTCTTTGGATATTCTCCATTTGTACATAACTTATTAAAATGAGACAGGATGGAATATAAGCTATATGGGATTTTGTCTATTCCACTATTAATCCCGGGGGACAGCATGAGGATACTGTCTTTCCAGGAACCCACGAACATGCTCCACATCCGACATCCTTCTTGCCGCCGTTAACGGCTGGACAATCGTCCAATACGTCTTTATCGTTGGCTCAACACCCATTCCGACCATATCATATAAAACCATGATACTGTCTTCATATTTTTCGTGACGACACAGTGCCTCCAAATACGAATTGTATGCATTCTCGCCAAAGGCAAATCCCAAGCCCGCGCACTGCTCTACGACCATTCGAACGTCCTCGACCGTCCCATATCGTCCAGCAACATCAAGAGCGACCACAACCGAGTCTTGTCCCACGGTACCCTCGCGCAATGTCACCTCCCATAAATCCTTCACTTGCTTCCATTCACCAGCACGGCCATATGCATTCATAATGATATTGCGCGTAATGCGGTCCTCAGTGTAACCTCCTTGAAGCATGTGGTCACGAACGTTCAGGCAAGCCCGCACATCACCTCGCTGGGCATATCCGTTCATCATCGCATGATACACATCCTGGGAATTCATGTGAGAACCAGACGCATTGATAACAAACTCCTTGTAAAGTTGTTCAGCGGCATGCATATCAGGAGCCCGTTTCGCAAAAGTGTGAATAAGAAGGAGCACCGTGCTACTGTCTGGTGACACGTTTGAAGCTCTCATTTCTTTGTACAGCTGATCGAGTGCAACTAGGTCCCTCTTGGCACTAGCCCCCCCAAGAAGGATGTTGAAGATAACGGCATTCGGACGGACCCCTTCCGAGAGCATGTTTTCAAAGTGCTCAAGGGCCGCTGTCACGTTCCCCGCTATCACGTAGGCCTCGATAAGAGCAGCAAAGCAATAGACGTTGGGCGACAATCCATCGGCCTTCATTCCTCGCAGGTGCTGAAGTGCCCGCTCTGGCTGGTTGGAACAGGCTTTGATAAGTGCGGCGAACGTACGCTCGTTTGGTGCGATGCCTTCCTTTTTCATCTGGGCAAGAAGATCCTCACATTTGTCCGCAGCGTCACCTGCATCCAACTCGCTGACAACCCGCATCATCAACGTCCAAAGTGCCGTGTCTGGAACAAGGCCACGGTCCCGTATTTCCTTGAAGGTATCCCAAGCTGCGTTCAAGTCAGATGCTCGCATGTGCGCTTTGATGAGGGCAGTGTACACTGGAATATCTGGCGTAACCCCAGATTCCTGCATGGAACTAATGCACATTTCTGCTCGTATAGCTGCGCCTTGATCGGCGTACGCCGATAGAATAGGCATGAAGGAACGTACGTCTGGCTGCAGTCCAGCGGCCACCATAGCCTTGAGCAGCTCCTCTGCCTTGTGGACTTTGGCTCGTTGTGAATAGTACGCTATAGCCATATTGTATGCAGGCAATGTCGTCAGCGCATTAAAGTTTTCCAGGTGCTGAATCACGGTGTCTGCCCGGTTCATCTCTGCATCAGCCGGGTTCTTGGCTTTTTCGGTCAGGCCCGAGAGAAGCGAATACAGGAATCCAGGCCCCGGGAACAATCCAGCAGCGTGCATGTGAGATAAAATGCTTGCGATACCATCATAGTCGTCTGCTCTTTGAAAAACAGTCATGGAAAGCTCGTAGGCTGTTGTTCTGCCATCCGTTGAACCGTGCTTGATGGAGTCAGGAGGAAACTCTTTTATAAACACGAGAGCTTCCTTTAAACACCCAGTATGAAGTAAATGTCGCACGGCTGTATTGAACACTGCAGTTCCAAGAGGTCCTTTGGACTCCTCCAACTTTGATAGAAAAGCCTTTGCTTCATCTAAAGGCCCAGCTTTAATCAACGTCGCAGCCATTAACCCGTGGATAGAGTTGCGAACACGACCAGAAGCTCGTCGAAATTGTCCATACACCATGCGACAAGTCGCCACATCCCCAGCAGTCGCAGCGGCCTCCAACAAAAGTGTCAAGTGCTCGACTGTCGGTGTTTGTTTGTCAGCTTCCATGTCCTTTAGGACAGTCGGTATCCACCCTACATCAACTTTACGGGAAGCATATGCCCGTATCAAGTGCAGGTAGGCAAGACCGCGAAGTCGCAAACCGGATGCATGAAGATGCCTTGACACATTCTGAAACTTGGATAAGATCTGACTGTCTCCCTTGTCGTTCATTAGCGCCAGCAGCTTATCGATGGTAGCGGGGTCAACTTGATGGAGACATTTCTGGCGTTGAAGGGCGTAAAAGGCTCGTAAAGCGCCTCCAAGGTCTCCTCCCTGGACGGCCTTTGCCAGGTAAGCCGGCTTGGTTGGAGTGTGATGGTGGGCATCTCTTGTTCCGCTCGAGGGGCTTCTTGCGACAACGAAATGGGATAAACCAAAATGGGGACGTTTCCTTCGGGCCAACAAGATCACGCTTTGCCTTGATGGATAGAGGAATGCAAGCATGAAAATCAGGCAGAGATCTCCAGATTTTTCACCACCAGCAGTTGGTCAGGGCTTGTTCACGTGCTCTTTCAACCTCTCCAAGGACCTTGTCGAATTGAACATTTCCAAAGCAAGGCAATAGCAATACAATGGCCATTTAGTTGAACTACACAGTCTTCTCCCAGATCTCCTGGCATTTTCATAATGCCCCATTCCAGATATCTAGAGTCTGGTCAGGAATAGCACAAGGTAGTCGGTCGCAAGTGTTGAAAACGGTATGCATCATTGTATTTTGAAGGTCGAGTCAATTGTTCCAACCTTTTACTGATGACATGCCCTCTCTACAGCTTTGCGTATCCTTACAATACTCTACAGCTACGCTGAGGAGAAGAGGCAGACGGCAAAGATCTTGCACGCCTCAGCTCTGGTACACCATATCGTAGCTACCAACCTTTTCCCAGTAACATTCAAAACGGCTTCGGTAGGTGAATGTTCCAATAATATTACTTTCATCTCCATCTACAATTTCAAAAAAGATTGGAAATACCAACAAGATCCTTGTCTTGAACAGTTCATGCTTGCAAGTCAAACGACGTCCGATGCACGTCGATGGATAATGTAAGCATGACTCATACCATTGCCTAGCAACAACGTCGGAGGCAAAGCGCAAGATCAAGAAGTTCCAACAGTTTCCATTAGTGTTCCTCAGATCTCACCTTCACTCTTCAAATCGCCCACCATGGTAAGCTGGCATCTGTAGTTTGACCTTTGAAATTTAACGGAAAATGTCTTACATGCCTCAAGTCTGTTTCTGGAGCAGTTAAGCGTATCATTCCTCTCTTTGACCGGGTCCTCGTCCAGCGGGTCAAGGCAGCTGAGGTATGTACAGATTGTCAACAAAGTTCATGCATTTTTCGCTGTTAACACCTACTTTTTTATAGCGCACCGCTTCTGGTCTCTACATTCCTGAGAAGAGCCAAGAGACACTGAACGAGGCCGTGGTGGTGGCCGTTGGACCTGGAGCGCCCGACAAGGTAAGTCCCATGAAATTTAGACGGATTCTGTTTACAGTGTGATCTAACGTTGATCTGCATTGATAGGACGGTGTCGTTCGCCCTGTTGCTGTAAAGGAAGGCGAGCGTATATTGCTTCCTCCTTACGGTGGAAACTCGGTGAAAGTGGGAGACCAGGAATACTTCCTGTACCGAGACTCTGAGATCCTGGCCAAGCTCTCCGAGTAGATAGATTTTGGGAGTATCCTTAGGGAGGCCTTTTAGATCATGGCGTAGTAGGCTGTATACATCTCGACGAATTCAATGTACACTTTTGCATATCATTCTCGTCCCTGCATGTCCCGTATAAGTTTTGGCTTCTGCCCCGCACGACATTGCTCCCCATTTGGAGGTGGCATCCACCTCATCAGAAAACGCAAAAGAGTCCGATGTTATGAGGTGCACACTTTGTTCGGGCGACCACCCACATGTGTAAGTTTAATTTTTGAGATAGATCATAAATCTAACATGACTGGTATCCTAGCTCCAATTAACTTAGCGCGCCTTGGGGGTAGCAGCGAGCCCTATGATATAACGAATAATATCAGCAACGTCCACTGGAAACCTGCGTCCCGAACAAGCCAACTTACTTTCGATTTCAGCCAGGGATTGTTTGAGAATGTCGGTTTGCTGGTGAAAAATTGGACGTGTGTCAAAGACGTGGCCTTGAAAAGAAACGTAGCCCACGGAGCATGACCTCAATGCGTCATGATACATACCACTTTGTCGTTAGCCAAGGCGTCCTTCACCCGTTGAATGACGGCACCAGTCAATTGCTTTTGCTGAGACTCCCGAACCGAAGCCTCGTGGCGAACCCAAGAGTCAAGAACACTCTTCACCTGGGAGGTGAAGTTGACCTTTTGCTTCAGCTCGTAAGCCTCAGCCTCGAGCTTGGCGATTTCCTTTATAACAAGAATGCCCCCTGTCAATTTACACTCCACGTGAAATACACCGACCATATGCCGCCCGCACCTTTGACATCTCGAACAAGCCGTTGGTTACATCGACAATGTCTGACATCTTGCCAATGTGCTGAATACGCTCCTGCACAACAGCCTTGTGATCGCTACGAGCCTGCTCAAGCACGCGCTTGATGGTCTATAACCCACAGAAATATTCAGAATTCCAGTCACACGTGTCTCCAGGGCAAATCCACACTACATACAGCCTTCTTGTCGTTAAAGTATTCTACGGCACCGTCCTTGCCACCGCTGAACCACAGGTAGTACGCGCCAAAGATACAAGCCATTTCAAAGACTTCAGCGTCGACGAGGTAAATCTCCTTGGAGATGAGGAAAGCGGCAATGGAAGCACCGACGAGAACGGATCCAGATTTCGCGGCCAAGTTGTCACCAGGGAAAAGCTTGATAAGAGACTCGGCAGCAACTTTGGGGTCAGGCCGCTGAGGAGCGGTTGCGAGTTCCGCACGCTGTTGAAGACGGGCAGCAGCGACGCCAGCGGCAATTTGCCGGGACACGCTGGGAGCCAAGGTCTGTCTCAAGACCTGAGCATTCCTGCTGAAAACGAGCCTCGACGCCATTTCGTGTAATGTGCTAGGAATGGGGCAAGACCGGGATCGAGAAAAGTTCCACCTTGTCGAGATGGCTTTCAGGCGAAAAATTACCGGCTTGCCAATGATGGATGGAAGGATAAATCACCAAGGAGATGACTGGTGGCAAAGTCATAAAACTGCAACCGGATAGAACCACTATTGGAATGGCTTCTTGATAAGCAGGATCGCCCAGCTGGTTTTTGTTTTTCATTTCCAACAGTTTTCGACGGCCATTACGGGTACAGCCATCACTGGTACGGCCGACGAACATGGTCCCTCCGACGACACCAAATGCAAACGGCAGTGCGAACGGGACGTTGGGTGACACCCCGTCGTCAGCAGTACAAGCGGTGCTGGTACAGTCGGAACCCATGCCTGCCCAGTCCGTTAAAGTGCAAGGTTACGACTTTAACAACGGAGTAGACTATTCGGCTCTTTTGGCTTCTTACAGTCGGACGGGATACCAGGCTACGAGTCTTGGCCAAGCGATTGACGAGATTAATAGAATGGTAAGTGCTTGTTTCTGGTTGCTTGCAAGCTTCGCCAGCAACTCAATTGCTTTGGACAGATCAGCTGGAGACTCTCTGATGATCCCATAGCGGAAGACGAACAAGAACAATACTTGGACCCCGAGGTCCGTTCAACCACGAAATGCAAAATATTTCTCGGATACACGTCCAACCTCGTTTCGTCGGGTCTTCGCGAAGTCATTCGATATTTGGTTGAGCATTCGATGGTATACTCCATTCCTCCTGGTTCATGTACTTTATTCGACGTCTTATTTGCTGTACATAGGTCGATTGCATTGTAGCTTCAGCAGGCGGTGTGGAAGAAGACATTATCAAATGCCTTGGTCCCACTTACGTCGGTTCGTTTTCTCTCCCAGGCGCCGAGTTGCGCAAAAAGGGTTTGAACCGCATCGGGAACCTACTAGTCCCAAACGACAACTATTGCAAATTTGAGGACTGGGTGATGCCTGTTTTGGATCAGATGCTAAAAGAGCAAAAGGAGGAGGGGACGATTTGGACGCCGTCCGCAATCATTCGTCGGTTGGGGAAGGCGATTGACAACCCCGAGAGTATATATTATTGGGCATACAAGGTAAGACTATGCTGCAGTCGATGATACAGTAAAACACGTCGCTGACACACTTGGTATAGAATAACATTCCCGTATACTGTCCCGCATTAACGGATGGCTCGTTAGGAGATATGATCTACTTCCATTCATACAAGAACCCAGGTCTCATCATTGACATTGCTGCCGACATTCGGGCAGTCAATAACGAAGCGGTCTTTGCCAAGAAGACCGGTGTGATTATCTTGGGGGGAGGTGTCATTAAACATCACATTTGCAACGCAAACCTAATGGTCAGTGAACGTGCTTCTGCTCTGTGAATTTCGTCATGACGATCCCTGACATTTTTGGATATAGAGAAACGGTGCAGACTATGCAGTATATATCAACACGGGTCAGGAATTTGATGGCAGTGACGCTGGGGCGCGACCAGATGAAGCAGTTTCATGGGGCAAGATCCGGATGACTGCCCAGCCCGTCAAAGTCTATGCAGATGCCTCAATCGTGTTTCCCTTGCTTGTCGCGGAGACGTTTGCAAAGACACGACAAACGGACAAAAGAGGCTGACACCTAGATTGTAAATGTGACAAGTGTATATAGCATCATCATACTTAATTTATTTGTAGGCGATGGCAGATAGGGGTTTGCAATAGAAGCGGGCAGCGTTTAGATCCAGACTAGCGATGCATTCTTGTTTTTTCTTGTCGCCTGCTTGCCAACACAGTTCAATGCCACTTGCCAAATGCATGTCGTGTTTTCAAAGTGTGTCATTTACAGTGGAAGGAGCCGATCCCGCCCCCTCCGTCCCTCCGTCCCTCTTGCCCCCAAAATTAGATTAAAAAATGACCATATACAAGATACGCCTCTAAAGACATTTCCACGCTCCCAATCCACAAACGATCGGACATTCGCTATTCTGGCAAAATCAACTCTTCAACTGACCAATCCTCCCAACTTCCATCAGGCAAATACCTCCGCACCATCAAAGGAATCTTTTGCTCTCTCAACTCTTTCATGGCAATGGCCAGTGGGTCTGACTCGCCATTGAGATCGACCATAACTGGAGCGCTCATGCTGATTTGGAGAGCTCGTGTGCCGAGGATGCGGGCTTTTTCGTATTTGGTCATGTAAGGGGTGGTCAGGCGTTGGTCTTTTGGGATGGGTCCTGGTCCGCGGGCAGCGGGGGTTGCACCATGTGTAGGTTCGTTATCGGGTTGGTGCTAGTGTTTGAAGTGTTTGGAGTCAGCGCTGTTTTTCAGTTCCAAAAAAAAGGGTAGTGACGGGGAAACTTACGTCGTCTGGGTTTAATATCTCTGATCGCACTCCTTCGACGATTTCTGTATCATACACCGCCGGCTCTAGGTCATCGTACTCGGGCTGCTCGTCGTAATCCTCGGGCTCGCTGCCTTCGTAGTCTGACATTTTTGGTTGAAAAAGAAGGAGATCTTCCCCAACAGCCTTGCGCGCTCCATTAGGTGGTTACTATGGCAACGCGTTGAGAGATTGGGCAACTTTCAAGGAGGCCAGCGTTTTGTTCAACAGGACATTTGTAGAAAATGTTGCAATCGATGCGATTGGGCGGGACTGCCCGTAAGGGTATTTCAAGAGTACTCGGGTGTACTCGCGGTGTTGCAACGTCCGTCCCCGATACTCCCAAACCATCTCCACCGAACCCGGCCGAGCGTCTATCAAATCTCGTTCCCCTCCCTCGGTCGGCCACGACCTCCACCCGAAACTTTTCACCCCTCAACAAAACTCCCGATACAACCTTCCCGCACAACATTCGCACCTCGTTGACGATCCGGACGCTCATGGCAGCGAATCTCCATCTCGGCCATGCACGAGAATCCTGGAACGAACACATGCTCCCCTATATCTACGGTGAGCGACAGGGGATTCATATCATTAACCTGGAACATACGCTTGTCATGTTACGTCGGGCCATCAATGTGACGAGGGAGATTGCCCTTCGCGGTGGGAATATTGTGTTTATCGGAACGCGCCCGTCTATTCATCGCATCACTGTGGAAGCTGCTAAACGTGCTGATGGCTATTTCGTCACCTCGTGGATTGGGGGTACGATCACAAACAAGGAACGAGTCCTTCGTCGGAGTGTTGGGTATGATCCGGATAAAGTGGCTCAAATTTTAATGCCTGATGGGGAGGAGAGCAAGGCAAAGGAACAACGAAAGCCGCGAAACCCTCAACCCTACGTCCACACACCTGATCTACTGATTGTATTGGACTACCCGAACAACACTTGGGCAGTACGTGAAGCCAACCAAGCCAATATTCCCGTGATTGCCATCTGCGATACGGATTGCAATCCACGGAATGTGCAGTATCCTATTCCAGCCAACGATGATGCCTTGACGGGTGTGGAATTGATTGCGGGGGCCTTGAGTCTTGCGAGTCGAGAGGGGAGGGATATGAGGAAGAAGGAGATTACGCAGCAAGCGAAAAAGTTTCGGGCGTAGTGTCGTGTGGGGTCATTAGACAGTTTCTACTCTTCTTTTTTTTGCCTTATGTTGGGATCATCCAACATTAACGACTTTTTTATCATTATTATGACAAATAAATACCATTGCCAAAACATAAATATTATATATACATTTTCGTATGTCCATCTATCCAGAAATACTGGCGATTGCCTTCTCTACGCACTCTTGTCTACAAAAAACGGAAACCGAGGCCGTGGGCGGGATGCCGAATGCGCCAATCAACAACCCAACATCATGACACCTCTTCTAACCGCCTCTCAAACTCTTTTTTATACACTTTGGGCACAAACGCACCAAACCCAACAAGCAACTCCCGTCCCCCTTGTATATTTTCAAATAATTCTACAAGGGCATCAACAAGGGCAGACACGGAGATGGTTTGGGCTTTGTAGGATTTGAGCAGGGATTGGAAGGTATGGTATTTCGGCGTTGGAAGGGTTCTTTTGAGGGTTTGAATGTAGGTTGTTGCGGTTTGTTTATGTTTTTTGGAGGTGGGGGGTTGGGGAGGAGATGTCTGGCGTTTTAGGATAGGGTGAGTCGCCTCGGGGTGGGCAGGTTGTTGGTTTGCGAGGGTTGCTTTAGTCAAGATGGATTTGCGGGGTGGGTTTGCAAGTGCAGATTGCGAGATCCGATCAAGCGTCGTGCGATGAAAACTGGTTGCTTTTATCGAATTGACGATAGCTGGAATGGGTGGAGTGGTGGTGGTAGCAGGACCATCCATTGACAACTACAAAGAAAAGATAAAATAAACACCGGTAAGACACATTAAAGAAACCGGAAGAGTACCTCAAACTCGCTCTTTTTTCGTCTCTGCCGAATTGATACTTGTCCATCCCCATCTGACAATCCTACACAATAGTCAATACAAGTCCAGAATTCAAAGGATTAGGACGGATATACCTGTTTTCAACTGCTGAAAAGCAGCATGCGCCAAAATTTCGGCATGACCTTGAACAGAGTCTGGTACGGCAGGTACCGTTGGAACAGCATCAGGTTGCTGTTCCATACGCTTGAAAAACCTGCCAAGTCCACCTTGGGCCTCCCCAAAGTGTTTCTAAACAAAAACAAAAACAATAATCAGTCAAGGCTCATGTGTGTAGTCAAAATGTGGACCATACATAGACTTTAACGAGGGATCGAATCCATATGGGGAGTTGCTTGATATTATATGGAGATCCAAAACGGGCGTCGCAGAGGAGGATGGCTCCAAAGTCCTTTTTGTGACGGATGCTAGAGGCGGTGTGAACTTTGTCGATCCATTCGTTAAAAATACGTGTACGTACACTCTGCCAAGGGCTTGGTTCACGGCTCGGGCAGCTTGTTGCTTGTACCAATCACCTCCGGATATGGTTTGCTTCTACAATCCACAGGGTGAGAGACACGATCCGTCAACATGATAAAGATGGATTCTTACCCCTTTGCCATTCCGACCATGCAGTTCATCCAAATATTGTCTTTTCAATTTTACCTATACGGGGACGTTACATTTCGGTCCTTGTGATATTTAAGGATGCGGTCTACCTTTGGATCCATCGCCGCTAAATACCAAAAATAAGTCACTTGAACATGAGGTGAAATACAAAGCGATACACACCTGGATATGGAATCCCACACACCATCACAGCGCGGCCCTTGTTGTCACTGAAATCGAGCCCTGCAAAAACAAACGTGAGGGAGACATTGAGAAAACAAGAAAATGCCAATCCTTACCTTCAGATGCTTTACCGCGGCATCTGGAAAGACATTTAAGTCGAAGAGACTACATTAAAATGGGGATAACGAAAACCTACACTGCGAAAAATACGGCGCCCGTTAAACTCTTATCTTCTAATTTTGCATAAAATTCTTCCATGGCCTAAAGAACGTAACGACCAAGTTCAACAACTGAACAAATCGTGTTGAACCGGAAACCCGCAGAAACGAACCGGTCCAAACTGTTGTTTATTCCGCGGCTCGACAATGGGTGTCTTGTACTGCTTGATACGGTCCATAACACTCTTGGCCCCGCCCTGTCCCTGAAAAAATACCCACCATGAGCCAACAGAAGAGAACAAAGCGGGGGTACTTGTAGAACTTGCCATAATCCATGCAGCCAAACACCTCTCCATAACACCGTAGGAAGGAAAGAAAACCAAAAATCCATCGGGGACAATTCGACAAAAGTTGACGACAGCGTTGCCGAGGTCAGATATGTATGCTACAGAATCACGGTTTTCGTACGACGAGGACAGGTGTGAGCCGGCGGGACCAGTTGGAACGACTCCAACAAAGACTTGATGTGGGGAGATGACGTGGGGGTTTTCGAGACGGTGGGGGAAGGGGATGCCCATTTCCGTTGCAAAGGAGGCCAAGGGGCTCTTATAAGATGCAATTGAGATACAATGTACAGATTTCAGGGATCCGTGATATGTGAGTACATACCAGTGTTCCAGAGGCAAGGACAATTGACCGACAGTCTCGTTCAAGGTCTTTCATGGCAATACCAGAATGAAAACACCATAGCGAGAGTTTTCGGCCTGTCCTCGTGCGCGCTTCTTCTTCAATGTAGACCTACGCAAAAAAAAGGTGTTAACGGTTATTTTAGGGCCGGTCAGTTGAGCGTCTACCTTGTAGCTTTGCCATATCTGTTCATCGGCTCCAAACCCCTCTTTAAAGACAACCTTGAGTGCCGTGCCAAACAAATTCAACGCCATGCGGGAACGGCGATTCATTTCTGTCGAGAAAAAGTGTTTACGACCTATCATACGCTTTGCTTTTTGACAAGATCCACACACCTTGAGCCAGCAACCCAACTCCACACTCCACAACTCTAGACACCATACTGACATTCTCAAATGAAATATTGAGGTCACGAAAGAGTGAGAGGATCCAGTCGCCGCTCAAGATCCGATCCCGCGAGCGATCCAATTGGACGGCTTCGAGTTTTTTTTGGAGGTTTTGTAAAAGTTCTGTAACCATGATCTTACATCGATGAATCTTGTAATTTGAGGATAAATAATATTTATACGGACCTTTGAGAATCATGAAATCCTGCGCAGAGGCTAAATTGAATATGATAAGAACCGCGGTGAGATGTTAAAACGTAGAGAACATGAACGAAAGCGCACCCTCTCGATTGGCAGCACCAGGCGCAGAAGCCAATTCGATACACTGCGACGCTTCCGAAATACAATTCGCAAGGTCCTGTGCAGTTATTTCAAAACTCGTTGCATCGCCACAGCTGCTTTCCAGGTTATGTCCTTGAACGACAGTCGTTAACTATACGCGCAGTCACCAAGTGGTAAGGGAGATGGATACCTTCGTCAAAAATGAGAATAGCATTCCTAACATTGTATGTGAGCCTCGGAACTACAGAATAAGAAAGAAAGAAGGGTGTCCTCACTTTATGTCAATGTTTTGTGCTTTACGTGTATGTGCGTCAATCAAGTAGTTGTATGGGAGGAAGATGATATCTGCCTTTGATTGATGCGCGCGGGACAAAAAGTACGGACAAGCTCTGAAATCACAAAACGGTTTTAATACCTTGATGGTTTCCACTTGATCGAAACGGTAACATGACAGCAGTGAAGATACACCCACCTATGCTCCCTTCCGAATTTCCCCAACTCTTCAATATCCAGAATACCTTTCTCTTCCAGTGCTCCTTTAACGTGCTCAACATTCCCATAAAACTCGCAAGTTTTCTTTGCGACTTTTTGTCTACAGACGTTTGGCCTGCCTACGGAGGGGAGGGCCAGGACATCGGGGTGAACACAAGATTGATCTCGACTGCCAAGGACGCAAATCTTTGGGCTGGTTGGATATAATGTCAGCAAATATGCATGCCACCATGTGACAAGCAGGCTGTGAGAACAACATACGCATAACTGGTATTTCGAAGCTCATGAACAGCTTGCGACAGCTGAGAATGCGTCCTGGAAGCGTAATAAATCGTTGGTGCATCCCTCTCATACATTTCATCCCCACAACTCGATACAGCTACAATAAAAGGAAATGAATATCCTATCCATTGACTTGACTTACAGTGAAACAAAAGTTCACCTTTATCCAGAGACTGCACCAAAGCCTCGACACGATCCACATTATTTTTCAAAGCAATACCTAATTGCTTTCGAGCGACCCATGCTTCCCTCCACGCCAGCGCCGCACACAACAAGCACAGCGTCTTGCCCGTTCCCTATCCAAGAGAAAAGCGTTACGATATGGCAGATCGTCGACACGCAAGTACTTACAGTTGGGGATTCGATTAACGCATTCGTTTGCCCTTGGAGTGCGGACACGAGGGTCGTCATGAGCGAAAGTTGGCATTCGTAGGCCGGAAACGGGAACTGAACGGTGATGCCATTAATGTTGTAAGACGGCATCGTCCCAAACCAAAAACGGTGTGCCAAAGAAAAACACGCATAGTCCAAAAGTGCAATGGGTGGCTGTGAAGTTGATGAGGAGTGGATCACGTGCAGAGTGCTTCACGGGGGATGAAGGGCGGAGCTTTCCCGTCGTCGTCGCCAAAAAGGTTTTGCTGTGAAAGATGCAACGAGAGGATGGGTACGATGCGGATAGTCTCTTTATAAAGCATTCCGTGGCAGATGTGCGGATACTCCATGCGCGAACCAGGTAGATAATGTCGTTCCCGGATGCAAAAAACCATTTGCATTTACATTTCAGAAAACACTAGCACGGACATTGAGCGCAAAAAGCAGGATCTACGCGTCATGGTCGGCGAACGGTACCGAGACCTCATCAACACTGCTGACGCCATAAAGTCCATGCAAACCCATTCAACAACCATTTCGCAAAATATCGAGTCACTATCGACCATGTGCGATGCGCGTACGTTAAAGACTGCCGTGGGCATGCGGTTGGTGAAGGATAAAGATGCTAGTCTGGAACAAAAGCGGGGGATAGTGTATTCGGTTGCGGCACAAATCAAGGTGTTGGTGGATACACCCGAGCAGGTTTGGGATCTTTTTCTATAAAAAACTGCAAAAAGTTTCGATACTCAAAAGGAACGCAGATTTGGCACGCGATGGAATCCCATGCCTACCTGACCTGTACACTCCTCTACATCATCGCCCAAAGAATTTACGAAAACCTCCAACAATCTGATACAGCGTTGCGTCCCATGGTACGTTCCGTTTGTCCCATTCCATACGTAAAACTTTTTCCCGTTATGCGCATCATAACGGAACCACCTGCACAGATGTCGTTTCCAGTGATACGACGCCAATGGAATGCCGTGAGCCATTTCAGAGCTCAGATTATTGAGCGCGCTCAAGGGTTCCTGGGATCGTTCGATCAAGATCCACAGGTGTGTTTTGACGGCCAGAGTGTAAAGTTTATTACGAAAAGGAAATGACTTTCAAAATCATTTCAGAACATTGCAGAAACCCTCTGCGCTATAACCCTGCTCGAACCCACACACGAACCCCTCCAATCACTCCTCACAGCTCGCCGCCACCTCCCACACCCGTCAAATTCAACGCACCCCATCGAAACCACACTTACCTCATTCACAAAAACTGTTCAAGATATTTACACCCTGTTTTGCAAAGATGTCTTTTCACGAACGGTACAACGCGTCCAGGACACGGACATGACGGGGTTGTATAGGAATATGCATAGTATTTGGCGGTATTTGCCGGGGAGTGTGCAGGAGTTTCGACCGCGTGTGGCATGGGCGGGTGTGGATGTGCGCGACGGGGTGCGAGCGTGGGTGGAACTAATGGAAAAAGAGACGACAAAGAGTGTGGAAGGAGCGTTGGAGCATGTTATGAGTGGAAAAGACTTGAAGAGGATTCGAAAGGGGGTGGATGAGGTGTTGGAAGAGTTACGGGATTGGGATGTGGTACGAATTATTTTGCTTTTGTCTTAAGTGCAAGCAATGTTGGAATGCTGGTTACTAATCGTAACTTTTTTGTACAGATGTGTACAGCTGTGGTTGGCGAAGCCTACGACCTTTACACCCGCCTCCTCCACACCCCTTTTGCACACACCACCGACCGCACCCTCGAAACCCATTTCAAACGCCTCTCGTCCCGCCCAACAACATGTACACTCCCACCTTGCACGAACCTGTCCACCGAACTCTGGACACGAGGTGCCATGGACGGAATGACAAAAGTGGCAGACGGATTCGAAGGAGGTTTGAAAGCGATACTAGAGGACATGAAGGGACTCGAAACCATCCGTTTTGATCAAGTCTTTCAGAATGGTATGCAGGCGTACGTGGATGGGTTACGGTTATTAATGGTCGGAAAGGGCATGGATGACACATTGGGCATCGGACGGGTTGCAAAGCGGGTTGCCATGCGATTAAAGGGGATGCAAGGGGATTTACCCTGTGGACCAAAAGTTCTAGAGGGGTGTTTGGAGACCTTCATGAAGCTTTATGTCGATTGTCATTCCGTGTGGGTGACGAGTGTCTGTGAGCGAGTTCGGGAGATATTGGTACGGGGAATACAAGACGAGATGCAGCATGACATGGTACAGCTTGGGAAGGATCAGGGTCAGGATGAGGACTTGATCAGCCAACCTTCCACATACGTGCTCCAGGCGTTATGGTACATTCATCAAGAATGGAATCGCGTTGGAGGCGTTACACTCGAAAAGAGCATTGTGGAGCACTTGAAACAAGAGCTGGGACGAACAATCCAAGACGTTTATCACCACACAAACTCTGTTCAACGGGCATTTCATATCATGTACCTATCGCGATTGGGATTCCCGCTCTCCATGGAGGAACCTGCGCTTGCAGATGTGGTTGATAGGTACCATGCACGTACATGCACGTTATTCGGAGCGTTTGGTACAAATGTACCTGCTTTGAAACCGGTGCAGGTGCGGGATGTGCCTGTTGTAACGCCTCCGAGGTTTACGCTTTTGCCGGTGACGAGGGGAATCTATCGAGGTTTTGCGTGATGGACATTGGAATGTGTGGTGTGCAAGTTGATGTGTTTGCGAATGGAATTTCATCTCGGTTCTGAACTTTTAAGAGGGAGGAATTCCATAGATACATGGATGCATATGACGCCGTATCCCTTAAGCGCCTAAAAATCATTCTCACCCAAGAGGGCACACACAAAATTTTACATTTGATACATGAAGAGTTCATGTCGGTGCCTCAATACACGTAATACTCTGGATTGCGCAACCGTAGATATGCAATGAATGCCTGCAATATCCTCCTTATCCATTATATCAATCTATGCAGGTATAAATGCATTGGGACTCGAAGAGCCCAGGACGGGGCATCAAAACGAACCTTTTGCTGACATCATCCGCTGCCTCAATAATCACGTGAGGTCACGCCAGCTTGGAGAGTCACCTGATCGTCAAGGGCATTGATTGAACTACAGTACTGTAGTCCAAGAAGGTGTCCACTTTCAACCTTAAGGTCTTGTCATTATTGCATCGATGATAACAGCATGCAGCAAAAACAGAAACAGTATATATTATTATTATTATTGCAAATTCATTAAGGATACATAAATAATGTACGCCGACAGCAATCTCATTGAAGAACAACCAGTCTTACTGAACGATCCCATAGACGCGCTTTGGTTCGTCGGTCCGAAGCTCAAGGAGGTTTTCAATAAGGCGAATTTTGATACTATTGGACATCTTCGTGACCGTGCTGCGGGACAAGCAGTTCAACGAGCCATAAATGCTCTCCGCGAGAGGACTCTGAGAAACCCCCGAGATCTGACGCATACTGGCGAATAATTGCAGCACGTTGTTGCGATGTCGTGTACAGTGCAACGACAGCTGATCCTACAGATAATGATCCCGAATACTTTCGCTGTCCTTTGAACATTTGAACTTTTCAAAGACCCAGTGATCGCACCAAGTGGTATCTCCTATGAACGCGAAGCCCTAGTGGAATATCTGACAGCCCACAAGGAAAAAGATCCTATGACTAATGAGCCCTTGCAAGTAGAAAAGCTATATACCAACCGACCCTTGCGAGACGCCGTTGAGGACTATTGTAAAACTCATTGCATTTAAAGTGTTTTTACATAGCTCGAGGGCGCAAGTCTCGACCGAATAAAGTGCTTATGTCATGCCCGAAATAAGGCACAGTCACTAGGTAATGGCACAGCACGATCTCTTTCACGTGCATGGATATCTTTTAATTTCCCTATTTTTGGTTTTATTGCCGCCGGCAATTTCATACTAAGCCACTGGCACTTTTTTCCCACGAAGCTTTTTGGCGCCTTGAAGCATTTCGCAATTCGGAGGAGGATTTTTGTCAACTCGCCATTGAACGAAAATGACCACATCACAGACTACATCTTCTTCGTTCAACGTTAACAAGGCGCTCGAGAGAGCCATGGGGGGTGGGTTGTCGGGGGCTGCTGCCATGGTTGTTCAAGTCTGCACTCTCATGGTATTGTATTTTCTTTTTTCGCCTGGACGATTGCATTCCTCATTTTGCTAATAGCTTTCTTCTTTTATTTTTGCTTCCTACTTGTTCTCACTCGTACTTTGCACTTGGGATTTGACTTGGCGCTCTCGCTCTCGTGCAGCCCCTCCGCACGACAATGAACTACCAGTATAGATATGGAACAACGACGACACAAGCCCTGCAAACCCTCTACAAGGACGGTAAAATCCTCCGCTTTTACAGAGGCATTGGACCCGCCCTCATTCAAGGCCCCCTCTCCCGCTTTGGTGACACGGCTGCAAACGCATTTGCAATGTCCCTCTTGGAGAGCTCTGACCTCACCAAGGATTGGCCCGTCGCCGTCAAAACCATTGGCGCTTCTGCCGCTGCTGCCTCTTTTCGCATGTTCTTGACGCCCGTCGACACATTAAAAACAACCCTCCAAACACAAGGAAACGACGGCGTTCGCATCCTCCGTGCTCGTATCGCTGCAAACGGTATCCCCACTCTGTGGTACGGCGCCGTCGCTTCTGCCGCGGCCACGTTTGTTGGCCACTACCCCTGGTTCGCAACCTACAATTACCTCTCTGAAGTCCTCCCCCAACAATCCACAACACCCAGAAAACTCGCCCGTCAAGCTGTGATTGGGTTCTCGGCCTCTGTTGTCTCGGACACCATTTCAAATTCCTTGCGTGTGATTAAAACGTACCGACAAGTGAATGAGACGCGTGTGAGTTATGTTGGGGCGGCCAGGGCCGTTATTGAAAAGGATGGTGTGGGAGGTTTGTTTGGACGAGGACTCAAGACACGGATTTTGACGAACGGGCTGCAGGGGATCATGTTTTCGGTGCTTTGGAAGTTGTTTCAAGACTTGTATGATCGCAAGTAGAAGTCGTAGTGAATTATAGTATGGGCTCGTGATAGGGACATTCGATAATGGGTAAATATTATTAGGAGATTCGTAAACGGTTTGGCGAGAGTGAAAGGCCTCGCAAACGTTTGACGGATCCTTGCCGAAAGGAAGATTGGAATCGTAAGGGTAGGTGTTGGTATCTATGTAGCTAGATAAGATGAACCAAAAAAAAAATATAGATTTTTATTGTTATTTTTTTAATCAAGCGAAGATGAGCGTTTTTAAAGTGTGCAAATGATGAGGAGTCATCATTTGGGATGGTTAACGCACTATTTTGATAGTATCAAGGAAAACCTGTACATTCAACCATCACCACAGAAGAATTCAACCACACGAGGAATATTATGAAAATGGGACAAACGCCCTCTCTACGAAGAACATCCGATGTCGGTTCGTACGTGGCAATGCAGAAACTGATCTATTAAATTAATGGAAATGATAAAGAAACAAACTCTTATGCCTTCCCCTCTAAAGCCCTCCGCGCAGCATCCCCCATCCCCTCCTCTGAAAACATTTGCCTCCACACCACCTCCTCCCTAAACACCTCCTCACCCCAACAATTCCCTGCACACGAATACACAATCACCGTTCCCCAATCGAGGGCATGTTCATCATAGTGGTTAATGTCGAGTACATTTAGCATTTGGGGCATGACTTGAAATTCGAATGTGCGGGGTTGGTTGCAGCATGGACAGGGGGGGATGGGAGGTGGGAGGGTGGAAGCGACGTAAAGGGGTGTAGGATCCGTCGAATACGAAACACGGGCGTATCGAATGACTTGGGAAGGGGAGCGGGAGATGCGTTTCTGGAATTTGAGAAAGGGTTTATCAACGTCCACGGATGTTTCCTCGTATTCTTCTTGGTGTTGTTCAGATGTTGTGTCTGGTGTCGGTAGTGTTGGTATGGATGTTGGAACGGGTTCAGCCTCTGGTTCATCCTCGGATACCAATTCAAATTCCGGAAAGAGATGAGTAGTGGATGGGATGGTGTTCTTGTCAGTCCCGCAGATGGCCTTGTGTCCTCCCGTCCAATCCACTAATTGATGCTCTCGGCAGCAGTAGTGTACTTTTTTGCATTTTGAACATGTTTTGGGAGCTTCGAGGCCGCAGACTGTGCATTGGGGTGCTGAACAAAAGTCATCTCATCAATCATGGGATATAACATACAACCATAACTATGATACATACCTTGCACTGAATCCACTTGCATTCCTTCACCAGGGTTATAGTACGGATTCCATTCCCCCAACTGGCTTCGATACACTTTGAAACTATTTTGTCACGCACGTCAACGACTCTACCATTCACAACAAGAACCCTTTCAATACGATTACATACCACCCCTTCCAGTCCGTTTTATGACATTTCCCGTCTCGGCAACAGAATAGATAGATTACGCGGTGGTATGCTTCGGGCGGTTCATCCTCTGGTGTATAAAACTATCGTTCCGACACATTTAGCGCATGCAAAAAAAAAAAACAAAGTTTACGACATTTACGTTACCTGAACGAGGAGGACCATGACTTTATTACAAACACTACAAACCACATCCGTCCAAGATAGGTATTTGGATGGGTTTAACCAAAACTGTAAAAGTCAGTACACCTCAGTTGACTTGTACCGCTCATTCGATTCAACTTACTGGTTTCCCTCCAATCTTGTTTGGATAGTCATCCAAGGAGTACGTCAGAGGCTCCTCGGGGACTTCTGCAAAGCCCAACTGAATAGCCGGCATCCCTTTCTCCAAAACAACCATTCAAAAGAAGGAAAACGTAGATCATTTCCAACAAACTTCCAAAGGCCAAAAACAATTCATAGGTCACGTGATGGCAAGTGCTTGCAGGCAACAGAGTGTTTAGCGTTTTTGTCATTTGCGACATCTGCCAAGATTAACGAGATGACGAGGATAATGGCGAGCAGAATAGCAAGGTTACAAAAGTGTTTTCATACGTCTTCTGTGGTTTATCACGATAACCCACTCGTAAGTGTTTACGAACACCAACATTTTTATATATCGGTTGTTAACATGTGGACAGGGCCTGCCGGTCAAGGGCACACCACCCACACTCCGCATGGCCCGCGGACTACCGACCAAAAGTCCCATCAAGGGCGTCAAGCATGTCGTTGCGGTCGCGAGTGGGAAGGGAGGCGTAGGAAAGTCTACTACAGCAGGTTCGTGCATGACAATTGTTTAGGTGAACAAGTCCTAACTTTCGTTTCCATGCTAGTGAACCTCGCAGTCGCATTGGCATCCCAAAACATAAGTACAGGCCTCCTCGACGCAGATCTTTTTGGTCCTTCCATCCCCCGCATGATGAACCTAACCTCTACTCCCGAAACAACGCCCCAAAACCTCTTACGCCCACTCACGAATTACGGAGTCAAATGCATGTCCATGGGGTTCCTGATAGACCGTGATGCACCCATCGTATGGCGCGGGTTGATGGTCATGAAGGCTTTGGAGCAGCTGTTACGGCAGGTTGAGTGGGGGGTTGATGTTCTTGTTGTGGATATGCCGCCTGGGACCGGGGATACGCAGTTGACGGTGTCGCAGTCGGTGGTGGTGGATGGGGCGGTCATTGTGTCGACGCCGCAGGATGTTGCGCTTGCGGATGTGAGAAAGGGGGTGAATATGTTTCGAAAGGTTGGGATACCGGTACGTAAGAACGATTGACGGTGACTCTTGCCACTGCCAAATGCATAACCTTTTACGCATATCCCATTTCGGTTTCTATCTAGATTTTCGGCCTCGTCCAAAACATGTCCTTATACCAATGTCCAAACTGCTCACACACCTCCCACATTTTCGGAAACCAAGACCACCTCGTCTCCACCGCCCAGTCCATGGATCTCGACATCTTGGCTAATATCCCACTTCACCCTGATGTATGCGCAACATCAGATGCGGGGACACCTATTGTTATTGCCCAGCCTACGAGTGTGCATGCGGAGGTATATCGAGGGTTGGCGAAGAAGGTGGCGGAAAAGTTGGGATTGTAGTCTAGTCAAGATAGTCAATATTTGCATAGTTGAGTGAGGACGAGTGGAAATGCTTATTTATTTTCGTAACTGTTACTTTTATTTATTTTGGGTAATGGGGCTTTTTGATTCTGTGCAAATAAACACACAATTTTATAAAGCTCTGGCGAGTCGAAAAAAAAAAGTTTATATATGTCCATTAAATCATGCGTGGGGTATAAATCAAATCTATGTACGGGGTTTCCTGCTTTTCCCGGTGACTGTCTTTTTGTCACAAGCACCATCTACGCTTATATCCATTCCCCAGCTTGGAAAGGAATAAGTCTGACTCGGTGGTAAGGTTGTTGGATGCTTTTCGTCAAAAACACCCACACCATCGTCGCCATCCGGCAGGTTTGGCAGGCACAGGTTGAATCAGCGGGGGTAAAGTCGTCCCAGTCGGCGCCAAACTCAAACGCTTCGGCACATTGACCACCTCTTGAACCACCCTTTCCCCGTCACCACCCTCCTCCCCATCAGACCCACCGGACCCCTCATCCTCTTTTTCCAACTGCCTCCAAAGCTCCTCATCCAATTCCCCTTCAAACCACCCAGCCCGCTCAACATCCGCCAACTTTTCCGCAACTTTATCAAAATCCTCAATCTTCATTTGTAACGTCTTGTCTTTATAGTTCTTTGTCGTGAATTTCGGGGGAATGGGAAGGAGGGGTGGAAGTGTATCCAATCGCTCATCCGAAAACGTGGGCGAAAGCAACCCAGTTGGAACCGGCCCATAATCAGTTTGACCATCTCCTAATGGTGGTCTTATGTCAGGAAGTGGAACAGACTTCCGTCCTTCTCGTCTACCCACACCATCTAATAATAATCCTTTTCGACCTAAATCCGAGATCGAGAGTGGAGGCGTCCGGGTTTTGATACTATCATCATCGGAGAGTGTTCCGCGCGATGTTTGTAGTAGCATGCCACTGTCACGCGGGGACCCCGTATATGGGGATCGGGTCAAAGAGGAGTAAACAAGGTCATTTAGGATAGGCTGCGAGGCGGAGCGGGCAGATGGGAGGAGGAGGGAGCGGCGAGGACTTGGTATGGGTTGTTGTTGGATTTTGCGGGAGGGATCTGGGCGGGGGAGGAGGGGTGTTGAGGATGGGTGCGCATGGGGGGGATGAGGGAGGAGAGGGGTTGATGCATGTGCGTGAGAGAGAGGGTGTGGTGGATGGGGTGGGCCCAACGGTGATTGATGCGACGGAAAGGACTCGGGCGCAACCTTTCGCGGCGGTGTCGAAAACAGTAATGTGGAATAACTCATCGTGGTGTGTCATCCAAGTCCATACTCCAAATTTATCGCTTCAAGAGTAACCTTTCTCTTTTTTTGTCGACCTCAACGTACAATATCCATGATGGTTATATAACATCCCTGTTCCAGAAAACCGCCCAAAACCCTCAGATCAAGTCGCAACCCTTGTCGGGGTCGATTAGGTAAGCATTTAACGTCCCAGGTTGCCCAGCGCTGTTCGCATCAAAACGATCTAGTATTCTTCCTTTCTGTTATTTTTGACAAGAATGGCGTCGCCATCTCCGGGTATCACCTTCTCGGCGACCGTCCGGCCTGCAACGCGGATGCGGACACCCGCCCCTCCACCCGTCGTCGAACATGTCACCGAAGTCGAGAAAAAAGAGGGCGAGACGTTTGTTACGCAGCGAGGTGGAAAAATGTGAGGTTTTGCCATCTATTTTAGTTGCTGTCGTAGGGAATGTACTTAGATATGCTTTTTTTTGTGCAGTATCCAACCGATTATCCCAAATGACGCAAGTATTCAACTCCAACTAGCACACCATTCACCAAAGAAACCGCTCACATCTAACACCTTTGCAGCGTCCAGCAACTCACTTTGCAACCCGCCACACCCTCCAATCCACCCTCCTCCTCCAGAAAAAAAAGGAAATGCAATCCGTTCAATCCCAGCTCGAAAAAAAGCGATTGGATTTCGCGAGAAGGATGGAAGAATGTCGAGAAAAGCAGGAGGAATTGAAAGCAAAGGTTTAAATGCACATATCCGTTGAAAATATCGAAATTTATAAATCGTTTAGAAATGCTTTTTTGGATAGCAAAAACAAATACGGGACCGTGTAACGAAATTTGAGAAATTCTTGAAAGAGAATGATGCGAAACGGCAGAGAGCGAATGCTAAAGCGCAAGCTGAACGGAAATTGAGGGAACAAAAGGTCTTTATTTGATCGTTGCTTGTTTTATGTGTATGGTTCTTGTTTTCGTTATTGTTGATGACGATGAATCCTACTACAAAACAATAGGAACAAGAACTCTACACCCTAACGCAAACCCTCCACACCGAACAAACCAAACACAACCACACCCTCCACCTTATCCGTACGTAGAAGAGCACCCAATGAGTTGTTATCCGCAACTCACAGAAACCCTCCCCTTTCCAGAAAAATACCAAATCTACGAAACCTACCTCCAATCCGTCGTAGATCTCCTCCCTCCCGACTACCTCGACATCCCCGAACCCCACATAAACGACATCCTAATGCGCCACAAAACCCTCCTAGAAACCTCCCAAGACCTCTCAAAAACCGTCAGCGACTCCACAGACGAAATGGAACGCGTGCAAACCATCCTGGTCGAGCTCGTCAAGGAAAAGAATGATTTGATTTTGGTTTATAATTCAACGTTGGGGACGTTGCAAAAGAGGTTGGATCGCTTAAAGCAGGAGTGTGCGTATTTGGAGCAGAGGTTGGAGGAGAGGGATAATACTGGGAAAGAACGGGTGGGTTTTTGTTTACGATATCTTTGTTTATTGTTCGTTTATTGTATTAGTGTGCTAATCACTGATGCAACAACCTATTTAGATGCGCATGTTGAGTGAAACAAAACTTGCCATCAATAATATTTACGATCGTGTCGGTCTCCGGCCTCACCAGCAGACCCAACACCATCACCATGACGGCGGAGCCCCTCCACAAGGCACAACACACATAATGCCTCAACAACCACAACAAGAACTTGTCAATATAGATAATTCTGCAAAAGCCCTTGCGGAGCGGTTACATGCGATTCAAGATCGGGTGCTGGATTTACAACGCAAGTGTTTTTTGCGTATTCCCTCGTTTATATTATCGTATCCGGTCGTTGATACTTGTTGTTTTGTTTCGCACAGATATTGCACAACGAGCAGAACAGTTTTTGACACAAGATCGAGTCGAAAAGGCAAAACGACAAGCAGCCCTCGCCGCCGAATCCACATCTTTCAAAACTTGAGCATCACACCAACTTCCATAAGAACAAGCTTCCCAAATGTACATTATTTTACTTGCGTATAAATTAAAGAATAAGCCCTTATTACGATATGCGCCGCTTCTTTTCTACAATGGTATACCCTTGAATAATATCTCCCTCCTCAAACTTATCAAACCCTTCAAATCCCATCCCACATTCAAGCCCCTTGGAAGCTTCTTGAATATCTTTTTTGTGGTGTTTGAATGTTTTCAATGTTCCTGAAAAAAAGGTCCATGAGAAACCTAAAGGAAACCAATCCACACCAAAATTCCCAAAAACATACCATCATAAACAATTTCTCCCGCTCTTACGACGCGGACTTTATGACTTCTTTGCATTTTCCCCGTAATGATCCTACACCCCGCAACAGCCTCCGTCACTTTGCCCTTGACATTGATTCTAAAAATTTGGGCAATTTCCGCCTCCCCATGGACTTCTGTCACCATCTCGGGTGGCAAGAGATCGCTCAACATATCTTTAAGGTCGTCCAAGAGTTTGTAAATGATTTGGTGGGATACGAGTTGCACTTTTTTGGAACTGGCATAAGAGTGGGTGCGCTTGTCGGTGGGGAGGTTGAACGAGATGATGGTTGCTGGGTTATGTGTGATTGTGTTAGCAGAGATCCTCAAGGGGACCGTGGTACGAAGACATACCTCCTGTTGCTGACGCAGAGTCAATGTCGGATTCCGTGACGGGTCCCACGCCGGATCCTACTATCTTGATTCGGACTTCGTGGGCTGGGAGGCCGTGGATGGCATCCACGAGGGCTTCCAGTGACCCATGTACATCGGCTACCGAATATTGATACAATATTGAGTCCCGCACACCAGACCAGAGTCCATGACATGGGAACCCACCTTTCAGGATAATGTTTTGAGTGGGTATCGTTGACGTGTCATCAGGCGTCGCCGCATCGACTTTTCCCTCGCGGACCTGCTTCTCCTTTTGTCTGGCTGCATTCAGCTGATCAATGCCTTCGATGGCCTTTAGCCGTCTTGTACGTTCGACTCGGCTTTCAACCACCTTCTTTGCAAGGTCCTGATTCCATACACATTAGTGGCGGTCATATACTGCGCATGCAGGTACAACTCACCTCCTTATCCGCCCCCAGAACCTCATCTCCAGCGGCAGGTAGCTCCTTCCATCCCATGACCTCAACCGGCAAAGACGGTCCAGCCTCTTTGACAGCAACTCCATGTTCATCATGCATAACCCGAACCTTGCACCACGTCGTTCCAGCGACAACCACACCACCCGGCTTCAACGTCCCCCGCTTGACCAAAACAGTCGCCACATTGCCCCGACCTCGTACAAGTTTTGATTCAACGACAACGCCTTCGACAGGTCCGGAAGGATCACCGCGGATATCCATCACTTCCGCAAGCGTGAGAATGTTTTCTTCCAGTTCATCCAGCCCCTTGCCCGTCAGCGCAGAAATTTGCACAGCAGGTATCTCACCACCGTATTCTTCCAGAACAATTTCATGCCTCAAAAGCCCTTCCTTGACCTTTCGAAGGTTGATATGAGGTTTATCGCACTTGTTGATGGCGACAATAATGGGCACCTGAGCGGTCAAGGCGTGTTTGATGGCTTCTACCGTCTGTGGCATGACACCATCATCCGCTGCTACGACCAACACAACGATATCAGTTGTTTGTGCCCCCCGGGCTCTCATGGCAGAAAAGGCCGCGTGTCCAGGCGTATCCAAGAACGTAATGCGCTTTTTGGAGGGTAACAAAACCGAAAATGCACCAATGTGCTGTGTAATCCCACCGGCTTCCCCTGCTGCCACAGATGTTTTGCGCAAAGCATCCAACAGTGTTGTTTTGCCGTGATCGACATGACCCATGATGGTGACCACTGGCGGCCGGACTGGGAAATCTGACCAGTCCTCTGGTGGAGGCCTGGGTTTCAGATCCAAATCTGGAAGGGCGGCTACAACAGGGTTCATTCCATACTCGAGTACAATCAAACTCGCCATTTCAGAATTCAGGACGAAATCCGCACCAGTGTCCTCCAGTCCCAATCGCTTCATTTGTCTCGCAAGCTTTTGGTAGCTGACACCCAGCAGTGTACTCAGATTTGAAACACTGATGCCTTCTTGGAGATGAATATCCTTTGGCTTGGGCGGGGCTTTCGGTTTTATAGGCCGAACCGTCGTCGGTCGACCATGCCGTTCCGGTTCCTTCCGCAGAAAGTCTCTCTCTCGTCGTTCCCTGTCCCGGTCCTTGTCCTTGCTTTTACCCTTCTTCCCAAGCTGTCCACCTGCCGCCCCTGAACTCTCCCAATCTCGACCGTCTTTATGGAACGAGCTCTTTGACGGCTTGCCCCCAAACGTTTGTTTCGCTGCATCTACACGCGCCGTTGTCGACAAATAGTGCGGGCAGAGTGTGGAATGTCGGAACAAATAACATTTGTTTACTGTCGTTCTACTTAGGATCCTTCTCGAGAGGACGGTGGAGGAATGCGACATGATGGAAACTGTCAATCTGGTGGACTGGAAATGTCAAAAAGTTGGAAGGAAGGCCAAAGCGATCTGCTCGGTGAGTCATTCCGACTTGCCATGGCAACAGTGAGTGATTACGTTATCCATTCCGCATGAGCAGAGCGACGAGGAATTGGGAGTTCCTTGCCCATTGCTGAGGACGAAATGCAAGCTCATTGGTTAACATTTCAACCGTTGAAGCATGGAAAAGGCGCAAGAACTTAAGGGGAGTAAATAGCTGATGGGCCGCTCGCTTTTGGAGTAGATCATGATAAAATAACAATTGAAGCCACGGAGGGCTTACCAGAAGAAAGGAATGGCCAATTTGCAAGGCTATTCCTGCCAGTAATTCATCTTACTCTTACGTCCATGGTGCAGCGTTGCAAAAAAGTCCAAACAAAACCAGGATGCCACAATCTTGAAAAAACCTTCCATTTTGTTTGCAGTGCAGAGACTGACGCGCGCTGTCCTGCTGATTGACATTGTTCACCCAAAGGCACCATGGGCCTTCCCCCGCCGTCCCCCCACCCGTCCCTGGACAGCTTCCTCAGATCCCACAACCTCTCTCTCCAACCACACCCTGCCAAGCGGCGCATCCTAGTTACATCCGTCTTCATACCAGCTGGAACAATTCTGTTTACATCGAACGCAATTGGCACAGTGGTCCTTGACCCGACAGCCTGCCATTACTGTCTGATTCGCAGTGATCAGCTCAGCACGCCACTAACAAGGTGCTCGTCATGCAAGCGGGCAACATACTGTGGTAAAAAGTGCCAAAAAGAGGACTGGGATGCGGGACACGCAACGCTCTGCAAAATATGGAAGCAGAGAGGGAACGGCGGGGAGAGCGGCGACTGGGACAAAGATGAGGAAATGCTGGTTAAAGTCTTGTCTTCGTTAAAAAAAGGAGTGGATACAGTGGGTATCGAGGCTTTCTTATCGCTACAAGGCCACGAAGAAGTGCTTAACGAGATTGACAAGTCAGAATGGGCCAAGATAATTCAAGGCGTACTGAAATTTCCCAAGATGCCGGCATCTACAACTTCCCAAGACCTCTTCTCCCACCTGCTCCGATTCCGCTCCAACAATTTTTCCATTCACGACGGCGAACTCTTTGTCATCGGCGAAGGGACATTTCCACTCGGTGCTCTCTTGAACCATTCGTGTCATCCAAACTGTTCGGTACTGTATGAAGGCCGTGAGCAGGTTGTTCGCACGATTCGGGACGTGCATGCCGGAGAGGAGCTTCTGGGCACCTATGTTGACGGAATGGGAGAGCGAGGAGAACGACAACAAACACTCTGGAGCAAATATGGATTTGAATGTGATTGTGAAAGGTGTGCTCAAGGCGGAGTGGATGCGCTGTTGGGTGTGGAGGGACCGATGAGCGTGAGTGAAGAAAAGGCTGTAGGCGAGTGGTTGGAAGTGGAGTTGAGGAAACCTATTACGGGGCTTCTAGAGTCCCTTTATCCCGTGTTTTTCCCTGCCAATGGTGGCCAACTTGCCACGCCGATGATCCCTACGACACTGAACACACTTGACACATTTATCCTTACTGTATTCTCTCACGTCCCTCCATCTTTGGCCTCGTCTCCAGAGGAGATATGGAATAGCCGTCACGCCTCGCTTCTCCAAATGATCCAAAGCCTTCCGGACCCTTCCCCCCTGCCCCGTCTTCATACCCGCCGCCTTTTCACGCATGTGTCACGGCATCTTCACACCCATCTCCACAGCCCCGAACCCTCAGCCCGCCTTGCGCTCTACGTTTTGTGCATGTACATCATCTCATACGAGCGGTTTCATCCCATGATCGGTGTGCAATTTGTGCTGGCTGCCAAGTTGTGCTGGAACGAAGGTGGAGAAAGCGGTAAGACGGGGGTAGTGATAAAGGAACTGTGTCGCTGTGCTGCGCGAGTTGTAAAGTGTACGCATGGGAACGTGGGGGGTGTCTTGAAGGATATTGAAGAGGTTTTAAAGATTGTGGAGGGCGCTGTATCTAACAATGAGCCACTTGTCGGGATGTAGCTTGTGTTTAAATATATTTTACAACGGATTTATTTTGTGTAAGTCATTAACAACGTCCGTTACACCTACAAATGCTTCAAAATTCTTGTCCTGCCGGTCGGGACGCTGGTCGGGAAGTTGGATGGGACGCAAGTCTGGACGCTGGTCGCGATGCTGGTCGGGACGTTGATCGCTTTTCATTGTCCTCCTCGCTCGTGCTTCCGGTGGCAGTGGCGGATTCGATCGTAGGGAGTTGACTATGAATAGCTGCGTGCGCTGCTTGCAGGTATTTTCTTTGATCGTTTTTCACTGATTGTTATGTGTCAATTAGAAGCAAATTGGGACAAGAACAGCGGGATAAGTAACAAACCTCGATTTCTCAATGTCTGTCTCTCCACCTCTGGAATCAAGAATGAGCTCACGAGGTCCCTAACAATCCTCCTATCCGTCTCCTCTTGACTAACTCCACTCCTCTCCATTCCCCATACAACCTCTCCCACACGCTCCGCATACTCTCTAACCGCCCGCCGACTCTCCAGGCTAGCACATCTCTCCACACTTCCACAAATAACATTCTCCAAGAACGAGTCAACAGTCTCCTGGTGAACCTGCATGACCTGTCGGAAAATCTCATCTTCAATCATACGCCGGTGAATTTCGGCCTGACGCTTTCCGCTTTCCTCTGCTTCTCGCATACGACGGGTGCGGAGGGCTAGACGGACCAAGGCTGAAATGCGCTGGGACTCACGGAGACGGACGAGTTCGTCGGTTAGGTACTGGAGGGTAGCGGCAGTATAAGGAGCTTGAAGGGTTGTTTCGACGAGCATTGGTAAAGTCGGGCGAATCGGCGCTTGCATGTCTTCGACGGGTGTGTAAACAATTTCTTCATCGGCTTCATCGACTAGGTCTTCTCCAGCACCTCCACGAGCACTACCAACGCTCCGTTCACGAACGACCTGATCTTGGCGTTCCAATGCCTTTTCGACCGCTTCGGAGAGTGACGCACCGCCTTCGAGGGCCTGAAATGCTGCAGCATCACCTGCCGCTGTGGCGATTTGAGGAACCGGGGCTTCAGGGTGTGTGAGTAGTGAATCAAAGGTGGCTCGGGCGACAGCGGCGGAAACTGGACGGGTGGATATGCGAGTTGTAGTTGCCGTACGTGGGGGAGAGGTGGCGAGACGGATGCTTTGGCGGGTACGCAGCTCGTTGATGAGGTTGAGACGGCGCTCCTTGCCTATTTTGGTTTTTGGGTATGAAGTTAGTATTCGTTACCTTCATCCCATGTCTCGTGTTCATTATACCTACCTTGGTACATCATGTTCTGCACCAATCGTCCTCGAATCAGCTTTTGCAACAAAATAGCTGCGACATCCAACTCCTCATCTTCCATACTTCTGTATCCCCAAAAGAAACTCATCAGCATAATCCAGACAAGAGCAATACTCTCATTACGTACGGATTGTCGATATGAGGAGTTGGAGGCCTTATAGGCGGCTTTTCAATCCTCTGCGCAAAGCGCAATGGTTTCTCCTCTTGTTGCGATAATGCTTTCCGCTCTTTGAGTCTCTGATCCATGAGAGCGAGTTGATTTTGCATGTGGAGGTCCTAATTGAATGGAATGAGCCAATGTGTTTCTCGTATGGCAATATGCCGTGCTTATAGTCGCTTACCCGTCGAGCAGAGAGACTTCTCTTGTGGACCGCCGATTTCGTCGGGATGGAGAAATCGGGGCGAAGGTATTTAGGAGGTAGACTCTCTTCTAGTTCTTGGATGCCTAATAGCATCCAGTTAACCAAAATGGAACTCCTTCACATGCCTCAAAAATAAGGACATACCATGATAATCCTCGAAATCATCCACCCGAACGTGCACAGCAGCCGATGGTTTGTCATAAAACACACCGTCGCGGGCTTTGGGTGCGTAGACTGCAGACCCGTAATTGGCGTAATCGGTAATGATATCTCGTCGATGGATTTTCGGCTCGACCTTGTTGCGCGTGTCCGTTAGTTTCCGGAGTGCTACGAGAGAGTCGATCCTTGTCAGCCACTGCACCCTACAAGAGTCAAGTACAAAAAACGAACCTTTCACCCTTTTTCTCTGAATCCTCTCTAGAGCCGCATCCCTCTCCATCAACTTCTTCTCCCAAACTCGATGCACACGCTCATTGTTGATCTTTTCATTTTCTAGTTCGCGATTTTCAATCACTTTAGTCAAGATCTCCAATCGAGCCTCTTGGATCCGTTTAATTTCCTCTTCGCGCTCTCGCCATTCAGCCAATTCCATTTCCTCCATCATGCGAAGGCGCTTTTCAAACGATTCTTGGTCTATCACGGGGGGTAAGGCGGCTTCCCAAGCTCGTTTCGCCCGAGCTCTTTCAATCATTTCAAGTTCCGTTTGAGTAACGGGGAGGCCGGCGCCGTAGGTAAGTGTTGCGAGGGCCAGGAGCTCGGGGGGTGTGGGGCCCGCGGTTGTGTATTCTGGAGAGTATGGATCTGTTTGTGCTTCAGATTCGCGGTAGGTGGTTTGAATCCCAACCGTTTTTGTCGGGGGTGTTACAGGGCGGGTTTGATGTTGAGCTCCTGCTGTTTGAGCGAGCATATTGGGACGTCTGGCATAAACAATTTGGGTGCCGAGACTGGGCATGTAGGGTATGATGGGTCGCTTAAAGTACTGGTACCGATTCGCACCGGTTACATCAGGGTTGGGTGGGTTGTAGGCACGCCGGTCTTGGCCTACGTGAGGAGGTAGCGGATGTGTGCGGAGGGAATAGGCTGCGGATGGGTGATGTGGGAGTGAGGAGAACATGTTGGTGAAGGACGGATGAATGAGCTTTGAATACGAATACATGTCAGTTTGTAGTTGCATATGCGTGCGGCTCAACAAGCAGAGAAAGTCGGGCAACCATACCACATCATGAGTCTGCGCCTTCATCATGGCCTTTACATGATCCTTCCTTCCCGCAACGGTGTGATTCGTATCTGTTCAAGGGTGAGATAACTATAATGTCGTTTCATACGCAAAGAATCTACTTCGTACGTACCATACACATAGTCGTGCGCACGATTTGGCATCACCCGAGTCTGCACCATCGTCTGGGACGCCATTTTGCGCAAATTCTTCTCAGTATTCCGCTTTGTTGCTGTTTGAATGCTGCCAGATCATTGCCCAAGGTATTAGCTGGCAGCCAGTAGGGTAAGACCCGTAACCAACGCATACCACGACAAGGTTGACCGTCTTAATACCAGAAAATCGTCGTCCACACAGATGCACTACACTTTTCATTTCACACCAACCTCCCTTACATAAATAGAAAATCCTCCGATATCCGACATGTTCGCCCTCAGGAAAGATCGAGCGGGACTAGTCGCTTACCAAATGAATGTGGCGCAGGTTCACGTGGCTATTTTGTTTTGACGAAGTTGCTCTCCGATCTTCCCTGCTGGTATTTTGACTTTGAGACTTGGTCATTTGGCATTGTGCAAATTTCAACAATGTCGCTTATGGAGGTTGACTCGCGCTTGGACAAGGATAACAACCTGAGTGACCCAAATGTCGTCACAAAATACCGGACAGCCGCAGATATTGCCAATAGTGTCATGCGACAAGTAGTAGTTGCATGTCAGGCGGGAAGGCGAGTAGTTGACTTGTGTCGTCTGGGCGATTCATTAATCTCTGAAGCAGTAAGTATGACCTTGAGATCATTCCTTTGGTATGCATCTCTAATTATTTCTCATGTTTCCCCTGTACGCATAGACTGGCAAGATATTTAAAAAGGGGAACTTGGAGCGTGGTATTGCATACCCAACTTGCGTGTGTTTAAACGAGGTAGTCCAAAATTTTTCTGCTCTGGAGGATGATGGAACAGTTTTGAAGGATGGTGATGTCGTCAAAATGTGAGTATATCAAACGGAAAAGTGTGCTTTGCGTTCTCGCTGGCTCTGACTGGAGATTTTACTCGATCACAGCAATCTGGGTGTTCACATTGATGGGTATATCTCGTCGCTCGCACACACGACCGTTATCAATCCTACTCCCCAACAACCTGTCACAGGGCGATCAGCCGACGTGGTGTGCGCTGCATACTACGCTGCCCAAGTCGCCCTCCGTCTTCTTCGCCCCGGTACCACCAGCTCAGACATTACAACAGCCATCTCCCGCGTCGCTTCCGCATTTAACTGCTCGCCAGTAGCAGGAACGTCCTCTCACCAAATCAAAAGGTTCATTCTCGAAGCCGGACAAGAGATCCCAAATGCAATTGATGACGAGACTCAGGCGGAAGAGTTTGAAATCACCGAGGGCGAAGCCTATACCATCGACGTTGTCCTCTCTACTAGCGCCGGATCGTACCGTGAGCCGGATCCGCGCCCTCTTGTCCTCCAACGGGACGTCAACACCACTTATGCTCTTAAACTTAAGTCCTCCCGAGCAGCCTACAGCGAATCGGCTAAACGATACGGCGTGTTTCCTTTTGCCACTCGCGAATTGTTTGGCGTGGATCCTAAATTCAGACTGGGCGTACAGGAATGCGTTGCTCACGGCGTATTGAGACCTAGGCTAGTGGGTGTTGTGGGGGGAAGTGAAAGAGTAGCCAGATTTGCCTTTACCGTTTTGGTCATGAGTTCTGGGCCCTTGACTATTACGGCTGGAGATTTGCCCATGCCGTATGTACACTCTGATTTTTCAGTGGACACTGCTGGGTATAAGGATGTATTGGAAGGCAAGGCGAGAACAGTCAAGACCAAGGCGTTGGCTATAACAGAGGTGCGTATTCATCGAGCCTTGAGTGAGGTGTAGTGCAAAGTCTGATTCTCGTTTTTTTTTTTCCATGTATAGCCGGGGCCTCAAGCGATGGATATGTAGATTACACACCCTTGCATTTGTTTTCCGTACACTTGTATATAGAAATCTTGTCACTAATATAGAAGGGTCTCCATGTTGGTTTTTGAAACAGCAACATTTTGTTGATGTCATGCCTTTGTCAACCAAAGGCGCCATATGCAAACACACATACGCAACAACGATACAAAACGCTGCCGATGGCCTCCATTGGACAAAACAAAAGCGCCTGTAGAAGGAAGAAGAGGTAGTTATAAACAAAAAGTTGGAGGTGTTCCAAAAACGCGCGTGTTTCCAAAACGCTTTTTTCGCCATAAGTCGCCCGTTCGAGGAAAAACTCATCCAAAACGGACGAGAGCAAGTTTTCTTTAAGTGGCGGAGTCTGCTGGTTTCGTCTGCTTTTAAAAGGTGGTTTTTAGAAGGACATGACGTTTTGTTGTTTTTTGCAATTAGAGTTAGATCTCACACAATGCTGTCGTCCATCCGCCAGCAATTTAGAACACTAGGCAAACGTGTCAATGCTTTACCCCCCCGCACGCGGTTATACCTCCACATTTCGTTCATAATATGCATTGTTCTCATTGTACTGGCGATAATTCTGGCGGTGGTACTGTCCAAGCGGAATAAAGGTGGAGATGATAATGTATATGTGACTGGCATTTGGCCTGCTGCGAGAAATGGCAAGGTGGAAAGCGGGCCCGGAATCGCATTTGACTACTTGGAGCTTAGGTTTGGCCATCTTTTAAGTGTTGTTTTGGTCAAGGTTTACTTTGCTAAAGTGTTTTCCTGAACAGCGTACCGCCAGCCGTATACTCTGCTTCACCATGTGCCGGCGCACTTTTGGACGGCGCTTTGACGAGACTCGCCACCCGCATCACAAACCTTACTGGCACAAACATTCGTGAGCCATCTCGGAAAACGTCCGTGCTCACTCTTTCCATAGTGATCAATAACCCTCAGTCCTGCGACTGGACACTGTCGACAGACGAATCCTATTCCATCAATGTAAATAACGTCACACGACAAGCATCCATCACATCCCAAACGGTACTAGGAACTCTCCGAGGCTTCACCACACTCACGCAACTCACGACATCCTGCCCTCCTGCTACTCCCACGTCACCGAAACCCACAAATACAGTCTGCGTCCCAGCACTTGATCTCTCCGACTCTCCATCTTACCCTCACCGCGGCCTGCTCTTGGATACTGGCCGAATGTTTATTCCCGTCGCACAGATCCTGCGACACTTGGACGCAATGGAACTAGTCAAGCTCAATACGTTCCATTGGCATATCATTGATGCCCAAAGTGTGCCTATTGCCTTTGACAGAATGGCGGATGGTACAGGCGCATTTAACGGAACGGATGGAAAGCCATTGATCTATTCTGAAGCCGACATCAAGCAGATCGTTCAGACCGCTTATGAGAGGGGCATTCGTGTTGTCCCAGAGTTTGATTTTCCGGGGCACGCTGATGTACGTTACTTTTCTGTTCATTTTGGGACAGCCTTGTAATAATCTCTGCTTTTTTTTGCAGGTCTGGGCAAGAGCCTACCCGGAAATTATGACTTGCAATCCAGACCCAACCGGCCGGAAACCTTCGGGGCAACTCAATCCCTTTGCTCCACAGACCTACACCACACTGTCCTCCTTTTTCGAGCGTATTGCTCCCCTGTTCACATATACAGATACGATTCACTTGGGAATGGATGAAGTTCATTGCGAATGCTGGGGAGACGCTCCTGGTGCACCAAAACCGTATGATTGTAAATCAGCCTATTCCAAAATTGGAGGATTTCTTCAATCCAAAGCGAAATCGTACGCAAAAAATACAATGGTGTGGGCAGACCCTGTGGTGGATTATAGTCTGCAGGGGACAGATGCGGTGCCGAAACAGACGATTGTGCAGGTTTGGAAAGAGGAAGGGGATGTCAAAAAGGTGTTGGATGCGGGGCAAGATTTGAGGGTGGTAGTCAGTTTGATGACACCTTGGTATTTTGATTGTGGGTGAGTGCGGGTTCTTTATGGTTCTTTACCGGGTCAAATCGTTATTTTGCAATTTAACTGACATGCTGGTTCTCAGAAAATACTGCAATAAGACCTCCCCCCTGACACCAATGTACATGATTGCCAATGCGAAATTTCCCACCGACTCTAGGGTCATTGGGGGAGAAGCAGTCCTCTTTTCCGAGGACATTGCGACAGGGTCTCCTTCCGTGGTCGAACAAATCATTTGGCCCCGTGCTGCCGCTGTCGGTGAAAGTTTGTGGTCCAATCCTCGCAAGGATCAGTTGGTAACGTACGAGCGTGTCCAGCGGGTTAGAGCACTTTTGGACTGCGCTGGCATCGTGAGCGCAACCGCAGATGAAGTCTGGACTTGAACACTTCTGGCATATATACCATATAGAGTACAAACTCTATTTTGCAAGATATTCATTGAGAAATATATTTCTTAAAGGTTCCGTTTTTACATGTCAGTTTCCATTGGTGTGGCACCTTCATCCGCTTGTGCCGGAGCACCCCCTCCACCAGCTCCCGTATCGGCTTCAGAGAGAAGATCCAGGTACCTAGAACACAGAAACGCACCATCACCCGTAAGTACCGTTCTGGGTGTTTGACAACAAAAGCAAAGTAGATTACCTCTGAAGACCCTCTCCCTCGACGGTATGGTACTTGATACCCTTCCCCACAATCCCAATGGAACAGTTGTTGATATTCAGCTCCTTGTCCTGCTGTAGTGTGTCCCGCAGGGCACGCAGACCGTGTACTACAAGGTCATCAACAGAAGCTATACAGGACCAAATGTCAGCTCATTTCAGGTGGAAAAGAACCGAAACTGGATCATACCATCGGCAAATGCCTCGTAATGCTTCTCCAGATACGTTTTAGCAGATTGGGACCGTGAGCCGATGGAAATGGCAAAGTAATCGAAGAAATTGCCAGATGGTGCGCATTCAAAAAGGTGTGGTCCGGCATCCTTTGATGAACGGGAGGGGTCACGTTAGTGCAAGTCGCAAGAATGTTTTAAAGATTGCTACATACGTCATAACCCGCTACCAACAATCCAACCCCGTATGGTCGACGACCGTATCGTTGGGTGTTGACTTGGGCCTCTGCAGTACACCGAGGTAAGTGTCCAAGTTCACTTTCTATAATGGATAAAGGACGTACTGTCTCCAATTGCAGACACGATGCGAAAGACCGGTAGCGGTCGGTCATACAAGAGTTTTGACTTCATCGCCTCCGCGCGCATGAATGTGCTATTTAGTCATTCGTAAGTGACTGTACAAGATGAGCACTGTAGCAGAACCACAAACCTCAGCACCCTCGCATCAGATGTCAGTCCCGCAATAGCAATCCCCATATGGTCGTCAATTCGAATCAATTTCTTTTGGTACGATGCGAGCTCCCCTGGTGAGCGCTACAACAAAAGAACCATAAAACGGTTGAGAACATGCTCCATTTGCTCAATTAACCACCAGCCAAATCTTTGCTCGCAGCTACCTTCAAAGCCAAAATCACCACGTGTGTATTCGACCGCAACCCAACGCATGCCGAACCTTGTTTGACCGCTTCCATGGCATACTCGACTTGGTGCAATCGGCCCTGCAGACATGTCATTGCTGTCAGCCATGTGATGGGGGACGAGTCCAATCCACCTGCACCCATTACTATACACATACCTGAGGGGACCAGATTGTAATATCGTTATCGTATCTGACAATGGTCGTCGAGGTGAGTGTCAACACCTCCTTCTTTTCAACGATGAGTTACTCACTGGTTACGGAACATTATGCGAAACCGGATGAGCGTAAAAGACTCGATAAAGAACTGAACGTTGACTTGTCAGAGCAGCCGTACGAATACACCGCCTCGTTCCCTCCTCGCCTTGGTTGATGATGGCAATTTGTTTTGGGCGATCGCGGTCCTCCAAAAAGCTTCCCGTCCTAAAGACGCGTCATCTCAAAACCGGCTTCCACCAAGGCCGTGGGTCACGTGCATCCAAGAGTCGCGTCTTACGTTTGCCAACTCTCCGCTTTTTGTTTTCTTCAAGATCTTGCGCATTTAAGCATCTTTTGCTTTGTCTTTTCTAAATTTTGGTCATTTCATAATGGCAGATCCCAAAGAGCTGAAGCTTATTGTGACTGCACTTGCATCGCCACCGTTCTCCCGCACCTACAGCGCTATCCAACTCCACGATGAGCTCCCCATCCTACAACTCCTTCAACTTGTCAGCGATGTCATGGCTGCTATTGATGAAGGCAATCCACAGAGTCTACACAGGGGCGTTGATATGCGGAACGAGGATCCACAGGACAGCGTGGCAAGAATCAGCGGGTTTTTGCAGTTGTTGAAATGGAAAGATGCTGGTGATGTGTAGGTAGTGCATATTTGCTGTGCAACTCTTGTCTTTGTTGCGGGCTTTAAAGATAATTGCCAACCTTTTTGTCACCATCTCTAGGGATACCTTGAGCCAGAAGCTTACAGAGGGACATCGGCCCACCATCCTACGAGCGTTACATTTTCTACTAAAAGATTTCAATATCCACAAGAAGCGAGCCTATCTCGCGCCATTCCTTGCTTCTGTGGATGTGCCTGCAGAGTTTAGCATGGACGAAGGTACAATTCAACTTGTACACCTCTAATCGTAGCACACGTCCGTATGAGTTTTGACATGTGTGTTGGATCTTAGTGACCGCGGATTTGATGCGCCACGTGGAAGATCTCCAAGAGCAGTTTAAAGACATACACAAAGCTGTGGACGGGATTCGCGGGTCAGGTATGATCTTTGGTAGGTGAAACTCACACCCAGTCATATATTGAACGGCAGAACGGCGTACAGGAACGAATGCTGCTGTACTGAAGAAAGAAATTCAGCAACTGGAAGATGAAAAGCAGCAAGTCCTGAGCAGAATTTCAAAAATTCGAAAGAGGGTGGAGGAAATTGTAAGCTTTGTGTGGTATATTAAGATGGTTCGTGGCTAACCAACCGGATCGCTACGATTAGCCATACCACGAACAATGGTTGGAAGCAGCCAAAAATCTTCGAACCGAACAGCAAAATGAGGCTCTTATTGCCGAACGGTAAATATTCTATCTTGCTTACAATGGGAGGACCTTCCGCTAACGGTATGTCAACCAGAATAAAAGAACAACGAAATCAAATTCATCAAGTCGAAAACAAGTATAATACGGCATTGCAGGCACTCAAGGACATTCGTGTGAGTACCAATTCACAGGAATCTTTCTGATACATGCTGACTGCTACTCCACATCCTTTAGTCAGCAGCAGCAAATGCTAGCCCAGATCTCCTTTTTTCTAAAATGGAAGAAGACAATAAAATGAATAAATATCTGGCAACGGAAAATCTGCCAAAGGTAGGCCTTGAGCTTGTTTTTCTTCAAAAGTCATGATTTGTTTCTCCTCATCCCAATTATCTCAGCAACTTCAAGATGCAAAACAGCACATTCAACAGCTCAAAAAAGTCCTCTCAGAACCCGCTGTCAGCGAGCGGGATCTCACTGAGCATGAGAAAGAGATCAAGCAGTTGAACGAAGACATTGCAAAACTTGCCGAGAAGCGATTGGCGAAAACAACGTAATTACACTTCACAGATCCTTCAAAGGGTGTGATTAGGACTGACGGTCCAACACTCTTTAGTAAAGGCGACGATAAATTAGGCTTGTTCCGACAGCAAGCTGCCATCATTGCCCGTAAAAAGGAAGGCACCGCTGCGCGACTTGCTGCTATCAACGAAGAAATCAACACCCTCGCAGCTGAGCTCGCAAAGAAAAAGGAGGTGGAAAAGGCCCAAGGTGCAAAGGTAGACATATTTCTACACGTGTTGTCGTTTCTGTGGAAGTTTAATACATTGTTTACCCTGGTGGCATCAGATGCCCAAAGGAGAGGAATTCAAACGCTACGTAAGTGAGCTTCGCGCAAAGTCCACTATATACAAAAAGAAAAAGGCAGAACTATCTGCCATCACGGCCGAGTTTGGTATACTTCAACGAACAGAAGAGGTATGGTGGAAATTGGACGGAATACCGCCATTTGAACTGACAAGCTAACTCCCCCTAGATCTTAACCTCCCGCCAGAAAACAATGGAAGACTCACTAACTGCCTTGGAAAAGCGACATGGCGTCGCTGGATTTCACATCGCACAAGAAACTCTGGAAAAGGTTCATTCATCTGCCTCCTAGTGCGCTGTTTTTAAAAAACTGAACATATCACTTAGGTCTCTGAACGGAAAGCAGAAATCGATGAGGTCAAAGGCAGAACCCTTGAAGAAATTTCTGGAATCATTCAAAAGCTCACAAACAACATCAACGAGAAGAAAAGCTTTCTGGCACCGATTATACAAGAGTTGCGGACCATGCGAAGCCAAGTACAGGAACTAGAGACTGAGTACGGTGAGAAGAAACGGCTTTACGATGCGACAATGGTCGGGTTGGATAGGTACTGTGAGCAAATGGAACATACTTGTTGCTTCACGTTGCTCAGTCGGTCTTTATACGCACAGCGAAGCTGTCCAGCTTGAACAGGAAGTAAAACTTTACCGGCAAGACATCCTCAACGATCAAAGCAGGTACCACTACCTCAACATGCAAATTGGCCTGGCGGATATTACAAATGAGCGAAGTAAGCGCAAACAAAGACGTATAATTTCCGATAAAGTCTTCTGACAGGCACATTACTCTTTTTTTTAACACAACAATGATACCAGTCATGCAAGAAATGAAGGCATACATAGGCGGCGATGAGGCGGTAGAACAAGCCCAAAAGGCACGCGGATTCAAAACGTACCGGGAACTATACACGAGAAAATTGTCCGAGCAGGAGAATCTAGGGAAATCTTTAAGGGAGCAACAAAAGGAAGTCAAGGTAACCACAGATAACTATAGCCCCAGAGTGTGCCCAAGCTAATCATGATGGTTTCGAAAGGCGAAATACGAACCAAATGTGAAACAACTTGCAATGTTCCAAGATGTTAAAAAACTACTAGCTTTGAAAGCTGCACAGAATGCAGCCATGTTAAAGGGAGACCGTAGAAAGGAGGAGAAAGTGGGTCAGGTAGGGACACGTAGCTGAGGGTTTTGCAGGTTCCTGGCTGATAATGTTCGTTTGTTTTCTAGGTTACAAAAGATCGATTGGTTCTTTGAACCTTCTCGAGCATGGTTGATTAGAGGAGCCTTATTTTGTATATATACATACTTTAGGAGCAAAAAAGTAAACTGTCAAAAGCAAACGATATATTGTAACATTCAATAATGGCATTATAGAGGCGGTCCAATCGGTTGCCCCTCCATGGCTTAACCCTTGCATGGGACAAACCGACGTTATTATTTTAAATACCTCAACTTGCTCAACTGGGATGGGGGCTTTGGCATCGACAAACACGCGAAAGATACGCGCTTCGTCCTGCTTAGGTACGCCAACCCTGGAGGTGAGTCAGTAGGTGCTCGAGGGCGAGCAAATGAGCAACGGCAAGTATGGACATCGTGGCATGAACCGTGAAGATAACTGTCGCAGTAGGGTGCGCAGTCAGGAGTTTCGTTAAGCGGTCTACCGACTCGAATGGTCAGAACAAGAAGCATATGCTGTGTCGCTCGCGTTCTGGTGACGACGTCTGAACGAGTAAAACTATGCCGACGATTGGACGAACGAGCCTCAAGACATGGACTCGTTGTCCTTAAGCGGGTGTGTCAAAACTATCCTCTACTGTACGAACGGTTTCCCCGGCAATCACGCGCGAACAACCCAAAATGCGAGCATCCTTTCAGTGCCATGTCCCACTAGTATCGGTTACCTTGTAGATAAGAATAGGTTGCTCAGTGGAATAAAGCCTCGGACAGGACGGAGTGTATCCAGGTATGAACCATGGTACAATGCTAGTAACTTTAAGTAGCGCAGATGTAACGGGGGCTTTAAATCGAAGTTTGCCCCGTATGGTTCTCTTGAGAGATCATCTCTTTAGTTCGGTTGCGGGTCTCTCTTTGTCGCTTTGTCATTATCAGGTTAGTGAGAATAAGTAGGGAAGAGACTAGCTCCAGTGAGTTGGTACTGTATGCGCTGTTAATTTTGGATGCTGATTCCCCTTTCTGATTCCCGTTAATTAGGCAAGCGGGGCCGCCCTGAAGACGTTTTGATATGGATGGGAATGGGTAACGGTCCTGGCAGGGGTTGCAAAGAAGCTTGAGCACATCAATGCAAAGCACGAGTCGCACACAACGAACGACATCCGGTCAGCATGGTACGTTATCGAAATTAGACCACTCCTTGAAATCAGTCTCCTTCAACTGTCCTTTTGTTCCTTTGATTAGGACCTTGGATATCCTGGATCTTTCGGTTGCTGAATTGCGGAATACCTGATCAGCCCACGATTATGCAGAGTTTGCCTGGTACTGACATTTGCTGATCCTTGCATTTTACCTGGACATGAGGGGTTATTGGAAAGCCTGTTTATGGAATGAATACACATCCAACCACCCATCCTTGGGGGATATTTCCACCTTTCCAAGTTCCGATTCATTTGCATTATCCCTGAATGCTTCCCTTTTCTCCCAATACCGAGATCACAACAATAATAATAATAATCACCGCGCGGGTTGTTTTTGCCCTTGTCCTGGCCGTTCGGACATGAAACTCGCTTCCTGGACAAGAGCACGTGAGGGATAACACGACGACGACAACGCAAGTCGTTTTGGGGCCATTTCACAGTCCAAGGCAGTAGGGAATGCCACCATTTTCAATCGTCAACTTTTATCGCGGATAGATTGCTGGAAATAACATTGTGCTCCTTACCCGACCCTTCCCTTGGCGGCCAAACAGTGGGCACCTGTACATATATTCGTTGCCCCTTTTTAACTATATACCCCGCCGGCCCTCTGCTGGCCTCGTCCCATTAGCACATTGAACACCCGACAAAGGTAGGGTAGAGAAATTCAAGACACGACAAGATGTACAGGATTTTCTTCTCGCCTTCTTTTGTTGGGGAAGGCGTTTGTGCTTTAGCCTAGTCAATTTTAGCGATCTTTGGACATTTTTCATTGCACACTTGTCGAAATTGGCCGTCGGAGTTTCCTGGCTTTGAAATAGCAGGAGGATAACTGTCGGAGTTTGCAAACCTATTTTAAGCTGGCTGGCTCTGGACGTCCGTACTCTCCCATTCTTCGGTCATCTCATCTTTCTCCCTTTAAAGATGGCGAGTTCCGAAGAAGATTTCAGCTCACTCCCCTTGACGGAACGTCTTACACACAAGGTGGGAAACCCAAGAGCAGTGTGTTTGTTGCCCATGTATTGAATAGTATGTCACTTTTACTCGTATGCAGTCGTGGAAAGCACGACAGGGCGCATACGATGAGCTAGCCAAGATTTTCAACACATTGGACCCAGACGCCGACAACGAATATCGCAAATGGCAGGAATATCTAAAGAAGATGGTATCGGATAGCAATTTGGTTGCACAGGAATCAGGATTGAATGCGATTTTAGCATATGTGACAAACGCACCGTCAGCAAACAAGTAAGTCTGTGATAAACAACTAAACCGTTGCATTTACTCATCCAGTTCGGGACTTGCTTTATTGGTGTGGTTTACGCTAGGACTCGAAGTGTGCTTGCACCCATGGTAGTAGACAAGTGCCTCGGCTCCAACAGGGCCGGTACAAAAACAAAGGCCCTAGACGTTCTCATGATGTACATTGAAATTGATGTCGCAGATCCGGTCATTGTGAGTAGGATACCAATTTCGTAACATAATTGCAGCATTTGATGTTCTTGTACCTGGCTTGTAGGAGGACATCATTTCTGGATTGAACCATAAAACACCAAAGAATGTCGCTGCAGCGGTGTTCGCTCTACGAGAAGCTGTCAGATTATTTGGCGCACGTATTGTAAATGTCAAGCCCATACTCAAGCAGCTACCCAAAATTTTTGATCACAAAGACAAGACCGTGCGGTCGGAAGGAACAGCGTTGGCTATCGAACTGTATAGATGGTTAGGGTCAGCTATCACCAGCTCACTGAATGACCTGAAGCCGGTGCAAATTAAGGAGCTACATGATCAATTCGATAAGCTACCACAAGAGAGAGCGACACCAGAACGTCTCATCAGGTCGGAGCAGGCAAAAGTTCAAGCACAGGGCCCTGCTGCTGATGGAGATGAGGGGGCAGGCGAGAATATAAATGGCGTAGATGATACGCCCGAGCCATTGGATGCCTACGATCTCGCAGATCCCGTCAACATTCTCGACAAGCTACCAAAGAACTTTTACGAACAGCTTGCTTCTACCAAGTGGAAGGAACGAAAAGAAATTCTGGAAAATCTGCTCGAAATCGCCAAAGCCCCCAAATTGGAAGACGGAAAGTACGGCGAGCTTATTAACGCTCTAGGAAAGCGGATCAATGATGCAAACCTATTCGTGGTCATTGCCTCGGCGAATTGCATCGAAGCTATTGCGAAGGGCTTACGGAACCACTTTGCGCAGTATAGATCTTTGGTGATACATCCCTTGATTGAGAAATTTAAGGAAAAGAAGCAAAATGTTGTGGAGGCGCTGCGAGGAGCATTGGATGCAATCTATTTATCTGTTACCATCAATGAGGTTGTTGAGGAGATCAATGGAAGTGCTTTTCACAAGAATCCTCAAGTTAGAAGCGAAACATTACATTGGCTGATTCGATGTCTGAAGACCACCCGAAAGCTTCCCGGAAAGCCAGAGATCAAGTCGTTGAGCGAAATGCTAGTCAAGTCTTTGGAAGATAGTGTGGACACGGTGCGAGAGGCGGCTGCTGAAGCGTTAGGAACACTGATGAAAGTTGTCAGTGAGCGGGTATTGGCAGGACATCTGGATAAGTTGGATAATATCAAGCAGACCAAAGTCAAGGAGTATTTTGAGAAAGCTGAAGTAAAGTTAGCGGGTGGAACGGGAACAAGAAAAGCGACAACAGCTGCAGCTCCGCCAAGAAGGGCAGAGACGTTACCGGCTAAACCTCGGGTGAGTATTTGGCGTATGTAGTATCTAGCCTCTGTTTTGGTTGGTGCCTGACTGGTTAGTGCCTCTTGATTCAGAAACCAAAAATGACGTCTAACTCTCTGGATGCCCAGGAGAAAGAGAATCATGCACCAAGTTCTACGACGGCGACAAGAGCACGACCACCGACCACTATCGCAAAGCCCACGACTAAAGCTTCTGTGGTAGGTATTTGTGTTGTGGACATGGACCTTTTCGGCAATGACTGAAACCTTTCGTCCATAGAATGGAACTCTGAAAAGAGCGCAGACCGCAGGCCCAGCCTTGGCAAAGGCCCCGGCCGCAAAGAAGCCTGCCTCAAGAGAGGACGAGCCCATTGTTTCAAAGTACACCAACGAATCTGCAGATGCAGTTGTGTGTGACCTGGTAGGGGAGGAGGTAATGCAGCAGCTTGGGGATAGCGCATGGAAAGTGAGGCTTGGAGCCGCGCTATCCATGCTGGAGAAGCTTCAGCAACAACCGAAAGAGACTGTTGAAGCAGAAGCGGTAGTGAGATCGCTGACCAACAAGCCGGGATGGAAAGAAAGCAACTTTCAAGTAATGACAAACGTGCTTAACATTTTCCAGTATTTGGCAAAGGAAGTTCCCAGCTTCAATCGAGCAGCTGGCGCTGCCGTTGTACCTGGACTGGCAGACAAGCTTGGCGACATGAAAGTCAAAAGAAGCGCCGGTGACTGCCTTACTACGATTGCTGAAAAACTATCACTACAATTTGTCCTCAGTCAAGCGTATGATTCGATGAAGAAACAAAAAAGTCCGAAAGTCCTAGCAGACTCTTTGATGTGGATTCAACAGACTCTTCTCGATTTCGGAACGGGGGGTCTTCAGTTGCGAGAATTCATCGAGTTTCTGAAGTTCGCATTGGCAAATACGAATTCAGCTGTACGCAACAATGCAGTTACCGTTTTGGGTACTCTAAGGATGTTCACTGGGCCAGAGATCCGTACATTTGTCCAAGATCTAAATCCTCAACTCTTGGCAACTATTGACTCTGAATTTGAAAAAGCAGCCGCCAAAGCACCTCCACAGCCGACAAAAGAGCAGCAATTGGACGAGACCGCCGCGAGTGCAGATCCTACCGATGATTTGTTCCCTCGGGTTGACATTAGCGGCCAAATCACTGGGAAGCTGATCGACGATATGGGCAACGCACAATGGAAAGTCCGGAAAGAGGCACTGGACGACCTTGTGCGCATCTTGGAAGCGGCTAACAAGCGAATCCAGCCAAACTTTGGAAGCGAGTTGATTCCAGCATTGAAGGCTCGTTTGAGCGACAGCAACAAAAATCTAGCTATGAATGCCGTTGAACTGACGGGCAATCTGGCGCTAGCCGTCGGGAAGCCTTTTGAGAGACACGTCAAATTGGTGATATCACCTATGACATCTCTATTGGCAGATCAAAAGGCACATGTGCGAGGTGCTGCTCTTGCAGCCTTGGACAATGTTTTCCTTGCTGTGGGACTGGACTCTTTGATTCCTTCATTTGGGGCGTCGCTAATGACCGAGCAGCCACAGATGCGCAAGGATCTCCTGAAATGGTTGGGAGATAAACTTGAAGCTACCGAGAAAGTGCCAGATCTATCACCGCTGATTCATGCCATATTACTGTGCTTGCAAGATCGTAACGCGGATGTTCGTAAAGGGGCGCAGGGTGTGTTGACGTTTGTTGCTGCTGATGTTGGTGTAGATGCTCTGCACGCAAAAGCCGGTGATCTGTTCAAGGGTTCTGCACTGGCTTCCGTCACGCCATACCTAGAAGCGTTGAGACCTGTGGGTGGACGACCGTCCAGCGCTTCATCTTCGATCAAATCAGCAACTCCTGGAAAGGTTCGGAAGCCCCTGTCAACTGTCGCGTCTGGTACCAGTGATTCGGCTGGCACCAAGTCGAAGCTTCCTGGGGCCAGCAAGCTTCGGATGACCCGACCTGGGACTGGAACTTTAAGCAGGAAGGAAGCAGTAGAAAGTCCGAAAGAGCATGTGGCACCGCTTTTAACTTCAGATACCCGGGCGAAGGAACAGCGTGCAGCTGCAGACAGGGGCATGACCAAATGGACTTTTGACTCCCCTCGTCGGGAACTCATTGACTTCTTGGCAGAACAATGTGAGGGTAACTTTAGCTCTGAAGTTCATTCGAGGCTGTTCAGTACCGACCACTACAAGGAAAAAGAATATCTCGCTGCCTTGACGGCGATTGATGGACCCATCTCTGAAGGTTCGCAAAGCCTAGAGAGAGAAGCGACGGTGTTTGCCATGGATGCGTCCGAGTTGAAGGCTCGATATATTGCAAATGCGGATCTTATCCTAAAGTACATCACGTTGAGATTCTTTGACACCAACACGAGCATGTTTTTAAAGTGTCTGGAGCTCCTGGATCATTTGTTTGCGTTATTGGATGAGGATGGTTATCATTTGAGTGAGTACGAGGCGTCTTCTTTTCTGCCATTTTTTATAAATAAGGTGAGTTGTCGTTTTTCTATCATATTTAAGCGAACTTGTGCTGACCCTCGTCTAAAGACCGGAGACCCGAAGGAGACCATGCGAGTCAAGATACGCGGTATAATGAAGCGACTGACCCGCATTTACCCTTCGTCGAAGCTCTTTACCTATTTGCTGAAAGGCTTGGAATCGAAAAATGCTCGGACGCGTACAGAATGTTTGGAAGAGTTGGCATCTCTCGTTCAACGAAACGGCATGGGAGTCTGCATTCCCAGCAAATCATTTCCATTGATTGCAGCACAGCTGGCGGACCGGGATGCCTCTGTGCGAGGTGGAGCTTTGGGTGTGATTACACAAGCATATTTGTTGGTAGGGGATGGGGTCTGGAAGCTTTTGGGAAGAATCTCCGAAAAAGACAAAAGCTTCGTGGAAGAAAGGCTGAAGAGAGTGAGCAACAGCAGAGGAGGGAAGGAGGAGGATCGTCCGAGTCCTAAGGGCACAAGGAGTGTTAGTCCGAAAAGCGGGAAGACGAGTCCGGGAAGTAGCCCCAAATTTGACAAGAAGAGCACACCGGTGGAAAGCCAAGCTTATCCGGTGGACCAGTCGACCACGAATAAGTCTGGGAGCCCAACCCAAACAAGGAAGAATCCTGTATTTAGTCTCGAACTGGAGAAGCATGGATTGGTGGTTCCGAAAAGGGAGTATCCATCAACCGCGCCGCCATCTCATTTCAGTCCAACTCGACTACCCAGTTACGGACCCGTCTCACCACCAAGGTCCCCTGACCGGAACGTCTTTGTTCCTGAGCCAATGAGTTCGAATACTATCGATTTACTCATAACCAACATTACCAGCAATGATCCGTACGAGAGCGTAGACGCCTTAAAACAGCTTGAAGACATTTTGGGCACGCAAGCCGAAATTGTCGCGCCGCACATGAATGATCTAATTTCGGCTCTCACTCTTCAAAATCGGTTAGCGTATACCTCTTTGGTCCCCGGTCGAACATCTCTTGAGCGCCTGTGCAAACACCTGGTCAACGTTCTTGTCATTTGCTTCTCTCAGCCGGTTTTGGCCAGGTCGGTGGGTAGAGAGCAGCTAAAGCTTTGCATGACGGAAGTATTGGACAGAATTCTGGATCCGATTTTGGAGCAGATTGATCAGGGCCCTGCTTTGAATAAAGCATTAAATATTTTGGTTGTTAAAATTTTGGAGTCGGTGGATAGAAATTCCTTGCTTGGGTGCGTAGTAGCCTCATTTGTCGTACTAGTGGTCTTGCCTGCTTACAAGTATTTGGTTTTTCAGGGTTGCGCTTGCGCTCTTGATAGAATCTAGCGACGTCATGATCACACTGCCCGCTGAGAATCGATCCAGGCAGGCAAAACACATGAACTTGATTTTACGCTGCCTGTGGCGAATAACAAAGACGCTTTCCCGACTTCTTGCGACTAAATCGATCAAACCGGACGTTCTGCTCCTTGACATACATAATTTTTTCGTGAGACTCCCGCCGCGGGAATGGAAACGAAGGGCCGTAGAGTATCCATACCCACAAGCCGATATGCCCTTCCGAACGGTCAAAACCATTGTTGGGGAAATTGCAAAGTGTCTGGGCCCCGATCTTCGTGCCGCCTTCCATTTAATTCCAAATCAAGAAACCAGCTACTGTGTCAAATATGCACTTCACACGCTTGACGGGAGGAGTGGTTCGGAGATGGGTGATACACCGAAGGCTGGGTCGGAACTTGATCTAGCGGCCATGGGAAGCCCCAGCAATGTTGCTCGATCAATGGGCGATTCAGGTGCGGCGTCCCCAATGCTGCCTAGATCGCGGCCGTCAATTCCGAGCGAGAGTTTAACAGCAAGGCTGCAAGCTGAGTTTGGATATACTGATAGTGGGGAGGATTTGCAGGAGCTGGGTGATAAGCAGCCAATATCGAAGCCCTTGACGTCCGCAAGTCTCAAGACGGCATCTGAGTCTATACTGCACAAAGATGAGCCAGTGGATACCACCGTCCCTGGCAACGTTACTACAGGAGAGTCCGTATCAGTACAGTTAACGGCACAAGAGGTACAGGATCACCTTAACAAGATGTGGGAGCGACTTCTGGATAAGGACGTCTCCAAGTTCGCTCTGCAAGAGCTATATGATTTTAGAAAGACGCATTTATACGCAATAGAGCAAATTGAGGCCAAGATCAGGGAACGAGGAGATTTCTTTGAAGAGTATATCCGGAGAGGACTACGCAACTGTAAGGAAGAAGAAGCCAAGAGGTTGGATTTGGAGGAGCGCAGATCCCGTCGGGGTACGTAGCGTCACGCTGACGCGCCATTTTTAAGCTATTTCTTTGTCGCAAGAAGACTTATCTTTTCGATGTAGCCGCCGGGAGTACTGCAGTGAGGGATCGTAAGTGTTTGTTACTTTTGCAACGTTATCATAGTCCCTTGATTGATCATTGTGTATTGTCTATCGTAACAGTTTCACCCCACGATTCTGAAGGATACCGACGTGCTCTGGATCGCATCAAGCTGACCTGGTGGGGAACAACCGATCTTAGCGAAATCCAGCGATTGGCTCCTCTGGAAGGCGAACAAGCGCTGGAAGATACCCGGCAGATATTGAATGAAAAGATTGCCCCATCAGTATCACCTTCAGGATTAGTTGCTTCGGCCGAGGAGTCGGCTGCTGGGACACCTCGGTCGGGGTCACCTGGTAGTCCGACGTCGAATGGTAGTGGCGATGGAGGACAACCCGTTAAGAAGGCCCAGACAGTGGCCGAACTTAAGGAACGATTGGCGATGATGAAGAAGAGAACTGCTGATGGAAGTGTCGAATACTGAATTCTATAATCTGTATTTGAGTTTTGAGGATCGGAGATGCTAGTTGTAAGATATTGGGCATGATTGTGGGCTTGTCTGAGGATTGTTTGACCTTTGGGGCCGTGGAAAAGTATTTACGAAGTCGGATGTGATGGGCGACCATACGCAGCACCCGTTTTGGTCTGTCCCTATAGTCTGCTGGCGTGTATTACCCTCTTTTTTTCTTTTACCCTTTATACATATATAATTTCTTAACTTTTTTCCTGACGTTTCCGTTATGCACAAATGGATATCTGTAATTTAGTAATACTCTGTTGGTTGAAGGCGTTTCTTTTCCTGTATCTCTTACATACTGGCACACCAGATCGCTTGTGTTCTAAACCCACTAGTGTCACCTTTATTTAATTTGAAGTACATTAGGTATGCAGCCGATATATTATTGACTACCTATCTCCAACTCTATCACCTATATAGAAGAGTCCCCATCATGTGGTGCGCGAGAGCTATCCTTAGTTGATGATGCCAGCCTGCTGACGTCTAGATTAGGGGACTCGCCGTCCCTCCCCCAACGGTCTGTAATGGCGCGAACCCGTGTCATATCCGTCACAATGAGATATGGCTTAAATGGTGGCATCATGATATGCATTGCCCAGAAGGTTAACGCCTCCAGTGAAACATCAGAATCGTCCGGAGTCACTGTATACGAGACTGCGCGAAGGACTTCAATTCCGAGAAAAATGGTGATCCTCATGATATGGGCTATGGCGAATGCTTTGTGCTGTTTGCTCTCATGCGATCGAAAAGCTCCTGCCGGTAGGGAGAGGGATTTCGACCCTCGGATACTAGTAATAAAATGCATCCATGATTAAAAGACAGGATCCAAAAACGCACGCAGACAAGTGATGGTGTCAATACTTACATCCAAATGCTATACCCGCAGAAACAGCTGTCAAGAAATACTTGATACACTTTACCGAGAACGACGTCAGGCAAACAAATGTGAATTCAAGCAACAGATTGCTTACCCCAATTTGAGTGCACGAGAGGCGCCAAATACTCTGTATTAACCCAATCTGCTGTCATGGTGTATCTGATGGCGATGTAATATTGACTTGCGAGTTCCAAAGGGAAGACCAAGAGGACAGCACAAAAAATTGCGATTCTGAGCTGACGGCCCATAACCGTGTCGAAGCTAGGCGCGACTCGATAATAGTTGAGCAGCACTAGACTTTGCGCTTGTACGGCACTGTACAAGCCCCGTGGATAGTAATAAAAGTTGGTACCTGCGTATGTGAACATCCATGGAAAGGTGTTTCCTAATATAAACAATTGAAGATGAACATCCGACTTGTAACCACCATAGAGGCAAAGCACGACCCTTCATACCGATAACATTCCACAAACAATAAAGGAGATTAAACGCTACAGCAGTCCAGAAACAGTTGATGGTTGCTCTATGTCTTATCTTCAAGATTCCCTCCGATAATAGGGCGAAGAGGAGGATATGCATTGCCATAGCTGCAATATTGTTTGCCACATAGTTGTTGAAGCCTAGATATGACATCTCCAGGGTTAGCTGCTCTTGGTATTGGTTTTCGCAGTCCACAGAAGAATCGTTTGTCCCAGACATATCGTTTGTGCCAGACATATCTGAACGGCAAGTTTTAGGTACACAGCAATGAAGGGGTTCGGTTAGCTCTCGGATGCACCAGTTGGTTTTTGTTCACGGATCCTTGCTTTAATGATGTTAGGGTTAGGGTTAAAGCCGTCTTCTATTTACAGATTATCATTGAACGCTGACAATAATACCGCATTAAAAATTCAAAGGATAACCTTCAGGGCGGAGAATATAAATAATTGCTTACGTATGCTAAGACCGATTTGAACGAATTGGATCCGTGCGCATTCCAACCAATACTTTTTTTGTTTTTTTGGGCCTTCAACGCTTTCAACGCTTTCCGACGCTCTTCCCTTGGAGGTTTTTTCTGGAGATTTTTTGGACATTTGTGAAGGAGGTGGTTTTCCGGTTCCGCCTTCTCTTCCAATCCTCTCCAAGAAAGAAGCAAGTGCGCGTTCTCGGTACATAGGCTCAGAAAGATGGGTAAGACGAAGACAGCCGAAAAGGCAGCCAAAACGCAGTCCGATGCGGATTATATGATCAAACCTACCTCTGTCACCCCATCCATGGACACGTCCACCTGGCCCTTGTTGTTGAAGGTAGAGTTGCGCTGAAATATGGCTGCTTGGATTGCCCTCTGAACTCTTGCACTCAAAAAGAACTACGACAAACTCAATGTTCGCACTGGCCACTACACTCCCATCCCCAGCGGATGCTCTCCACTCAAGCGCGATATTGAGAACTATGTCAAGTATGGTGTCATCAACCTTGACAAGCCTGCCAACCCATCCTCTCACGAAGTTGTTGCTTGGATCCGCCGAATCCTCCGTGTGGAAAAGACTGGTCACAGTGGAACACTTGACCCCAAAGTGACAGGGTGCTTGATTGTGTGTGTCGATCGTGCCACTCGCTTGGTTAAGTCACAGCAGGGTGCCGGTGCGTGTGAGATTGGTTGTATTTCACTCTCTTTTGGTCCATATTGATCCAGTTGACAATAGGTAAAGAGTACGTCGCCGTTCTTCGCCTTCATGACGCGATAGAATCCGAAAAGAAGTTGGCGCAGAGTCTGGAGACGCTGACCGGTGCATTGTTTCAACGCCCTCCATTGATCTCGGCAGTCAAACGTCAATTGCGTATTCGTACTATCCATGAGCTCAAGTTGATCGAATTTGACAACGAGCGCCACTTGGGTGTTTTCTGGGTCAGCTGTGAGGCCGGCACGTACATCCGTACCCTCTGTGTGCATTTGGGTCTTTTGCTCGGGGTTGGTGGTCATATGCAAGAACTTCGGCGTGTGCGATCCGGTGCTTTGGGCGAGGATGATAACCTCGTGACGATGCACGACGTTATGGATGCCCAATGGGTATACGACAACACCAAGGATGGTAAGTACGCTATATATTTGGACTTGTCGTGTACGTAACTGACGGGACGCGATGTGACATTTTCAGAATCATATTTGCGACGGGTGGTAATGCCTTTGGAAACATTGCTCACAACCTACAAGCGTGTAGTTGTCAAAGACAGCGCTGTGAATGCTATCTGCTATGGGGCCAAGCTCATGATACCTGGTCTGCTGCGATTCGAATCGGGTATTGATATAAATGAGGAGGTGGTGTTGATGTCAACCAAAGGCGAGGCTATTGCGTTGGCTATTGCCCAGATGTCCACGGCCGAAATGGCCACCTGCGATCATGGAGTGGTTGCCAAGATCAAGCGCGTCATCATGGAACGCGATACCTACCCACGTCGTTGGGGTCTGGGACCGAAAGCACAGGAGAAGAAAAAGTTGATTCAGGACGGCAAGTTGGACAAGTACGGTCGGAGCAACGACGCTACACCATCTACCTGGACAAAAGACTACGTTGATTATGCTGCTGGACAAGTTGACGAAAAGCCTGCTGCGAACAAGGAGGCAATGGAAGTTGACTCTAAACCATTAATCGAAGAGGTGGTTCCTAAATCGAAAAAGAGAAAGATGGACGATACAGCTGAGGATGGAGCTACAGCAGATGGCGAAAAGAAAAAGAAGAGCAAGAAGAAGGATGCGGAAGCCACAGAGAATGGAGAGGTATAGTGTTGCTCTGGAATCTGTTCGAAAGCCTAGGCGATCCTTGCTTATCTTTTCATATAGGACAAGTCTGAGAAGAAGAAGAAAAAGAAGAAGACGAAGACCGAGGATGACGAGTAGGAGCTACCCGGACCCGTGTGATAATAGCCGTTTTGGGGCGGAACCGCCGAGGAATGCCCGGATTTTTTTATTTTTTGTGTATCTATTTTTTTCCTTGAAATTAGCAATAAAACACGCCATGCATCAATAATCTCCATCCTTTTCATTGTTCCGCATTATCTACATTGGTCCCAAAGATCTATACAATGAGACTAACGAAAAGCAGACCTGTTCACAGACCAATTGGTTGAGTTTGAAGATCTGCCGCAAGTGTCGTACTGTTTCTGCAATCTACCGTGGCGCCCAACATTTCTTCATATCTCTAAGTAATTAGAATAGACTTGTTACAGGCGCAGATTGATAAAGAAACGCTGCCCCAGACATTTCTCGTTGTCAACAAGATTTACGATTTCCAGAAAGCCCTATGCAAACTAAAGTATTTCCAAAGACAAATACCAAATGTAGCCCATGCCTTTCAGACTTAAGTCATTGGTTGACTCCCAACAAGAAGCTTCTGAACGGTCACGTGAAAAATTGCTGGACTCATCTTGCTTCCGCAACGATCTCTCTTTCCTTTCATCTGGCTTTCCATTTGGTCTTGTCCTCGATACGACTCCCAAAGCGCGATGGCCAGTGTCGAAGAAAAGCTTGGGAGAGGAAAAGAGGAGAAAGAGAAGGGAAACGTGGAATTCAAAAATGGGAACCTTGTCCAGGGTTCGTAGTTTTGCCCTCAGCTTCCGGATATTGCATGCATTCTTAACCATTTTTCCCGTGAGCAGCTCTTCGTTGCTACCACCAGGTACTGCTCTCGGTGCCAATGTTTCCCAACCTGTACCACCGTACTCTGGATATACTGAACAGGTTTCCAACAAACGAATGAAAAGGCAGTACTTTACTTGACCGGGCTGGACAACTCTTCAATGTCGTCTATTGTACCCGGGAAGAGCCTAGAGGAGAACGTTAAGAAGGATATTGCAGATGTGAGCATCCACGGCCGTCATTGTTGATGTTGGAAGAAGCCGAGCTGACAGGCCGTCGGGCGATTGTTATTTTGCAGACCCTCAAGGCTTGTTACAGTAACATGGCCGGTAAGTCTTCCACAATGTTCTGGGATTAGCTATCATCGACTGGATCAAGAGCTCATACTATGACTACGGTAGCATGCTATCTTAAGCAGTCTAAATACGAAAAGGTTTTTGATGTCTGCGACAAGGTCATCAAGATAGATCCTCAGAATGCAAAGGTAATATTGTTCTCATCTATGCAAATGGTTACGGTTGTCTCTTACTGTAATTGCTTTATCCAGGCGTACTTTCGCCGCGGACAATCGCATCACAAGCTTAATAACCTCGAGAAAGCACGTACGGATCTTTATAGAGCGGCGGAACTCGCACCACAGGATGCAGGCATAAGGGCAGAGTTGAATAGTGTTGATGGTAGATTGAAGGAGCTGGAGGAGAAAAGCAAGCAAGAGTGGAGGGGGATGTTCAATACATAAAGGCCGAATCACGTGTCACCTACTGTACTTGATTGATGTTGTCACTCTGCAGCCACATTGTCCAAGATTGCTCATTTCCATTTGATACCACCCATAAAGACTGGTGCAAGAGATGCTGCGAAGTTGCTCCCTGGCTGGCTGGAGGCAGACCTCTCGTCCGCCAGCGCGTAGCGCTTTCCGATTCCGAGCGCCATTATTAGGGATATCACAACACAGCTATTCAACACCAGCGCAGACCTTGGACGGTTCAAGCCCCGTAACAAGAGCTGAGCGAGCGCGGAGGGCTATTTTCTATGGTAATAGAAGACGGAAGGAGAAGGATGTCGGTTCGGTACTGCTGGTGCTGAAAGAGACCCTCATTCTATTCTTCACACTCACTCTCTATCGGCGTATTCTTTCCTTGGAAAAGTTCCTGGTACATACTTGCACTAGATGCATTCATGTGTTCGCTGAAGCCAGGCATTTGTTCTCCTTACACGTCTCTTTACCACTACAATAAGGAAGTGACGAACGGAAATTGAATAGCTCGCGCAAGGTCACATGCAGATAGCATTATTTACGACCTCGAAGATTCCGTCCCCGTAAATCGAAAAGGAACTGCCAGACAATTGGTGTTTCAGGTATGTTGGGTTGGTGCGAAAGTAAATGATCCATGTATTAACATCCAGCTGCTTCGGATTGATAGGCACTTGAGGTAAGAATGTGCATCGATTGTCATTCCGACTTGACGCCAGGATCTGATAAATTGTGGCGGGCGGTTAGCAACATGATGTCGGTAAGAGCGAAAAGACCGTACGTATTAACGCGGTCGGATCTGGTTTGGAAGTGGATGACCTGAGTGTCGTGGTAAGTCCAACTCTCTGTGGTTTGTAGCCCTTGCTTTCCGCTATAGTAATGCATGTGGGCGACTTTAGCTACGATCAAAATATGTAGACGCACTAGTGGTACCAAAGGTGCAATCTGCCAAGGAGCTTGAGTTTGTGTCACGAATGATTGATTCTATAGCGCCCGAATCAAGGTACTGAGCCGTTCAGCAGAACTGCGTGATAACGTAGGCTGACCTTGTCCACCAGCCGAGCAAACATACGTATTTTAGCCTGCATCGAAAGTGCCTTGGGCATCATGAATATTCGAGAGTATGAAATTACGTGACCTCGTCGCTCGATGCGCCTTGCTTTGCACTAATTGTCAATCCTTGTTTGAAGAATTGCACAAGCTGATCCCCGTATCGACGGACTGGTATTGTATGTATGTCGCTAGAATCACGCAACCGGTTGGAGTCTCATGTTTATAAATATGTAGTGCAGCTGAAGACTACGCGGCAGATACAGGTCTCATCCGCACGCCCTCACGTCAAGAGTTTTTGTACGCGCGTCAGCGTGTTGCCACCGCAGCTAGCGCGTTTGGGTTGCAGGCGATCGATATGGTACGAGCAAACCAATCTACCCGTGTACATTGACCAATTTTTGATAAATAATTCGTTTGGTATCTTGTAGGTCTGCGTCGATTACCAGAACGTGGATATTTTGGTGAGTTGTAATTTGACCCGCCCACATACGGTGATTGGGGGTGCTAATCTGGGCATCTTGCAGGAGGAAGAGTGCCGCGAGGGTCGCGAATGGGGTTTTACAGGCAAGGTACGTGTCATAAATAGCTTGAGTGATCGAATTTGGGATTGACGAGTTGATTGCAGCAAGCAATACACCCAAAGCAACTCGAGACGATTCAGCGCATCTATTCTCCTTCAGAGAAAGGTTTGATTACATTTTCCATGACTTTTGATAGATTGGCTCATCCGTAGATTTGGATGTCCCCTATAGATATTGAGAGGGCTACAAAAATTGTGGAAGGCTACCAAGAACACATGAAGAAGGGCATTGGCGCTTTCAACCTGGACGGAAAGATGATTGATATGGTGCGTACGATGGATTAATCGCGGTCTAGCGTCAAACATTGGAAGCTGATGTTTGTCTTTGTATGATAGCCGGTTGTGAAATGGGCGGAGGTAAGTTTGATATGTAGCACCCGTCATCTGCATCTGCTAATGTACCAACTCTTGTTGTGGCTTTCAGCGATTGCTTGCAAAGGCCAATATGATGAAGCAATGAGCACACTTGAATATGCTCATAGGTTTCCTTCGCACTTCCGCTCAACGTCTCAACGTCTACACTAACGCGGCTCTAATAGGGGGTCTCTTCCAAAATATACAAGGCTATTAAAATTTCCTGTGACTACGCGCTAGGTATCACTTCACTGGGAACACTCACTCCGCTGGGGTCCCTCTATCTATTGATCTATAAGTGAAATATCCGTTCGACAAGATCTTAAAGAACAAAGAGAAGCGTTTACCGTCAGAATGTCATCTCGAAACTCGAAATCATGATTAACACTTTACCCAACCACCGTCTCTCGTTCTCTGCGGCCTGTGAGGAGGATAATCCTCCACCTGGACGCCCCCGTAAGGTGTCATCCGCCAGCGAAAGCCGTCAACCTGGAGAGCAGGGTTTACGTAGACTCCATCCGCGCGAAAAAGCGCCTTGGTGGTGCTCGGTTGACCCTCCCCATCCATCATGTAATTCCAACTTGTTCCGGACGTAAACTAACCAGACAATGAGATGTACAATGTCCTTGTGAACCAAGCAGTTTCCACCAACCTCGAATTTCCACTCCATACTAGACACTTCATGGAATGTCAACCGAGTCCGGTCAAGATCCAGTTCCGCTACAATATAGCTGCTCTTCCTAAAGCTATGCGTCAGTCGATTACAGGAAAATTGCGTATTTTTTATCCTTCTGACCATTTCCCCGTCCAGCGGCCAGGAGGGCTCCCTGAGGGTCTGGTGTCGTGTAGTAGCTTGAGCAAGTCAGATTTCTCCAGTGCCCCTCGTGGACGATTCACTCCACGTCGCCGTAAAATATCCAAAACCTCGGCCACACTTAAACTTCGCGCCAAGTCTGGATCTGAAAAGTCCACTCGTGGATGGATTGCGAGGGGGAGATGGCGAAGTCTTTCCCATCGCTTTCGGCTACATCATTGCACTGGTGAGCGGGTGCTGTTGATAAAACTGCCCTTTCTAAACCCTACGTACCACAGTTCTTTCCACAAGATATCATGATTTGCCAAAGCATTCCATCCTCTGCAAACAGCACCGCAGCGAGCTAGGAAATCCGCATCGAGGTAGCCAAATACCCGGAAAAGCAGCTCAGGCGGTAAAGAGCTGATGGTCTTGTTCTCGTAACTCTGCATCTCGTCCATCTGCCTGTAGATGCACACCCTTGCACACCAGTTGGGGAGCATGTACCGAGCGGATAAACTGCTTACTCGTTCTAATCACGTGAATGTAACGATGGCAACATAATCACGTGAATAATTGCAAAGCGACTGAAAGAAAATGTTGGTCGCCGTCCTGCGATTGAACCTTCCCTTTTTCTCCCTCGGCGTCGTGGATCAGCATGCCTCAGAGAGTCTGCTCCAAGACCTACAAGGTCCCCAAGAGGCCTTTTGAATCCGAACGTCTCGACCAGGAACTCAAGCTTGCTGGAGAGTATGGTTTGAGGAACAAGCGGGAGCTCTGTTAGTATATCATACGGCGTCGAAGTTGAGCAAAGTTCCACCGAGGAGAGAACCTGACCTTTTTTGTTTTTATAGGGCGTGTGGGTTACAGCTTGTCCCACATTCGTCGTGCTGCTCGTGAGCTCTTGACCCTCGACGAGAAGGACCCTCGCCGCTTGTTCGAGGGCAATGCTCTTATCCGCCGGTTGATACGTACTGGCGTTTTGGACGAGAGCAAGGCCAGGCTCGACTATGTGCTTGGTCTGAAAATCGAAGATTTCCTGGAAAGGCGTCTGCAGACCCAGGTCTTCAAGCTTGGATTGGCCAAGTCCATCCACCACGCTCGTGTGCTTATTCGTCAGAGACACATTCGGTAAGACCTTGTCGTCTTTTTGTGTGATTTGGGTTCACAGTGCTAAGGTGTCTTGTTCTTTCACAGCGTCGGCAAGCAGGTCGTGAACATTCCCAGCTTCATTGTCCGTTTGGACAGCCAGAAGCACATCGACTTTGCTCTTACCTCTCCCTACGGTGGTGGCCGTGTTGGCCGTGTGAAGCGCAAGCGTCAAGCCGCTGCTGCCAAGGTGCGTTCCTCCGTCCATATCATCATGGAAAGCCTTCTTGCCTTGCTAAATGCTTTCTTCGTACGTCTTTAGGGTGACGAAGCCGAGGACGAAGAATAAGCGTTGGGGCCATAATTTTCATCGACTTAGATGTTTGTACATGTTTGTCGTTCCCGGTTGCCTGTACGATTTCGGGGAGCTGGGAGGAGCTGTTCACTTTCTGTTCAAATATTACAATCATTTTAGGTGCTACGGCACCAAAGTGGAAAACTTTTTGCTTGACTTTTGATAAGAGTTGGTGGTATTTGCGCGCTCTATATTCTAGATCACACTCAAGGGCCATTCTACTGAGATGAATCGGAGACAAGGATTCTCCAGCATGCTCAAAAGAAAGCACCCATTATGACTATCAACAATGCTGGCGCCATTAGACTAAAGACAGTCATCCCCGCTCCGATTCCCCATCCAGAAGAGTCTGGACATGTTCCCAAGAAGATGCATGATTTGTTATCATCTCTAATGACTGTACTGCTGCTTTTTGTGGTTGTCGTTGCGGTTGTCCCTCCTACAGTCTGATTTCTGAACTGGCATTTTTGATCAGCAGGAGTATTTACTCCAGCGGCAGAGGCATCCAACAAGAGTTGGCCGTTCAAGACGTCTGAAAACCGACGGTTGGGAAAGTTGGAGCATGGCAGGTTATGAACGTCAAATGAAGTGTCCACTAGAGAAAATCCCGTGAATCCCGTTAGATTCTTTAGTGTCGGTATGACATTCATATCGTATAGTTCGTTGGGTGGTATGTAATCTCCAGCTGCAGCATTTACCCATTCAGGTGTATACCAGCTTGGGAGACCCACAAAGAGTTTCGTATTCGGAGTAAAACTCGCAATAAAGGCGGACCATTGATTGATAAAGGACCAGAAGCCAGCGTTATTCCCTTTCCAGCCGCAAATATTTGGTGAAGAGATGAAGTAGGGTGATAGGTAGTCAAAGAGCGTTGGAATGGTTGCGAGGGGTGTGGATGGTCTGTTTGAACCCCCAAGAAGAACGTCGGGATATTGGCAAAGGGTTGTTCCTGTAGACATTTATATCAGAATTTGAACAAGCAACTACCATCCGATAAAGTTTTGAAAGTCTTACCTCCGATATAATATTTTCTCCCTGTATCCGCATTCATAAACTCTTTTATTTTTGAGATGAATGTAGTATAGTACTGTGGATTTGGGTCGTTGTTCCATATCCGCAAATCAATGCCGTTGAGAACGACACTGCCAAAAGGCCGGTAGGTGGAGGATCCACCTAGGAAGAGATTCCACACGTTTGTGGCAGACCTTATGGCATCATCTTGAGAGGATAGGTAATCTTGCGGAGCTATATACCAAATCGTTTTAAATAACAATTTGTTAGTCTCTTGAGCGGGAGCTAGCATATCATCTCTTGTCGTCACTCACATATAGAAATCATCACCTTTTTTCCTAACGCCTGACATACCGCAATATCTTTGCCCACATCAGGACAATTGAGGACATTAATCCCTTTTGTCGGATTCGGGTACCCATTGAATTTATTTGTAGGCCATTGGCAGTGGTAGTCCAAGTCAATGCCGGACAACCCCGTAGCATCAAAGTGAAGGTACATGAACGAGATATGGTAGATGGTGTAATTTGTGGTTTGGCATAATGTTGCCAAAGGGGGTTCGTAGTCTGCTACAGATCGATACTGATTTTTTGCCAGATTTTGGCCCCAGTAACCTATCAAGTCGTATGAAGTTGATGGCGGAAGGGCATTTGTGGCAGATGGAAGAGCGGCGATGAGAAAGGTAAGAAGGAAGCGGAATGACATGATGAAACTACGTTTGGCGTATTGGAGTTGAGAGTGGTGTCTATTGCTTTTTTACCTTGCGGGAACGATATACTCTAACATCTAAGAGGTCTAATCTACGACTTTTGTACTCTGGCGCAACGGATGCAGCACAGCAAGCTAAGTCGTGTATCTGGGCCAAAAATAGGATTTTCTTGGTGTTTTGACACGTTCATCCCTCAAACATTAAACTTTCCATCGAATTGTAAGCGATATCCAAAAGCAATTATCCTTTGTTTGTACGGATTCGCAACTTTCAGCGTCCTCGTCATCTTAATCCACACATTTGTCACCTCCACGGATGGTCATGTCATCGCGATGATCCTCGCTGGAAAACACTCTCAGAACTCTTCGCAATATATGTGTACATGTGCAAATAATCTCATTGCCACATAAAAGATTCGCCTATTCTTGTGTTCCTTCTATTCAGCGTCATGATACAACTGGCTAGCTAAATACTCTTCCCAGCTAATCTTGCCATCTCCGTCTGTATCATCTTCCTCCAGTGCATGATCAATCATTTCCTCCAAATCCTTCCGAGATAGTCTGCTTCCCACAGGAGGCATCTCACCCGCCTGAGTGAAGGCGGCCATGAGCTCATTGCCATCAAGGTGAGAATCCTCATTGTAATCGTGTAAGGAAAAGAAGTAGTAGAGGTCTTCTTCTTCTGTGCTTTTCGGTAAAGGTTCCTGAGAGAGGTCCTGAGTTACGAGGTGCTCGCGGGCTGATTGAGCATATTTGTGAAAGTCGCCATAGTTGGAATGCTCCGACTTGTAGTTGATTGGATTCTTTGCATGTGCGGGCGGGACCGTGACGAGAATGATTGACACTATGAGGAGCAGGAGAACAAAGAGTCGATGTACGTGGCTACATGATGAGACTTTGGAAGGTGACGAGTAGGCTTGCGTTGACATGATTGGCAATTCTGGCTGGCGATGAAAGAAATAAGACAAAGGAAGGCCTCGAGTCGCTTTGAACGAAAGGCTCCCCGACCTGTGGCACAGTTTCCAACGACTGCGCGCAGCGGACTTGAACTCAACAAGACTTCAGGCGGTATTGTTTATTCGAAAACGAAATAGCAAAAGTAAGAAATACACTATACAAGCTATTACTCTATCTATATATCAATATGGAGCTCATAGTAGACCAAGCAAGATACTCCCCGCGACAGCGATCCCAAGCGCATTGGCGCTACTATATTTAATGTTCACCCCAGCATTTGAGTTCTTGCTCTTCTTTGGAAGAGGATCTGGCTGAATGCTGTCAGAGTCAGACCATACTGCATTTTCACCAGTATTATTTGCCCGCAAATTGATGGTTGCGGATTGGACAACTGGGGCGCCTCGGTTATCAACAGCCCACAACATCCAGTTCCCAGGAGGAGCAACCTTTGCACCGGGAGGAGACTGGACCAAAAGCTTTCCTTTTCCCCATTGGAGGATTTTTAGTTCGACATGGCGTTGGTCGACATTGAGAGTGTGGGTGGAACTGCCGTAACGGATTATGCTAACGTTACGAATTGTTGCCCCCACATCGCTGGTCAGAGGTACAATGAATTGCTGTCCGTATCGCAAAGTCTTGGGTGCGGCAGCGAGATTCAGCGCTGGACGGTTAGGGATGAAGAAATATGGTGGCCGGTAAACCTCTAGACGAAGCTCGTAAGGGTCTGATCGAATATTGGCAAAGTTTTGATTGTCGCTACCAGCAAGAAGAACTGAGCCGTCGGTGCGCAGGACTGAACTGGCGTGGTAGAGACGAGGTACTTGCGCCTCTGCGCCAATTTTCCATCGCTCGGAAGAGTCGGTCTCTCCCGGGTTAAAGAGCACGACTTTATTCGTTGGTGCGGAGGCGAGGCAAATGCCAGCATCTCCACCTTGATGTCCCTTTCCTGACCCGCCAAATATGGCTATGGTACCGTCTAACGGTATAGTATTAAGGATAGTTCCCACAAATCTCCACGGCGGCAGTACTTACCAGGAAGGTTGATGGCCATGGGCTGACTCCGAGCAATGGGCATCTCTTCAGGTACCCATTGCGCATTGGCTGCTTCGGGCTCAATGGAATAGCACCGGGACGTAGCCAAACATTGGCTGCAATTGTCCCACCATGGAGACACTTTACCGTCCCTCGCCAGGTCCTGTTGAGTGGTTGTCATATTGGTGCCACCACAAATCCAGACTGTTGGTTTATAGTTATTCGCAGGAGTTAACGGGTTGAGCCAGTTGGTTCCAGAGAAAGGAAAACTCCTATGCATGATGCCGTCCTTGGGAAGATCAACGAGATGCTGTTCAGTTTTGGCTACCGGGTCGAGAATAGCGGACATGTTGCCCGCAAGGGTAAAAACGTTTCCGGATGATGGTAAGACATATGCAATTGGGTACATGTTCACAGGAAATGTTTTGGCAAGTATCTCGACACGGACAGGAGGATCCAAGGTTCGTGTGGCCGTTCGGTACGTTTCATACGTAGGATTGTCGGCAATGGGATTGCCCGGTTCATAGTAAATCTTCTGTCCGCCAAGAATCATCACGCTGAGAGTTTGAGCGCCATAAGTACAAATTATTGCACAGGAAGAGAGCGACGTATACGTACTCTTCGTTGGCTAGAGTAATAACAGTCGGGTACCATCTTCCACTATAATTCTTCCATTGACCGGGTCCCTCCATGTACGGCATCTGAGCCGTCGGAACCTTGGTAAGAACTCCATCCTTGTAGATCCGCACATCACGTCGGCCGTCACTAAGACATGCAAGTGTTAGCCCTAAATTACCTTGGCGACTTGTCACCATGCTATCTCGGGGCATATGCAGTACTCACGTGGTAATACGTTCGCCATTCGGTCCTAGCGGTGCTTCAAACTTGGCATCCCCTCCCGCAACCAGCAACGTTCCATCCGCCATCTGGGCGATCCCGTTGCAGAAACTATATCCTTGATCACCGTCAAATGGATATTTTTTCAACTCGAATTTATTTGACTTGATATCAAACTCTGCCACATCTGTCAAAAACCCGGCAGCAACACAATTCTTGTTTGGTTTCCAGTACGAAGCATTCGCTGCCCAGTCAGCTAGTGCTTGATCGCGATTCCAATACTCATTAGGCTTCAGCCCCGTTGTCTCGTTAATAAACGGCTTCCATGCGGTGGGCAGCTCGTGAAATCTCTCTGAAAGGAATACTTTTTCCTCTGGAAGGAGCGCCAAGTGGACTACAAGTTGCTTTGTTAGGTTGATGCACGCAGCTACGCGAGAGAGACGCGCGACTAAGCACTCACTCACCTGCAACCACACCAGAGTTTTCAGAGATGACCTCAAATTCACCCAACGTCGCCCGTGAGTCTTGCGCATTGGCAAGGAACCCGCAAGAGAAAGCTACAAGCAACGACCACCTCATATAAGCCTGGAAAGCCATTTTAGAAAGCGTAGGACGCTAGCAGACGACAGAAGCAGTGCTGGACGGCAGTTCTTTTTATGTGTAGCACTTTTGCAATGTGCTTTGCTTGAATCTTCTCTAAAGCAAGAATTCCTCCTTTCTTCTTGGCCGACACAGCCGCTGTTCACGATCATCGGAACTACAACTGTACAATCTGTAAAGCGCCGCTCTTCAAAACAAGCTGCAAAACCTTGTTCATGATGACTCATTCAAACTTTACTTTCCACTCCAACACGGTTAACCAATGGTTCAACCCAAGAGACTGGTTGCACTGGAATTTATGCAATTGAATGCGCACAGTCACTGGTTATATTTTCTCAGTCACGTTAAATTGCTGGTTGCAATCTCAGTTGCAGTGTGGATTCCCACTGGTTAATAGTGGTAGGAGTGGTAAGCGACGGAGATCGAGTCATGCGAGTTACAAGTTGACAACCCCAACCAGTGTGCTTTACGGTTCATATGAACATTGATGCACCAAGAGTTATTTACAGTTTTCGGTACTTATTATTTTTTTTTTATATCAATTCACACCTTCATTTTACGGATACGAATTATAGATTTGGGTCTCCAACAAGTACTTGAATATCCGATCATCAAAGGATTTGCGTCCAGGTGCATTATCAAATGCCTTGTATAGATTCTTGCGCTCTTCGTCCGGTACATCTGTTCTGGCTTCCGCATGTTCTGCCAATGTCTCCACCACTTCTCCAATCTCATCACCTTCTTTATATCGGAGGTTTAAAAGCTCTTGCCGGATTTCTCGCAAACATTCAGGAAATTGGTCATAGTATAACGGCAGCGCCCATGGCTCATTCAGATAGCTATACATGGTTAAGTAAGATGGATGGTATGTTGACGTATGGTAGTATGCAGTCCAGCTCACCTTGCAAAGTCCGTGATAATGCCTTCGTCAAATCTTGCCACGAGTCGCTTAAAGTACTTTTCATGCATTCCATACAATGTGACAATGTTATCAATTGGAATTGTCTGTTGCCCAAGATATGTTAGCGACCGGATATATCCCATCGGATCCACGTGAATGCGGAAATAGCTGCCTTTGCAGCTTGCAACATCCAAGGTGTCAAGGACAAGATCTCGGCCCTGGATGCAAAGAAATTGTCAACGATGCTGCAGGTCTATTTGCATCCACATATCACTTACATAAGCTCCTTGTTGCTTGCGATACTCGAGTGTATGACTTGGAAGCCGCGGGCAATCGAAATGAAAGTAAAAAAGGTCTCCTATAAAGTTTTAGTGATTAATAAGAAGAAATCGACACGAACAGAGCCTTTGATGGGAGGGGACTGACCAGGTAGTAGCGTCAAAGTCTTTTTGGCATCCTCGAACTGAAGTATCTCGTCATTTTCCACAAGGATATTTGGCAGACAAGTTGGATCAAACAGCGGCAGAAGCAAGTCCGCCAGCTGTACAGCCATTGCAAGTCGATCAGTTTTCTACCTTGCGCAGCTCTTTTGCATAGGTATCAAAAGCACATGAGCTCACCTTTCGGCCAACCTCTCTCGAGTCAGAGTATTCATGCGCCCACTTTGTTTGGTACCGACTCGAATACTTGGTGATGCTGCCCGCAGCATACCTTCATCAAGACGCAATTAACAATGTGAGTTGTGAATATGAATGTGGCGTCCAGCATACAATCCTTACACAAACGGATCTTGCGTCCGATAGTATTTGTCAATGACCAGTCGCCCATCAAACACCAAGCAGCTATCGTTGATTGACTTGAAAGTATCAGGAACAACAGATCGCTCATCCGCGTAGAGGAAGAGTGAAGTGTCGCAAATCAGAGTTTGCATGTCATCGCTTTTGGACTGTTTGGCAGAGGATACGCATTGGAACTTGTTGTCAAAAATATGAACGCAATCGTCCAAACACTTGCCTTTAGATGCACTGCCGACAGCGCATCACGCTCCTCTTCCCATTTGAGAAGTGACCATCCCCGGTAAACCGTCACCCCAAGGTTGTCCAACACTGCATGTATCTGCAAACCGGAACGTCAGCATCGCGTGCATGATAAGTATTTAAACTGTTACCTTTTCATCCACGGTCCCGTTGTTGAAGCAACTTGCTGGTACCCGTAACGGCGGGACGACCAGAACGATTCGCGAAGGTGATACTCCTTTGCTCAAAAGCACTGAATATGCGGATGAGAAGGCAATGGACAAGGATTTGCGACAGAGCTATTGTGTAAAGACGAAGACTTACACTGCACTCCCGAGTACGCCTGTATATGCCGTCCATAGCTATACGAAAGTTTATTCTTTTGCGCATATCATCACAAAGAAAAATGCTGTATACTATGATACTTACACAACAATCTTGGAGGCACTCGAGTCCATCAGCGCGTGATCTATCGCATCATTCACCTCCAATGCGTTTTCCCGGTTCAACGCATAGACTCCAGTAGTATCCGCCAACTCTTCATTCAGTGTTGCAACAGAAAACTGGAGACCGGGTGTAAGAATGAGATAGTCGTAACTATTTTTCGGAGATTAAAACGGACATTAAGTCCTCGCGGTGAGCCAGCAGAAGAGCTGTGTGGACAAACATACTTTACAAAAGACCCATTGGTCAAATGCACCCGCTTCATTAGTCTATCTATCTCGTCGGTTGATCCGCGAATGATTTTGACATAATGCGGTAAACCTAATTGATCCAGTCTTTTCAAAAAGTAAATACGATATCCGAATGCAGACATAATAAAAGATGATCAGAACTAACTTACTCAGTGGGACTGTAGCAACGATGGCTGACAAACACATCCCCATCCTTTTCGTCAGGGATCGGAGCACCATCCATGCTGACGAGTGTCAGGTTTGTGAACCACAAGTGCGGGTTCTAGCAAAACCGCATGAGTGAGTGCTTCTAAAATGCAGCCTAATAACACAAGACCTACGTAAACCAGATTCTCTATGAAGGCAATACCAGTATCTGAGCCTCCTATAACGACAATCCGCGTATTGACCATGATCTTGGGCTCATGCAATAGGGCTGTCGTAATGAGCTGAAGGCTGCAGCGGAAAGGCGGTGGAACAGGTTTGCCATCGCGAAGATTGCCTGGAAACTGGATCCTTTTCATTGAAATACGGGAACTATTACATACTGGGTACGGAGAGACGACTGCATGACAGAGAACTTACTCTCTCCTGCGTCTGACTGGGGCAAGTTCCCTCACGGCAATCTTTTTGGTAGCAGAATCACTGGACCCAAGCACTGGGTAGATAAAGCACTTGCTGCCGGTGATTCGAAATAGCTCCTACAAAAATGTGGGCCAAAATTAAATACTCTCGCTCAAGCCTACCAGCTAAGGTATTGTACATAAGCAAATCACATACTTCAAAAACCCACCGAGCTTGATGCTCAAATAGCGGATTGACAAGAAAATGCCTCAAAACGATCGGCGCATCAGCTCGCAAAAACCGTGGATGAATGAAATCATGGATGGCAAACTGGTCGGTATAGGGCTTGACATCATGCAGACTTTCAAGTATAACTAGTCCAATGAGTTGCTCCGAATAACGTATTGTAAATGAGTGGTGCTTTGCTACATATGTTGAAATACGTTGAATGTTAGATGCAGATCCTTTAAGCACTTGCCCGATGCACTTACGGGCAATGGTTGGCGTGCCGGGTTGAATAGATGTGTCAAATACCGAGAGAATATTCTCTTTGCTTGACACGTCTTCCAAAAACGCATCAACCTCGATACGGTCTTCAGCTGCTGCGCGTTGAACAGATACGGGCTCCGTAATACCAAAGCGGTTGATCAGATACAAACAATGCCTACAATGGCGGTGGGTTAATCTAGTGTGAATAAAATCAACGCACAATTCCGCATTGAAACTTACAAACTTGTCATTCCTGCCTTTGCAGGAACGCTAGCGAAATCTTTCAAAAGTGGCATCTCGGGTGCTGTAGTGGGAACCGTTACGACGCAGTAATCCAAATCGGGGAACAAATGCGTGAACGCCGTCTTAACAAACTCAATGGACTGCTTGGCATAAGCATCATCCATTGAGAACAGCGAGATACAAAAGGCGTTCGGTGTTTGGGTAATGGGGGTTTGCGGCTTTGACGGTGACGGAGGAGAGCTAGGCTTGGTTGGGGATGAGGGCAAGAATGGGGACATTGGACGTACAAAAGAATCAGAGCGTGGGGTTATGGGGGCTGTCCCAAGTGAATTGATGTATCCTTCTTGTTCCTGGGTCCCAGGCCGTGTCATGGCTGGGGATTCCAGCCCACTTGTTACCCCGGACAGCGGTCGTGACGCAGGACCAAGCGATAAGCTAGCTGAGCCTGGCTTATTTGAAGCTGGTGTGGTAGCTTTAGATTTTTTGCGTTCTGGTACCTCTGTGTGTGCACATGGAGTATTAACTACGGGAGGAGCTACTAACTATCAGAACTAGCAGCTTACCTTTGAGCAGATAATCAAAGGCTTCCAAGTGAAAAGTGTCCACGAGTGCTTGTTGCTGAATGTTTCGATCGAAGCTCATGAACCCCACTACCTCGCCATCTGCCTGAACAGGACAATAGAAGAAAAATGAGTGCTCGTACTACTTGTGCAGAATACCTCAATTATTTTACCTCTGCTACCAACGTGCGTGTGTGACCCGTCTTTGACTCCAAGAGATTCGCAATGTAAAAGTCTGCGTCCTTTTCTTTAATGATCTGTGAAAAGGATGATGATTGTCAAATTGATAGAGATCTAGCGCGAGATGAAAGCGCCGCAGGATTTGATTTATACCTTTTGTTTTCTGAACATTGGCACAAGATCATCGGCATCCTCTACCCTCGCATTTCTCACTTTCAATATGGGTAGCACATCCTTCCTCGCGCAAATCCACAAGGCAAACGTCGCGCTGTTAGTCAAGGAGGGTGCTTCCACAAAGTACTTTGCAGGTCCTTTCTTTCCACGACCCCGAACAAGACGACGACGGGACGATTTCTTGTGCTTGGCTTCTTCTGAGGTGGAAGGGAGGTATCGAGCCGAAGAGAGAGGGGGAAAGAGAACCAACTGTTCGGGAAGAAGATAGCTGATGTAGGAGAGATTCGGGAGAAGTGTGAACGCCGTTGTGAGCGCCTCGTCGAGGAATGGGAGGGAATGATCAGGATCGGCCACAAAAAAAGCCAGAAACTTGGTATTGTGAACCTTGCTCCGAACACAGTATCAGCAAAGAAGAAGGACATTCGCCCATTCCTTCGATCTAATATGCTAACCTGTACATCAGGACTGTCATACCACCTCCTCAGCCATTTCGGCCAATCTCCTCTAGCAGTCTCTGCGGCCTCACTATCCCCCTTAAACTGGCCAGATTTGTCCATGAATGCTGGTGGGCCATTGCAAAGTGCCAAGAAACCATAGATCTGCGTATCTTCTGCATCGGTGCCGACTATGCTGAAGGGACAGGTATCACTGGGAGCATAGAGTAAGTACCTTCGAAACCAATATAAGCCAGTATTTCAGCGACGAACATTAGCTCAGCGATATCAAAATCTTCGCCAAAGCGTCGTTTCAAAGTCTTTTCAAGGTCATCTTTGCCACCGTTGCTCTCTCTTTTCACCAGGCGAACAATCCCCGGAACATCACGAGGTTCAGCTCTCCGGAGAACCTGCATGATAGTATTCCTTGCGCTCAATCAATAGATCCTGTGTATTTGGAGATTGCTCTCATCGGACAACCTGGATAACTTCAAGTCGGTGAGTATGACTACGTAAGCATATCCACGTGACTTTACTTCTTTTTGGCCATGGTATAAGCAGCCTCTGTAAATGTAAGTCTGCAGTGCAATAACCGAACTAATAATGGGACGACGCAAGGCATCAACTTTAAAAGGGAAAGCACAGAAAGAAGATGCTCAACAAGAAAGTCTCGTCAAGGATACTGAGCGTACGTCTTTTGAAGAGCAATCAGAAGAACGCTCTTCACCTGAACCAGAAACCGACGAGGGAATCATTCAAAGCGAAAGCTCTACGCCAGTGAACGAAGAGGACCCAGACTACGACTCGGACGAAATTGTGTATTCATCAGAGGACGACGAGGAAGAAGTTGAGGAAGCACCGGAAGCTGTTTCCATCAAAGCTGCCAAAGAGGATGCGTTGTCCGCGGCCCAGGTTGCTCGGGAATTGGAGAAGAAGTATGTTTTTGGCCCATTTAAGCACTTTTCTGTGCTCTGACCATTAACGTCCCCACAGACAGAAAGCGGAAGAAAAGGCAAAGCGCCGTGCCCATACTTCCCGCTTAGCCGCGCAACATGCCGAAAAAAAGTCCCGTCTTGCTGACGGCCTCACCAGATTGCCCGACGAACTACTACAAGCAGCCGAGGAGCTTGACGAAAGAGAAGATCAAGGGGAGGAAGAATCACCAAAAGCAGGCAAACACACACGATTGATTGATGATAATTCCGATGATGAGAAGCCACAGAAGCGACGAAGAAAGAAATCTGCGGCTTCTGGGGAATATATTGTGAACGGCTTCAGGGTGGTGGCTAGGAATGCGATATCAAAGCCTTCTGCAGCGGATATGAAAGTGTTGGAGTTTCGAAACCGGCAACTGTTTGGTGACAGAATCAAGAGGGCAGATGGTCAGTCTTACTCCGTTTGCATCGCACCGTTTTTGAACAGCTTGCCTCTGACGCTATTGTTTCTAATAGGTCCAACAAATTTCTCGTCAGCGCGAAGAACAAACGGGGCGCCTGCATTCTTTGTTCGTACATAAATTCCATTTCCCTGCCTTTTAATTGTAATTATTTATTTTGCAGTGTCTGGCTGTATCTCTTTGCAAAACAAGTAAACATAAACATATTGGAATGGTTGTTCAGAGAGCCAAGAGACCCATTGGCTGCTGCTTGGCCCATGAGAGCAAGCACCGCATGGCGTAGTTATTACTTCAGACACTCAATTAAGTTAGTCTATATCGCCCGTATGTGGCTATAAACTATTCCAAAGGACAATCAGTTCCGTGTTGACTGTTTTCCTTCTGTCACCCTGTCATCGTTTGCGCCGATGACTTCTACGCCGTGACGCAGAACGACTTCTTGACCGGCTTCGCGGCCGTTTACGGGTTGCCGTTTTGTGCCGCTCATTGTCACCACGCTTCCTCACCGACTTCTCATCCCTTTCCGTTCTTCGTTTTATTTCCTACGTTCAATTGGGAGGGTGAGACTGTGCTTCCGCCGACATATGGTCCAAGATGAGCATACCGATGACACAATGTGAGGGTTTGTTACATTTTTGTGCGTTTCTTTGACTTCTTTCGTTGTATCCGACTGATTGACACTTTGACCAGGTGGCTTATCACCTTGATTCTCCCTGCTAGGGTCCTTGACCTCACAGGATCGCGAATCACTTTTCCCTTGCGCCCCATGTTCATTATGCTTTACTTTCGCCACTCCCATGCTACCACCGCCAGTGTTGCCAAAATTACAAATACGATACATGCCGCCTGGATTTTGGAAAGCATGAAAAAAGTTGCAGTTCGGGTTGGTACATCGACCTCGCTCATAATGACCTAGAATGTAAGATAAATTGTGCAACTCGAAGGTGATTGTTTACCGACACGGACATTACCACAAATCGCATGGTTCCATTCAATGATAGGGACAAATTCGCACGACAGTTGCCGTCCTCCAAACCATCGTCTGTCCATGATTTTATGTGCACATATAGCATCTTCCTCTTTTGCATACTGGACGTAGACATTGCCTCTTAGATGCACCGCCTCGTTACGGCAGACCTATTAATTCCGCCTTAAGATTCTTTGACGAAATCGCACTATTGGAAGTATAATGTTCTTCCTTACCATGAAGCAAGTGAGACGACCGATCTTAGCAAACTCCCCATGCACATCCTCGTAAAAGGCACTGAAATACTCGTCTTCATCTGTGTACTATCGCCCAGGATGATAGCTTCGGTCAACATTTGCGCAGGACATCACATCCACACATTGCACCAACCTCATCTCCTGCCGTCTGTTTTCCAGGAAATTGAAACATATTCTTCATAACCAGGGTGTTCTTTATTGTTGGTTCCGGATGGCGTAGTTTACAAAACTCCGCGAAGCGACAAGAACCAGTTTTCTGATGGTACGCACATACAAGTAACGCCTGTTTGCAGATACCCGACTTTAAGTCATCTTAGGACTGGCCAAGCCGGGAATCTGACGAAATTACAGTACCTTTTCCTTCAGTTCTGCAGCAAGAGAATGCAATTGCGGAGTTGGAGGCGCCTTGGTAGGCTCCTCATCCAATCGCGCGGTTATGGTTCTGGTATTATGCTCTTCGGATTCCTCAGCGGTTGGTGAAATGCCATTCTTGCTCAAGGCAGACTTTGACTTCAAAGATTCCAGAAACTTTGCTGCAGCTAACCGGCCTGCCTCTAATGGCTAAAATGGCGGTAAGTAAACTACAGGAAGTCATAAAACATGGCTAGCATTTAGAGTGATACATACCGAAAGAATGGTCGTTTGACGATCTGACAGGATGGATTGATTTGCCCTGGCATTACATACGATGGCTGCCGAAGCGGGCAAATCTCCTGGTACAGCTTGTGTCAACATCCCCAGTGATGGGTCCAAGGTTTTCTAAGAACTCATCAACATGAGTAATGGATATCACAGTTTGAAGAGCGCAAATATTTGCCGACCATGCTCGTTTCCTGTTGCGCTTTCTTCGCCTTCTCTTCTTCCAAACGGCGTCGATGAGCTGCGGCAAGCTCAAACTGTTGCTCTCGCGCTTCATAGCGTCTTCTCTGTTCTTGTCTGATGAGAGAACGCCGATCAAGAGGAAGTTAAGGATAAATGCGAATGAACGGCCATATAATGAAGCATTGTCGAAGACAGGTAAAAGCATATCAGGGGCGGATACGGTCTTTGCAAGTACATTCCTCATGACGTCGAAGGTTTCGAGCCGTTGGAATCCCGCGCTTGACAACATACCTTTCTTCCTCCAATAACTTCTCCTCTTGTAGTCTTTTAGCAATAAGCACTGGATCAGTTGCTTCTGAAAATAAACAAGTATTAGAAGATGCTGGCGGCTGGCGCCGCCGTCATAGACAGACTGTGACCGCAACCTTGTTCCTTTCGAGCATCTCTCGCTCTGGCATCCGAACGGCGAATTTCTTTGCGACGTTGGTATTTCCTTAGTCTCCGCCATTGCTGTCGAGTAAGTTGCCGGTTATTCGATGCTATTGCCATAGGTAACTGGATGTCTTCAGTGGGTGAGCCGAGCGGGCTTTGCACTGCTGTCGACTCCATGAGCCATTGGAGGTTGAATACGTTATGGAGAACAGTTCCCGACAAGAGTTTACATGAGCAGCCTCCTTGACGGACACAATACACAAACAAACTTGGGGAATGTCCTGCACGGCAACTAATTGAAGATCTTGCTGCCAGACGCGATTCAATTGCACGCATTTACAGATCTGGTGCTGGAGCCCCTTATCATGCAGCTATCATTGCAAAGAAACAGCAATATCTATTACAACATCATGATTTTCGTGCATAAGGACATATAATGTGCAATATGTAGATGGTCTATTCTCACTGATCAAGCAACTTCTGTAATTTACCACTATCGTGCGCTGCGTGAAGGTCATCGCATCCGCCTGTGACGCAAAACCAACAAAGAATCAGTCCGTTAGGGAGGGATTGATATCAACCGCTTTCCATACTCTCGACTTACCGATATGTTGACCCTTGATAAAAATGTTCGGAACAGTACGCTGTCCAGTTTTTTCTTTCAAATATTCCTGAATTGCCTGACCGTCCGGCCTTTCGTCTAGCTCAAAAAGCTCATACTTGACGCCGAGTGAATCCAGCAAATTCTTGGCCTTTTTGCAGTACGGACAGTAGCTCTTGGAGAATACCTGCAGAAGAGCACGTCAAACCACGGATTGCCCCAGCAACTTGCCAACGCATTAAACTTACCACAACTTTGTTTTCCTTGATGGCTTTCTCGACAAGTTCCTTGGATGCTGACATTTCTTCGGGTCCCGGGGTGTTGAAGAGGCGACGAGTGAGATCGTATATAAAGTTCATGTGTGGGGATGAGGGGCAGTATGGCAGCGTTTACAAATGTGTGGGATCGTCTTTTCATGACATAATGAGGACTTTCCATGACTGTGCCACCATCACTGTATTGAACACTTTCTGCTCGGCCTTTTGATCTTGAGCAATCTCATCACCTTTGGTGTGCAGTGCAGCACCCTGATGGCATTGCGATGCGCATACTTTCTTGGAATGTGAACGTGAGTAGCTACCTTTATCAATGCAGCTTAGCTCAAATGTTTACTTTCATGTTCTCCAGTCGGTTCGCACGCTACGGGTATGTGTGCATTTCTCTCAGTACCGGGAAACCGTGCTATTTGGGTCTACGCCTCCACCTGAGATGCTTTTACCAATAGCAATATCACCCATGGTGTGAGCACAAGAACTATCAGACGATTATAGAGGCGTTAAACGCAGGTATGTTTTGTCAATCGAGATTCATTGGACAGCCGGTTGACGTTGAGTTTGGCAAAGACATAATATGTCTTCAGGAAATGAAGATCACTCGAAGCAGCACTGATTCAGACCTTGCCCTCGTACCTGGGTACGATGCCTTCTTTTCGTATCCAAAGGCAAGTGGCGATCAGCGGCAATTTTACTCATGGCTCTTGTATCTGACATTGAACTATACAGAGAAGGCATGGATACTCGGGAGTAACCACTTATGTGAGGACTGATTATACCCCAATCGAGGCCGAGGAGGGATTTAGCGGACTTCTTTCAAAATCGTCCGGCATCGAGTCCAAAATAGGATGTTATGGTCAACTGTGGCACGAATTTTCGCCTGCCGAGCTGCTTGAGTTAGATAGCGAAGGGAGAGTAGTTATTACGGATCATCGCCTATTTGTATTAATCAACGTACGTCAGAATGGTATGGATCTTACGGTAACTATTTCCTCGCTGTAATAACTTACCGGGGTCATTCTAGATTTACTTTCCAGTGGATGACCCGTCAGAGGAGAGACAGGCCTTCCGATTCAAGTCTGTATAGTACTGTGTATTTTGCTGGCAGCTGTCAGATATTGACAGGGGAATTTTGACATAGTGCAGATTCTATCATGCTATACGGCTAAGGATCGAGGCTTTGATTGCCGGAGGTAGACAAGTCGTTATTGTCGGAGATGTAAGTATAGCACCCAAGCGTGAGGCTTCATCTCACTGTAGTTAATAGGTTTTGATATAGGTGAACACAACTCATCAAGAGATTGATCACTGTGACCCAAGGAAGAGCATGAGAGATCTAGGGATATCATGCTTCCATGAAACACCCACCCGGAGATGGATTCATGAATTGGTACAGCCACGCGGACCGATGTATGACATGTTTCGGTATTTCCATCCAACACAGGAGAAAGCTTTTACATGCTGGAATACGCTGCTGAATGCGCGGTGGGTATCCTTCTACCAATGAGCACATTGTATCTCGTATATAAAAGACTAAGCTGATCTCTCCCTTAGACCAGTTAATTATGGTAACGTTTTATTGTCGCTCTTGGTTCTGACCTTGAACTGACAACTCTTGCAGGCACCCGCATAGATTATGTACTTGCAACTGAAGGACTAATTCCATGGATGGCAGATGCCACAGTAGAAGCAGATATTATGGGAAGCGATCACTGTCCTGTTGCAGTCACGTTCCACGACACCAACCCAGTCAACGGAGATTGCTTAAAGAACGTGATGGCACCACCCGATTGGAAGCCTGGCGATAAAAGAGATCCTCCTCGACTGTGCGCAAAATTCTGGGATGAGTTTACCGGGAAGCAACAGAAGCTGAGCAGCTTTTTCAATAAAAAGTCTACTAGCCTTTCCGGAGGGTCGACTACCGAGTTGGGAGAGACAAGGTCGGGCGGAATTACACAGGAAGAAAGAAAAGAGACAATCATTGCAACGAACGGGAAGGGGGGCACTTTGGAGATAACGACTCCGCCTTCCGAGTCGTGCGCACAACCATCAACGATTTCGGTAGCTGCACCGCCCGCAGTGCATGCACAACCGTCGCAATCAACCCTCCCTGCCAGAAGTGGACCCTCAAAATTACGGGCCCCAACCAGAAAGGGTCAAAAATCAAAACAGAAGGCCATCAAAGTCGGGGTCAAGGTACCCCCAAGTCAGGGACAGTCATCAATAAGCTCCTTTCTATTGCCAAAAACGACGACCGCCGGTACGGCGAAACCCATCGTGGGCGAACCTATGTGCGACGCCACTCAAGATCTTCCATCGACCTCTCTGGAGACACCTCCATCCTTGGAAGATGCACAACCACTTTTCGAGAACCCACTCGCCTGCTCCTCAGATCCTGGTGTCGACTTGGACGTCCCTACGACTGGAAGGCTTTCTCAACCTACCACTCTAGGCACTATGTCGGCATCTCCAAATTCATCCACGGACCTTGATCAGGGAGACTCCACGTCCAGTGCTGGCACATGGTCGACCCCAAACGCTGCATCACAATGGCGCTCTCTCATGCGCCCCAAAGTAATACCCAAGTGCTGGCATGACGAGCCGGCCAAGGAATGGGTAGTAAATAAAACTGGTCCGAATCAGGGACGAATGTTTTATCTGTGCGCCAGACCCGTTGGACCGTCGGACATTGGTCTACTCAATTTCGAAGGAAAATCGGTAATTGTCCCCAAGAGCAGGCGTCTGGTGGGCGAATATCGTTGTGATTTCTTCGAGTGGAAAAACGGCCCCAAAAGAAAAGGTCAACAGGGTGGTCGAATAAGAAGCGCGACTGAGAATCTAAATGGTGAAGACACGAGACAGGGAGAAGATTCCTCTTTGAAAAAAAGTCGGACCAAATAAAGTTATATCTCAACGTCCACACCAGCGCTTATTTACAATAACCTAACATACGGAAAAGTCTAGCATAGCTACAGCAATACTCGGTTTTGTTCAGGTCTACACTGTCCCCCACGTCAATCGCACTGCATGATCTGTCTTTCGCGTTGTCGGCTTGATAAACCCAAGGAATTGCAACTCGGCAATTGATTTGATGAAACGCGCCTGAATATCAGTTCGGTCCAGTGAACTTCCCTCTGTTTCTTTCTCCACTATCGCCCCAAATGCCACAAACCAATCATAGAGATTGATCATCCTTCCACATTCCAAGTATAGCCTGTACGCGATGCTGGAGTCCTGTAGTGTATGACTGATTGTGTCGTCGCCTTTGGTGGTTGTTGGGCAGCAATCGCATTTGAGGTAATGCCGAGTTTGGCCTAACGCGGTCTGTATGACCGCTCGAGGTTGAGGATGAAATGCCTAACGAAGGGACCGTAAGTGTCCATACACATGAATGTACGCTATATGCACAGCAAAGTACCTTTTTCAGGCGCGCGGCATTGGAGTAATAAACCACCTCATGTAATGGCAGGTTCTTATAACACTTGGTAGCGTCGCTAGAAAGAAAATACGACATCAACAAACTTGCTAGCTTACCCCCATCGATACACTCTCACACCTGAGAAACTCTTTCAAGAAATCGGAAACACGTTTCAGAAAAGCTTGCGTGGTGCCCTCTTTTACGTGCTCGACAATTGGCTTCAAGCGTTTAGATACATTGGTAGTTCGACTTCCTGAAGCCAACGAAAGTGCCCGCTTTCGTTCATGCTTCAAAGTGTACGAATCTGCTTCATCGCTTTCGCTACTATCTGGATCCGAATCGACAAATTCGTTGAGATCTTCCATCAGCTTCTGTATTGCCGCGCATTCCAATCGACAGGCATCAGAGGAACTATTGGTCTGTTGCAGGGCTGCGAGGCAACCTTCCAGGTACTGCCTTGTTTCCAGAATGCTCCGCTTTCTCAACAAAAGCATGATTGCACTCATATACTCGGTTTCAACAAAGCCTCCTTGGAGGGCCATCATATGAAGTACTCGCTTCGATCGGCTGAAACTGGGACTATTGAGAGCTTTCTGAAGTTCCAATACGCAACACAACGCCGCATGATAGCGGATCTGGTATCGAACGATCCTTTGGAAGCATTCAGAAAGCCAGGCCTTTACAACGGTGTCATTGAGAAGCAGACGGGCCACGTGGTCTGGATGTGTTTTTGCGTGTGCCTCGATATATCTTCATCACGGATTAAATTCAATCTCGGGCAACTGAATGCGCCTCAAAATGCAAGGTGTAAAACAGATATGCTACGGTACCTTTTGAACGATTTCAGTAGCCGTATATCAATAATATGCTCCGGTTCCAAGATATCCTGCATCTGATCGTTGCGATCTGCTGCATACATATCCCACAGTATGCTCAGTGGATTCGAATAGTAATAGTCCATCACGGCATACTGTTGCAATCCCGTCAGAATCAGAGGCAGTATCCACATTCGCCCTGTCGTTACGTACCTTCAGCGCCCGCACAAATCCGCCGACAGACAATGTGTGCAACTGGTAGCTATTGATGAGCAACTCATAAGGCTCAAGGGCCAGCTTTAACCCAACGCAGCCTTCGTGTGATTCTATCTCAGGTTTCAACAAAAGCTGCAAATGACTCCTTTTTCAGATCTCGTTCATTTGTCCGCAGTACCTGTGATCCGTAACTTTACCTCCTCCACGATAGCATTAATGCAATCATTCGAGTGCTGTAATTTGAACTTTTCCATCCGAAGCAACGACAGCACCGCCCGCGGTAAACTTTGATGCAACGCCTCAATGGAAGTTGCGACACCAAATATAAAGACAAACGGCAAGGTGCCTTGATATTCACTTTGGAGCAGAACTAGAAGTTAGACTCTCGGATATATGCGAGAATTAACGTGCCACACCAACCTGCAGATGTTAATAAGATCCTGGATTACAATAGGATCAAAGCATTCGAAATCGGGTATGATCGCAACCAAATGTCCTCGGCTATTTCGTTCACGATGCCAGTCAGCCAAGATTTGCATATCATAATTTGGAGCCTTTATGCGTGGCTGAAATCAAGGCTTGTGTCAGTTGTCCATGTCTGCAGCAAACAGGGCTCGCCTTTTGACCAACCTGGTAGGATGACAGGTTCCCATTCTGGTTATTGTTCTACGTGTGTACGATCAGGTAAATGAGTTGCATATCGGGGTACCGACTAAGCCAGTTGAGACAAGCAGACCTCCATCTGGTCTTCCGCTACTGTAGGTCGCATGTCCAAGAACTGTTCTATCATCGATTTCACGGTAGTCTTGAGAGTCAGGCACTCTCTCGAAGGTAGGATAGCTACTGAATGACAGGTGTTCTGGGTCAACTTTGCGGTTACGTGGGAGAAAAGGAGTTCTTGGTCGGGAATGTTGATTCCTGCAAAAATGCATAAGTAAATGAGATTACGCTAGCTGAATAGATTGACTCCGTCCTTATTACCGGCGAAGATCAACCCAGTTGGCACCTCACGGAAAGGGAGGACCAGCGATCTATCGGCCATTTTCATGAGCTTGTTCCAATTGATCTTCAAGAAATTACATACATACTGTGCACTGCATTGAATGCTTGCATAGGCGTTATTGACGAAATCTACAATATTGTCGATGGCTTGGGAGTTGTGCTTTACGAGGACTCTCTGTTCCACGGGTGCCAGTCAGATTTGAATATTACTGCGAAACCTGCTTTCGCTCCGACTAGCGTTTCTTACATTGATAGTTTCCTCAATTGCTCTCCATCGTTGTTTATAGCAGCGAAATCTCTGACGGCATAGCGCTTCTGGTTCCTGGCCTCCGTAAAGTCGTTGGAAGCCTTCACATTCTCGCAGTAAACTATCTTTATACCAAATAACACGGTGAGAGGCTCGTGGCCAGTGTGAGGACTGGTTAGAGACTCGCCGTACCATTCTTGGGCGATTTCTGCTTTGATCTCTTTACGGATGGGGTACTTGACGCTCGCGTTGTCTTTGGCAAAACGAGGAATGTACCCTAAATGTGGTCAACAATAACGTTGAAAATTGGGTCCTGGAGAGTTGCAAGCGTACGAGTGCAGCAGGTACCTCCGAAACAGACTCAAACAAGGCCGTGTTTGCTTGGTGGATGGTCATGTCAACATTAAAGTTGCAAAAGAAACCCTAACCCTAACCCTGCCAAATGTCCGAACGATCCGAACGTTGGTTGTAACCAATTTGAAATTTCTTTCCGTTTCTGCCCAATGCGTTTTATTTTTCCAAAAAGACTTTGGGAGGACAACGCCGTTTTGGCTTTTGTTGAGAGCAGGGTATTTAAAGGCTGGGGATCGTTCATCGTCTTCCGCCAACCAAACGCCCGCATCTCTCGAATTTCATTCCACACGGTCGGGCTCCTCCGTGCTCCTGACCAGGAAGATCCTCGAGAACTCATTCCCTACCCTCACGTGCCGGCACGTCTTTCATTCCGCTCGTCACGCTGGCGGCTCAAAGTAAACCTCCTCAAGACCCGTCGGTCGCATTGAAGCGACGGCGACCTGCGCGACAAAATCGTGGGGGAAGAAAGGACCCTCATAGACAGGATATAAAGGACGCTGGTAGAATACGGAAAAGGTTGGCTTCTTTTGTCATTTCGCATCCGATCCTCCGTGGATGCCAAAGGTGCAGCACCTCCGGCTCAAACCAAAAGAAGATGGATCACGATCTTGGGAGTATGCGCCTCATCAAAAGTACCTTCCACTTTCAGATCTCTAGTGTATAGAATGTTATTCCCTTCGAGGGAAGATTATGTCTCTGACGAGGCATTAAGAAACCTGAGACTATACAAATACTCGTCTATAGACAAGGTTCGTTTCGAGATGAATTTGGTGATCGGGTCTTCCGTCACTGATTGACCTGCCTCATTATAGTCGCCCGTTTCGCGGTATATCCTTCGCCCTTATTGGGAGTTTTGCACCACCTTATTCCCATTGTGGCTCGCGTAAGTACGCAATTCTTCTGCAAGCAGCGATGTGGCGATGGCTATGTGTACTGATTCGATCGCCGCCTTGTAGACCCAACCTGATCACTCTTCTAGGATTTTTCTTTGTTCTGGCCAACGTTGCAATTGTCCTCATCTACACTCCCGACTTGGCAACACCTGGCCCTTCATGGATCTACTTCAGGTACCGCTCTAATACTTCATAGCGTGATGCAGGGATCCAAGCTGACCAGGTGTTTGATTCTGTAAAAAAAGCTTTGCTCTCGGAATATGGTTGTACTCGACGTTCGATAACGTTGACGGAAAGCAGGCTCGGCGCACTGGGAGCAGCTCTCCCCTCGGCGAACTCTTTGATCACGGCGTAGATTCACTAAACTGCGCATTTGGGACGATTGTTCAGGCGGCCGGATTGGGAATGGGCTTGACTTGGTACACAGTGCTCTTGCACTCTCTGGCGACCATAACGTTCTTCTTCGCCACATGGGAGAACTATCACACAGGATCTCTTTATCTTGGGTATATCAATGGGCCTACCGAAGGATTGATCATTGCGGTGGGATTGCTCATCGCTTCGGGAATTTATGGGCCTGGAATATGGTGGCAGAAGGTTTCTGCTGCATCACCATTCCTTGCGAACTTTGTTCCGGGAGACTGGCCTCTAATCAATGTCATGCTGGGAGGCATGTTAGCAATGATGGCATTCACTCAGGTGCCTGTTAGGTGCGTGGACAGGTGCCCGTTTCGTTCAATCTGGGATATTAACACCTCTACTGATTCCAGTATCTACCGTGTTTACGAAGCTTGCCGTGGCAAAGGACGGAGTGTGGCTGAAGCATATGGCCAGATCACACCATTTGCACTGTATATGGCAGCCATCTACTTTTGGGTCGGCTCGCCATTTTCTTTTATTTTGGATAAACATCTGATCGTTTTCATAATGACAATGGGTCTGGTGTTTGGACGAATTGCGGTGAGTACCAGTGTGAATGGAATCATCCCCTCGTCTCCGACTCTCATGACACTTTTTTTTTTTGGTTCATGTAGACTGCAATCATCCTTGCACACGTTACTCACAGTGATTATCCGACGTACTGGGGACTATTGACCCCCGTTTTCTTTGGCGCCATTGTTACAAATGTTCCTCTCATCGTTAGAAGGTATGATAGCGCATTCATATTGAAGCAGATGGCACACCAGCTGACATTTGATTGGCAGTGGACCAATATTATCCCCGGCTGGGGAATCGCTGTACATCTACGCCCTTTTCGCGTATGCTACCATTTCATATGCTCACTGGGCTCTCGCTGTGATTGATCGTTTCTGTACTTATTTGGGCATATCCTGTCTGCGGATCCCATACCGTCCCATTGGCGCTAGGCCGTAAGGCAACGAAATGCAAGAGTCTCCTATCGTATTTTTTATTGCGGACATTTACATTTATCATCGAATTCGTTGGGATATGGCACATCCATATATTGGCATACATTGTTTTAAATATATCCTCCATTCGAATTGAGTCGGGGTTCTGCGTTTTGTATTTTGAAAACGGGCACAAGCAACCTGTTGCTATAGCAGACGATGGATGACGCGGCTAACGTCGGCAACGCGTCCTGCAGCAAGCTAAGACATTCCTAAGATCCCCCTACCTCATCCATCATCTGACGACTTCTTTACTGTGACATTTGGCAACATGAACGAGGTCATTCCGAAGGTATTGACTTTGCTTGGGTGCACGTAGGTCGCTGGCGTTTTTCAACCACTAAGTTCTTTTGCACGCTTTGTCAGATTCCAAATTTGGACCTTGCCCATTATCACTTCATTCTCGGCGCTGGGCCGACAGAGCTCCAAGCAGAGGCCAAGAATAAGCTATTTGAAGCTATCAAGGCTGATAGTACGTATGCGTATCTTTCATTAGCGCTCCAAGTGTTAACATTTTATGTGTAGACATGGCGCCATACTACAAGCTGTTTTGCGAGGAGTTTGGGTTCCCCATAGACAACGGTTTACTCTCCCAAATGCAGACAGCCAATGAAGAGGAATTGAAGCGATTGGACGAAAAGTTGGAGGATGCGGAGAAAAACTTGGGCGAGACAGATATCAGCGATGCGTTGATTGCAAAAGCTCAGTATCTGGCCAAAATTGGTGATAAGGTTAGACGGAACGTAGTATTTTACGCAGGACATTAACGGCAACTTGATCGTCTGACGCAACTTTGCTGCAGGAAAAAGCACTTTCCGCTTATCGAGTTGCATTTGAAAAGACTGGTCCGTTAGGGCACCGGATTGACTTGGTGTTTGCCAAAATTCGCATTGGCTTCTTCTTCCGCGACAATGAGCTCATCAGCAGAAACATTGAAAAAGCAAAGACGTGCGTTCCTCCGCTAAGCTTGTCTGGTTATTACCCGTCTAATGCTCTCTGTTCAGTTTGATCGAAGAAGGGGGAGACTGGGACCGTCGGAACCGGCTGAAGGTGTACGAAGGCATTTATCGTATCTCAATTCGTGACTTCAAAGGAGCCGTCAATCTGTTCTTGGATACCTTGGCAACATTCACCTCAACCGAGCTTATGGAATACAAGGACTTTGTCAAGTACACAGTGTTGACTGCCGCCCTAACGCTCAATCGACCAGACTTCAAAGCCAAGGTAGGTTTCACCATTTTAGCTGAAATGATTTCTTCCCTTATGTATCTCATATCCTTTCGGAAAGGTGATCAACGCTCCTGAAATTCTGGAAGTGCTACACGAAATCCCGAATCTGTCAGATTTTGCCAACTCTTTATATAACTGTCATTACTCGCAGTTCTTCCAGTCTCTTGGTAAGCACTTTTTTGTCGTTGATTGCTCGTGCACTTGGTCACTAACCTGCCGTCAGCCGCTATTGAGCAAACCATCAAAGTAGACCGGTTGTTGAATGCGCACTACCGATATTATGTACGAGAAATGCGGATTGCGGTGTATGCTCAACTTTTGGAATCTTACCGAAGTTTGAGTATCGAGTCAATGGCGAATTCGTTTGGTGTGACCGAGGAGTGGATTGATAGGTATGTTTTGAGTGATATATACTTACCAGCTCACATGCTCACAAGTTGCTTTAGCGACTTGTCAAAGTACATTGCTGCTGGTCGATTAAATGCAGTGATTGACAAGGTTGGAGGGATTGTGGAAACTAATCGGCCTGATGCGAAAAACGCGCAATATCAGTCGACCATCAAGCAGGGCGACTTGTTGTTGAATCGCATACAGAAACTGTCGCGTGTCATTAATGTATAAAATAATATTTGTGTGGTTGAAACCTATGGGTGCTATCCCGGTATCTCTTCAAGTGTTGAGCAGATACTCCTATACTGTCAAGGCTTGGCCTTGGATTGCGGAATGCTACTAGCGAACGAACCAATTTTATGAAAAAGGTGAGAGGTACCTGCGAGGTCCGCACACACACATTAAGGGAAAGGAGAATTCTTTTTTTTATTTTTGAGAATTTTGAGTATAAAGCTCCAATAGGAGTGGAAGTGCAAATATGGGCAATACCACCAACAACGGTACAGGTGAACGCCAACACGAATACTGCCCCAGCTACCTAATACCACTATCTTAAAATAAAACCAACCTTAAACCCATTCAGATCCCGCTTTGCAGGAGGTAAATATGCCGTGCTAACTCGCAGCGCCGTCAAAACTTGGTCATGTAGAGATGGATGAAGGCTTATACTTTCCACCTGTCCATTGCCTCGCCAAGAGGTTACGATACTACGATATACGCTTTAACCCAATGGACAAACTAGGCTAAATCGCTTCTTGTGCGACATACCTCTCTTGGGCGGACGTTACAGATTGTGAACAATCGAGATATAGAATTTTCATTGCTGAGACAAATCAAACGTTGACAGTCGTATAAGAATACTAATGACTCGGCTATGGCTGCAGAATAGAAGGGGACGCCACACCCACAAAACAAAAAAAAGACATGACATTGACACTTCACCTGGATGCATCTTTTCCGAATGTCCTAAATTTTGAGTGTAAATAGAGAGTACCCTTTCGAGAGAAGTCGCATCCATCGTTGGGTCTAATATGTCGTGTACTGGCGTATTGGTGCTGACTGCCATATTCCAATTGAGTATCCACAACTAGACTAATCTTAATTCCAGATCCAATGACAGCGTGTATATGAGGTAAGGCTCGACGTACCAATAATCGCGGTTCATCAGACCCTTGAGTCTGGATTATAAAACGGTAACTCGCGTGGGCATCCGCAGATTCCAATAGATCATCCGCAAAAAAGCTGACGAATGTACGATTCAAAGCGTCCTTTTCAGTGGTGAGTGGGGATGATGCAGTATCTGCTACCACAAAATCCACCCAATATCTGAAAAGCTTCACTCCTCGAATGTGCTCGGCGATATTGGTGGCATCTTGGGGGATTTCATCAAAATAACACTCTCCAACTGGTTGTTGGCAACTAGCACATAAAGCCGGCGCGTAGCGGCCCAACCGTAGCGAGCCCTGGTTTTAAAAGAAAGAAGCGATCAGACATATTCAGAAGCATAATTGCGGGGAACAGGCATTCCATCCACCGTTGACAAAGTGGAAATGTTCTCTGAGGTAGTAGATCAGCGCCCACTACTATAGACGCGGACGTATTTGCACAGAGATTCAATATGGGAAGAATGTATCGACAGGACAGTCTTCAATAGCGACATCCCTCTTCTATTACTTCCGTTATGCGGACAAGAGGCTTTTGCAAAACGCACCTTATTTGCCCCTGCGAGATCAACACTTAGGCGCGGCAGATCCACATCCTCGGGATGCAGTACCACGTAGCTTCTCGCAACCAACACTGCATGGCGCTGCGCAAGGATGACACCAGCTTTCTGCCCCGGTAATTGCGAGTAATCTTCTCTATGGCAGGCCCAACAGTCTGTCAATTCATGCCAATACTCTGACGGCATGTCGATGATGCGTCGAAAATGATGTGCTTGCTCTGATGCTTCATCGGGTGAAGACGTTGGCAAAAAAGCTGTTTTACAAGTTTGGCAATGAATTTGAGTGAGCCCTTGAAAAGCTTTTATTGCCGCCCCCGGGTCTGTCGCTGAACGTGATTTATAATCGTCCAGGGAAGAGCGCAATGAGAATTTCAAGTCAACATTCTCCGACTTTACAGTGGTTGTGGCGGAGCGAGGGTCTATGGATACTGGGAGGGAAAGGATCTGCGGTGGATCTTGCTCGTTGGGGGTATACGAAATGCTCTTTTCTTGGAATTTTAACTTCTCTACAGGTAGCCGCTCCGGAGATTCATTTATCGAGATCGTCAGAGAACGGACGTTGGGTAATATTTCAAGAAAAGCGGGTGGAAAACTAGATTGGGAAGACATGGCACTAGGTGCAAGATCCAAGTGCAAAGGTGATCTCAATAAGTCTAGTCTCTTGTTGTCATGGCAACTTCGCAGATGAACAATAGATGCCCGCAACAGATGCTTGCACTCAAGTTCCCCTCTTTACTGCCGTCGACCAGAGTCACGAAATGTCCACGCAAACGAAACCTCGCATTGTGGTGCTCATCTCGGGCAATGGCTCAAACCTGCAAGCGATAATTGATGCTGTACAAAGCGAGTCGCTGAACGCAGAGATCGCTTTGGTAGTTTCAAACCGGAAAGGAGCATATGGACTAACGCGAGCAGCAAACGCTGGAATTCCGACCATGACAGTGACTCTTAAAGAGTTCAAGGATGCGGGAAAGACTCGGGTAGACTTTGATTTGGATGTGGCCGCCAGGATAAAGAACTGGCTCGCACAGTCGCGATCGGAAGCGGACCGCTCGTCAAATGGGACGACCGCTGTTGATACACCAGACCTTATTGTCCTTGCGGGATGGATGCATATTCTGTCACCAGATTTCTTGCAACAGTTCCCTCCGGGGCAAATCATCAATCTGCATCCTGCTCTCCCGGGAGCATTCGACGGTGCGCATGCGATCGAGCGTGCATTTAGTGCATATAAAGAGGGAAAGATACAGGAAACGGGTGTGATGGTGCATAAAGTTATACCGGAAGTCGATCGGGGCGAGGTCGTTCTGCAGGAAAGGATTCCTATTTTGCCAGAAGACACTTTGGAAACATTAGAAGATCGGATACATAAAGTTGAACACCGATTGATCGTCGAAGGTGCCAAAGCAATCCTGAGCAGATCACAAGCCTCACGATAGGCAGCGAATGGCTCAGCTTGTGCGCTCAACATTTTGTATATAACCATTAAGAGTTTGATGGAGGTTGTTGGAACGACGTTTGGGAACGGATGCCTAATCATAAATAATACTTATTCTTAAAAAATACATCAAAATTTGATTTTTCTTTTACGTGCTGTGTATTTGGAGTCCGCTGGCACTTCCTTCCCTCTTGTCCTGTTGAGTTCCTTCTTGCGCAAGACCCAGTTTTTATCCTTGACCGGTTTTCGCTGCTCTTTTCCTTTTCGCCGCTCCCGTATCCTACGACGAAATCTTAGCATTCAAACATCATGGAATGAAACAAGCAAAGTTATTGGTACCTATTTGAACCATATGTGATATGTCCAGGTGTCTCATCGCCCTCTCCGAGGGCTTTGGGCAATGCGGGACTAGAACCAGCATTGTCTTTGAATCCGGCAAATAGGCACAAATAGTATTTTTTTGCTTTGGCAGAGTTGGGAAAATCGACCACCAGTCCACCTGTGAAACCGGCACGCATGGCGCTGGATATGATCATTTCGATCTGGTCAGGATTTTCTGGGTAGAACTGAAATATCGCTCTCGCACCACGAGCTAGGGCTGAATAGAGGGTGCTAAAGAAACGCTTCAGGCGAGCACGGGGGTTATTGACGGTCTTGTCCGCATTGCAGAGCCATTGTAGAACGGATATACTAGGCGAGACAGTGCGATCAGGCCCGCTTCAACAATGTGCAATCCACGCGGGCATCATTCTTACCTGATTGCTCCATCAAATGTTCCAGGTCGATATCCCAATCCTTGACCAATATCTTGCAGAAACAGGTCTCCGTCCACTTCCCGCTCTTTGGCCACCTCCAGCATGGAATCGCTGATATCCAGACCGACCCAAAAATGGCCTTCTTCATCCAAAACCTCTCCACTCAAACCAGACCCACAACCAATATCCAGTACAAACGCTGGCTCTCCTTCTGGAAGAGCCAGCAGCTCGAGCGCTCGGTAAGACATTTCATTTTGAATGGAGACTATTCGTGAGCTGTTTTGCGGAAATGTTAGCAAAATGCGCTGAATAAGAGAGCAACGTGAGGACAAAACCTACTTGTTTGTATATTTTGAGGCTTCAGTCTCATTGTAGAACTAATATCCCAGGTGAGTAAGACTACCAAATTGGAAGCAATAGAATGTTTACAAGCTCACTATTTCTGGTGGTGCTGTGTGTTCTGGTCTTGACATGTTTGGTGCTAATAATGGTGGTTGTTGGAGTAGCTCGTCAGCATTTGCTACGCGAAATTCAAAAACAATTCACCTGTTGCCATGTCAACAAGCCAGATTATGTCAGTTCCATTAAAAAGTGCTGAAGATGGATATACTTTCTTGGACAACAAACTGGTACTTTTATGTCATTCCATGGCAATTCCCGATGCCCAAACCTTCAAAAATATAAAGGCAAGACGACGCACATTCCACATTCCATCAGAACCTTTCATCCTGCAGGCGTTTATTTACGTTCAAACAGCGTTCTTCATAGTGTGCAGGTGGTAGAAAATGTCACTAGGGACAAATTCTCCTTCCTAACTCGCTACAGCCGGTTCTAATGTACAATTAGCCAGCCTGTCCAACCCTTCATAACCTATCCTGCAAACGAGTCCCACCCCTATCCTAACTGGCTACAGGTTCCAGCCTGGGTTGAACTGGGGTACGTGAAAAGCTAACTACCACTAGGCCCAATTACACATGCAATACATTACGGTTGTTTCTAACTGGGTAACTAAGCCCACCACCACGAGAGAAATCCTACTAAGCCCTTGATTCCGAAATTCTTTAGTTCAGATACTAATTAAACCAGAATTAGACTCGGAATACGCATAGGAAAATACAAAGATAATGCATACCTGCGATCGTAGCAATATAGTAGTAGCAGCGTTTGCAAGGGGTTATGTTGTTTTTGTTGTCGGGTGGGCGAGGTCCTCGACACCAGAGCGGCATTCTCATGATGGACTGAGATGTGTTGGGCAGATGCTTTGCGAGTCGAGGATGGGTAAAGAGGAAAGAGGGAAGGTCCCCCTTTTATAGACCTTTGGCATGTGCCTCACCGCAGTTTAAAAAAAAAAACATTACATGCATGCCACACCAATCTGAGCGATAGATGGGGGTGCTGATTATGCGATATGATTAACTGGATTAATCCGGATAATAATGGGTCCTAGTGCCATTTTCAATCACCTCCACACTAAGCTTGATCGCGCGCCACGACACGTGAAAAGGTTCCCATTGGCTTTAGCATTACCATGGCAACTATTGACTATAAAAGAGCGTTGAATTCTTGCGATTTCCAGTTTTTCTTCTTTAAAAAGCAATCGAGTGCAGCCACAGTGTTACTGCTGTGGAAAAGATAGCGTAACATTGCCAGAGGGAACTTGGTTCCCTACGTACTCAAGAACAAAACGGGGGCTCATTAGGAAGTGATGTCGACGCTCCGGCGAAGGAGACGATCACGCTCCGACGGGTCCCGACAATCTTTTTTCATCCCATTCAGCATCTGCGAAATTGTGCCAAGATGAATAAAACAGCTTTGTTTTACGGTGCTTGATGCGGGATGGCAGCAATGCATGGCAGCAATATATGGTAGTATCTGTGCGTCGTATGGCAAGACCCAATACATTCAGAATGATGAAAGTCCTTCATGGCAGCTGCATGTCTTGCCATGGTCGTCAAGATTTGAATTTAAAATCCCGAAAATGTTCAATAATTTCTTCAAAAAGAAACCATCCTGTCTAAATATAAGGATCTATGTCACACTCTGCTACCTAAAACCTTGCTGCCCCATGTTGTTCATGCCCATACCTCCCATTGCTCCCATCCCCATCCCTCCCATCGACCCCATACCATTCGGCCCCATACCATTTTGCATACCATTTTGCATACCATTCGGCATTCCATTCGGCATTCCATTCGGCATCCCATTCATTCCACCCATACCACCTGGCATCGTATTCATGTTCATTCCGCCCATACCATTTGGGGCAAATCCACCCATTCCACCCATTCCATTTGACATTCCTTGCATCGGTCCCATGCCTCCCATATTTGACATATTTGTGCCCATCGGAGCCATCCCTCCCATCGGGCGCATTCCTTGAAAACCGCCCATGTTGACACCGCTCATACCCGGCATACTACTTGGCATCGTCGGCAGCTGCTGCTGCTGCGGCTGCTGAAAAGCGGGCCCCCCTCCAAATTGCATAGCCCCTGCATTTGGCGCAGAGGTAGGTCCGCGAGCAACACCTTGCAGAAAGTTCATGCTTGGAGTGCCTGGATTGCTCCCGAAACTGTTGGGTGTAGAGGTCCCTGAAGGAATAGCCCCCGACATGCCCGACATGCCATGGAAACCCGAGTTGTTTGAAGACAAGGACAGGGCTGGGCTGGGGAGTCCCGTTCCGCTCATAGCTGGTGACATTTGTGGTTGCATACCGCCACTGAATCCCATAGGTCGTGCGCTGGTGCTCACTGTACAACAAATCAAAATTGTTTAGCGCCTGGATATGATCGTTAGCAAGAACGTCAACAGGAACATACTTGATGGAGGAGGTTGAGTAAACATAGAAGGAGCCAGCGGGTCGAGAGATTTCAAAGCCGAATATTTATCATCTAGAAATATACATCAATGAGTGAAACGGTAGTCACAAGCGCAATTTGGGTAAACTGTACCTGGTCGTTGCCCAAACGATGCTGGGCCTTGAGGGTTACCCATTAACTGCGGCCTGTTTGGGAGTGCCCCTCCAAAATTTCCCGTACCCGAAAAGTTTGGCGCATTCGACGCTGGCATCGGCTGCATATTCGGGCCCATCAACCCCATATTCGGCCCTACTCCAGATGAGGGCCTGGCACCACCACCAACAGGTACAAATGCAGTAGTCGAAGATGAGGCAGGTATGAGAGGTGGTGGCAAGGATGCAGGCCTTGGAGCAAGTGAAGGTGAAGGTGTATGTATCTGTGGTGTCCCAAGTGGTGTTCCAATGGCAGGAGTCAGCATTGCTGGACGTTGAACTGCCGCTTGCTGTGCGGCAAGTAGGGCTTGTTGGGTTTGTTGCTGAATTAACGCAGCCTGTCTTGCAGTTTCTTGTGCTTTAATTAAAGCAGCCTGCGCCTGAACTTGGGCAGCCTGCCTGGCTTGCTCTTGTGCTTTTGCAAGCGCCTGTTGTGCCTGCTGGAGGGCTTGTTGAGCTTCCTGTTGTTGCTTTTGCGCGATCAGAGTCTGCTGTGTCGGAGCGGCACTGGCACTCGGCGTAGACGAGGCAGCCACAGTCGCCACTCTTGTAGCTGTCGGAACAGCCCATGGATCATTGTTTGAGGCAGGTCCGGATTTTCCGGTAGCACCTCCAGGTGCGGGCGAACTGGAGAATGAGGACCGCGCAGATGTTCGACCGCTTGGTGTTCCAGGAGGTGATGGGTTCGGAGATCCACGGCGATTTCGTTGGTCGCTGTTAGCTTTTAGTAAGTCAGCTGCATGTTGGATGACCTGCATATTCGGCGGCCCAGACGTGGACGCGGACCTCGATTCTATTACATACGAGATCAGTAAAAGGACAAATGCGACATCAGATACTAGCACACTCACGTCGGCGAGGCACTCCGTGCTTAGCGTCTCCCTATAAGAGGTATTTATTTCAAAGCCGCAAAAGTGTATAACGTACTCATTAACTTACAGCCAGTTTCCCCAATATATGTAGATTGCTTTGCAACGCCGCGTGCTCCCTATCATTAGCTGCAGCGACATTAGCGGGGGTTGTCGCCGGTAAGCTTGCAGCTTTCCTGATGCGAAGAATGTCTCCTTCTGTCACTCCCAGGTTCCTAAGCAGCTCACGATCCAGATCTGCCAAGTGAGTACGATCCATCCGCTCCCCTACAAACTTTTGTGCGTAAATGAGGGCATCGCCTGCCGAAACCCCCGCTCCAATCAGGAACTCGCGCCAATCGAACCCGTTGTACACAATATTGTCTGTGGTGGGTGTTTTTGGTCGTATACTAGCAGCCGCTGCCAAGGTGGCAACACTTGGACCTTGTTGAGCTTGTGAGGGTCTAGGCGCTGTTTGCGTCGCGGCAGGGACTTCAATATTGGCATTTCCAGGAGTTGATCTGACATACTCAATGTCGTCGGGGTCCAACTTTGCCAAAGGGACAGCGATCTTCACTCCGTTCGTCTTGTGAAGGTGTACCTTTCCATCTGCCACACCAAGAAACTGTGCCTCGACTTTGAAAGAACCTGTACGATCAGTCCAAGTGCGCAAGTGAGCTGGATTCGGTTTCTCTTGCCCGTCGGTCTTCCCCTGAGCCTTCGATGTGGATGCATCTTCCGTCTTGGGTCGTGAAGCAGGCACAGGGGGGCGATCGGGCAAAGGTGGTCGTGGAGTATCGCCGGTGCGCACGGGTCGCTGAGGAATGGGTCCCACATTAAATGGCCGCGCACTGGGTATTGCAGGCGTGGGACGCTGTGGAGGGTCAGGCATGCCAGCGGCAGGGCGCATTGGAAGAGTAGGACGAGCAGCTTCCGTTTCGTTTGTCTTCCTCTTACGCTCCTCCTCCACTCTCCGCCGGCGCTGCAGCTCTTCTTCTTCTTGACGTTTCCTACGTTGCTCCTCTTCCTGTTCTCTTCGTCGTCGCTCTTCGGCCTCTTGCCTTCGCTTGCGTTCTTCTTCCTCATTTCGGCGCCTCCGCTCTGCCTCTTCCTGCTCCCAGCGCTGTCGTTCAAGGTCTTCATTTTTCGCGGCAGGTCCCCCGACTCCATCTTCCGCTAGTCGCTGCTTGAGCTGTTTCCCTGACAGATCAGATCATGGAATTTCTTTGACAAAAGGTATGCATACCCTTACCTGAACGTACGATGCTGGGACTAGGCCCTCTCGTCCCTTCTTGGAAATCAACCGCACACGCCACCATTCCTCGTCGGAATCATCCAAGACCACCAGATTATCATTTTCACGAATCGTGAGCTCATCCTCGGTTGTAGCTTCGTAATCGTAGAGAGCCACAGCAATCTTCGGCCCATGGCCTCCAGGACTGGGCTCCGGTTGCGGCGATCTCGGGGGAAGAGCCACAGGAAATGCAGGCGCTGGAGGGACTGGGGATGGCGTGGCAGACGGTTGAGGTGTCGTGTTGGTGCGAATGGGAGGTGGAGGATTGACAGCCGTTGGACTCAAGGATTTCTTCTGCAAGATAAATCAACCATTAGATAGGAACATCGAGAAAGAGAATGTTTTCACAGTATACAATACCTTATTCTGCACATGTTGCAACCGGGCAAGAAGCGCTTGAATATCAGCCTTCTCTCCTTCAAACTGGCGCTCGTCACTTCCAAATTCCAGAATAAGCTTTTTCGATTTCTTCTCAGTAAACTTGGTGAGCTCGCTCATCTCCCATCTCATCAATATATCCTTTGTCTAAAACTATCTCATGAGAGTCGAGCTTGGTACATAATAAAAGAACTCCAATTACCTTGTCATCGGCCACAAAATATATCACAGAGTCATCACTGATACCCATGAAGCCTTTGCGACTGTTCTTTTTCTTCTTTTTATCAACCTCCTGTCAAGATAGAAAGGTAATATCAAGTCTCAAAACCAGATAGTCAGTCTTCTGATTACAATGATGCTGCCATACCGTGACGCTGTAGTAGTTAATATCTTGTGGGCCCATGTTTTCTATCGACCGATGCACAACCGTCTTTGGCTTCTCAAATCCTAGTCCGCCAAGAGCGGATAGCAGCTGTTGCTTCTGTGCCTCTGCATCTTCAGCAATCACTTCAGGGGGATGGACATGCGTCGGTTCAGGAGCATGTGCAACTTCCTCGTACTGATCGGGTTGAGGTTCATAAGTTTGTTCGTTGCTCCCAATGTCGTCCTTTAGGGAAGACCAGGTGAGATTCACATGCTGCGTTCAGAGATGAATAAATAACTGTACGGTACCTCCGTCTGCAAGTAGGTCGCGGGGATAAGTCCAACGGAGTTTTCATATTGACCAAACCACCAGTCTGGATCGTTCATCTCATACAAACGTATCTCCACTCCCTCAGGAAAGCTAATTTCTTCTGGGGCAGAGGCATCGTATTGATACAGACTTCTCATAATTGCCAATGGATCGGCCTTGTGAATTCAAAATATCAATTTCAGAGTTCTCCGCTCAACCTGACGGATGTCAGTATATGTGACGTGTACGCACCTCTTGAATATACGAGGCAGGGATGAGGCCCTCTTGGCTGTCCCCAAATGTGTCGCTTGGCTTCTGTACGGCTCTCCACCATTCTGCATCTGAATCGTCCGTTACTAGCAGCAAATCACCTTCCTTCACCGAAAGCTCCTCAGCCTCCTGCGCCTCATAATCATAAAGCGCCCGAGTTACAAGCTTGCAATGCATGTTGCTAATTCGTCTATTCCTTCATGCAGTCAATGGCTCAAAGACTCTACAATATTTGATGGCACTGCGGAGAACTGCTATAGAATATTTGTTTTGGTAAGGATGGCAATGTCGAGGCCACGAGTTCTTTTTCCTTTTCAGAGAAACTTTACCGCTGCGGTTCAATAGAAATCTTGACGTCGAGTACAACGTAGCCTGGTAGCGATATTTCGTCACTCCGAACCCTGATCGAAGGGGGAGGAAGTAGGTTGCGAATGTGGATGGAAAACGAATGGGACGAGTCCTTGTTTGTTGGGCGGTTCTGGCTTGTGAAGCCTTACTACGCCACTGACGCGGTAGATCACGTGAGCTGTGGCTGGGGGAAAGGTTCAAATAGCGATTTGTTTTTTTCGCTTTTGGCTCTTTCCCGCACTCGTCGGGCAGCCAAGTGATCGTCATCCTTGGCTTGTAAAGTGCGGGGACTTGTACATTTTCCTTCTTGAAATACACTGTCTTTTAGCCTCTTGCATTCCATACCGTTGCAGGTACTTTTGTGCTTTCTTACGAATGTAGATACGCAGTGATCTGCCGCCCAAGAGTTGGAGACAGACGACTGTTGCTGACCTTTCCCCGGGGTCTGTTTTTGCATCTTTACTACTCTACAGTTATGAAGTACATCCTAGTTACCGGCGGTGTGATTTCGGGAATCGGAAAGGGTGTTATTGCTTCGTCTACTGGTCTCCTATTGCGCACACGTGGGTTGCGAGTAACCAGCATAAAAATCGATCCCTACTTGAATATTGATGCTGGAACTTTGAGCCCTTTGGACCATGGTGAGGCTCATGTGTCTATGAAATTCTTGCACGACACCTAGGTATAACATGAGAAATTGCTGTGGTCCAGGTGAAGTATTTGTTTTGGATGACGGTGGAGAGGTGGATTTGGATCTTGGAAATTACGAACGTTTCCTCGATATCACGCTGACTCGCGAGAACAATATCACAACGGGGAAGATTTACAAAAGCGTTATTGAGCGCGAGGTACATTTTGGGGAAGCTGTGTAAAAGGGTTGCAGAGAACTAAAAGATCCTGCTTTTCCGAATGCTTAGAGAAAAGGAGATTATCTTGGCAAAACGGTACAGGTTGTTCCACATATCACGAATGCGATCCAGGAATGGGTGGAACGCGTGTCGAAGATCCCTGTTGATGATAGTGGAGAGGAACCAGATGTCTGCATTGTCGAACTCGGAGGAACCGTAGGCGATATCGAGTCAGCTCCATTCATCGAAGCAATGCGGCAGTTCCAATTTCGTGTTGGACATGACAACTTTTGTTTGATCCATGTCTCCTTGATCCCCGTTGTGGGATCCGTTGGAGAACAAAAAACAAAACCCACCCAGGCTAGTGTTCGCGATTTGCGCGGTTTGGGTCTGTCGCCAGATTTGGTATGGAGTAGTGTGGTTCTCGCAATCATTCAATCACAGTTGGTGACTGGGATTCTACTCAGGTCGCGTGCCGTAGCAGCAAACCCCTTGATGAAGATGTTAAGGAGAAGATTTCCATGTTCTGTCATGTGGCTAAGGAGAATGTCATGGCGGTGCACGATTGTAAATCTGTGTATCATGTGCCTCTTCTCCTGGATCAACAAGGAATGGTGAATGTCCTGCAAAAACGATTGGGACTTGTCCCCCGACAGGATCCGAAATCTGTTCATCTCTACTCCAAGTGGAAGGAACTCACGATGCGGTACGTTCAAATGCAACAGGTGCTTTTGAGTTTTGCAAAATGATAACCTGTTGCATTAACAGTCACGATCGACTTCACGATTCGGTCAATATCGTTCTCATTGGAAAATATACGCAGTTGAAGGACTCGTACATTTCGGTTGTGAAGGCATTGGAGCATGCGGCACTCTCTTGCAATCGGAAGCTGGTCATTGAGTGGGTGGAGGCATCTGAGCTGGAAACTGCCACCCTTTCTGTTGACCCAATCAAGTACCACGAAGCTTGGAAAGTGCTTGTCGGTGCCAGGTGGGTAGTTGGTGTTCCCTTACACGCAGGAGCTCCATTTGATGAAGCTCCTTCTGTTTAGTGGTATCTTGGTGCCTGGTGGCTTTGGTGAGCGTGGAACAGAAGGGATGATTGCAGCTGCCAAGTGGGCACGTGAGAACAAGATTCCATACCTTGGCATCTGTCTTGGTATGCAGATTGCCGTTATTGAGTTCGCTCGGAATGTTTGTGGCCTCGCCAGTAAGTTCGTTGTGATACCATTTTCGTATATTCTATTTGACCCATATCTTTTGCGTGACATCAGGCGCGAACTCGGCTGAACTGGATAAGGACACCCCCCATTCAGTTGTAATCAACATGCCCGAAATCTCGCAAACTATCCTTGGAGGCACGATGCGTCTTGGCGATCGTGCAACCATCTTCAGCGAAGGTAGTGAGACCTCCATTACCCGACGCTTGTACGGCAATCCACATATCATTCACGAACGACACCGTCATCGCTACGAGGTGAACCCTGAAAATGTGAAGCAGATTGAGGAAGCCGGGATGTCCTTTATTGGTAAAGATGACAAAGGAGAACGTATGATCATTGTTGAAATTAAGGGTAGGTCACTGTCGCTGTCTTTATGCAGTTTTTCCGAATTGCAACTTACCTTTGTGTGCAGATCATCCGTTTTTCGTTGGAACCCAGTTCCATCCGGAATACAAAACGCGGCCACTCAAACCCACACCAGTATTCCTCGGTTTTATTCTTGCGGCTTCAGGCTTGTTGGATCAGTATCTGAGCTCTTTGGATGGGCCAAAGGAATCCCGACTATTGGGCCGATACCCGAGCGTTGGTGAGAACCTCGATGTGGTTCAAGATGAAAACCTGGAGAAGGTGGAGAGGGCGAATGGTCTGAGGTCTGCAATTGTGGCAAATGGAGTGAGTATCGAGAAGGATGGTCATAAAATATAGGGATGTCGTACGCAGATGGGTTATATATAGTCTTTTTTGTAAAGCTGAGGGTAGTTTCACCTTTTTATCACACAGTTTCTGTAGCAGAGTTGCGCAGAGAAGGACCACCACACAGAAAAATAAAACTTTGTTCTCTAATCTAATGATATGTTTCGCATGCGATATTTTATCAAATGACCTCACATAGAGTCCAAGACCCTGGTTTAAGTAAAACCGCACTGAGGGACCCCGCTACAGCCAATACAGGATTCCTTCGGCTTTTGTGCACCGTTTGCAATTTAGCTGTCTCCAGATAATGTTGATTCTTCCATGGGCGTGTCGTAATGGTAGGGCAAGCCCCATATACATACTCGACTATCAATGGGGATACAGGTGCCGTCATCTTCTCTTATACACTCGATGCCATCACCGTCCATTACGAGTTGGCCACTCAAAAGGTCTCTTCGTTGACCAGAGCAACTGGCAAGCAGGGGTAGGGAGGGGTGAAAGCCGGCTGCACTTACTGTGTCTGTCGTTTACGCTATCAGGAAACTTGCACATTTGAGTAGCTGCAACTGACTAGCCATACCTCGATGCCCTTGAAATTCCTTTACCAGCTCGTGCGTTTTCAAGTCATATATTAAAATACGTCCATCCTGCAATGCCGTCAATAAGATAAAATGACAATACACTTGTCAGGGCAAATGAGACATACCTGATCTCCAGTGCTCAGGTAACGCCCGGAAGGATCAAGATCAAAGTTGATACGCTGATTTGTGTCTCCCTTTCGCTGATACCGTGCAATTATCTCGCCTGTATTCCGTATATCCCAGCATTGGATCTCATCACTCTTTCGTGATGCCGAGAAGAGATAACAGCCGTCCATCGAGAACTGAACCTGATCAATAGAAGAGACAAAGTTACAGCAGATTCACCCAGGAGGACGAGGGGCCATACAGACCTGTGTAATCCCTCCTCCATCCCCCAGCTTCATCAAATCGAGTAGCTCATCGTTGCGCTCGTCATAGAGTCCCACATTCTTTGAAAATGATCCTGCAGCATACATGCCAGAACGGTCCGGATTGAAAGCGATGGATGAGATCAGGCCTATTTCCTTTATATTATTAGTCCATTGAAAGATGCGGATTCGATGCGATAGAAAGAATTCACCTTTTTGTCCCTCTCTGCTTCGTTTAGTCGGAGTTGTGGGCCTGCGCTCAGAGTCCTTGCCAGGCCGCTGTGTCTCAAAAATCTGGATCAGATTGTTGAAACCGCAATATAGTCTACATGAGTTGGATGAGCAATCTGCTCACGCTGATCGTTTCTAATTTCAAAAAACTTGTACACTTACTTTGTACCATCCAAGTTGAAGGCTAACGCTGTTGGTGCTTGAACTTCATCAAGATGGTCGTGGGCCGCATACGAACAGCGTAACTAGAAGAGAGCAAGAGGTTATATTACCGTCTTTAAGCGGACCAAAAATGTCAGTGTACTCACTTGCCCCGTGTAGGCGTCCCAAAGATGTACGGGATGATCTCGCACGCTCGTGAGGAAACAGCAGGTGCTAGGATCTAGATTTGGCTCGTTACTACCGACTCGGTTGATTCCCTTGCACAAGACAGTTCCTACCAGCAGAGGTCATAAACGGGTACCAACAGAAGTCATAAATGGATTCCGCTTCTTTCACTGCGATGGCAGAGGTAAGGGTGTCGCCAAGTATAGTGCTAGAATCGACTATCTCCGCAGATCTACAACGATCAGATGCGCAATCAACAAGAATTTGAAATCAAAGACTCAACTACTTTTCATATAGTCGAAGGATATTGTCGTTGGTGCTACTCAAAAGACACGTCCCATCTGGACTCCTGTAAATTCTATACTTTGTGAGGAACAAAAACAACCTCGAGGCTTCAAGAGTTACCACGCACCATTTCAGACCTTTGCAGAAATTTACTTGGCGAGCAGCGCTAGCATCGTCCGTCGATAGGACGACAGGGCCACACAATGCACTTCCTGTCGATATCGTTAAAGAAGGGTCTCTTCCAAAGTCGTAATTATACATGTAGATCATGGGCGGGGCATCGTTCATGGGTTCCTCGAGATTTCCCGTTTCTGCAATTTCACCCGGTTCTACAATCTCAGCAGGCTCTTCAATATCTTCCATTTGAACGGTAGAGTAATAATATAATGGGCAATGTAAAGAATGTTCAGTATGCAAGTTGGAAATGAAGGTTAAACGAGAAGGGAAGCGAAGTCTGACTCATCTACCAGGATGTCAGCGCGCCGAGCCCCACGGTGACTCTCAACGATCTACACTGCAATTCACTCGCACTCAAAAGGTACGAAAGTATAGCGGAAACTCTTGGATTATCTGCTTTTAATGTGCTCACTGAGTGGTCTTCTCCATTGTATCACCTGGCAGGTTGCCAAATGCCGTATCCGCAGCTGCAACAAGATTCAAAAGATGTGGACACACGAGAAACGATAGCAGACGCCGCGGACAGGTAAATATCTTACTCCAACGGACGATATCTGAAAGTTGTTAACCTTTTTCTCTTAGGATCTTTCCCAAATATCTGTCTTTGACTGAAGAGCTCTTTGTCAGCTTCGAAGCACTCGCACAGCCTTCACCGTTACCACCGCCCTCTGAGCTAGAACCTCTGTCGGACGAACCTTTTGATGCCCTGCAAACTCTCCTTCCTGCATCCGATGAAGAAGATCGGCCGTCTGATTATGTATCTATGCAGTCATCCAATTCCAATACCACAGTGCCTGAGCACCCCACCGAGATTTTACGAAAGCTCTTGGCCCTGGACTCGCAGCTACAGGACTTTGTCAACCGATGTGAGTATACAATGAGACCACTTTAATACCACTACAAAACAGTGGAGAGTTCAGGTCTCACTCACACCGGCCGGGTATTCCATAAAGTAGAGCAGCACCAGAATACTCAACGCCAAATAGAGAGCGTCCGACTACAGTTATTGGACCAGGAGGTTGGGATCATGGAATTTTCACGACGTCTGGGGGAAAAACAGGACGATCTGGAGGAGCTTGTGACCGTGGCCAAGGAAACAATCGAAGCAGCGAGTAAGGCACACGAAGGTAGGAAACGAAAGACATTAGGAACGTACATGCGTCGCCTCTTTTAACATTACCACCCGTTAACTTCACAGCTCCATTGAACATTAACGAGATTATATCATACGCTTCACGTGTATCAAAGTACACTATGGCTTCCGACAACGCCGCAAGGCCGCACGAACCACCTGTACCTCAAGACATCCACATGCGCGCGAGTTTGCTGTTCCAACAAGGCCATGCAGTTGACACACATGCAGAAGAAAAAGGTAACATAAGACCGCCACTCTCTGGTACTGGGCATGAAGTTGGTCTTACATCTGTTCTCTTATTTCTTCGCATAATCACAACAGCATCAGACGAGGTTTCAGATGTCATTTCACATTTTACCTTTATGAGCCAACCATTGTCATCACCCAAAAAGGAAGAGCCCGATCGAGCTCATACGGACCATGCCGATTTGTTAGATTTGGAATTGTAATATCAAATCTATCTTTTCTCAATCCTGTCATGTCATGATTTCTGTGAACCGCTATAGTAGATGGTACTTGCAAGAAAGGTTGCAAAGCACTGTTCTTGACACTATAGCAACTGTATTTTAAATGACATCATTCAGTTTTGTGAATGCCATGCTGCTCGTAGGCTGCAACCAATTATCAGCAGGATATTCTGCGGCCCCCTCAATACAGTGAAAGGTATAAATCCACCGACTTTTATCCGACAAATTATGACCTGACTTATGCAAAACCGAACCGTGAATCAAAACCAATGATCCGGCAGGCGTTGGCTCGCAGACGTAGTCTGTTTCTGGAGGTTCTTCTACTGGTTCTTCAATGAGATTTCGGAAACCGGTTCCTTTGCCATTCAGGTTCCGTACAAATCGCTTGTAGATGGGCACTGTCTTGTGCGATCCAGGTGCGAAGTACATACACCCATTGTCAGGTGTACAATCTTCCAATGCAAACCATAATCCCACAGCAGATAGTGGTTCTGTGTACAAAAAGGTCGAATCCTGATGTGGTGGAACTCGGCCCCCAATCCGAGGTTGTTTAAAGATGACCATTGATTGCAAGATCTGCGGATCTTTAAATCCAAGGCTTCTGATAATGGCCTTCACTCTTGGCTGCGTTGAGAACTTCTTATAGTCGGGATCCTTTTCATGAAGGGCATGGCCGATTTTGTTGATAGCACGGGTTTTGTCCACTTTCAATCGACCGTCTTGATCAAAGGCATCCTCCTCAAAAAAGAAGCGGATTTGATCGCCGCTGTTCAAAAAGTAATCATCTCCAACATGGTCCGTCTATGTAGCTCTTGGTCAAAACATTGAGCTTGGCCACAGTTTTTGACCGTGGAATACCTTTTCACCAGTCGAGAAGGTAGTTTTGGGATGGCTTTCGAGATCTAGATATTGGAACCAAAGTTAATACCGAGAATACAGCTTTGGTACAGTAATCCAATACGCACCAAACTCTTCCAGTAAATGTTGTGCGCGATTTCGCAACTTGACAATATCATCTGCTGTGAAGAAGTCGCGGATGACAAGATAGCCGTCCGCTTCAAACTGACACTCCCGAAAACGATGCTGTTCATCAACCAGCCCGCGGCAGGGTAACAAAAGAACTTATGGCTTTATTCACTACCTTTGCTCGCTGCTCTTCTGTCAGACCGTTGTCGACTGCCATGATGGAGATTGAGGAGATATGAAACCCATTGAGGTTCTACAACATGGGTTATCAGTTATGTGGCTTAGTCTCGCTCTTTGCAACTACACCACAGCGTAAGTAAAGCCAAAGTCTAAGAAGATCGAAATACGAAGGAGCAATAGTCCTTATGCAATGTTTATTTATAAAGGGCTGGTTATACTACATGAATCAGTGTCAGAACAAGAAGTTAAGGCTTAACAGGGATACCCGCAAACTCCTCCAGACCCAGCGCCAGATTAATATTCTGCAAGGAGCGAGTGGTCAGAAGTTTTCTAAAGGTAGATGTAAGGGTGTTTGACGACATACCTGCAACGCTTGTGTGGCTGCACCTTTCAGCAAGTTGTCGATAGTGGTAACCACAACTACTCGCTTTCCTCCCGAATGTACTTTAAACCCTCCAATTTCTACGTGATGTTGCCCAGCAATGTCTTTCACTTCCGGAATCTCCCCCTCCTTGAATACTCGTACTAATCTCTCACCATCGTATGCCTCCCTGTAGATGTCCTCAATGTCATTGCCATTCATGGTTTTGTTCAATGGGATGGACACCGTCAATGATATTCCCTGAAAGAACTGACCAACGTGTGGAATAAATGCTACCGGTGCACCAACATGGCGGCTCACTTCCCGCTCATGGATGTGATCCGTTAGGGCGTACGGAATAAGGTTGTCACGGAGGTTGTTGATGTCGTTCTTGGGAGATGGCTTCGTTCCTGCTCCACTATAACCAGAAACTCCAAAGACGGTGGGAATTCCATCCAGGTGTTTTACCAGAGGAGCGATCGAGAGTTGTGATCCGGTGGCATAGCATCCAGGGTTCGAGACCTTCCTCACATTTCCAGCAGAGAGCTTGGCACGATGTCCATACAGTTCGGGCAGTCCGTACTGCCACTCGTTCGTGAAGCGGTAGTCGGCACTCAAATCGAGAACCAATGGGTGCTCGGATCCTTTAGAAACCACAGCATCCACAAATGGCTTACACACTCCGTTGGGCAGAGCCATAACCCAACAGTCAACATCGCTGACTTTCTTCACGTCCTCTGGTGACAGATTGCTGTAGGTAACTTTCGACCGTTTGTAGTATGCACATGGCTTGCCCACAAGCTCGCGAGATGAAACGTATGCAAGTTCCGCGTTTGGATGATTATCAATGAGCTTAATGAGCTCCTGACCAGTGTATCCGCGAGCACCGATGAGCCCTATCCTGGCCCGAGAGGAAGAAGTAGTAGCAAAGCCACGTCGTTGCTGTCCTCGCTGTCCTCCAGGAACAGTAGAGAAACTGCGCACACCCCTAGCCGTCGAAAACAATGGTGCACCCGCAGAAGCTGCCGCAATGTTGGATGATGTCGCGCCTGATTGTCCACGTTGAGCCGCTTCGGAGAAGTGCTTCAAGTATCCCTGGACACTTTCGAGATTGTCAATACCATACCAAAACAGAGTCTTATCGCCTGCGGTATAGCTGCCATCTGCGCGTTCGAAATACCAAGTCTTGTTTGGGTCATCTTTAAGTGCGACCCAAGCAAGTTTCTCAAAGTCCTTCTTGATCATCTGCCAGACGTTATCCGTTACATTGTTGAGCACGGCAGTTTTAGTGGCAACAAACTTCTCCAAGAACGGGATGCCATCTCCACTGGGCTTAGCAACAACGGCGAAAATGTCAAAAGCTGCGTCGCTGTATATCTGTACATCCTGTCCTTCCAGACTTTGTAGATACTTCCCCACGGACGTATTGCCCTGCAATACGTCGGGATCATTGTCTTGGAGCAAAATCCGCAAGCGATCCAAGTCCAGCTTGCTGGGATTAGTGTGGCGCGACACACGGTGACCGCGACGGATGAGTGTACCAGCGCCACTATGTGTAAACAGTTCTTTGTGTAGATGTTCGGCGGAGATGATAGACACGGACGAGGATCGCGGGAGATGCATCAATAAATCATGGATTTCGCGGATCTTCAGTTTAGTCCCGTACCGAACCCAAGATTCCTTCATCAACGATTCGTACTCCTGCCATAGCAATTAACAACGGAGTGCCATGGCTAAATTTGATAACCTAACAATTCGCTTACCTCGTCAAGATTGAGAACGTCCATCTTTTTGCCAGTTACACCGTGGAAGAGCCCGCCCTTCTCATTGATATATACAATTTTAAGTGGCTCAAGCACACGAGCAAGCTCTCCAGCCGCCACATCTGCATTAACATTGAGGATCTGCCCGGATGGCGTCTCCGCCAAACTGGTAAGAATCGGTAAAGCCCCTGCCCTGATGCTGCTCTCGACCAGCTCCTTGTTGACATGCTTTATCTGGCCCACATACTGGTACTTGTCCTTATCCAGATAATCTGCTGTAAAGACACCCCCATTTATTGGTCTGGCCCTCGTTCCTAGCTTTTCCAAAGCTTCTACTAATCGCAGATTCTCCTCCTGAAAGACTTTCCGAGCAATCTCCAACGTTTTCGCGTCCGTGATACGGATCCCTTCAATATAATCTGGCTCTACTCCAGCCTCCTCTAAAAGTCGGTTCAGCTGAGGGCCGGCTCCGTGGACCACAATTGGGTACAGTCCAACGCGATTAAGGAAGGTAAGTGATGAAGCGAGCGTATCCAAGTCATCCGTGAGAACCGCTCCGCCAACTTTAATAACCGCAAATTGGTGTGATTCGACGCTTGAAAAATGACGAAGGTATTGCTCCACTTCCTTGCGAGAGCCAATGTTATACAGGAGTTTAACAATGGTTTCCTGCAATATGCAAAGTGTAACATTAGTTTCGTGTGGTTCATATGTATTATTTCAGTTTGCCGTAAGCCCACCAACGACCCATGTTACTAACCTTCTCTGAGATGGTAGACATGTTCCGGTGAAATGTCATCTGGTACCGCGTTCGCGTGCACGTCACTGCTGGTGGCAGTGATCGGTTGGATCTGGCTACCGACCGCAAAGGTGATCGGAGAGCCGATAGCCCTTTCGAAGGCCGCGAACATGCTCGAAGAAGCGACATTTTTGCCGGCAGCTAAAGGAACCGTCACAGGCGAAAGTCCTTTTAAACCTGGAAAAGAAACGCGCGGTTAACGATAAACAGCAGATTCAGAAAGTGAATGACAACCACACCCCAACCTGTGATCAGTAAAGTAAGACTTTAAGCGAAGGATGTTGGGTTGTGCCGGCCAACGAAGAACTCCAACGTCCAGCAAAGGAAGCGCTGGCCATACGGAAGATGAGATGGGAGTCACACGGTACCATGTGATATCACGTGATTAGTGATCGTCAGCAGCCACGTTTCGTGAACTCGCCTGCGCAAACCTTTGAATATCCCTGTGAGCATCAACAGCGTTACTGCTACCACCGGATAAGGAGAGACTGACATCAGAATGGGGGCCGACAACTTTCTAACACCAAAGGTAAAAAAGATATGAAGAGCGACGTACGTTGATCGAAGCTGATCCCGAACCTGTTCTTGTTGTATAGGCTATTGCCAACAGAATAAAGGCCAAGGGCCTCCAAAAGTTACGGTGGTACTGTCAAATGTGCGAAAAACAATGTCGGGATGAGAACGGTTTCAAATGTCATTGTGCGTCCGAGGGCCACTTGCGACAAATGCAGCTTTTTGCCGAGTCCCCGCACAAATTCATGAACACCTATTCGCAGGAATTTCAGCAGGAGTTCATGAAGCTTCTTTCTCGTCGGTATGGCACACGTCGTGTACATGCGAATCTGGTATACCAGGAGTATATTTCAGATCGACACCATCTGCACATGAATTCAACCCATTGGCAATCATTGTCAGAGTTCGTAAAGCATTTGGGACGAGAAGGACTGTGCGAGGTAGATGAAACACCCAAGGGATGGTTCATAAAGTGGATTGACCGAAGCCCGGAAACATTAGCCAAGCAAGAAGCTATACAAAGAAAGGAGCGGATGGAAAGAACAGATGAGGAAAGAACTCAAAAGGCTCTTGAAGAGCAAATTAAGAAGGCACAAGAGCAAGCGGCTGAGCAGGAGCAGGTTAGTTGGCAAGGACGAGGATCATGAAAATTTAGCCATCCTGATTTTGTTAAATGTGATTCCAGGAAGCAACCGAACTCAAACGAGATACCGCCGAAGAGCCAATCAAACTGCAATTGAAGACAACATTCGCATCAAAACCTTTCAAGAAATTTGAGCCAAAAAAGCTGAACGCACTTGCCATGGCAAGTAAGAAAACAGCTACGCCAGCAACTTCATCACGAGCGCCGGAAAATGGAGGTACCTCATCAACGGATTTGGTGGGAAAGAAGGTATCCGCAGTGGAGCAGATTATACAAGACGAGCTGGCACGCAAGCGAAAAGGTCCACCAGGAGGATTTTCATTTTCTCAACGTGATGAGAAGAAGCGTCGATGACACCCGTTGCGAATTTATTAAATGACAATTAGCAAAAGATAGTTGTTGTAGATAACTCTTGCATGCAAATCTATTGTTTGATGGATGCAGTCCCATTCTGATATGTCAACACCAAATGATCGTAGAACATTTGCTCTAATTCCTCCTGGTTCGTCCCTTTATATTCCTTGGAAAGTTTCTTCACCACTTTCTTTCGTAGTTTTGAGATCGACATCGTATGGTTCTGCACCGGCATGTCATTACCAACAATGGGGTGATCGGCCAGACCTTACCACCGTTCTTACCTTCTTTAGTACGGCTAACACAGCTTCTACCACACCCTTTGTTTTGTCCACATCTACATTGTTTGCATCCTGCGCCAGGTCCGGTGACGCCTCAGACTCTTCCGCCGCGGCCTTCTTCGACTTTCTCTTCTTCTTTCCCTCGTCTGGTGTGTCTTCCGTCACCTCCTCCCTAGGTCGTTTTGATCCTGTTTCGGAAGAGGCTTGTGCAGTTTTTGCTCTCTCCGATTTCTTAATCTGAGATATCAATGACTCCGATGTTGGTGCTTTCGCAATGTTTTCCTTCGTCCCATTGGTCTGCTTCCCCTCGTTCTTGTTGTTGCCGGTTTTCACACTGGCATTGTTATTCTGCTGATTTTGCTGCTATTTTCGTCGTCCGCTAATATGAGCGATCAGGGGTACGAGTATAATCTGCGGCACCATCCTCACCTTTTTCGGTCCTTTATATAAGGCACCTTGATATTTTTCCGCCTCAGAAATGCATGAAGTATGCGCCCGGTACTAAGGCAAGCCCAATACGAATTGGTTGAAGTTCTGCAAACATGGATCCAACGTCTATACTTACATTTGTACCTTGGAATGTGGTGGAGCAGTCTGTAGTAATAGTCAGCATTCTGGATCAAGATCATGCAAGACACTGATCTCCCGTACCTATGCATGTGTACTGGGCTTGGCGGCAGCGTCCTCTGTGCTGATCTAGCTTTGCCTTTTTAAGGGTTTCCTGACAGTAGTCGCTAATTGATAGCAATCAAAAACTCTGTTCGTCATGCTCAACCCAAATATGAATATAATAACATACCAGACAAAAGAAACCATTTTTATAATGAGGAAAACGGTGATTGACCAGGAAAGGAACTGGGTTTGATGGAAAAATATCTAACCACTTTACACCAATTACAAAATCGAATCATATTTAACCATTTTATTAACCAGAAGAAACGCAACGTATGAATGTAAACAAATGCACGTATATATTTAAAATTACATTCGTTTTCGACTCTCCACAGACTTTTTCAAGAGCGCGACTGCACTACCAAATCGACAGATCAGATCGCTGTGTCGTAGCACACCTCTCACTGTAACTTATACTGGTCACCGCTTGGGATAGTCCAATAATGTCACAGGTGGAATAGGGGAGGGTGCCTTTGTACAGTCGTCAACAAATTGACTAGTACTAAGATTAGAACCAGTGTCGAGGGATATGTATTGCAGTTGCCCGTCATAGCAGTTAGCTTGTCGGCTTTCGAAACTTTCCCTGCAACCATACTCTGTACATTTTTAACTTACGCGACCGGTTGACAATCAGCCGTCTATCTACAGCATTTTGCTCTATAATAAAATCTTTAAACATCTTGGAGATGTCCGCTTGATCAAAAAAGAATACTCTCGTTCCGTCTCCACGTATATAGAAGTTCTCTTCCAACATCCGACCACCTTTGAATCGGAGTTGTGCAAGATCATACCGTCCATAGTCTGTTCATAGCGGCCCCATTAACGAAAGGTGTCCCAATCCTCAGCTAGATAACGACCATTTACCTCGAAATAATAGTAACCCTCCAGGTTTCAGTATCTGGAAAAAGGAAGTCAGCACTTTTACGTGATCATCTGCTGCAGGTAATGTGATCTGCGTACCCTCCAGATATTTCTGACAGCAGTTTCCCAGGAACTATGGGAGAATTGGTTTATGGTCCAGGCAAAACAAGACGGCAAAAGGTATTCTCACCTTGGATGGATTGCACTCAACACAAATATACAAATGCAAACGTCTATCGAGCCAGGTTCCAGGTCTGGAGGCTGCTCTGATGTTATATCTGTAATCGGGATATTGATATTACAGTTCATTCCGCTAGGGAGTGTCGGGGACCGCTTACCGTAAACAAACGCATGACATTTATTTTCATTATACTCTGGATTACTCTGAGTTACGATTTATGAGCTCTATTTCATTTCGCATTAATCTCTGCATCATATAGTACAATACCTTGACCACATCCACGGCGACTTTGGAATAATCGCAGGCATATACAAAGACATTGGAACTAGCAGCTTCGTTCAACAAAGGAAAAACCGTATTTCCTAAGACAAGTATAATGTTGAATATCTAGCAAAGAAAGCTACATACGACAGTGTGCCTTACCTGCTCCACATCCAATCTCAAAAACGTTATAACGCTCCTGAGAGGCGGGGTGTCAGAGAGTCACGGAAAAAGCAATTGCAGCATACGGCCGAATCATTAATCAGTCACAGTACCGATGAATCCTTCGGTAAACCCTCAAAGATCTCTGGGAACTCTACCCGTAGCCTGTAACGGTACGGGCGGTCAAGCGAATTGCCGACAGATCACCATTGACGTGACGTACCAGTTCCGATCTTTGAAGAATCTGTTGGCATTCTTTGCGTAAAACTGATCCCAAAACTGCGGCGCCTCTTCTTCGTACTTTTCTCGCATCCCCTCAGGCACTTTGTTTTCTGCTTGTTTTGCAATCAGTTCCAATGCAGATCGCTCCTGCTCCTCGTCCCATGTCACATTATCCCTGCCAACGCAATTTCAGCACCTCAGACTGCTACGTAAAACGTTGGAGAACTCCTAACAATACCAGGCGTTAAAATTATAAACATCCTCTTCATGTTGAAGATATCTTGTTCCGAAATCGCTCACGCTGGAAACTGCTTTTTTTATCAGTTCTTCAGGTCGTCTGGATATCAGGGATGCTTGTGAACCACTCTCGTCTGTATCTGCTGGAGCTACGGCAGATGCGACAGGCTGGTCGGACATTGTTTTTCTTTTTACCAGATCACATGTATTTTGGCTTGCAAAAGACGAATTTCAGATGGTCAAGAACGCTGGGCACGTGCCAGGCATCTCATCGCATTGCACCTAATGCTAACGCTAACCTAACCCTACGACACCCACATCCCAAATTTCCCAGCCTGCTGCACTGATTCTAGTTGGTATGAAGCAGCGCCTTATTTAAAAAGACATATATATACATTGACGGCCTTCACAGAATTTCCTCATCAGCTTCATCAAACAGTTCGTCGCCGCTATCATCCAATTCTTCAGCCTCTCCTCTGCTCTCTTTTGTTGCGTCCCCTGCACTGCTCCCCAGTTCTGAGTTTTCCGGACCAGTCGAACCACCTCGTCCCTTGAACTCGGGCTTTAGCTCGTAGGTGCCAACATAGGGCCCGCGCTTGTGGAGGAGAGCAAGATCATTCAAGACTTCTTTCAGCCATGCTTGCGGCTGCTGCGTTCGCTCCACTAGGCCCTTAAAGGTCCAGTGAGGGTACTTTTGGAAAGCCTCAAATATCATATTGACGAGCTCCGTGCGTTCCACTCTCTCCTTTTTGTCTTGTTGTGGCTTCTTTCTTGCCTGAATTACGATCATCATTAGTCACAGTAGTAGAGATCATGAATAGACCAGGTAGGTCGTATACCCACCATGAGTCCAAAGCCTTTCTCTTTTATAACGTCGTTAACAGGAGTAATCCATGTATGTCCTCTGTCTCCCTTCACATCAATCATTTTAATGTTGCGCTTCTTGTCGCTAACCATTTGTGCACGTCGTTGCATCAGCTGTCGGTAATCGTCATCTATGACTGGAGCGATGGTCCCTTCATGGATCACCTTGCCCACGAGTTCTTTGGCGCGACCCGTCGAGGTATCTTCAGTGAAGATGTACTCGCTTTGCGGTTTTAGGTTTGTGAAGGTGAGCGTGTAGTTCTTTGGGATGTCATCGGCCCACGGTTGCGCGGGCAGGTGAACGCTCGCTTTGTTGCTGGTACCGTTATTGAAATTCCGACTGCTGCTACTATAAAAATACCGAGAGGAAACCACGGGTCAAGCGCAACGAAGGTATTGCATTAGTAACCCTTTCCTTCAAGTGAACACCACTTTAGCGTAAGCGCAACAGTCGCAAGGCGCCCCACCAAAAATAGACTTACTTGAATGCTGGGACATCTATACTTCCCAACTCTTGATCTTCCATCTCCACACTGGCCCACTTTTCTGCTAGAAACTTTGGCACCTTTACGAGCCAGACCTGCGTGTCTGCATTGTCTAGCCCCAGTTCCTCTGCGTCCTCGTCCTCGTCCATCATCATTGGTTTGATCTTTGTGCTCTCCCCGTTATCAACGTCCATCTTGTGCTCATCTTGCGAGTCCACCTCCCCAAACAAGCCATCTTCGAAAGTCTCCATGGCGTTCACAACAATGAACGATCAACAATTGAAGAGAAGCACAGAAACCTTCGCTTCATGTCCTTGATCACGTGACAGGTGGCGAACGTGTTGAGGAGCAGTAGCGCTGCCTTTGTGGCATTTGTCATGGAGAGTGTCCTTTACAACGCTGGTGCATAGCCCTCAAAAACGGTCGCAGGCAATCGCTCTTCTCTCAACTTAACCGCGCCCGAAAGTGCTTCATGTCCACAAAAACGCCAGTGGCGGACGGACCTCTTCCCCACACGTACCGACAAAGTCATCCCCTGTTGTCCGCTGAGACCATTGCGCGCCTAAAGCCAGAGGAACGGAGCCATTTTCTTGATAAGGAGGTCAAAAGAAACACTTTGTCACTTGGGGACATTGTCGGGCTTGAGGTATTTCATGTCGAGTACTTGGTTCACTGGTAGTGCGCTGAGTCTCTCTCGAGCATCTTGGCGTTCATTTGGTGCGCGTCCCCCCTGGGTGCCGTAGTACAGTTCTTCACTGGCACACTGGCGACGAAGAATGGATCTACATTCTCTCTGGACGTGGTATGGCTGAGATGACTGTGCTCGAGGGTGACTTCGGCGCCGGGGTCGACAAACGCACTGCGGACGACGTAGAAGTTGAGACAAAGGATATCGGCCCTGGAGATTTCTTCGGCTTTAAACGCAGTGGTCGAGCGCATATGCTCGTAAACACGGGAACCGAAGATTTGGTCTATCTTCTGGGTGGAGAGCGCAACTCCCATGATCAGTGCACTTACCCGAAGATGGGGAAAACCCTGCATATCACACGAGAGAAAGGAGAAGCAAGCGGTGGTATTGTCGATAATGAGCACATACGGTTTTGGAAGAGAGCATGAATTGCACCCTTACACCCCAACTTTATCCACCATTGGCTGTTATGCTACTATTAATTAGAAGCCATCGCTCTGGACTCTCAGGCATACATGGCCAGTCTCGAAGTGTCGATATTGTGGTATACAAATCTATTGAGACATGAAATGGGAGGCGTCAGTAAATCTTGATGGATCCGAGCGACAGCGGGCACATCATGCGTCTAAATCAGCGAGCCTCAGTTGCGCAATGTAATTCGTCCAGACAAAACCCATCATAATAAACCGGGATCGACACGCAGTCAGTTATGAAGTCTTTTCTAATCTGTGATAGTATTTTGTTCGGAATAAGGAAGATCTACACCTTGAGCATAGATTCTCCAATCGTTTAAGCCGTCCAGTCCACCGCATAAAACCATTCTATTATTTTGGGCAGCTATTCCTAAGACCCTATTCTTCAGCCGCCTCCGGTTTCTATGTAACGTATGAGATACGAATGCATCACTAGGGCGTTTCAATATAGTTTAAAGAAGGTCGTGAAGAACTTACCGGGTTTGAATTGGGGAAGTAGAACAAGTTATCGTCACCCCACGGGAACGCCTGTCATCACACTCAAAGTCAGAAAGGTGGTAAAATACAGAATATGGACTAATAACGCACGTTTTTCCTCTTCCGCATGTAAGGGAACCCTTCCCATTCATTAGCATGCTCCTTCAGGTGAGCAATGTGCTTGAGCTCGGTGGGACCTGTGTACAGCAAAACCAATGCGAGGGCGGGAACAACGAGGAAGAAGTTGATCTTCTTCCAGGAGGAAACGGCGTCTGTCAAGAAAACAGCAGAGAAACAGACAAATGCCAAGTCAGTCGGGTCCTATATGTTTCTGATGGAAGCTAGCGATTTCCGGCTGAGCACACGGCACAAGGTCCAGACTTTAATAGCACCACTATAGTACTACAAATGCCCAGCTTCCGCTGCACCGTACAGTTTGAACAAGTAAAAAGACGGGCAACTTACGGGCAGCGTGCTTGCGAGCTTCATGGCTTTCCTTGAGCATGACCTTTTCGAGAGGAGGGAACTCGATGCGGGATGGGGTAGTGCTCATCGTACGGCGCTGTGCCATGCGAGCGGCGAAAAGACCGAGACGAGACTGCATTTTTAGTTTCTTGTCCAATTCACGCGAAAGTTGAGGATTTACAATCGGAAGATGCCGTTCGGGTGCTTGGTTGAATAGCTACAAGACGGTGACCAGCCATGAAGAAATGGGTGGTATCACGTGATTGGACAAGCCTCTTACGAAATATCGTTTGCTATGGGAAAGAATCCAGATCACGGACGGAGATCTAAGCGAACATGGGGTCACAAGGTGGTGGGAAAGAGTCACGGAGGAATGGGACAGGCGAGAGGAAAGGGCCTGGAGAAGTTATTGCGGCTGCGGAACAGGGGATCGGGAGCCGTAAGCGTGTTGCAAGTGGGTCGGCAAAAGAACGAAAGAAAGCACGGCAACATATCCACATTCAACAAGAACAAGAGCGGGATACAACAACACCAGAACTTTCTCAGGGTCTCAATAAAGAGACATCTAGTGCGGAAACTAGTACGGCACAATGTAGTGAAACTCCTCTGCGACCAATAAGCGTGGTCGAGTTTGCCGAAGCTCGGGCATTTGAAATCAGCGCACTGCAAAAAGCCTTGGAAAATTCAACTGAGAACGCTGGGGTTCAGCGAGTCTTTCAAACTGTTCCGCGATATATGCGGCGGAGGGCTGCGAGCCATAATGTGAAGCGCCTTCCACAGCGATTGCGAGAAAAGGCGCTGGCGCAAATTGCAAAGGACCCGGGAGGGCCACAAAAGAAGAAGGGGAAACCACCCACCCGTCCAAAGAGGCGCAGAACAAAGTCAGCTACGCAGGACTTTGCTCGGAGACAAATGGGAAAGAGGTGGTTGGAAACACACGTATGGCACGCTAAAAGGATGAAGATGGTGGAACTTTGGGGTTGTAAATTGGCCGAGCATCCGAATGACAAGAGTTCTCGCGCTTCTTTCCGGGCCGCAAAGAACCAATGTCTGGTCCACGACGCTTCTTACTTTCAAGTTATCGAGATCTCGGGACCTGAGCAACTGTTGCAGATCCTGCTGCGAGACATCACTGATCCAACCATTCCATCCATTGGAAGTGCGAGGTAAGCAGTATTCGAACACTTTCTCTGCGATTCAATTCGTTTGAATGGCGTGAAGATACATTGAAGGGAGTCGCCAAGGTATGACATATCTTTACGGTTACCTACAATACCCCAAGTCGGCTATAGCCCCTGCGACGTTTTTATGGAGGCCGCGTAACGGACGGAATGATGAAGGCCGAAGGTTGTGGCTCTGGCTTCATCCGGCCGTGTATGAACATGTACACGACCTTTTGCTGCAAGTGGCCAAAGAGTGCCAGATAATTGAACGTAGGCTTGAATGACGTAGCTGGGTTATTACATGCATGCTTACCTTCTATCCGCCGCAGAGGTGACCATTTGTTCACTTTACGACGAGCTTGTTCGATTTGAGTTGACCGGACCCAGGACCCACGCTGTTTTGCACCACATCATGAAAGTGTCTGAGGACTCCGTGTCCACAGATGGGACAACAACAAACATGGCAGCTCGACAGGTGTGTTACAATTTCCGTAAATCTACGCGCATAAAAGCAGTCTTGTTCTGAATGCGGTCACAGCTATGGGCGAAGCTTGCACTGTTACGCTCCTCTGCATCACTGCCTCCAGGGGTCGCGATCGGCTTGACTATCCACGACCCTCGTCTGAGGTATGGACTAAAAACCATATATGCATTGGGTATCATTATGATGGTTTGTTAATGTGTGGAACTTGAAAAGCTTTCCACCGAAGATGCCGCCTCGGAATGGCAGGATCTCACCTGAAGTTGAGGCCGATATTAACACTTGTCTCATGGCATGGCCCGAGGGTGTAGCGGACTCATCGATATGGGATCCTGCGATCAGAAAAGCTAGCCTTATCGGGAAAGCAACGGAGAGTGATTTGAACGCGAGAAGGGCGCAGGTATAACATTGTTCGTCAAGGGTCCCCTATTGGAGCTGTCAACTGATAGCATCATCAGGCGCTTATTCCAGGAACAGCACTCCAGCCTCTACCACATGACGTGCACGTGCCGATCCTTCTCCTCCAGCGTAACTATCTTATACAGGAAGCCGGGAGTAAAGTTCAGAAAGAAGTTCGAGAACTCGTAGCCGGATGGGATCTTGTACTTCCCAAGGGATGGGCTATGGATGTTTGGAAGAGCCTCGTTTTCGCCGGTGTACGCGTTGCAGGTCTCCGCGACCGGCATTCATTTCATTTCGAGGCTGGTTTGCCCTGCTTCCCGTATGATTTTCCGGAGACCGCAGCGTACGAGGCTTGGGCAGACAGGGTGCGGCATGAAGAGGAAGAAGCGTGGAAGCGCACTCCCCAAGGGAAGAAACCGAATTACAAAGCTCATGGAGTAAAGTCGCCTTTCGAACCACCTTTCTGGGACTTGGTTGGTTTAGAGCCGGCCAGTCCGCAAGCGATTGATGACGAGGTAGTACCTGTGGGTGTGTGCACCGAAGTTGATGGTGTGACAAATTCAAAAGGCGAAGAGAAACAATCCAACGATATGATGGACGTTGAAGAACCGAATTCGGGTCGCGATCAACATAGCAGAGACAGCAGTACTGCTTCAGAGACTAACAAAGCCTGTGCCCAGAGGTTCTCCGGTATCTGTTCTCGACCATATGGCCGATACCACGTCATCAACAGTCCGCGCTTGATTAGCTACTTAAGAACTGCTCTGAGTTCAGCTTCAGTCGAGGCTTTACCCCAACTATTGATGGAGGAGGTAGTACGACTAATCCGCCACCGATATGAAATCCCCAACAAACTCGTCAACCTAACTCTTGATACCATGGAACACATGCTGGTTCGAGTCCGCATAACCATGTTACGAAGAGGAACGCCGGGCGAACGCGGTATCATTTACTCCGCAACGGAAAAAGAATATGAATTTTGGAAACATGCTGTGGAGAAAAATAGTGATGATTGTAGTGTCAACGAAGAACAAAAACTCTTGGATGTGATACCACCACCTTCAGCTATCGTGGGCTATATCACAACCGGACGATTCTCCTTTGCGCAAGGACATGGACAAGCTCTGGGTTGTTGCAAATTGTCTGGACTACATCGCATTGTACAGGAATGCGAATCGTAAGTGTCAGCGGTAGTCACATTATTCGCTGGAACTGCACTCTAAATTTCAATGTTTTGGCCAGCGCCGGTAGAGAGCACACGCACTTTGTCCTGGTCCGTGGGATTACTGGACGTTTGTGCCTACCTGCCATTTTCAATCTAATCTCTTAGACACAATCGAGATGTCGACCATGCCACATGTACATATACTATATACAAACTATCTGCTACTATCAATCATATTGATAAAATCTGTGGATTCTCCTGCCAAAACTTGTCTCCTATGATATCGCCATGTTCTACTACGACTAGGTTCTTGGTTCTCTTGACTTCCGAAGTACCATCTCGTGTCGACGCCGCCACTTCACTTAGTCGGCGGAAAAGAGTCGAGCCCTTGCGAAAAATTTCTGGGAGCTTGTTATAGTTGATCCCATACTGAGTGAAAAGAAGCTCATTTTTAGCTGCGGAATCCGTATCCTTCAGGATGGCTTGAGCTTCTCTTTCTGTTCGTGGATTGCTTGTATCTTGAACCAAGGACCAGAACGCAGTATTGTACTAAGGAAAGACCTTCCGTTAGTGACTTTCCGTTTTACGAGCATTCGCGACATTAAGTGCACACACCAAGTTGTTGATATGACAATCCGCTTGCCTCCAGCTCATATAATCTCTCAAATTCTGATCCGTTGGATAACATACCGCGCGGGCGTCAAAGGATGGTGGATACTTGAGCTCCAGATCCGCAAAAAATCGTTTCCAATGAAAGATAAAATTGGAAGTAAATAAACTGCACAAGGTGCTCGTGATCTTTGCCTCTCGACGCTTATACAAGTTTGTGGATCGGCGAAACACAAAGCTGAATTCGTCTGATTGACCATAGGCGAGAACAATGTCCTGCATTTCTTGCATGCAGCGCTGGGCCGCATAGTTCATGAGTTGTAAGGAGCGAATGTCGTTTGGCTTTGCAAAATCGTGTTCTGAGGTAAACCGGTGAAAGCTGTGACCGTCGACTCGGACAACAAGCCAGGTATTTGGGAGGAGGGTAATGTTTTGTTCAAACAACTAGAGGTTACATAACTACCATATTAGATTCTGTTTGCCGTCTGCTGGATAGCGCCTTCTCGCGGTGTAGCATACCGGGATGAATGTGACGACCGCAGAGCACCGACCTTGACATATTCATACTTGCTACAAGCCATGGTTGATGGGGGGAACCAGTGGTGATAATGTAGAGTTCATGAACGACTCGCTGATGAGGGACAGCAAGTGTGCAGATAAACTGGTGACCCCACGTGATAACACGTGAACTAATCTAGTCTAGTCAATAGCTCCATTGGCATCTACCACAGCCTGCATGCGTCTAGGCATAGATTCAACTAGTTTAAACAGATATTCTGGAGATATACCCATTCTTCTTGCACCATCGCCTTTAATTGTTCTACATTATGAGGATTCTGTCTATATACCCGTCTTTTCAAGATTGACCATAGATTCTCGATGGAATCAAGATCAGGAGATTGCTGGCCATTTGAGAAGGTGGATGTTATTCTGCTGAAACCACTGGCGTGAAAGATGTGATGTATGAATGGGTGCGTTATCTTGTTGGAAGAAAAAGACACCTGGAATGCGGTAAAAAGGTAACATATACCCGTTTAAATGTTGAATATATGCTTCTGAATCGATTCCACATTGAGAATTATCAATCTTTTCGATATTGGCTAATACACCCTTTATTCCACCGAAAAAGCATCCCCAGAACATGACACTTTGCCGTCCACTTCTGCGCGTTCTTCGGATGCATTGTCTATGCAGTCTTTCACCTCGGCTTATTTCATATTATCAGCCGGCTTTCAGTAGGTCAGAAAGCCAACAGGAAGCCCTGGAGGGGGGAGGCAAGCAAACGAGCGACCCCCCACTAGGGCAAAACGCGCTCTTTCTGACGTAATCCTCCGCTACTTGGATCAGCTAATGGGACTGGCAATCAATAAAGCTTTCTTTTTTGCTATAAGCGCCATGTCTTTTCAATCTCTGGTCTTATCCGAGGATGAGTTAGGCGAATATGCCAACCGCTTCAACCGTGACAGCAAGCGAGTCCTTGCAGAGATCGCCAGTAACGTACAACAAAGGGTATATCAGGAACTCATGAATGCCCCGGACCCCGACCTTGATCCTGCCTTCCGTCTTGCACGACTCCAGGGACAGCACAATTGGACGTTTCCAACAGGAAACCCACACCACTACGTCATTCATCGTGAATGGATCAATCCTCATAACATGTATACCTGTCGATGCGGCGTGACTTTCTCGATGAACTGTTCCTATGGCGGCATGTTAGATCAACAACATGCGCAGATGAGTAAACACATAACTACCATGACTAATTTGACTGATTGGTCCCTGCTTCCCGACTATATCTTATGGGGGGTACGGAATTGGTATGGTGAATGTGGATTCAAGAAGGATTATACGGCAGAAAAGTATCTGAAAATGATGGGCACCATGCACGCACAAAGGATCTTGCTGAGACGTAGAGTTCAGGAATTGGAACAAATCGTAGGGCGGCTACAGCAGGAGACAGCAGGTAGTAGTGCCCGATGTAATCATGGTCCCTGCTGAACAGCTGAGATGCTCACACTAGGCACCAGCCAGAACAAGTGACGGGGAGATTCCCATCTCCAACACACAACTCGATCTCCCATCGACACAAGTAGATAAGATCAAACGAGAACTTTACGACTACTTGGACTCGCTCGGCAAGCAATATGAGGACAAGGAAGAAGCTCTGAAGATGGCAAAACGCGATCAGGAAGAAGCATTCAAGGATGCCATGGGCAATCTTCAGCTGTTGGAAACGACCCTCGAAGCAAATAAAAACCCGGTATCCTTGAATGTTGGTGGTATCCACTACACGGTGGCGCGATCTACTCTAGCACCATCCCACGAGCCAGAGTCCATGCTGGCATCCATGTTTAGCGATCGGTGGACCGCAAAGTCGCATGCCGATGGAACGGTATTTATTGACGCCGATGGACAGATATTTGCCAAGATATTGTTCTGGCTAAGAAGACGGAGTGTCCCAGAGGGTTTATCTGCGGGAGAAAAGGATATGCTTAAGAAGGAGGCCGAATACTTTGGCATGGTGAACTTGCTAGCCGCGATGAAATGATGCATGAGTGAATCTGTCACGTGTGGTCATGTGGGGTCCCAGTTTATCTGCACATGCTGCGACATGCTGTACCCTCCTAAATGGAGATCGTTAACGAATTTCGCCCCCCCCCCCCCCCCCATCCGTCGAGAATTTGGGGCAGGACGGAACTTTGCAGGACCATTATCACGCTGTACGAGAGCCCCACGCAAGAGTCTTACAAGAAGCTTACCCCTTATAACCCTGTCCGATAGTATTCGCTTCTCTCTTTCTGTCCCATATTGGTAGTTCGTCCATCCCGATGGTGTTGGCCCGAACATGTTACAGCAAGGGAAACTGTTTCAATGATGCAATAATTTTCCTTCGCAGCTAATGCAGCACCATGATACTCTGCATGTGCGCTGTTTGTCCAGTCAGAAAAAAATAGGTGCTATACTTGGGCAGTGGACGTATTCGCCAAATGCATTGGTGATGTATCAAGGATATGCAGCCATCTTTGACCAATGTTCCAGGGACTTGTCTGTGACATCTCTCCCGCTGCCGAAGGCTTATATCGCGAATGGACCATAAGCCATGTCCATCAAGTTGCATTGCTTAATGGCCTATGGCGTCTATGTTCTATGGGGATCAGATGGCCACAAGACAGTCTATTCTTTATAATTCATTTCCTACTGTGACCCAAAAGTCCCTTAGGTTATTTTTTCGTCCAAATATCTCAAGATACTTTCCTAGAATTCAATTGGTCTCAGTATTGATAATGTGAAGGTTGTGTTGCGAGATTGAATTACCATTTGGTACTAGCTCTTCAATCATCTCATACAACTCCTCGGGCTTTTGGCTTTGTCCTCGTCTCTCCGAAAAGATCACATCGCTTGCTATACCATGTCGACACCCGGGTGGGTCATTGCCCTTCCTCCCCACCAGACAGGTTTCCTTGGCATGTTGTAAGTAATAGCCATGACCTTTTGCCATCCGCCTATTGACAGTCTGCTTCACCCAAGTTATATCATCCACGTATTTGTATCCCCAACGTTCCATCAACTCGAATGCCTTGACGTATTTGTTGTTGATCACCCAGATAAAGATGAACCCGTTCTTCTGCAGTTTCTGGATAGGAAGCTCTTCAATGCAGGCATCTGGAAGCTGCTGGTATGCAATCGCTACACCTCGGGTCGGAGCATGAGAAGCCAGCTGCCATGGCGGATCCATGAGAATGACATCGAACTGGCAGGCATCTGCTAATCGGTCCCATTCAAAGGTCATGACATTTGCTTTGATTGGAACACACCATTCAGGAGCGTCAAAGTTGGAATAATCAATTTCTGTAGAAATATGTTATATCATGGGTTGTATCAACTTGACCGCTAGAAAATGTATATCAGAAACTCACCCTCTTCCTCGGCTTGATCACCGACCGCGTTACTCTTCTCCCCTCCTCTCAATACTTTAATTTCTTCCATAAGTATATCAATCTGGAGCTGAAGATGCTCTTCTCGCTTCAACAGCTCCTCCAGTGACGATTCCGGCCCAATCTTGGCGGCATCCTCTTTCCCGTCAGCGCTAGCCGTACCAGATGCTGACGACCCGGTGGAAACAACTGAGGAGGCACGAACTATTTCTGGACGAGATAGTCTTGAAGTGGACTTTAAAGATTTTGATTTTGTCCGTGATTTGGATACAGATGTTTTGGACACGATTTTAGAGACTCGTTGTGAACGTTTACCAGGTCGACTAGGAGCGAAATCCCCATCGCCGTCCGACTCTACAATATTCAATACTTCAGAATCACTAGTCAACACATCGACATCTGATGATATGGCCATTGGTCCTCTTGAAGGCGGCATCTTGCTCATGTAAAGTGTAAAGTATTTCCAAAGTATCCGTCTTTGGTCCGCTCGTCCGAATGTCCGAGTTTAGCACACGTGACTCTGTCCGAATACCACTACAGTACGTTCATGACGCGGACGGGCTGGGTCTGTGTGTCCTGCACATCCCCAAGCTTTATCATTGCTTCGAACTCAGAAATGGAAAATGCTCATAGTGGCACGGAGGTTATAGCCAATTGATGGAACGTTTTTGTGGTCATAATGATAATTATATGTGTTCGGCGCCCAGTCTACTATCTCTTTACATATCGGAGGGTGTGCATGAGCCACAGTGCAATCGACAATAACGTCAACGATCCGCTCTGGTGGGCCGCCGCTAGGGGGACCGGCACGAGGTAGAGAAGGGTAGTAATCCCTAACGTCACTTGCACACCCGCCATTGCAAGGAGAGCGTTGACAGCCAAACGTGCATTTCGCGGAAGCTTGACTCGACGCGAATATAGCCAAAGAGCTCCAACTGAACTTGCTGTCGTCATGGCCTAAGCGGGATGAAACTGTAAGGGACCTGTCACTGCTCTTTCCACAAGTAGTAAGAATTACCAGCACGCGGTGATTGAACTGAACAGCAGAGGGGTTCTCCAACAGATCCTTCCAAAAGGGTCCTGGGTTAGGATTCCGCTCCGTTCGTGTCGACATCGCCCACATATCGGATGGCACGTATCCTTCACCCATTTTAGGAAACTCGTTGTAAATTAATCCGGCGTCCAAACCTGCCACGAAAGCCCCTACGCCAATCATGTTAGTCAGCTGTCTAAACCAGATGTCAGATAGTTTACATACCTGACATGGCGGTTAGGAAAACCAGTCCTGCCGTGCCGATTGCGTACCTCCGGAACTTTATTACATCCGCATGTTTTAATATCAAGCGCAGGTTCTGGGGGACGAATCATTAGGATATAGTCTGTTAGCATACAGAAAGGAACCTACACCGTACCTCAATCGCCTTTGCCTTATTCGCCCTCAGGATATCGAGACCAGTTACAAGCATGATAGAGTAAATCGTAAAAGCGGACCCGAGATGAGCGGCTAACCAGTAGTGACTGACACGCGGGACGGCGTGCGCTTTCTCCATTATCTCATCCGATAAGCCACTTTTGACCATGTACCAACCCAAGAGACCCTTTGCATAGAGTAATCTAGGTAAGTGTTACGAAGGTAATGAGCTTGAGACGGGTTCCCTGCCCTACCTGACCACCAATCAAAGCAGCCACTAGAAGGGAACGATTGCGGATTATCTTGGACATATGGCCTTTATACGCGAAATACGCTCCAGGGATAATAAATGAAAGACCAATAAAGCGCCCGACCATTCGGTGAGCCCACTCCATGTAAAATATCGACTTAAATTCGGGCAGCGTCATATGATGATTCAACCTGTCATGGGAATGGATAGGTGAGACGCGCCAACCGAGGTAACTTGGTTCGCCATACTCACAACTTATATTCTGGGAACTGCTTGTATTTTTCAAACTCTTCTTCCCATTCCTGCTGTGATCTTGGTGGTTTCATCCCTTTGATCAGGTTCCATTCTACGATGGACAGCCCACTCTCAGTGAGCCGGGTTAGGCCACCGATGGCCACAATACCAAAAACAAGAGACCCAGAGAAGAGGTACCACCATCCAACGATGGGCTTGCTTGGTGCCTCTTCCTGATGATCTTGTCGATGTTGCTCAGTATGTTCCGTTTGCAATTCCTTCCCTTGCACAGGCGATGCATCGGCGAGAATAGGCGATGCTACAGTCGATGAATGCTGAGCGCGTACACCGGAAGATATGCGCAGTGCGTTCGGATGTAGAGATGTGGGTAAGCGTTCAAACATGTTGAAAGGATCGCTACCAATTCTAGGAAATGTATTCGAGCATTGCCAACGCAAGCCGGCCCGAGCCAAAAGGCCACTCTTTGCATTAACACACAAAGTAGAGGATCGCGCTCCTTCTGCGAGAGCCTTCGCAAAGAAACGGCCGCTCCTGGTCCTCCCGGCTATAGTTCTATAAAGTCCATTCATGTTTTGGGGGTAGTGGTAGGACGTTGCTCTCGACGAGGTAGGTCGGAAAGAGTTGATTGACTCTAAATTGTGCTGAATGAGTCACCATTGATTTGTTGCCATGGGAATGGCCACGTGAGGCGGGATCCCCGCTCAGGCTCAACGCTGGTGCTTGTTCCTGCTCATAGCCAGACCACAATCACTTGCCGACTTCACAACCCGATAACATCAGGATATTCCCAGGACAAACTTGATAGAAACTTGTGCTGCTCCTCTGTCTCTCCATTTGTCAGTGCTACATATACCCAACGATTTCTCCTGGCAGAGTGCATCACTGCTTTTAAGCTACGTATAGGAAACGGACGACTGAAGATCTTCGTAGCAAATGCAGAACGGGACTGGGAATCCCATGGGACAGGATGGTCAAGGGCAGTCATGGGTGAGGGAGGTGTGGGATTCGAATCTAGAGGATGAAATGGCTGTTTTGCGCGACTTAGTAGAAAGGTATCCCTACCTATCTATGGTATGCTGCGTCAAAGCGAGATGATGTACAAGTTGTGTGTTCGATGTCGATTACCTTGCTTATTGGCCCACTATGCTAGGATACGGAATTCCCTGGCGTAGTTGCTCGACCAATTGGCAACTTCCGGACATCAGCCGACTATCACTACCAAACCCTCCGATGTAACGTCGACCTTTTGAAGATAATCCAACTTGGCATAACTTTTGCGGATGAAGAAGGAAATCACCCACCCGGCGTGTGCACCTGGCAATTCAACTTCAAGTTCAATCTGAGGTGAGCTTATAACATCGGAACTTACATGAGAGGGTAGCGATTGACCGCTATTTTACTGTATGACGGTATACAGCGACGACATGTATGCTCAGGATTCGATTGACCTTTTGACTAAATCAGGAATTGATTTCAAAAAAAATGAAGAATATGGAATTGATGTGGAGCATTTTGGCGAGCTGCTAATTAGTTCCGGATTTGTGCTACTGGATGACGTAAAATGGGTCTCTTTCCACAGGTTTGTGGTTACTACGTGTGGTTTAACATTGGAATACCACTTCATAGCAATTTCGATTGTAGTGGATATGATTTCGGCTACCTGCTGAAAATCCTGACCTGCCAGCCGCTACCGGCAGAAGAATCGGATTTTTTTGACCTTCTGAGGATTTATTTCCCTTGTATATATGATATCAAATATCTCATGAAGAGCTGTAAGAATCTGAAAGGAGGACTGCAGGATGTTGCTGACGATCTTCAGGTGAGCTCCGGATCGTCTGAGGCCGGAGCAGCATAAGCACTAAATCAAATATTGTGGTTTTACAGATTGCAAGAGTGGGGCCACAACACCAAGCGGGAAGCGATAGTCTTTTAACCTCAAAGACGTTTTTCAAGATGCGGCAAACATTCTTTGATGATAGAATTGATGATAGCAAATTTCTTGGATATCTGTATGGCTTGTCGTCGTCATTCCCTAACAAAGATGGTCACCCGTGATGTTGTTCATAATAATTGTGGATACGGATAACGCAGGGAAGGATACACTCCAATATATAGTCGAGTGCAAAGAATTCTATTTAAATTGATGTAAAATAACAATACGGCCAGCCATCCCTTAGTCTCATGAATAAGTTGGGTTGGTAAATATAGACACCACTAGTTCGTAGCAGAAAAATAGTATCGCAGCATTTGGCACAACTCGCATCAAGTGTGCAGCCATCCCCCCATATAGTGCACCTAATCCCTCTTCCATATAAATCAGTTTCGCGCTTTGCACGAGCCCCTTGTACTTGACGATTCCGTTTTCTGGCGTCTGCCGTAGCCGTGTTCGCAGGACCTTAAGGTATGCGCTGCGTAAGTGGGAGCAGGCTTACCTGCACTGAAGTGGGTACATACCTCATGTGGATAAGTGATGATAGCGGCTCCAAGTTTGGCAATTGCGGCTGCAGCAAAGGTGTCGAACCAATCTGTTCCCGCCAATCTGTTAACTCTCTGGCATCCTAAATAAAAGTCACTTCATGCGATATCTGACCTGATGGTGTTTTCGCCAGGAAGGTCGTCTGTCGCTCAGATGCTGGCATCGCCTGTAATCTTTCCAGTCTACGCTTCTCCACCCAATGCTTTTTAAGGTACTCATATGTAACAAATTGCAAAGTCGATTCCGTCAATCCTGAATCATGTAATGGGATGTGAGTCTGCTGTAAACCATATGCCAGACGTTCAAACCCTACCAAGGAAACTTGCCGAGAGGCCTTTGTAGAGCCCTCGGATACCCTCTTCTCGAAGAACTAGATATAGGCAATGGAAGCTATTTCTGTACTTTGCCGCGGCCTTCAATTGAGGGTTCTCAGATTGCAGTTGCTGCAACAGATGGATTAGCATTCCCGTTTTACATCCTAGTGAACATGAAGTGCCTCCACCAACCATCCGCGTTTTGATCAGCCATATTGGATTGGTACACGTAGCGGTAGCAATACCGGCACTTGCGGCGGAAAGCATGTGCACAATTGGCGTCTCTTTCCCGTGGTTCATGGTTGTGAACGCATGCTTGCCTTGACTATATACAGCAAAGTAGATAGCTCTAATGGCACATCAGAACCACCATCAATACTACGATCTGTCGACAGGGAAGACTCAGAGCTAAGGACCAAGCATACCTGGCTGGTACAACACCAATCAAATTCGGCCCGAGCCCTTTCCATAGTGCACGAATACCCTCCTGTCGTCGAATCATGCTATGTACGCAACGAGACTTCGTGAATCGAAGGGCATCTGACAATGACATCAACATCGAGCATACCCTAGTAGCGTCACCACACCCTTCGTATGCACCCAGATCGCTCTTAGAGGATTACGCAAACTAACGGTAGGTTCAGTCGAGCGGTAGAGGGAGGATTGCAACCGGGTTTTGACGACTTCAAGAGGACATGTTATCGCTGCTCCCACTACGATGGAGATACGGCGAATCCCATGTTCAATGGTGAGTGTTTCGTGACAGACATTAGAATTTCTTCTTTTGCATACCAGTTCCACCAATGCTGAGTAAGGGAGTAATTTGCTTCAGCCAAACAGCTTTTGCGTAGTAACTCGCCATGAACTTACCCTCCCGCAGCGAAGTGCACTAATACGGACGGTTTTGCTGTATCTCGAACAGCTGGTGAATCTCTACTATCGGAAATTGGCCTCATTGCAGTGGGAAGTATAGGGGTGGTTGTAGATAGGGATCTGGGGGTTATGTCCGAGCTTGACATTGGCGCGGTTTGTACCTGGGGATAGATTCGACTGGTGATGTTTGTACGGTACTCAGCAGTAGCCGTATACTATTAGCTGCTTCCGACCAATGGCAAACTTTTGGCTCCTTTGTAGAAGATGCTGAACCGCAGAAACTTGGTCGAAAAACACGGTAGATCCCACTAATACCCGTCAAACTTTTTTTGGTGGTCAGCGTAAACAGATGTTGACACTTTCATTCGGCATGAGTCACAGCCAAGCTGCCATGGCAACTACGACAAGATCTAGCAGAGGACCTCTCAAAGTCGTAAACTCTTTGCGTAGCTTTAACAAACCGGAACTATGGAAGTATTGGAACTTCGAGCCGCCCATCGTAAGTCTGGCTATCTTTATTTGTTTACTCCGTATAACTAAACGCCCTTGCGCCGGACCAGTCAGCAATTTTGAGGTTCTTACGTTCCTTTCCGAACTGGATGTTCAAAAACTTGAAGAACCACCAGCCTTTGGCGGAATAGGAGACTCTGACAAATCTTTGATGGATTTGCACACTATTGAACAAGAGGTTGTGTCTCAGATATGTAGATATGCTGGAACCCGCAAGCTTAAATAGCTGTGTATCCAGGTTATCAAGTATCTGAAGAGCACACCTTGCGTTGCCCAAAGCAGCACTCAAGTGCAACAATTTAAGGAAGCCCTTCAACGGTACGACATTACCAAAGCTGAGAAACTCATGCTATTGAATATTAGACCCAGAAGCATTGCAGAGTTGAATCCAGTAGGTTGCACCTGATGTCGAGTGAATGCCAAACTTGATTGACTGAGGCTTATTACTTAAAGTTAATTGAGGACATCGACGACCGTCTCAGCCAAGATCAGCAAGAAGACCTTGTAGGTCTTATACAGCAACTGCTGCCGTATGAAGAGCCTCTGTTGGATGCTGCAGATGAGGGAGAGGCTACCCCCGCAGACCCGATGGACACAGAGAACGCGACCGCCTAGGCGTTTGCGGGATCATCGTGCGTCAAGAGATGTCGTTCTCTGTGTATCTATCTGTATATAGCAGTATTATAATTTATTTACGTATCGAGGCACCAGACCCATTGTGGCAAGTACTGCCCTACAATCCTTATTTACAGAAGCAAAACAAGCCCACCATATCGCCAATATACACAAAATCTACTCTCCCCAAAATTCAAATTCCACAGGAATGCGTATCGCATCAGTCGTCGTCATCTGGCACTCTAACCTTCTTTTTCCGTTGTGCAGCTGTTGGTGTCTCCATTTCCCCACCCATAGACGACTTTCTTTTTTTCAACGACGATTTCTTGAATTTATCTATTCGACCTGACGCCGGTGTTGGCGTCGTTCGATAGGATGCGGACGCATGGGTATCCCCTTCTTCCGTAGTATCTTCCCTACTGGCTCGTTCTTTCATCTCCAATGCCTTGAAGAGTGGGACACTCTCAAGTCAGGACCGAATATGCTTATCTCCATGAAAAATCCGCTACTTACCTTTGGATATGTCACGCTACTCCTTGAAAACAACCTATCTTCTTCTACCAGCTTCTGCCTCTTCTTGGTACTTGAACTATTCAAGTAGCCATCAAAGCCTCTAATAATGTTTCCATATTGGCTCGTGTCCTCCAGATACGACCCTTCAAAGAGATATATTTTCCTCTCCAAGTCCATCTAATTCTAACGTGAGTTTCGTGTCAACCAAACAAATGTCGAAGATGTCCAACGTACGAGAGCTTTGTCCACAGCCTTTTTTCGACTTAATAGTTCGGAAAGTTCCCGTTCGGCTTCCTGGAGCATCTGCGGTGTAACCTTCATAGAGTAACATTGAATTTTTGGTCGTTGTGCACATTCATGAATATCCCGCATGCTCCACAAACCTTGCTCAAATCGGGATCGTTACTTTCTGTCGCAGAACCACTGGCGTGTGTATTGGATGTATTGGCCTGCGCTTGGTCCTCCGAGGCTGCCATGAAGAAGTCCTCGTACTTCCAGTGTGGGTAGTTTCCGGGTTCCGTAAGAGCCTGGAGGGAGTGTCGTTTGGATGAAGTTTTACGTTCGGTGCAGTCGCTTCAGCGGATTTTGTTATGCCCGTAGCCACATTTATTGAAAGTCAGTTGAGGCTCCCCTCATCGAAGACCACGTGACCCTGACACGATCCCAAATATCCCTCAACGAGATGGTCAGGTCTCGAGCAACATGGCAGCACGTCGAGAATCGTCACTGTTTTCAACGGCGGCCCCAGATATCAAAGAAAACGTCACTAAGGGTAAATACTGCACTAGTATGCACTTTAAACGAGACTTTCATTTTTGGCTTTTCGCATTGCAGCAACAACAGACATCTCGACCTTTGTCGTTTCGCTACTCAACGAATCTTCACTTGGCTTGTATCGCATCCAGGAACACGTCCAAAAGAAAGTCCCGCTCATCGTGCAGCAAAAGGTGGTTCTTTTGGCGTACAGTTCTTTCCCGTCAGTTTGCCGCGGAGCGTAAAGTCCTTACAGTCCTGTGGTCAAATATAGCATGATATGAGAGCGCTCACTGAACAGACGGTGCAGGCACGGTCTGCTCTTTCAGAAGCCCACGATATAACGCAACGCATGGGGAGGATAGATTCGTTTTCAAAGTGTTCAGAATATGTAAATCGGATAGCGCAGGTAGGCGCCACCTCTGCTTCACGCCATCCGGATAGGAGATCGCCCCGTAGAGCTTGAAGGCCGTGGCTGCTTGTCTTTGCGCTGTGTTATCCATTCTATCAACGGCGTTGGCTAAATACCCAATGAGTGCATATATGAACTGCCATTTCATTATACATGTCAACCTCCTTAATCCAAAGATCTACAATTTCCAAAAAGCAATATACACGTACAATATGACAACCTTGCCGAGTTCACTTTTGTTCTTTAGCTTTTGCACCCCTGCCTCTTACACCCCGTCCCCTTGCTCCAGTAGCTGGTGACCCGCCCCTAAATCTAGCGGCTCGACGAACCCCTCGGCCGCGACCTCTTGTTGGGGTTGTTGGAGTCTCTGTTGCGGCATTGACATCCTGACCATTTGTACCAGGGGTGCTCGTCGGGGTTTCTAGGCGCTAATGTTTAGAGCATATCGACATTGATCTAAATAAGACATATCTCAAATCTCACCGGTTACAAGTCCCACTGCTGGTGTGGTTCGGAGAAGTTTTCTTGGTCCGCCTTCAACTATTCATACAGTAATAGAAACGGCTTCATTAGCATGCTCTCGTCTCTCTCTGCTCGATAATTGACGTACTTGGTTGCGCAGAGCCAGATCTGGGAGCGACACTACTAGTAGACGTCGCTATAGCTGCGGCCGCAACTTCCATCTGCGCAGCCTGCAGCTTCCTCTTGAGGAGCGCCATCCTGTAAGCTGGATCTTCCGGGTTTGGTATACTGGTGCTGGCTGCGGTTGTTATGGTGGCTGTCACAGTTCCTGCGGCTGGAGGCGGTTGAGCGGGGATAAATTCTGGCGCAGCAACATTTAATTCAGTTGCTGGGATCGAGGTCGTTGGCACTGGGACAGTCTCCACCGTCGTAGGCAATTCCACGGGGGTGACAGTTCCGGTCGATTCCACCAAACCCGAATCAGATATCGAAGGAGACTGTGTCTCTGCAGTTATCGTTGCGTCCCCATTATTGGGCTCTTCGCGCTCTCCAGTAGTTACCGAAGGTACCACTTCGGGTTCTTCTTCAACAATCCCAGTCGCCTGCTCAATTCTGTAGCACCCAGTGTCAATAGAACGTCGGGATTATTGACTATTAGAGGTTGAACTCACTCTTCAGTTCCTGCAGCCGCTATCTCATCGGTGACGTCCTCTACCTGAGGACCTTCCGTTTCTATCACCTCACCTTCGGTGACACCTAGTGGTGAGGAGTCAGACGGCGGTCGTACGCCTAACATCATCTAAAGAAGCGTAACCTACCGGTCATCTCCTCTTCCTCGTGTAATACTTCTTCACCTTCCGGTTCTTCCACATTCACACCTTCCTGAATCTCTCCCTCTTCGTCACCAACTATCAAATTTCCAGCTTCCTCCGTCGTTACATCCTCCAGTATCTCTTCAGCGTCGTCAACAGCTACGTTCAACTTTGTTTCGACGGCAATTTCTGCTCCGGTCTCCTCCGTGACAATCTCCTCCACTATGGATGTCTGTGCTGGTGTTGACGCGCCCGGGAGATGTGTAATGGCTTCCGCAGCCTCTGGTGGAATTGCTTCCTTGATGATCGAAACTGTGACGGGTGGAGTTATCTCCACATTGGGACGGCTTTCTGGGGTAAGATCCTGTACGCTGTTGTCAGGACTCATTGCGGTATCTAATACTTCCTCAGTAGTAGCGATCATTTCCTGTTTTAGCGCCTCCCCAGTCATAGCGGATGCCGTCCCCATCTCCACCGGCTCGCTTGTTACTTCCGGGATGACAGCTGCTTCTATTGATTGCGTCTCAATAACCTCAACTCGGGCCTTCTTTGCTGCCGGAATATCATCTCCGCTACTACCGATTGGCTCCTTCACAAGCGGCGTGCCCGCCTCAACGAGAGCTGGTGCTACGACCCCTTCCTCCCCTTGCGTTTGTGGCTCCACGACATTCTCGTCCTCTTCCTCCCTCTGCCTCTTGCCTCCTATTTGATTTCCTTCAAGAACTTGGGGAGGCGCAGTGCCTGCGGTGGCGCTTGCCAAGCCTTCCTCTAGGCCCTTAATCTTCTCGTTCAATGTGCCGACCCGCCTCTTTTCCGATGCAAGTTGGCTCTCTAGTAACTGTTTTCTCAACTTCAAGGCTTCCATCTCTCCAGTATTCTTGCTTTTCCATTCGTCCAAAGCTGCCGCCACGCGTCGATCGCTCTCGGATTGAATCTGAGCTAATTGCTGCTCAAGCTGTTGAACGCGTTCAGGAACAGCGTCATTCTTCGTCAAGCTACTGTCCTTTAGCTGGGCCACCTCCTGTTGTAGAACCGTTAATTGCTGCTGCAAAGTAGCATTTTCTTGCTTCACGGTCTTCAACTCGTCCTTCAAACTGTTGTTCCTCTCCTTGAACTTGGCAAGAGTAGAGTTTGCCTGTTGGATAATATCAGAACGCCTCTTATCCATTTCCGCCTTCATAGCCAAGAATTGTTCATTCTTCTCAGGATTCGCTAATTGCTCCTTCAAAGACGCAATCTCCTTGTCCTTCTCTGCCATCTGTGCCTCCTTCCCAGACCATTCATTTAGCTTAGTCGTCATTTCCAAAAGCTGCTTGCTACGAACGTCAAGGGCCTCCTTTTGCTTGCGCGCAATTTCCAGGAAGCGCTTGTTCTTGTCCTCCAGCTCTTTCACCTTGGCAGCGAACTGCTCCTTTTGCGTTTCACACTGGTTCTTCGTCTCCGTTAACTCATCCTTCTCTTTTGTGAGCTTCTCCACATCTTGCTTCAATGTGTCGTAGTCATGAGGGTCGATACGTTGGTATTTGCGTAGAATCTGATCAACGCGGTCCTTCCAGCGCTTGTTGTCCTCCGTCAGGGAAGCATTCTCATCTTTCCGTACTTCCACTTCGGCCTGTAATGTAACAACTTGTTCCCGCAGGGGCTCAAGCTCCTTCACGCTCTCCTTTAACTTCTCCTCTAGATCCTTGACTTTCTTTGCACTCTGTTCCACTTGATCGCGCAATGTAACGTTCGATTCCCGCAGCAGATTCGCTTGTTCAATCTTATCCATTAGCTCCTTGTGTCGTCTATCGTCTTGTAATGCATCTTGACTCCTCCGGCGCTCCTCGTCCAACCGAGCTCGTGTTTCGTCGAGTGTACTCTGCAGATGCTGTAGCTCCATCTTAAACCGGTTGTTTTCAGATGTGGCGATATCGAGTTTTGTCCGCAAGATATCCCTTTCATTCCGCGCGTATTTTACCAACTCGCGTAGCTCGCGAATTATTCGTTCGGCATCGTCCGTCTGTCCTTGACCGCCTTCCATGACCGAATCGGACACCTTTTGACCTTCCTGCATTCGCTCGAATTGAGAATGTAGTAGTTCATTTTGCGCTTGTAGATCTTCCATTCGGCGACGAGCTTCTTCAATCTGCTCCTCCAGTTGCTTCTTTGTGTCGTCCCAAGATTTACTGGCTGTCTGTAGTTCGGACTCAGCCAACGTGGAACGCTGTTGAGCCTCTCCCAAGTCCGCTTTCACTTTCTCAAATTGAGCTTTCAGCTGCTGGACAGCCTGTAGTGCGCTGGAGTGTGCGACCACTTCCCGCTCATAACTTTCCTTCGCCTGCTGAGCGATACGTGCGTGACGTTTCACATCCTCTTGCATTTCTTCTTGCGATTTGATGGCTGCTTCTTCGGTCTTCTTTATTGTTTCAATTTGTGCTTCCAATGTGCGGATTCTCTGTTCAAATTCGTGGCGCTGGGCTTCAGTTTTCTCTCGAGATTCGATAAGCTCCCGATCAGTGTTTTTCATCTGCTCAAGGATTTCATTCCGTGCATTGTCCACGTCCCTCAAACGCTCCTGCAGTACAGAATAAGAAGTCAGCACTGACGATGTCACCACGCGGATTGACTGCATACCTCCAGCTCTCCGATCTCCTTCTCTTTCGCTGCTTTGTATGTGTCATACGTCTCATTGAACTCTAATAGCTGTTGTTCAGAAGCATTCGCTAGTTCCTTGAGGTTCGCCTCCCGTTCTTTTGACATTTGCACATCCTCTTGCAAGCGCATGATCTGCCGTCGAGCATCAGCGAGCTCTTTCTCCAAATCTCTGACACGTTTCTCTGCCGTTTCGGGCGTACTCTCACCACCTTCGCGGCCCTCGTAGCTTAATAGTTTCGCTTCAGCTAGAGTTAGACGGTCCGTGATCTCCGCTAGTCGTTGCGCAAGGTTCTCTTCTTTATTTCTTGAAAGCATCAACTCCCCCTTGACTTTTTCACATTCAGCAGTCAATCGCTCCACCTTGGATTGGGTTCCCCTGACTTCTGTGTCCTTTCTGGCAAGAATTGCGCGATTCTCTTCCGATGCATCTTGAAGTTGCTTGCGCACTAGCGCCAATTCCCTTTCGGCTGCGTCCAACTTATCCTCTAACCGCTTTCTCTCCGTCCTCCAGTTATCCTCACGATCCTCCAGTTGTCTTTGCACCGCTCTCGCTCGCTCATTTGCCAGGTTCCGCTCAGTAAGTAGATCTTGGCTTTCTCGCACCGCCCGATCCTTGCTGGCTTCCCAGACCTCTCGCTCAATCTTCAATTGTTGTATCTGACTTGATAATTGCTCCGCTCGAAGTCTTTCGCTCATCAAACCGTTTGTCAACTCCTGGGTTTTAGCATCCTGCTGCGTCGCTGCATTTGCCATGTTCGCGAGTCGCTCCCGCAGCTGTGAAATCTCACGTGACTGCATGTCTGCATTGGTAGCAAGGAGCTGATATCTTTCTAAGATATGCAGGCGAAATCAGCAACCAAATCTACCTTATAAGCAACGTAGCGGAAGTACCATTTTGGAAGTTTATCTGATGATTCAACTTCGCAACTTGAATCGCCAAGTCTGATCTTTCCTGTCGCAATTTATCCACCTGATTAGATAACTCCTTTGTACTTGTTCCACTCTCCTTTATCAAGTTATCGTGATCGCGCTGCATTGTGGCATATGTGAGCTAAAAGAACTGTGCGCGCAAGTTGCAAACGTGTCGAAGATTTACCTGCAGTTCTCTGTATAATCTTTCATACTCCGATTCAGCTAACATCCCATCAGATCTTGAATTCCCGAGCGGCGTTTCTGGTCGCCCCGCAGAGCTCTTAGCGGGTGACACTTGGATTCCGTTGGCCTTTCCTTCCAACACAGCACGGAGGTCGTTGCGCTGTTTTACAACGTATCGAAGCTGACGCGCCATTTTTTCCGCATTCTCCTCAAGTTCCTGGATTCTGGTACGGGCTTGTTCAATTTCCGTAGTCACGAATTCTGACCTTTGCTGCTCAAGCTTCTGCTGGCATTCCTCGAATTGTCGTGCCAAGCTTCGAGCAAGTCTGCGCAAATCCACGTTTTGCTGAACAAGGCCCTATTCATATTTGTGAATATGGACTATATTCCGCTGTGCCTACGACAAGGGAACAGCAGTAATTCCTACCTCCAGACTCGTCACCTCCACCAAACGTTGGCTGATCAATGCATCTGTAGGGGCCTCATCTACTTCTTCCCCTGCTCCAAAGCGAGCAGTAAGCTCTTGCAGATATCGCTCGGTATCTTCCCAGGTTCCGGATTTCGTTTGCTGGAGTTGGATACAGAAGATGCGCACTTGACGTGAAAGATCGCGGACGTCTACAGAAACAAGAAAACTTTCAATGCCCCTGGAGGTTCATAATAAAGGCGCTGGCGGATCCTGACCCTGCTCCATCATCTTGAGCTCCTCCGCTTGTTTCGCCCTCTCGGCTTCCGCTTGGACACATCTCGCGACGGCAGTTTTCTTGTCTTCCAATGCGCGGCTCAAATCAGTGAAGAGCTTGTCGTATCGCACTTGCAGCTGTCGTGATTCCTTTTCAAGATCTTGTACATAAGGGCTCTGCACATTTTTACGCATTAGTCTCCACGCAAATCACGGCTAGTTGGAAACCTGATTAGATCTTACAAGGTGCTCAAGGCGTTCATATGCTTCAGCAAAGCGTTCTCGAGTGATCTCCAGCTCGCGTTCAATCTCAAGGCGCTGCTGTTTCTCCTCTTCGTATGAGGCATACTTGAGACCCCATGCAAAGTGTCAATACCGGAATCACATTCACACTTTCTCATATTGCCGTACCAGTGTTGTGTAGGTCATGCCTCGCAGCATTAGCCTTGAGCCTTGCGAGGACCTTCCAAAATTTGCCTGCTGAGATGGAGTTCCTTAATTTCAACGTTACATCAACCTATACTCCGGATCTGAAACCCACCTCGTCTGTTGACGTGCGCGTATCATCCGCTTCCTTCGCTTGGTGGCGGAGTCTATCGGTCTCCTCATACAATCTGTCGAACTGCTCCCTCCAATGACTGCTCTCTCCTTCTAATTGACGAATCTTTTCTTCCAACTCGTCTTTAGTAGTCTCCCAGTCCTCCTGGGCTTCAGTCAGAGTCTTCTGCATCTCTTGCATGTGGCTTTGTCCCTCTTTAATATTGTTTTCGTAGAGCTCATTCAGCCGTTTCTGTGCATCCATCTCTTTTTTGAATTGCTGCTCATTCATTACAAGCCGAGTTTCGCTCTAGGTTTGAGTGACGGTCAGCTGAGTAGGACTGTTTTTGGATGAGATGCACCGGCATATTTTCTTAAGTATTCACCTCATTGAGCTTTTGCAGCAGTTCTTGCACCTTCTGCTCTAAACCTTCAGCCCGTTGTTGCAATACACGATTCTTGCTCTCTAAACTACTTTTCTCTTCAATTGCATTGTCCAATTGTGATTGCGCCTCAGAAATTTGAGCGGTCTGAATACAAAGAGTGAGATATTGGCCACTAAATGAGAAGGCATTTAAATCCAACCTTTTCCAGTCGATAACTAAGGAATTCTTCCGATTTCTGTTTGAGTTCGGCATTTAGCCATTCACTTGTCTTGCGTGCTTGAGTGATTTCCTGGTCCTTCCCAGAGAGAAGTAGTTTATCCTTCATTGTTTCACTCTCTAATTCCGTAATCCTATTGTTTGCCGCACGCAATTCTAGCCGTAGGGCTTGGGTCTGTTCTTGCAATCCTTCTGACTGCTCTAGTAAAGGAAAAGGCACAGCCATATTGGAATGATGAGAGGTATATATTCACACCATCCTACAACTGAGACCGTACCGGTTAACCGATCGATTTCTTGCTGCCGCTTCGATACGATCATGACTAGATCCCGCTTCTCGGCTTCAAGTGTTTCGACCCGAACACTGAGGTTTAAGTCTTGGGTTGTTCGAAGTTGCTCATCTCTTGTAGTCAGTTCCATCTGCAACTGAACAACCACGCGCTCTGCCGTGGGAGATTCCCTGTAAGCTATGGACGATCCGATATAATCAAATGGGAACGTACCCTTTTCCTCAGTGATCTGCTTCTCCTTAGCCAATTCCTGCCTCACCGCTGCCAACTCACTGACGAATTGCCGGTTTTTGGTGTCCGCCCAGTGCACGCGATGCTCTATTCCAAAATATTAGGAATTGATCGCCAACCATAAAGATGGAGCTGTTTGAATCTTACCAAAGTTGGCTTCCGCAACTGTCAAGGCCTCCTCCAATTGTTTCACTTGCAATCGCAAGCTCTCCATGGTCTCTGCGTCCGCAACTTGCGAGGTTGCAGATGCCTCTTCTTCGTCGATGGTGCTTGTGGAATCCTCTGTGTCCACATTCTGCCCATGGTCAGACTCAGACATCACCCCCTCTTCCCCAACTGTTGGAGTATCAGGGTCCTCCATAGCTCTCAACAGCGACGTAGAGTTTCGTGCATGTGCTGGCTCAAGGCGAACCAGATTGCCATAAAGCCTGCTATAAGTCAGAGGGCTTGGTAAGATCATCCATGTCGAGTCGAATGGGATCCAATCACCCATGAGTCCCGTGATCAACGCTTCCAAGGGCAGACTCGACGACGACTTCGGGCTCAAATCGTCATCACCAGTGTAAATGTTGGCGCTCAGTTCCAATCATCGCGCTATAACAATGTCCTTCATATCAGTCACTTCAAAATCCCTTGCAAGCATGACGGTCTGCCGTACTTTTCTCCGCTCCCTAACATCTGCGTCGTCCCCAGCATCCCCGACCAAAAGGCAAATCATATCTCTATATCGGGATCTCATTCGTTCCTCTAGAGTATTTGCTTCCCATAACTACCGTGACTACATTCACCGGCGCGCTCAAGATGCTTTCCGTAAAAATGCCACTGAGACTGATCCAAAGAGGATTCAGGCGCTTTACGAAAGAGGGAAGAGGGATTTGGAGGTTGCTCGGAGACAGGGATGGTTGAACGCACAGTTTAGGGCTGATAAGTCAGTCGTTGACAGATAGATAAATTGTATAGAAATTGCATATTGTCAATCAGTACGTACAGCATTAAATAATTCTTTCGAACATCATTGTATAGAAGAGATACTGATGCCTTTCAGATGTTCCTGTTCAAAAAATCTGCCACATTCAAGCGAACGCACATATTCTGCCTCGCTATACCATAAAGCTTTCCCCACATCCACACATCTCTTTTACGTTAGGATTGTTGAACACAAACGTCGAATGCAATACGTCGTCCACATAGTCCATTTCACTCCCGATTAGCGAGAATAACGCCTTCGAATCCACAACGACTTTCACACCATCTTGCTCAACAATTTCATCAAACCTTCCTGGAGACGAGATGTATTCGAGGTTGTATGATAGGCCAGAACACCCCTTCTTCTTTGTTCCGACTTTAAGGTATTGTGGCCGGGAAGGATCCCCCAGCATAACGCGAAGACGCTCAACGGCCCGCGGAGTCTGCGGAGTCATTAACGATTAGCGGTCAAAAGATGCAAGAGCGGATCAATCACAAACATACCAAGGTTAAAGCTGCTTTCTTGGCAGCAAATCGCCCGGATGTCCCTGTTTTCTTCACTGGTGCACCTATTGCACCAGGTGCAGGAGTAGGTGTAGCCTGTTGCGCGGCTGTGGCCATGTTGCGCGGTTGTGGTTGTGGTGGTTGTACTTGTTGTCCTGGCTGTTGCCGAGAATGGATGCACCGCCCAAATCTCCGCGGCGGGACAACGTGTGTCAAAGAGAGTGACGGGAGACGGACAAGGCGAACAGTTAGACAGCGGCTCGTCAACGCAGTCATCATGAATGAATGGTGGTACGGTTTGAAGGTGATTGAAGAGGATGCGAGTCACAGTCTATATGAATAACTTGTCCGTTCAAAGATAACCAGGGTATGAGTTTCGTATGCAATCTGCAAGTGTGATGAGAATACGTTTAAATTCTAAACTTAACGAGATCTCGCTAAAACCAACACTGTTGCTGCAAGTCATACTCAAATCTTCCGAATTATCACGTGCAATGACAAACGTTGCTGACGTAAGCGGAAACGCCCGCTGTTCCAACAATCATTTCAAAACCAAGTGCCATGGCTTAATATAGTAACATCCTTTAAGGATATCGGAGGTACTTTGGGGAATAGCTGGTAGGTATTATTACCAGCAGTTGCATGGAATTATCTCGTTTATCGAGCAGAGTAGCAGTTGTTATCTCTATTCAGTACCGGCTTTTCGCTGTCAATACGGTTTTATATATCTCTGGACCAGGGGTGTTGACTTTTCGCCCAACACCGGTCAATCGTATTTTTTCATAGTCGGAGTCACGGACACAGACTTGACAGTATGTTCAAACAGAAGAAGAATAGTGCAGACGCCAACATTGCCGGTTCCCCTTTGAAAAACCTTGTTCGTCCCACTTCTGCCACTCCCCAGTCGAACTCAAGCCAACCCGCACCTGGCCCCTCCGCCAACATACCTTCCTCGTCTTCTTCGCAACAATCGGCATCAAATGTCTCACATCCCAACCAAGTGCAACTAGGCGGGTCGGGGCTGCTTCTCATTAGGGTAGTTGAGGCTCGTAACCTTGTGTCTGCAAATGGCACACCTCTACAGATTACCAGTGCCACGGCTGGAGATGTAACGAGACTTCCCTACGTCGTCATCGATTTTGACAAGAATGAAATTCTGGTGACTGCAAAAGACGGAAATCCCGCAACAAAGACAGTAATTTGGGGGCATCGTGCGCACTTGTGAGTTACGTCTCTTTGCACATGGAAGATGGAGGCGCAATTGTTGACTTTCTTCATGTTGATAGCGATGTGAGCCGTGAGGCAGAAGTGACAGTTTTAGTGTATCAACGTGGGGCACAACAAGGCGACGTGCTGCTTGGCAGTGTTCGGGTAAAGCCCCTGCTGATTGACGGGAAGCTACAGGACCAATGGTATCCTCTTCAAGCGGATTCCACAGGAGGAGAGCAAGCTGGAACGCTGGGTGAAATTCATTTGCAATTCCACTTCAAGAAAAGCGGGGTGAGCAGTGTATATGAGTTAATGTGTCATGTAGCATGCATAGCTTACCATTCCTCGTTTTAGCAAAACAAATCACTGACCATCGATGACTTTGAGCTCCTAAAAGTTATCGGCAAAGGATCGTTTGGAAAAGTTATGCAAGTCCGCAAACGTGACACCAACCGAATCTACGCCATGAAAATCATTCGCAAGTCCCACATTGTCGAACGGGCTGAAGTAGCCCACACTTTGGCCGAACGCACAGTCCTCGCCAAACTGTCTCACCCTTTTATTGTTCCCTTGAAATTCTCCTTTCAAACCCCAGATAAACTATACCTTGTGCTCGCTTTTGTAAACGGCGGTGAACTGTTCCATCATCTTCAGAAAGAGGGCAAGTTTTCGGAAGACAGGGCAAAGTTTTATACTGCCGAACTCTTGAGCGCGCTCGAGTGCCTCCACGGATACAACATCATATACCGCGATCTCAAGCCCGAGAACATCTTGCTGGACTATACAGGTCATATTGCGTTGTGTGATTTCGGTCTATGCAAACTCAATATGAAAGATGGCAACAAGACAAACACGTTCTGTGGAACCCCCGAGTATCTTGCACCTGAACTGCTCATCGGGCAAGGATATACCAAGGTGGTAGATTGGTGGACAATTGGCATATTGCTATACGAAATGATGACAGGACTGCCACCTTTCTACGACGAGAATACAAACGAGATGTATAAAAAGATATTGTCCGATGAGCTGCGGTTCCCCGATGAGATGAGTTCGGTGGCAAAGGATTTGTTAAGACAGGTATGCAATGGACGGTGTAAGTCCTCCCTTTGATAAGCATTAAGTTCTTTGTCCGTTAGCTTCTCAACCGCGATCCAGCAAAACGGCTTGGTGCCAACGGTGCAGATGAAATCAAACGTCATCCATTCTTCGCCGACATTAACTGGGCTCGTCTTCTCGCTCGCAAATATCCTCCACCTTTCCGCCCCAATGTGACCTCTGCTGTAGATACCTCCAACTTTGACGAAGAATTTACATCAGAGGTCCCTCAAGACTCTCTTGTTGAGCCATCGTCACACTTAACTGAAGATGTTCAGCAGCAATTCGTGGGCTTCTCTTACCAGGCTCAGGAGGGAATTGCTGGGTCGGTCGGCGGTGTGAATGGAGGAAGTTTGATTGCACCAAACAAGTTGCATAGTGTTGCGGGAAGCTTTAGGATGCCCGGAGCGGCAAGGAGAGGGATTTGAGAATCAAGTGTTTGTGAGTTATGACATTGTTTGGATAAAATTCCGTCTGTAAAGTGACACCATTCAATTCAATCGGCAACTGCAGAAAGTTTCAAAGTAACATTTGAGATTGCCCATCAGTAGAAGAACCCCGTTTTATTAATCAATATGGACATGAAATGGGCACAATTAGATGAAGCCGATCTAATATGGAGGAAAAGTGTATTAGAGAGGACTTACCCTGCTCCACAGCTGGTAAATGAAACCTACCTTGTTGGCAACATCCAGGGCGTCAATATCGGCAGACAAACGGACGTAAGCCTTCTTGGTACCGTCGGGCCTTGTCACGACAAGATTAGTATACGGCAGCCCGCGTCTATCTCCAGTTTGCTGATAATATCCACCTGATCAAAGTGTTGATCTTCGAGGCATCCACATCATACAGCCTCTTCACCGCCTCCTTGATCTGTCTCTTGTTCGAACGCACATCGCAGATGAATACCAAGGTGTTGTTCTCCTCAATCTTCTTCATGGCGCTCTCAGTGTTCAAAGGGTACTGAACTATCTTGTACTGGTCGAGTTCCGGGGCACGGGGAACGGAACGACGGGGGTACTTTGGCTGACGGGCGAGCTTGAGGGTCTTGGGGCGGTAGAAGTGGGTGCCCGTCCGGACCTTGTGCACACGCTTGCCGCCAGTTCCCTTCAAAGCAGCCTTCTTGGCTGCTTGAGCCTTTGCAGCGGCGGGAGTGGCTACATAAGAGAGACGAATTTAGCGACTCTTTCCTTGCGACACTCGGGGGCTTTGGGGAATCCCACAACAATTCAGGTCCAATAGGCTAAAATCGACAATGCTCTTCCCCGTAGATCCACCGTTCAACTACTCCAGTTCAATCAGGTATGTACCTTTAGCCTTGGTTGCTGCCTTGGGTGCCATTTCGAATATCCTCCTCCGCTTTTGTGAAGAACAGAGATGTGAGGGGCGTAGGGAAAAAGAAGGACCTTCCCTTGGTGCGTTGCTGGTGGTTGTTAGCCGGGCAGCCCACCGAGCTGCACAAAAGAAATGCAACGCCACACCGTCGCCAATGATTGGTCAAAATGGATGAAGTCACGCTTGCATCGCGTCAGCAGTCGGACTCGCTTGGTCTTTGCGCTTGAGTTTATCATTTAAAGCAGGACAAGGACAACGATTTCTATTTCAGCCTTTTCCAGATCTTGTTCGCACGACGTCAATCGCAGAAAGGGAACTCGCCATAACCTGTCTCTTTAGATTGCTTTGCGCTGACTTGTCCTCCTGCAATGATCAACTTGGATGGCGACCACCAGTCATCTGGCAATATCCACCACACTTTAAATCTTTTGCACTTGACAAGATTATGCCTGAGGATCCCTCCCATTTTGGGGGGAAGGGCCAGCAAAATCACCAGATCCAAAGGTTGAATCGTTAAAGGCGTTTGGACAAGCTTACACGATGTTGTTACGCTGCCGAGTGTGGCATAGTGTTTTAGTCATATTTCAGTTACGGTACTACTGGCCTCGTAATTTGACAGAGTTTTTAATGAGACCACTAATTGACCCAATCGAAGTTCACATACATAATCCTTCCGTCCATTACTCAGCAATACTGGATTTTTGGTGATCTCCGTAAACTCTGCGTTCATTCAGTGGTCATTTGCCCAGAATTACAGGGTGTCAGCCAAATACGATGAGGTAGCATGATTTCATGTCTCAACTCCAAGTGATGGATGGATCAAGGGCGAATCTCATTTACGAATGCACAAGAGAAAGCCATTTCTTGATTTCCTATGCATTCCCACAGCTTTCTTCTCAGTTACATCAGGCTTGTTACAATTTCTTCACAGTCAGCATTCCTTCCCGATACAATGGTTTTTCAGAATACGCGACAAAGTGCGAGCCTGTCCTAGTTGCTGAATTGAACAGAGGCGTCGAGTCCGTAGCACCTAGACAATGAATATATATCTCTGTTGTATCAATGGTGTTCCCAGGAAATGTCGCGGCGGAGCAGCTTTGGTGATTGGTGAGTTTGCCCTCTGACGGGTCCTAGCTCTCCAGCAAACGATCACGACAAAAGCCTAGCGTTAGTGTCAGCCGCCGAACAAAATACCCAAGATGATTTGGCAAGTGGGACTAATGAGCAATTTGCGATAATTTTCCTGGAAATGCGCATCTGAATCTTCGATGGGTGGTTGTTCCACACAGTAATTCCTTGGTCAGTCACATGCAATATTGTCTTCCAAATAATGACTAGGATCCTCCCCGTAACGCCGTATGTTGCGCAAGACGGTGCCTGCACTCAGTTTGATGGTCGCGCAACATGATCCTGATGTAAGGGCGCCTCGACTGACGCTGTATGTTTGCGCAATCATGGTCGTGTTGGGATCTCGCTTCGTCCAAAAGTTCCAATCTTCGTCTGGTGCGCTAAGCCGTGCTGCGCCAATATTCGATTGCATTCGAACCACACTTAGTGCCATTTGCGGTCCTTCATGGCGATGCCCCACCTGGATGGTGCATGTTGTGTGTCGTTGGGGGGCATTTCTTTTGGTCCTCATATATCACATTTCCCCACATCGCTTGTACGCTCCCTGAGCGACCGTCACAATGAGTGGTGCACAGTACGCCTATGATGAAACGGGCGCAATCTTCAACTTCTTCTTGTTGACCATTTTGGGTATGGTGTTGATCCCATCAACGTATACTTGGTTGTTCGGGGGCAGGAAAGGTGAGAGGCTAGTTTATCTCAGTTTTTATGTTATTATAATCTTTCTTTATTATCAACGATATGCTGACTGTTCGTTGATTGATTGATATTGATTAATAATGTTTGGTGGCAGATGTGACTGAGGGAGATGATTGCAAATGTGAAACATGTCGGGAAAAGCGAGTGCGTTTAGTTGCAATGAAGAAGAAACAAGAGCCTTTGATCTCTACCAGGTATTCATGTTTCGGACTGCCGCTTCTTGCCACATTGATCTAAATTGGTGATCAATCTGGCGCGTTCATTAGGTTTATTCTACTGGTGCTTGGTTGGGCACTCTTCTCGTTCGTTGTCTACAAAGTCGCTACAACTAGCGTGGAAGAGAAGGGACTCTGGGATCCTTACCAGATCCTTGGAGTTGACCGGGACGCTGACGCCGACCAAGTGAAGAAGGCGTGGAAGGAGTTGATGAGGAAATGGCATCCTGATAAGAACCCGGACAATGTGGAAGAAGCCACAAAGATGACGACCGACATCTCCAAAGCATACAAGACTTTAACGGACCCAGAAGCCAGGCAGAACTGGGACGAGTGGGGTCATCCGGATGGAAAACAGTCTTTCCAACTAGGACTCGCTCTCCCAAGATGGTTGGTGGAAGAGGGTAATAATTTCAAGGTGCTCTTTGTATACGCGGGTGTCTTTATGGTTTTATTGCCGGCATTGGTGGTAAGGTCTATGCTATCACTGGGAGTTAACCTTTCAAGGTCAGTCTACTAAACTTCGTCTCTTTAGGCCCGTTGGTGGAATAATGCGAAGCAGATGAACAAGGAAAAGATTCTTCATCCGACCATGGCAAAGTTCTACAGAGAACTGAGAGAGTCATTGGGCTTCAAAGGTGAGAATAGATGAAATTTGGGCAAATTTCTAGAGTTCATTTATCTCAACATATGACGAATGGTCGCGCAGCTTTACTCGAGTTGTTGAGCAAAGCAGACGAATTCTATACACTCATTACGCTTGATAAAAGTGAAACACCTGCATTGGAGAAGGTATGAGGAGGGACAGGATGATCTTTCGCAGTGTATGCGATATCAATATTGGAGGTTTAGTTAGTGGACCAAGTCAAGAAAGCTATGGAACAGAAGACACCGGATCGTTGGAGTAAGAAGGTATGTTCCAAAGTCTCGTGCGGGATAAGTATCAGCTAGATTTATGTGAGTGTCCGTCCAATTTAGTTGACATCAGCAAAAGACCCGCAAACGGCCATGCAACAGAAAGTGTACCTTCTTCTACACTCCCACCTATTGCGCTTGACTCCGGAGGACCCAAAATTGGCACATGGTACAGATTGTTATCAGTGTTACCTGAATGGCTAGGGTCCCTTCGCTGATCTAGTATTTGGATGGCTAGAACAACGGCTTGTGGCGGAGAGGAGCGTACAACTAGTTGCAGGAATGCTACAAATTGCTATATCACGATCATGGCTCAACATTGCGTTGAGTGTCATTGACCTTGGACAGGTGAGTTGAGTGTCGCCAGAGTTGCACAGTATTGGCATGTTCCTCATATTTGTCCACTTTCCTGTAGATGCTTACACAGGCATTGTATTTCCACCAATCACCCTTGATGCAACTTCCTTACATTACGGCGGATAAGCTCAAGTATTTCCGTTCAAAAAAGGTGCCACCCCGATATCTGATCGATGCAGAGCCAGCTTATTTTAACCACAGGTTATTCGTAGAGGGACATTAGTACCATACGCGATTTGCTCGAACTGGATGAAAAGGATCGCAAGTAAGTATATACAGTGGGGATCACGTATTCAGGCGCATTAAAGGGCCTCGTCTATTTCAGCGATCTCCTACGATTCTTAACACATGAGCAGATTGCTCTGGTAATGCATGTGGCGCAGCAGTATCCTTTACTTCGCATAACGAAAGCAAAATTCTCTGGTACGATGCATCTTCTTAGGCGAGAAGCCAACTTGATTCTTACTAGCATTTCTTGAATGAGTACAGTTTTGGGCGAGCCTGCCATTATTCCCAACGCTGTGGTGACACTTAGCATCAAGTTGGAAATCGGCTCAATTGAGGATCTTCGAAAAGACAAGGAGAATGGCACGTCGCTGCGAGATGACAGCACCAACGACGATGAGGAACCAAAAAATAACTGGTGGGAAAAGAAGGAGCAAGCACCGTTGGTTCATGCCCCATACTTCCCGGCGGTAGGTGGAATGAATTTGCCCTTTCTCCTTCACTGCTCTTGATGACTCAAGTTTGCCGCGACTATCTGTAGGAGAAGCGTCCAGTATGGTGGGTCTATTTTGGGGACATGAAGCAGAACCGACTTATCACCATCGGCAAAGTGAGCGATCTCATCAACGAAAAGACAATCCGACTACAATTCCAAGCACCCCCTCGACCGGGTCAATGGGCATTCCAGGTGTTTGTCAAATCCGACTCGCATATTGGTTGCGACGCCTTGTGTGAGCTGAAGGTAAGAATTGGAATGTCGTGTACGCAACCCAACATTTGCATTCACTCATTGAAATCACATTTCAGCTTGTCGTTGAGCCACCGGAAGCCGCTCCTCTACAAGAGGAAGAAGACGACATTTCCGAACCAGAAGACGACAGCATTGCCGGTCAGATGCAGCAAATGCGTGGCGGTGGTGGACCTAAAGTCAATGGCAAGAAGGGCGGTAAAGATGAAAGTGATGAGGATGAGGATGCTGAGGACGTAGGAAAGAAGGATAAGCTGGATAGTTATGAGGATTCGGATGATTCAGATGACGAAGATGCGTGAGCCAGTAGAGGTTCCTAGTTTTACGGCGGCGGAGGGGAGTGGGAGTTGTGGCGATGCTTGCCGCTTGAGAACATCAAATGTATTGGGCAATGCGCGCGATGAAACGGCTTATGCAAATCTTGGCGATCATGTGTCGCGGCGAGGGCCTTTAGCTCATGGCCAATATCGTTATGGTTGGGGTTGTGAAGTGTGATGAGTCGTGCGTATGAAGTTGTATTGCATCCGTTCATCAAAGTTCCATTAGATGGCTTCCCTTCCATCGCTGTACCTGATAAGACTCCATGAGATATACATTCTATGGATGGGTCACTCTAACTACCATAGACAACTATCTAATGATTCTGTATTATATCCCACTGCTCTATTATGCTTTTCATGCAATAGCAGTAAATATCTCTTTCATGATTTTGGGTATGTCACTGGTATTCAGCGCCACAAATGCCTTTCCTGGTGGCATACTTCGTGTCAGTCTAAGAACGGCGATAATTAGTCAATATGCCCAGATATTGAAACAAACGACACCAAAGCACACACATTCTGGCCTCTTCACCAATTGAACCAATGAATAGAATGGCGCAATTTACTCGTGGATCTGATTCGACGACTTTTGCCAGAGCAGAAGGGTGTATGCCATAACGTCTAAGGTTGGCATCGGAGAGGATGAGGGTAAAGTAGTCATCTAGAATATATTGCGTAAGTTTCGACGAAATGCTAATACGAGCCCACGATACGGGTGAAGACATACCGGCGTCCTCTTTGACGACGTCTTTCACGGCGCGCTCGGTAGCTTTGAGTGTCGTATCGCCGGAGAAGCAGTATTGTGAATGTGCACTCATGGTTTGAAGGACTAATAGCGTAGCAGATGAATATCACCAAGAAGATACCCGTGTGAAATGCCTAGTTTTAACAACCTTTCAGTCTCTCCATCTCATCCTTTGGGGGCTTTCCGGGAAGGACAAATTCGATGCACTCCGAATCACCTAATAGTCATCATTAGCGAGTCGCCAAATAATGGCTAACGTGGAACTAATAAACGAACCTGAATGACCGACAATATCATAAACGTATTTATCGCCCAGTGACTGAAGACTTTCCATGATCTAGATCAGAAAGCATCATTAACGATCTTTTCCATCCATATCAGCTTCCAGCACGGATTGAAAGACATACCATCAACGCAGTCTCCAGACTCCGGTTCAATCGCCCATCGTGCTCATTGTAACTATACATGGAAGCACTGACGTCAAACACAAATTTCAATCGCTTCGGTTTCTTTTGCGTTGCTCCATGCTCAGGGGTTTCTTCTCCACGGCGTTTGTATATGGATGTTTCGCCAGTTAAACCTACAGAAAGATACGTTATTCATCGTCGCCATTGTCAAAAGGAATAGTAAACCATCACAAACGTACCTTCGATAATCTTCCCTTCATCCAATTCTCCATCTGTCTGATTCTGCAGCCATGTTCGCTCCTTTTCTTTCGCTTGCACTCCTTCCAAGATAACTTTCAACTGCATGATTTCTTGTCGGACATTTTCGTATATTTCCTTATATACGCCAGCTTCGTGAGCGCTCATTTTGATGTCTTCCAATCGTTTGCGCAGCGCTTCGCGTCCCATTTGCTGTGCGGCGGCTTTGATGTGCTCCGGCACATCATTTTTAATGTCCTATGGTAATGTCATGGTCAGATAGTGCCAGGTTGTGAGAGCACCAGCAGTCACGTACATCTGGGAGGCGGACGATAGGGTTCCCCGGCTTGTGCAAGCGGTATGGCCCGGCCCTTCCTCCAATACCTGCGGTATTACTTCCGCCGGATCCACCAGCCCATCTAAAATGTACATGATTAACACGCTGCAAATTGAGGGCTCTTTGCAGGGGAAGTGGGAAACGATGCATACTGGTTTCCTCCAACGTGAGGTTGGTTATCCACTTTTCCATGTTTGGGACCAGTAGCCTGCAAAACCAACTTTAGATCGTGACATAACGTTGGTTAGCATTTAACAAGGCGTCATATCCTCTTACCGGTGGCGGCATCCGATTCTTGCCTTTTTCCCACTTGACTTCAAGCTGCTTTTCCTTATCGCCTCCTATTCCAGACCCGTTCTTAACAGCTTGAAACCCGACGGCAGACACATTTAAACTGGATGATTAAATTTGTTCAGCTGGGGCAAAGAATTTCTTATGATGAAGGAACAGTCCCATCACTTACCCGTGTTTCCGTAAAGCAGCAACCAAGACTTCGAAGAATTCTTTTCGATGCACATCAAAATCGAAAACATTTCTCAAGATTTGATCCAAGGGTTCTCCAGGGAAGGCCTGCATATGCTTGACGATGTTCATCAACTCACGCAACGAGTACGGATAAGCGACAAGTCCGTCATCAAACGCCTGGCGGAGGTCTCCGAAAGCTAGGACCAGCTGTTGTAACACGTCCGGGTCAACAGCTGGTGCAGCCTGACGTAGAAGGGATAGCTCAGATGCAGGGTCAGGATTCTCCACGGCGTGGCAACTGAATACTTCGCCGATGGCACCAAAGAAGTCGTTGCCAAGGAAAGGATACCCTGGACGGTTGGCCAGAACGATAATACGGAATTCAGGATGCATGATTATATCGCGGGAAGGATCAATTAACCTCTCGTCTTGGGGTGCCGGCCGGATACGTCGGCCATCGGTCAGGGGCATTTCGCCGGTTTCCGCCAGGCTCTTCAAAATGCTTGTAATATACACCGGTGCCTTATCGGCTTCATCTACTATTAATACTCGGCCCTTTTTCACAGCCCGGACAAGTGGGCTATCTTTGTACACAATTACTCCATTCTCAACCACAGGCTGCACGGTAAGCGACTGTACAGTTGTGTCACGATGCAGCTGGACGTATTCCCGAGGTCGTCCAATTAGCTCCAATACCCGATCCGTTAGTCTGTTTTTGCCGACACCCTGGTTACCAATAAGCAACAGGTGTTCGCCCAAAACAAAGTCAACGGCAATTTCTCTCATGACTCGAGTGTGTACGTCGTTATCAAAGAATCCAGGTCCGCCTTCAGCAGTGTGTGGAATGAGAGCTTTTGCCTCGACGTCATCAGGGCGGATCGTATATTTGGGAAGGGCAACGTCACCGAACCGTAGTGTGTCAGGTGTATTCTCAATGCTGTACTTGACGATTTTGCCACTGGGTTGTATTCCAGAATCAGCCAAAACATCTTCCAAAGCATGTCGGGCCAATTGAGGAAGGAATGGGCTGAGACACGTTCTGTGAATTGCAGTGTAAAGGGACTCATCTGGGAATTGGGCCAGACGACGACAGATCCGCAGAAGCTGCCGAGTAGACAAAGACGTTGATTTGGCCAACACAGTTTCGTGTCCCGATCCTCCACCTTCCGCCAATTTTCGGAATCGTGCAGCAAAGTCTAGCAACTGCCTAGCCTTGTCTTCTGGACAATGAGTCAATGTGCGTAACAAGGCCGCTTCTTCCTGAACATCCATGGCTCCGACTTCCAGGAATTGAAACATCGCGCCGACCTCTTCGGTGAGCCACTCCATCTCTTGCTTAGGAGCTTTGTGATGAAGGTGGACACTAGCCGTAGCGATAATACGGAATGCAGGATGTACCGGCAAGACACGTTTTGCGGCAAGCTGCTCTGAGGACAAACCAGTGCGCTCCTTGAGGCTTTCAAAGTTCTCAGCACTTGTAAGGAAAGTACCGTCCGGCAGGACAGCCTCCCTATCCTGAACAAGTCGTTGTAGGCTGGCAATAGTGCCAGCACGGACCCAATGCAAGCCGTCAATAACTGCAATTTTGCCTTCCAAAGCCGCACGAACTAGGCCGGAGCTTTCCCAATATGTGCTTCCATCTCTTCGTGTGCCCCTCCGCTGCAAAAGATCCCTCGCGGTCATATCACGATACATGTGAACCGTCTCGGTTTCGTAACCAAATAGTCCAGCGAATCTCATAATCGCTGTCGTTTTCCCGCTACCCTTCGGTCCTGCCAGACAAATGTCGCGGCCCATAGCATGGGCTTGTGCAATTCGCGTTACAACGTCACGGTATCGAGGAGTATGCACAAACACACCGCCGTAGCTGCCAATCTCGCCAGATGCAAGAGGAACCAAGGGCGCTGACCCGAATGTAACTGGCAACGTTACCGACGAACCTGACCATTGGAAGGTGGCGCTCCCTCGAGTAACGGTTGTCAGATCGTACGACGACTTACGACTGACATTCGCTCCCCGTAATTCAACGGGAACGTTAAACTTGGTGGACAGAGTTTTAAAGGCTTGTAGTTGATCATTTGTCAAAGCACTGCCGACCCAGGACGACGGCCAAAATCTTTGCAAAGCACTTTCGATATCCTGAGCCTCTGCAGGAAATAATCTGAGAAGGTCTACGATGCCACCCATGGACGTTTGCGGAAATTGTGGTAGAAGGGCAGAGTTGGAGGCATCATTCGCCGAAATGGTTAGCTGGTCCTTAATTTCATGTGTATACTTGATGGTTTTGATCATATCTCGTAGCTTGATCAGCAATTCATTTGTACGAGATACCGTGTCCGCCTCCAAGGCACCCGCTTCGATTAGGGCAGCTGAGCGGCTCCTAGTCTCGGAACCATCAAAGGGGCTCTCAATGTATCGGACTTGGAACCGACTACGGAAAGGCGGATCCAATGGGTTTCCAGGATAGGGCGGAATTGGTACGCCTAATGCAATGACCCTGAACCGTTCACTAGCCCTTACTAATTGCCATGAATCCAATTCCTCGCGGGTGTGATTTTTGAGGAGGGCGTCATAGCGGGAATGATGAACAATATGTCGCCCATCCTCTAAATTCATTTCTCGGTTTTCCAAAAGATTGTTCAAGACCGGCAGGACATTACGCTCAGCCTTTTCGATACCCTCAATAATAAGCACGCGACCTTGAATGGCTGCTCTTACGGCCACACCGTCGACCCACTCGGCGGTAAGTCCCCCAGATCCGCTGGCGTCACGCACAATCTCCCTTCGCTGCTTCAGGTCAGACTCCGCTGATGTGTCTCGATGCAGGGCAACGTACTCGTGTTCTCGATTCGTTAAATGGAGGTATGTTAAGGCGAGGTGTCGCTTTAATGGCCCAGGTGGTCTGCCACGTACATCCGTATTAGACACAGATTTCCTTTCCCCATATTTGCATGAGGTACCCGGGGACAAATGCCATACCCAATAAGGAACATGTCCTGCCCAAGTGTGTCTTTTCGCATCATCCATTGCAAGTGTTCCAAGACATCCTAAAAGTACGTCAGAACCTGTCATTATGCGCAATTTTGCAAAGATACCTGACGCCAATCAACCAACCTGTCTAGTCAGATCTAACAGACTCTCTATTGGCACCCTATGTGGTGCCTGTGCATCGACAACCGGAACGCAGACGTTCCCAATGCACACGCGGGACCCATCGTCTTCCAAGCCTCCGGTGGAAGAATCTATCGACCATGGTTCATCTGGCATGAGAGAAATAACATCAATTCTCGCCGCGTCGTATTCTCACCTTGGCTTGCTGAGGTTGATAAGGATCTAGGGTTTAATGCTGCCTGCAGGTGTTGCAACCGCCGTAGGGCAGTCGCAGGCATGTGAGCCTGCTTCCTGGTGTACATTGTACGGAAAAAGACTCTCCTCCCTATATGGTGAGCGTAAGTGCTGACGCCGCGTGGACTCTGTTTATGAGCGAGAGCCCGCAGCAGCATGAAGGTTGAAAACGACGACGAGCGACAAGTGCCAAATGCGTTGATCTTGTCATGTGCAACTGATGACGGAAGAATGAAATTCCGATCGTGGGAAGGCACGTGACAAACACTATCGAATAAGGCTTGGAACATTAACAAGGGGATATTACATTGAAAAAAGATATTTATCATCCAAAATGAATCAGCAGTCCGATAGAGCCCACCTCCCTCCCAGCTATAGCCCCATCAAAGAGGTTAGACCTAAGATCGCCTCTTACTCCCGGCAACTCCAATGGAGTTACCCATTTTTACCAGTGTTTCCAAATTTTGCTCAGAGTTCTCTCGTAAATCATGATCGAACTCAATGGCATCCTTCTCAAAGAGAAGTATAATTGTTGAGCCGCCGAATGCAAAGTACCTTAATGAAAGGACGCGTTAGAAGATGACCACCAGAGGATCGGAACGGTTTCATCCTACCCATGCTCATCCATTCTCTTCACTTCTGCACCCTCGTGAGATGTCAACACGATGCTTCCAACCATCATTGCACCGATACAAACGTAGGCCATTTTTCCGAATTCTGGACTGTCAAGGTATGTCACACAGCGTATGTTTTCCGTGTACACGTCGACGGTTGTTCTGATCATAGAATTAACGGCAGATTGGTATGGTGGACATTTGCTTGGTGACGGCAGATGCTCTCACCTTATCGCCATTGGGTTTACTGTAAAATACGATCCTTCAATCCACTTGGTTGGCCCAACCGTGCAATCGACGGGAAAATGGAACCGATGGTAGTCTACAGAAGATCATTGGTTAAATGACCGGATTTCATATAATGCATGTCCTTATTTGTCCCTTTACCCTGAGGTGCTAACCGAAATATTATCATGGGGCCGCCTTCGAACGTAGCCGCCTAAGAGAGTACAGACCCCGTTTAGTGAGCATATTCGGTTTACAGCTATGGCAACAAGGTTATACCATCTGCTCATCCTGTAGCAAGTTTGGCACCGTGAAACGTTGCCCCTTTACCCATAATTGCGTCGCACGTTCGACAGTTGGGAAACAGCTTAATCGGCAGTCTGCCGCGGACACTGCCACTTTCTGATAGGACAAATGAGTAAGAACTTGATAGTTTGACATTTGGCATGTATCGGAAATAGCCAAACATACAGGGTCAGGAGACGCCAACGTTCTTGCGCCCGGCTTTAGTTTCCGGTAAAAGAATTGATTGAATGTCTGAAAGGTATCCAGTGGATCACGTACTCCAGCGAAAATGAGCTGCAGTCCTCATTTATGACGAAACGTGTAAGTACCTACTCTCATCAAGTGGCAAATTGTGAAACGCGATAAAGTGCTTAATCGCTTTCCGGCTTGATGGGTCATCAAACTTTTTACCCTGCTTCACACCTACACCAAAGAGTCGAGTGTGACCATTAGCAACGGGAGCGCATGAAGTGAGATGTGCCAACTACATACTGAGATTTCGCAGTAGGTTCTTGATAAGTCGTCGCTCGACGGCTGAGTCCGAATCATGTTCAGTCAAAGTTTACAGGGATCACGATTCAATGTCCTATACGTACCGCTTCGGCCAGAGCGGAATTGATAAAGTAATCGGATACCAAGACGCACATAGGTTGGCATGCGCTCCTCCACCAGTTGTCCCGTCTGAAACGGAAGCAGTTTAGAAACCGAGTAAATTGCTATAAAACGCCACAGGTTGAGAAATGTACCGCACGGTCTTGGACGATAATATTGGCTAGGAAATCCAACGCGCTCTCCGTTAGATGTAGACGAAAAGATAGCACCAAGAGCCACTTACCATTATTTTTACCCAGACTATAGCCTCCATAGGTCACATATGAAACAATCTTACTATACCATTTTCTCGTCGCATAAGCCTCAGTTAGAAAGCCTCCCATTACAAAATGGTCCACTTTGCCCAAATCTTCGTGTGCACACAGCGCTACATGAGAAACAACGTCCAAATCTCCCTTTCGTTTTATTTTCTTCCGGCAAATGGGACATTCGCGAATTTGAATAACGTGTTCTACTTCGCCGTTGGATTGCAAGGTGGCATCCGAATTACTGGTGCTGGAAATATCGCTGTCGCTGCCGTTTCTGTTTGCCTTGCTGTTCTTATTCCCTCTACTTTTATTTCTTCTCATGGTTTTGGCCTGACATACAATCTTTCCAGTTATTTGTCCCTCCAGTATTTCGACCAGCTCTTCGAACGTCAACTCCTCATCTGGCGACTTCCCCTTACTTAAGAACATCATATTGATTGATTCATCTGAGAAATTCGAACCGAGACTGTCCAACATCGCGGTAAGCTGGACCTTATTTATCATCCCACTGGAGTCGCTGTCGAATTCCTTGATAAGAGTCAACCAGAAATTTCGACGAAGATCTGCATAGAGGTTATCAGTACTGATGTAGTGAAGATACTCAGCAGCGTTTACGTACCCTTGTACGGAGTAAATGTGTATTTGACCTTGAGCGTTGCGACGTCTGCACTCTACAGCAAAAGCCTTCAGAGTCAATATAGGATCAATTGCCGCTATGGCACCCAAGTCAGTCACACCTTTGTGTTTTTCAACGCCAGCTTCAGATCCTGTTCGACTGGAGGCATCATCGTTGGCACATTGGGTGTCATTGGAAGCCGTTTACACGTAGCAACCACATCTGATATCTTCAGTTCCGTGGTACCAATGTAATCGTTGTTGCTGAATTTGTCATAGTCATAAACCGAGAGGTTCACGGCCCAACCGAGTTGATGCTCTGAATGCCGTACATGTCTAGATAAAATGTAGTCGGATGGCTCAGAAGTGTTCAGATCCTGCGTATTCACTCTGGTTTTCGACGCTTACAGAAAGACCCTCTCATTCCATGTGGGCTGTAGGGTATGCCGAACTGTTCGCGTTCGAAACGTTTTGCGCCTATCGCAACGGCAGGTCAACGCAACAGCTTGACAAAGAGTGAAGATACCAGTCGGAAGATACCCACCCATAGCTATAAGCACAAATCAGTACAATGTCAAAAGATGAAAGGTACACTTTATAGACTTGTCTCGATACTTACGAAATGACAACAAAGGGATCACAGTCAAACGATGTGCGTGTTACATTTGTCTCATATGGAAGATTGGTTGCACCCACGACTGATGGCCGTTAGATATGCAATCAGGATGATGTTGAAATGAAAGGAACTACTTACTATCAATCGTCAACAAACCCATCTGGGCATTGTGATCAAATGCCTTCGTGTCTGCCTTATCAAGGTAATCGGCGCTAACCGAATCTGAACTGCTGTCTTCTGGAGATTCTGGGGTCTGAGGTACGTCTTGATCTCTACTGGCATCCCCCGTGAATTGGTTAAAGTAAAGGTCTACGTAAAAACTTTAGCATCTTCCCGCAGTCAACTGGCAGTTTATTTGGTTTTCGTACCATCAGCAGGATCGTCGGTGGTCATCAGCGTAGCTATGGTTGGAAACTTGAGTATAAGGACTACTTTCAAGTGTGAAACGCAGAGAGGGCATGAATCTGCTTACCATGTACGGCTGTCTGCTCTGCAGAGCTGTCCAACATTCCCAAAAGATCCCGATCCAACTCTCCGACGAACCCGAGCTTGATACTTTATGATCAACCGATTAGACATTATATTTACGCGAGCGGTTTAGTGGAACCAACCTTATCTCGCCCGTTATATTCTCTTTTGCTTTCCGTGGATGAAGAGGGTGCCACACTGGTTCGTTTTTTGGGTCGTCGAATGATGCAGCGTCGCTGATTCTTAGTATATCACTTATGGGGATGGATAATTGTCCCAAAAAGTCCTTTCCTATCAGATCTTTATCCCAGACGATAAAGTCCAATGATGCTATTGATAGAGAGAGAATGACTTGTAAGCGATGGAAACGGCTGAAGCAAAAAGTCTGTCGACTCATTGCTCACGAGAACGGTCGCGCCAATCCAGCATCACACGCGCGAAAATGAAAACATACCATCAAACAGCACTGGTGTAAGAACACTAAAATAATATAATCAGCGTCCCGCTCAAAAGTACAGAACGCAGCCAACTATCAACGTGGCGCAAACTTACAATTCAAACATTTCGTTCCATGTGGGACTGAGATTTCGAGGAATAACACTGGTCTTGTTGCTTTGACCACCCAGTTTTATGACCACAAAGGGATCACTAGTACCACGTCTGTCCTTTGCCATCAAGTTTCGCGCTTCCACAACGTTCACTCGCAATGTCAGGGACTTCATCTTGGGGATCTAATTCGAGGAAAATGGGTTGTGGAAGAGGGGATGATATTTGACTAGTTCCCAGTATCTTGCGTTGCCTTGGTTCAATGTCAGCGTTGTTACGATAGAATTCTTGAGGACATTCAAGCAATGACAGTGCATTAAAAACCGTGGTGGCAGCGCAGAAACCTGCGGAGGCCGCCCTTGTCCGTTTGATGACGTTGGGCTACTAACCTGCGTGCGTTTCGGCTACTAACCCGCGTCTGAATGGGAGAATGTTCGGCAAATGGGCGCAGTGCTAACGTAAGCATCCACCAATCAGATCTCTTTTTTGTTTTTTGTTGTCCAAGCCACACTGCGGTTTCCTATATAAAGGGTGAAGGAGGCGACCAAGGTATCTATCTTTCTTTCCTTCCCACCAAGCGGTTCATATTCGTTTGCAAGATCGCCTCTTTCAGCGACCAGCGTTTTCTTTGCTGAAAGACTCGAATCATTATAGCGGTATGGTCCGTCTACAGTCCATATTTGACCGATGCGAGACTCTGCTCGTCTGGCACTGAAGCACACGGGGACCCGTCTCTTTGGAGCGTGGTGCCTTTAGTGGTGTATATTTCGCCGCCAGCGCATCGAAAAACATTCTCTCTAGGATTCAAGCACTTGTGGGACCGGGTGCTACTTGCGGTATCTTGAGCTTCCTTTGGGTCGTTCGATATCGTTTCTGTTGTACTGCAGGGCTTACTCGTGCTCCTGGAAGCATCGTCCTATATTCTATGTCCTTTCCGGGTTGTCACTATGTGTCCATTACGGTTGGGAAAAACCATAGGGCGGACATTCCGCACACAGTTTGCTGTCCTTGAATAGTCCTAAGTCCATCGGTGGTATCCATTGGAAGATGTACACTGTGGGCGATTTGTGACATTTTCCATTGTGATCATCGGGAGTCGGCTGTTCTGAATTTGATGCACCACTGCCATTAATGTGGGAAAAGCTACTGCTTATGCGCAGATATCCCTTTTAACAATGGCTGCGTAATAACAAGCGTCTATCGATACATTTCATGCTGTGACCACAGCGTCAGAGCACAATTATGTTTAGTGATGATGTTATGTGGTATTGATCAGCGGATTGTTCTTTGTAATATTGCGATGGCGAGAATTGCATCTTTTGGCATCTCACCCCTGTCGGTTGCGAATCCATGTGGCAAATATGGTCAAATATCAACTTGGCTCTCCACATTTAATAATTGGGATATGTACAAATATGACCATCCGTTACATTATCCGGAAGCAATACGAGTGCTTGTAATGAATGATGTCCCAAAGGTTCCCAATGTCGAATATCTACCCAAAATCTCCAAAGACTACCTCGGTGCTGCCAACCTCTATGAATCAGGTTTTATCATCATTCACTCTAGTATATTCTCAGTAATCTATTCAATCTGTTCAATCATTCTCATCAAATATTTTCTGAGCATGTCCATCAAACGCTTGCGAAAGCTTTTGAATCCATAAAGCAAGCTCAGGTGCCTGATCCTCCCAGACCTCTTTGGCAATCTCCTTATTCAAGAGTCGGCAGTACGCATATCTCCCAAACAAGACGTAATCCGCCTGTCCAGGGAACTTTCCTTGCACATATTCTCCAGGACGCTCCCGCAAAATCTGAATCAATGGTGTAACGGTCAGCTTGGCACGACGAATGAGCTCCACACGGTCGAGAGCAAGCAGCTTTTCACGTCCATTTGGACCGAGACGTTGATCCGAAATAAAGTATTCGTATAATCCAGGCACACCCTCTTGATGATATTTACACAATTCGGGAAAGCACAGTTCGAACCATACTGCCCATTCTGGTGATGATGAGCCGAGACCCAAGTCAACGAGACGAGCATACGCCTTGCCTGTTGTCAAATGTGCCGGATTGGCTTGACGCGTAGATTGACCGTCGCCGGTAAACAACGAAGGAGCATCAGGATACGCCGTTTCAAGCCACTCTGAAATTCGGAAAGAGTCGTAAAGAAATGTTCCGTCTGGGAGTTCTATGGCTGGAGCTTGAATGTTTGGTAAACCCGAGCGCTTTGCTATTGGTCCGCGGATATCAAGGAGGGTAACAGGAACGGTTTCAAACTTGACCTGCTTGTGCAAGAGTGCCATTCGGGTTTTCCATGTGTTGGGCGAAAAGAATCGTGTGGATTTCGTAGGGTCGGCTGTTAGGTCGTAAAACTTTATGGTGGCCATCTTGTCAAGATTTGGTTGATGGCACGCTTTGCGGTTCACACACCATGGAGAGATCAGCAGTGCAATTTCGATGTGGATTTATTGGTTAAACCCGATTCTAGTGTGGTCATGTATATATGGGTCCGAATGTCTAGACATCGGCCGACATGCGCAGCTGGAATGTTGCGCCAGTGCGGCATCCGACTGTAACAATTACTTGGATTCCCTAACCACTGGGCTAGATAGAGGTACCTAATACCCATTCCTTCATGTCTTAAACATTGGCGGTGTGAACCGACAAGTGTGCCGTGTGTCATTAACGCCATGAATAACCCTACCAAGAATTCGTGGTTTCACAGGGAAACCTACTGCCAATGAACTAGATCTCAACTTGCCAAGTCAAACTGGCCATTCATACTCGTCGACTCATAATGTTCGTCAGTTCAGTCTAGAAAAGTGTATAGAATTCTTGAATTAGGGGACTTTAATAAGAGCCTGGGGTGACGCGTCAAACGTCAATGGACGCACCCAGCCAGTTGTCAACGTGCACCATTCATTTCCTTTGACATGTCCTCAGAAAGACTATCGGCGCTCACGGACCCTTCTCTCGAAAGAGTTGTGTACGTCGTGCGTCATGGTGAGAGGATAGACCAAATCGATCCTTCTTGGTCCAACACTGCTCCCGAACCATATGATCCGCCACTGACAGAGTTGGGCGTCGCTCAAGCTCAACGGACAGGACAGTACATTGCTGAAGATCGGCAAAGAAATGGTTATAAGACTGCGCTCACGGTCTTGTCAAGTCCTTTCTATCGAACCCTGCAGACAGCCGAAGGAATCATTCATGGAGTTACAAAGCACTCTAGTTTGGCCGAACGGCCTGCTATGTATCTATATCCACCTCTTAGCGAATGGCTTGCCAGAGATTACTTTCCGGAACCGCTACCCGACGACTCTTTTACCCACGCTAACCGCATACGTCAATTCCCTGTCCTTGAGCCACCAAAAGTCGACTTTCCCACTCCGCTCCCACCGTATCCAGAGTCCCGTACGGAAATGCGTCAACGATTCCTGCACTCGTTCCTTGATGCCATTGAAAATTATTCATCGCCATCTACACACTTGATTCTTGTCTCGCACGGAGCGGGATGTCAGGCGATTCCTCAGCAATTAGCAGCCGCACAAATTGTGAGACCTTTTGAACTCCGCATTCCCGAAACGCCCTATTGTTGTGTCACAAAGCTTGTAAAGAAGCTCAATGAGAAGGAGTGGTGTTTGGAGGTTTGTGCCGGGACGCAGCACCTGACGGATCTGCTTGAGCGCACGGGAACCGAATTTGTTGTAAAGTGTTAAACTGGTGAGTGTTTTGTGTTTTTGTAGTTTTGATCATGGCTTACATCAACACCCTTTAGGAAGGGGGCGCCGGACCGACTGGCCAATGAGTCTCTAAATGGTTAGAACAAGCAGGTAGCGACGGATAATGTCCTTACAAACAATTCAAATACGTCTAGACTTGCAAAAGAAATACCAGCTATATACACATTATTATTAAGATTTTTCAATATACACAAAAGGCCATTGCAATAGCAATGTTGTTTTTTTCTAATAAAAGCCAACTCGGACCTCACGACTTTTGATAGAGCGAATAAATTGGCATATAAAACAAAAGAAATTTGGTATAAGATTCCTACTTTCCCGCTTCTCCTTTCTATGAAGAATCCCATACGCCCCAATGTCCCACATTTTGAGGCGGCGAATGCGGGGACGGTGGACGAGCCAGCGAGTAATTCAATCCACCTCGATTCCGAAAGGGCAGTAGCGCAGTCGGAGATTCTGGACGGGGCGATGTAGGCCGAGGTATTGTGCGTCCAGAGTTGAGGTGTTGTGAGTGATGGTTGTTGGCGGCGTGCGAATATGTGTGCAAATCAAAGGAGCTATCGCTTTGAAACGAGGCACGGCGCTCTTCTGGGTATGCGGACGATGGTATCGAAAATGGGTTGGCTACCCGTGTTGTGCGTGATTCGTGTTCTAGGCAAGTTGACGAGCAGTAGAGTGCACCGTTCTGAGTATGGCGGCCGCAGCCGGCCATGCACCAATCGAGATCAAGTCCGTACTCCATAGTATTTGATTGTAGTTGGAAGTCGGAGTATTTATATTCTCAAATTGCTTCCTATTTCTGATGCTTTGGCCGTGTGGGATTGCAGTTGCTTGCTGCGGGGACTGTTTATCGCTGGGTGATGGGGAAGGGGAACGTAGTCCCATATTTATATTCCAGGAGGGAGAAGCCCAAAGAAAAAAACACACAAGCTGAGCCCCCCCTTACCCACATCGCGTAAATGGGTCACATAACAATGTCCAGTGTGATGAGTCATGTGCGTCACGTTTGTTGTTTGATTGGTTGGGACTTGTGCCATTAATGACGGATATTGGACCGTTGCAATGGCCAATCGCGTCTTTTGTTTGCGGCATGGCTGATGGGCACGTGGACAGTCCACGTTCGCATTCTGACATAAGCATTTGGCAAATGACTAGGGCACGTGTATTATTATTATGATGGGCATGTGTGTTTGAATGACTGGACAAACGGACATTTTGTTCAAGGGAACAAAAGCAGGACCCGCATGTCTTCTCCGATTGGACAAACGCATCGTTGGAAACGTTTGGCCTGTGGCTGCTGGGGGCATGCAACTTTCTGCCTTGGCAGGTTGGCAGACTGGAAGGCTGAAACCTGCACGTAATGGATTGTTGCTGCCTTGACTGCCTTGGCTATTGGCGGTCCCAAATGGGCGGTCCAAAATGGCGGCTATGGGCGGCCATAGGCGGGGGACTCTGCCAAACGGCGTTTGCATTCTGCCCACTTTAACTCTGCACGCAAAACATTTTCCTGATTAGCAAGTTTCCATTTGCAACAAATTCACTGCGCGTAAAGATTTTGATGTTTAATGAAATTTGTAGAATGCGATAAAATAACCTTTACACACATAAACTCATCCAAAATGCATTGCAAAAAGCCACGTTTCTAATCTACTGCAATATCTGTAACGTCCTCATCAACATTATCATCATCTCTCTGAATCTCAAAAACACTCCCATCATCGCTATGGAGGCTCAGCGTACTGCCTGTTGGCATGGTATCTTGTTCAGGTTTGGCATCCTCTGGGCTATCGGCGATAATATCTCCCATATCGTCCGCTCCCGCCATTCTGACAGTCGCCATGTCGTTGGTGGTAAACTCGTTTGATACTGGCGGCGGGATATCTTTTTTCTGAAACTCTTTTTCTTCCTTCTCTTGGGGCCCGGTTGTAGTCATCCCGATATCATCTGCGTCAGTCTCATTAACTACTGCGGACTTTTCGTCGTCGTCGTCGTTGTCATCTCTCGGGATTTCTATTGTTTCTGCCTCAAAAGTTTCCGTCTCGACAATTTCCCTCTCGATAGTTTCCGTCTCGATAGGCTCATTTTCCGAGAGCGCGCCATGTTCCGGCTCAAAATGTGGCGTTTGATTTTCGTCCACGGATGGTTCCATTGACAAACCCACTGCATTGACTGACTCACGTCGACTACTTTGCTTGCTCACAAATTGAGAGGGCGGGCCCGACTGTGCTGTTCCGGAACTTTTGGCGGAATTTGCGTCGCTATCGTTTGTCATTGCGACTGCCATAGATGCAGCTGCAAGGAGCTCCGCAGTTGTCAAGCTGTGACGTTTGCCATTCACGCCAGTGAAAGGTAGCCCAGGTTGACCAGACAATGGAATGATGCGGTGTATCTGATCCGAGTCGGTTTCTCTCCGGCCAGATGAAGGGCGCATACTGACTAGGGAATTTGCTGCTGCCAGCCCTGCCAGGGAAGCTGAAGATCCGCTCTCTTGAGACTTTTTGGTTTCCATCATCATCTTTAACCGCTCTGCTTCTTCTTCAAGTTCCTTTTGACGCTCCAGTCTTTCCTGTTCCTCCCGCAGTCTGGCAATAGCTTCTTCTTCCATCTGCTTTCTCCTTTCCTCTCTGGCCCTTCTTCGTGCGATGCGCTTCTCTCTATCCACTCTCAAGTCTTGTGCATCCGCATTGCGGGTCTCCACTTTCCAGTCCTCTGGTGCTTTAGGTGCAATGGCAATTTCCGCCGCTGTGAGAAATGACCTATTCATTAATGTGGCCGCAGTAACGGGGCGAACACGCTCTCGTGAAGCGATGGATGGGCGCCCTACTCCTTCCTCACGCTCTTGTTCTCGACATGCAACCGCATCACGGACCATATCGTCTCTGGCAAACATGGCAGCTCGCGTCCAGGGTGATATTCGATATACCTCAGGACTGTTTACTCTTGTCGCATGTTCATCTCCCGAGCCTCTTTTGATCTCATCTCCTTCTCGTCCCTCCATTTCCGCCTCCTCTCCCCATTCCCTCCATGTTTTTCTTTGTAAAAGTTTGCGGTTGACTATTGCGTCCGATATTTGCAGTTTAGATGTTACCAGGCTGGGGAGCCCTTTCGATGGGACCGCAAACGCCTGGGAGGATGAAGCAGTTGTTGGGGTTTGGTGCCTTATGGGAAAACCTATGATGTTCATATCGGTATGAAAGCGATACTACTGGGGCCGTCACCGGTCGCTGGTAACAACTAAACATTAGATCGTTGGGTGTATTACATCCATCATCGCTTATTCCTGTACCTTTTCATCTCCTGGGACATACTTTCTGTACGTCACCCAGGCACTGGCCGTAGCTCTCGGAACAGGCTCCCTCTCTGCAGGTTGACTCCAGGTCGTCAAAAACTGGACGGCCTTCTCCGTCCCGCGATCAATGGTTCCCTTGTGGCGAACATTGTACTTCCATTCCAATGGAGGTAACTTCATACCCGGAGAGCTGTCATCGGCCTTGGAAACTGCTTCCTCCTTTGCAAAATATGTGCTACTCCACTGTGATAGAAGGTTTTGGACGGCGGCATAAGCCTCCTGCTCAAAATCCGCCGGTTGGTACTTGAGGAGCGCAGCATTAGGATCACTTGCATTTGTCTTTTCTGGAAATGTAACGATACACTTACTCCCATCGTTTCTGACGAGCGCGAAATGGAGGGAATAAGCAGATAGCGATCATGCTCAAAGAAAGTGTCAAAAATAGCACAATGAGTTCAGATCGAGGGTCCAAGGAATTAATATCATGTGATCCGACGAGGGAGTCGCCTAGCTAAGCGCACGTCGTAATTTGCCCCGATGAAATCCAGGCAAGGAGCGACGAACATCTGTGGAGCGTTCCTCCGAATATCCCAATGCACCCTGAATCGACATGCATTTGGCGGATGATCATGTTTAATGCTCTGCTCAATGGATATCGACTGATTAATTGCGTCCCATTTTACTTTTTCTTTGGGTACTCCAGACTCTGGACCGGCACAAGTAAAATTGGGTAATGCAGAATTCTCATCAAGGTCCTCTCGTATATGCAAAATTGAGCTGAGGGAAACGTATCGTATTAAAGGGTCCTGGTCTTTCCATGCAGGACTGGACAAGACCTGCAGAGATCTTTGGTTTTGTAGCTATTGAACGTTCCCGATCCAGCCAATTGTATCTTGACCCCGTCCTTTTGTTGGACCCTTGCGCTTTCAGGATACTTATTTAAATGATGCTACCTGCGCGATAACTGGGAAGACCCGAATTCGGTTTACGAGAACTCTCTGTAACATTTGCTATTAACGACAAATCGACCATCTGATGTCTCTGAGCGTTTTGAGAGATTGGTGATATCTTGGCCAAGTGATGAGACATGAGATCTCGCACATACGCCATAATATTGTTTGAGATGCCAAATTCAGGACAAGAGTGTCATCGTGCATTTTTGTATCCACGAGCGCAATGCATTGCATAAGATCACGAACCAACTTTGCTTACTGCATAAAGTGGCTGAGTGACAAATGGCAACCAGACCCCATAGCTATTTGTGTGCTAACCTTGACACTGTACCATTGGTCACCAACTCGAACGCCTGCCAAGTTCGTATTCTAAGATTCCAATTTAGGTGTTGTTCCTAGTGCTTGCGGAGCCTAGGACTCTTATCGACCTATTTACCGTTCAATTCAAGCATAGCAGCAGCATTAGCGTGCGTACGCAACCACAACAGACCAGTTCAATCCCGCTGCTATGGGCAAGTAGGTCGATACGACTATAATGAGTAATATCGGCGTAAGACTACCAGTAGTGAAACAACTTGAACAGGAGGAGCAAGCAAGTTAACAAAGCAGGAATAATCCTCCGTCATTGGAAAAGCTAAGGGCCGTCAATCAAAAGTTGGAAATGGTTGAATGAACATCATGCAAAAGTTCAGCAGTGAAATTGAGAGATATTGCTTATTGAATATTTAAGCGAAATATTTCAAGTTCAAAAGTAATAATCTCTCCCTTTACTTTCATTTCGGTGAATGGCACAGTCACGGTGGCTCTGTAAGCCAGGGTCAAGACGTTTTGACAAGTTGGGAGGAGTTGTTCTCTGCGCTGTAGAACGGGAAACAAGCAACCTTTGACCGACAAGATACCCTGTCTTTCGTGCGGAATCCTCCAAGGGGACATGTCTTCCCACCCTTCCCAACCTACCCCGACGGAGGACACGCCAGGGCAATTCGGGCAGCCATCACCTCCACCACCTGCACTCCTCCCACCGCGCTACCAACCTGATCCGTCACCGACTTTTGGCGCAGCGACGGAAACGTATACCCAACCTCCTCATTATCCAATCTCCATTCGCTCCGTTCCACCCGCCTATGGGCCTGACCCGGAGATTCAACGCAAGTTATATGTCCAATACAGGAGTAGATTAAGAAAGACGTATGGCGTACCGTTGCTGACATGGATTCCGTCCTTTGGGTTCATACTGGTAAATATACTTTACTTCAAGTTTGAGCAACCTTTTTTTTGACATTGTTTGCTGCTTCAGTATTATGCAATTGCAAATGAAGTTAAAGGTAAAATGACACCGTACACATGGGTTGCCGTCGTTCTATGGGTTATGATGCTCTTTGCCATCATCTATGCATGTAAGTTATAAATATTAGAAGATGCCAAAGTCGTCCACAGATGTGTTGACCTTTATCCTACAGATCACACACGATTCAAGCGCCTCACTCGTGTCTTTAAGATGGGAATCCTTGACTCACTTCCAATCGATGAACTTAATGACGTTGTCATGCATGGAGCTCCTTTGCGATCTGCTCCCGACTATGACGAAACTGCCGTAAGATACGATGAACCTCTTCCGCTATATCCAGCAAGACGAACAGAGTCTAGTTCTTCAAGAGGAACTACACAGAGTTGGCGGAGATGGTGGACGGGAGAGACTACACCGGATGCGGAGACAGGTCCACAACAACAAAGCGCTGTTCCGATGACAGATTTGATGGTCGAGGGAAGTAGAGAAAGGGCGGGGTCTTTAAGTAGTGTAGAAACGAAGGTGATGGTCCTTGAGTATGGCACTGCCGAGCCGAAAGATGGAGTTGAAACAGATCACGAACGGGATGGACAAGCATCAACCTCTAGCAGCATTCTGTTGCCAGAACCTCAGGAGGCGGGCGAAATCCCAAGATCCGTGGCGGTGCATGATAGTCCGGCAGTTTCCCCTCCTTTGTAGAATACAGAAATGTGCATGTTATGATTACGTAGATAGATTTATATGTTTTGTATATTCTTTTATATTGATGTTTGGCTTTCTCTCAATGAATTCCTTTCTGGTTAACTCTCTGCACAGAACCTGAACGGGGATGCACATTTTATGAAAGTATACCCTTTTTATGCTCTGTTGATCAATCCTCGATGATAGCTATAACCAATATCGTGGACATGCCCTTTGTTTCTATTCTTGCTTGACTGCATTTGATCGTTGCTGTTTTTCCAACATTTTCCTACGACAAGCCTCCGAATGAACAAACATTTGGGAACTGCAAAAAGGCAACTCGGTCACTTACTGTCTGGCCTGTCTCAGCATATATTCCTTACGGGCCCTCAGACTCTTCTCCCTAGCCTCCGCTGTCTGTTCCCACATGCGCGGCGGTTCTGACAGGGGTGCATTTGTATCATTTATTAGCGTACTCAGCGCTGCATGAGACGGTGTACCGGTCGACTTTGACAAAGTTGAACTACTTGACGACCCCGTTGAAGATGATGGTATTGGTTGTGGAGGTGGTACCAGCACCCCAGTTAGAATGTTTTCGCAAGTCTGTTCCACTGATCCAGTGCGGGCTAGGTCGGCCTCAATTGTGGATCGTGGAAAGGCGGGGAACATTGATAAAACAGTATCTACTTTATCGGGAGAAACATGCCGTATGGGGGACGCACGGGTGGATGAGATTGGGGCGGCTGTGGTACGGTTGCTGGAAGAAGAGCTTTGTGAGGGACCGCCTAATAAAGGCAGGTTAGTGTCAATGTTTCGACAGATATGCGGATTCAGAAGTCATACCAAATACTATATATCGGAAGAAGAGTATGATAAGTGCTACGGATATGACCACTGTCGTCGAGTCTGCCATCTTATTCCAGCGCCAGATACAGTTTAATTCCAGATGTTCGCTTCCCGTCGGATTAGTATAATGGCACCCCAGAATCTCTTCTTGTCAAATGATAAGACCTTTTGGGCTCGAACTGCAAGTCATTCCGCTCGTGTCATGTGACTTGATTGGGTGAGCCAAATGACGCCTTGATTACCCCTGAGGACTTTTTGGCGCATCATCGCTTTTGTGTGCTACTCTCATCATGCCAGCATCTACCTCCAGCGATACCATTTCACCGTCGACCCTCCCCTTCCGATTGACGGATGTGTTGGATGAGGTCTTCTCCCTCTGTAAGACGCGCGCGCACTTTTTCACCCGACTCGTGTAGGTTACTAACATCTTCATCTGATATCACATAGACGCTGCACCAAACAGCGCAACACAAAAGAATGTCTTCAAGAAGCGTTACCATCCTGATGCTATCTTTGAGGATCCCATATTCCGCGTGTACACGTCACGCGATCGCGAAGCTCAATTTGCTTCCCTCCCGTCCATCTTTCCTCGCATAGAGATCTCGCGAGCTCATAATGCTGGTGACATTAAAATCTACAACGTTACAGCACAAGATGCTCGTCAAGATGGTCTTCCGCAATCGTTGACCCAATCGCCCTTGGTTCGCATTGAGATTCCCAATACGCAAAAATACTACTTGCCGAAGCTGTTAAACTACGTGCCCCTATCCCCTACAAAGGTGGATATCGAGTGTGTGACGCGGCTGACAGTACAAAGGGATTCCGGGCGTGTGGTAAAGCATCAAGATGTGTGGAAGCAGACGGGTGAGCATTTGCTAGGTGCTTTACCGCTGGTAGGCGGGCCCAGTGCGGCCGTGTATGCACTTTTGAAGGGTCCGATTGGCAAGGGCTCTAGCCTCGGTTTGAGGGGTATGGACTCTATAGGTTTGTTGAAATGAAGTAGCACTCTTGTACGTAGCAGCTGGTATCACCCGCGAATGGGTTTTAAGCAGCCACATCTTAAGTAGAACGTTTAAGCTCCTTGGCATGCGATTCCTGTCGAATAGGGTTATATACCAGAAATAAATGCTCTATCGTTGTTCTCTACATTTGCAATGAAAAGTCTAACGGCAATGGACAGGTAATATAGCTTACAGAACGCAAGCCACATGTGATGAGTAAGCACACGCACGATGGAGGTGCATTTGACAGGCGCGGAAGCTTCCCATGTCTTTCGCACGTTTTCAAGTTGCGCATCGCACGTCAAAACCACCTTGTTGCTTTGACAGTCGCTAATACTGATGGTAATTATGGCGAAAGAACCTAGTCAAGACCTGTCCACCTCCAGCAATGACAGATCCGATAGCAATACGTCAACACAGGCGTCGGCCAGAGGGGCGACAAATAGGCTTCCCCTTTTCGTCCGCAGACTTCCTGTCGACGAAACCCTCACAGCTGAAGAAGTGCACACATTCTTTAGCAATTTTGGAAAAGTTGGGACTGTCGTTCTCCACAAACACAGGGAACGTCCTGATCGCCCATCAGGGGATGCCTTTGTCGTTCTGGAAGAACCGACCAAGGAGATTGAAAATATGTTGACAAAACAGAAGAGAATTGATCTTAGTTTTCGGGGACGGCAGGTGGAAGTCCGGCTTGACCGCCGGCATAGCGTCGAGGAGTATACAACCCGGCGCAAGAACATCAAACTTAATCCCGGATACTCTGATGACCGTGTTCAAGCGGATCGGTTCGCGCTAGGCGCTTTCATCTCTGTAGATCGATACTGTGAGCAATGGACACAGGCCCAGGACGTTACCCTCATATTTGAATACGCTGGTACGTCCTTTGCGCAATGGTACTGACAGATCAACGTGGGTTCTGACATGAATTGATCTTTGCTGTATCTGTCACATGTATAACAGACTGGCAAGGTAGGTGATGGAATTTGATCACCTTCTCGACCAGAAGCGGCTATTAACATTGCGCACGTTGCGGTTTAGCTGTCAGTGTAATCTTCAAAAGGAATGACGTGGAATATAAGCTGGAATATAAATTTAAAAAGTAAGCCCTCTGTTTCAAGTCCATTCCATAAAGGAGATGCTAATACATGCGCAGCATCCGTGATACCTTCAAATTGAACTGTCGCTACGACGGAAACCGTGTCCATTATGACTTGGTGGCCTCTCTTAGTCTACCACCGCGCGTATCTTTCAGGCAGAATGATCGGTTTTCTCTTTCTTCAAGCAGAAGCCATGGTTGGGTACGGATTGCGTTTAGCAGCATTGCCGGCAAAGAGCTGCCCCCAGGCGTGTTTTTCCGGGGATACGAGGAAAAGATTGGTGTCATTAGCCGTGTTCCGGACACTGGTCGCTTCATGGACCACCGTTACACTTTTACGTATGAGCGGGTCGATGGGCAACGAGGATCTGAAGAAGACCGTTTCTTGGCGGTACTGGATCGCCTGGCCGAATTTGGACTCGTGTTGGATCGGCAACGATACACGCGCATCGAGTTTGTCTCAGTGGAAGATGCTCCCCCTCGTTGTAATGTGCTAGAAGCGCCGCTGAATCCGTGAGTGCCTGTTTTGAACATGCTCAATATCATCTCTTTGGAACTCATGACTTGCAAAAGATACGTAAAGTTCAAATTATTAGGACTCGTCTCGCACAGCAACATATCTGAGTTTGCTGTGGATGATGAATTCATTGACCTCCTGAACTCTGTGCCTCATCACATAGCCGAGGGTATTTTGGAACAGATGATGCAACCCAAAAGGCAAATTTGGAATCCGAAGCAAGTGTTCAGGGAGCAGTTGAAGGACACAGCCAGGATCATCCACAAGGTGAATGCTCTGGAAAGCGTTTCCGGTGATGCCGATTCAACTAACCTGGAGTGTTATCACCCTGTAGATCCAACATAATGAGAAGCTGAATTACAACCAGAGAATGGTCCGAAAAGTGAGTGGAGTGAATGATATACTTACATTTTTGGTGAATCCTGCTAATTAAGAATGATGATTATTGCTAAAGGCCATCATCACGCCAACAAAGATGTATTATCTGGGGCCACAGCTTGAGCTTGCTAACCGTATATTGCGAACGTACAAAGCGTATCACAATCAGTTTATGCGAGTCACATTCTGTGATGATGATTTCACCCAAATGAGTGGAGTCCACACAGACCTTCTCTTCAATCGGATTGAGGCCATTTTTGCAGCGGGGCTCCCCGTTGCCGGGAAAACATTTCAGTTTCTGCATTACTCGAATAGGTTCGCTTCGTGCTTGTTCGTCAGCATTATATCAATATTCACTTATGTATTTTCACACCTAGCTCCATGAGAACCTCTGGATGCTGGTTCATTTCTCCTTTTTTCCATGATGAGAAAAGAGTTTTGATTGACGCCAACTATGTTTACAAGACCATGGGCGATTTCACTGGCATCAATAATCCAGCGACATTAGGCGCTCGGTACGTCCTGATACGTGCTAATAAATTTTGTCTGTGCTAACAATCATCTGGATCTAATCAATTGATAGAATGGCCCAATGCTTCAGCTCTACAACGGTGACTGGCAAAATGGCGGACGAACGCATTCGGTATATTCCTGATATTGAGAAGAATGGTTTTTGCTTCAGTGATGGGGTGGGCCGAATAGGAAAGACTGTTGCGTTCAATAACTGTGGGGAACTCAAAAAGTCAGTTGTCAAATTTCAAGTAGGGTTGCTGATGAGTGTCATTAATATTCGGATCTATCATCTCTAGATATATGCGAGTGAGAGGTAGACTACCTTCTGCGTTCCAGGTAAGATGGGACCATCCCGCCCAGCGCCGAGATATGGATTATCGTACTGAAGCATCTGCACATCTCGCCATCCTCTCCTATTGATACAGTTTCGCATGGCTGGTGCCAAAGGAGGTGGGTTATACGTCAAACGCGCCGCGACGCAAGAAAAGTGGTTCACTAGTTTCCCCTCTTCATACAGTTCTTACAGTCGACCACAACATACCAAGGAACGAGGTACATCTTCGGCCAAGCCAAGTAAAGTACGTTTTTTGCATCATGCCCAAGTGTATGAGTATGCCGCACAACTTATGAATTGCCGGATGATTTTCCAGGTTCAAATCCGGGCATTATGCTCTAGAGGTTTGCCGCACTAGTTTTTATAGTCCTGGCTACCTCAACCATCAGTACGTCATTCTACTTGAAACACTTGGTGTCCACAAGCAGGTACACCACTGTACAGAGCCATTTGCTAGTGCGTACGTTCACCAAATTTGACAACCACAGGTGTTCTTGGATCTGCGCGACGAGACAATTCGAGACCTTGATCGGGCACTCCAAAACCCAGCTGATGCCATTAAAGTCTTGAGTGAAAACCAAGATGAAGAAGGAGTGTGTCATACTTTGATAACAATGATCAAGGCTGGCTTCTTCGATGCCAAGGAGCCATATTTGATGAACCTTTTAAAGCTTTTTCGCGCTCTTCAGGTACGATTCCAAGTCAAATATGGCTATTCACAGGCTGCAGTCTTTTGTAACCTAAGCCCTTTCACTTTTATTCCGCTAGCTACGAGAGCTGAAGAGAAGGGCCAAAATTCTTGTCAAACAAGGATGCACTCTGATCGGCGTAATGGATGAAAGCGGTAAACTACCAGCGGGGAACTTGTTCGTTCAGTTTACAAATCCGCTGACGGACGCTAGGGAGATTGTCAAAGTAACCATCAGACACATTGAGATTGGTTTCTCGCAAAGCTCACATGGCGGATTTTAGGGTCGTGCGGCTATAATGCGCGCGCCATGTCTGCATCCAGGAGACGTTCAAGTGGTTGATTGTGTGGATATTCCGGAGGTATAAAAAGCTTAAAAAACATTGGCAGGTCGTATGCAATAACGTGACAAAATCGAATACAGTTGCATCACCTTGTGGATGTGGTCGTTTTCTCACAGCACGGTGAAAGGCCGTTACCAGATATGCTCTCTGGCGGCGACCTTGACGGCGATACATTCTTCGTCACATGGGATCCTCGCCTCATCCCCAAGAAGACCCATAAACCCATGGATTACGCCGCTGCCGCCCCTGCACATCCCCAAGGAAGCAATATAGCTCAAGTTAGGCGGTAGGCACCTTCGCATCGAGCACCTGGCTTCCCTTCCCAGCCACTCACTGATCGTTTGATATTTCAGACATTTTATCAATTATCTGAAGAACAACAATCTAGGCCAAATTGATAACGCATGGAAGGCGTGGGCTGATAAAAGTGATATAGGTGCTAGAGACCCGCGTGCCTTGAGATTAGCTGAACTGCACTCTGATGCTGTCGACTTTGCGAAAAAGGTCTAAGCAGTACCGCAAAATTCTGTCATGCTTACAAAATGGGTCATGCTAACTCCGAACTCGTTTGTCGGTAGGGTATCCCCGCTATCATGGAAAGCGCGCTGCGTCCCAAAACATGGCCGGATTACATGGAAAAGCCGGAAGCCAAGTCCTACCGAAGCGAAAAGGCTGCCGGGGAAATATATCGAAGCGTGTCTGTGGACCTTGAACTATCGAAAGAATTCCAGCCGCTTCCGCAGCTTATTTTTCCAGGGTATGAGCAATATCTACAAGACGCTCGCGATCAAAAGATGCAGTATGATACGGAAATTTGTGCTCTCATGAATCAATACAGTATCAAGTAAGAATAGCGATGGGGATATAATCTCAGTGTTTCCGTCTGTTCATACTCTTTCCCCTGGCAGATCCGAATTCGAGCTTGTGTCCGGCTACATATTCAAGCTATCGGAATTAGAATTAAAAAAGCGCCCTCAAGAGCTTAAGGAGCAGGTGATGCACGCGGTTCTCGCGATCCAGAGACGTTATCGGGAGCGATTCTGGACACAGGACCTTGTACCCAACCAAGATAAATCACTGCTCATGAATAAGGAGTCTGTGATTGGATTTGAAACGCCATTGCCAAGAGAAATATGTTGCAAGGCATCGGCGTGGTACATGGCAGCTTACAACCCTTCTGAGACTCAAGTTCATCGGGACGATCCTGGTGAGGAAAATGAAGAAACAATTGCAGCGGACAGGCGCCGGAAAGCGAATGAAAAGTCGGATGCAGAGTACGAGAGGATCGATTGGGACATGCGCGGACAATTTTACAGTTTTCCTTGGATATTGTATGACGTCCTCTCAAATCTTTACCGTCAGTCATGCCCGTCAAAAGAGGATTACCTTGGTGGATATGAATACGCACAACAGACGTCCGATTCAAATTGGCAGAGTGGAAAGTACAAGCCCGGGACGTTTGACGAGGCGACGGAGAGGATACTAAAGGTTGCAGGGTATGATACAATGTGGTCATGATTTGTAGGAAGGCGTATGTTGCTTGAACTATTGTTGTTTCCTTTTCTGTTTATCGTTGGTGTATTATAATATTTCTCCTCTTGCGCATCCCATTAAGACAAATATATGTGGCACATTTCCATTGCGGTGAATAAGCGCCTGCTGTGGGATGATTCAATCATTGTATCGGCTGCTGATGGCGATCCTGCTCAGCGACCTTTTGGTGTCTCGTTTTTGGTGTATATATGACGAAAGGGTCAGATCATTCCTTCAGATGCGTTGTGCGATGTATATCAACGCGTTGACATGGTTTGAGGAGCAGGGTGCCTGTGACAAGAAACATAGGCTCTCCTGAGCTATCTGAATGTCCCGAATCAGTAAGTCGGCAGATGAGAAGAATGACGCCTTATTATTGGAAATTTGCGATTCAACTCATATTACCGCCTATTATACACTTCTCTTCAAATGCATTCAACTACACGAGCCCAATTTTACACCACATGCACTCCCTATTCAGCCGCTATCCGATGGAGATCAAAAATCCTTCTCCTTCCCTTGACAGTGGACCTACTTCTTGTCCACTCTGTGCTCCAAACTCCACCCTCATCGCTCCAGCTGCATTGCCAAGTTCACCGAAACCACTGCCTTTCATCACATTACTATAATTTCGGTTCTCATTAGTATGGTGATTCTCCTTCTCTGATGAGAACGCGTGTCTGGCTTCCCAGTTCAACACCGTTCTTCGAAATGCTAGCCTATCCATGTATAATCGCTGTTTCTCTCTTTCAATCTCTTTTCGCTCGTGTTCGAGGACCGCTTCCATTTCTTCGAAATGAAGCATCTTCGCCTCCAATTTCCGCATTTGTGTCTGGATCAACGCAAGCGTCAGCGCGTGTAATTCTGATGTCGCATGACCTCCCAATGCATGTGCTTTGGCTCCGGCGGACGCGATCGCGGTCGCAGCTGATTTCTGAAGTAGCGCATCGGGACGGGTCCCACCTGGCTCGCCGTCCTGTACTGTAGTGGGTTGATGAGTTGAAACAGCCTCCGGTGCTTCTGATTCTACTTGATCAATGTTCATTGCGTCAGCAGTGGCGTTCACATCGTGCGATGCTCCTTCTGCTGCAGGGACAGGTGGCTTCTCTTCCGCTAGCTCTGAGTCTTCCACCTTCTCCTGGGTCGTCGGGGTACCCTGTTTGTTTGCGCTTGCAGTTTCTTTGGTGATATTTTCTCTGTCTTCTCCTTCTGTCTGCGTCTCGGATGGCTTAGATTCCTTGATTTCCTTTGTGCTTGTCGCCTTCTCCAATTCTTCAGCTGCGGCCCTTGACGCAGCAGCTGCAACTTTTGGATCTACCACCGAAGCCAGGAAAGCAGTCAAACTCAAAACAGGATTGTCAGCTGCTGAGAAAGGAACACGATGAAATTGGAGCGGTCCCAGGTCGCTTGATTTTACCCCAACGTAGGGATCTTCTATAGGGAGCTGTAGGAACTTCAATATGCACTGGTCGCGCGTTCGAGTTCCAACATGATCGGCAACTTTGTTCCAATCTTCATCGAAAAGCTCGATGCCTTCCAATAACAGCAATGTTTCTTGCTCTGTCCAGTCATCCTCAGCAGCTTGCTTGGTTGGACGATCTTCCATTTTAATGAAATCCCCTGAATACATATTTGACGGAAAACGGCCTTCAATGTAGCAGTTTGTGCAGATCTCCATTGTTGGTGTTTTCGTACTGTGATATCGAAGACGGGTGCAGTCAACACCGCAAGTTGCGCAGTTATGCTTCACTTTCTTTGCTGGAGGTGTTTGAGCAGCTTCTTCATCCTCCGCTTCTAAGGCATGTTTTCGAGGGCTTTGAGCGATGGCGTCCGCATATATATTTTTGGAAAACTGGAGGTTCACAGGTGGGGCTTTGGAACCCATGCTATTATCAACCAATTCGCGGTCCGCGGGACGTTGAGGCGTGCGCGGTTCGGTCTTCAGCAAGGGTACGGAGGGATAAATTGGTTGCAGGCCACGAGGGGTATCAGCTGTCACGCGGAAATGGCCAGTGAAAGCAGGGCCCACTGTAGATGGCCGCGAATCCGCATCCACCTAGACGAGCGAGGAAGAATAGACAGGTGGGTTACAATATTCAAAGAGCTTACAACAAGGCTCTCTCACCTGGTAATTAACCAAGCCCCACTGCTCAAGAAACGCATGTACTCTTATTATGGCACAAACATCTCCAGCCAGATTTCTTCTACATGCGGTCACTGTCAAATATTCTGATGGGTTTAACCGATACGTGTTGATCATGAAGTCTCGATAATCTTTGTAAACGCTGGGAGTCTTGCTCTTGTTCTTGTTGTTAAAGAATTCTGGTAGAGAGCGTTTTTCTATGTCATGGATGCGGGACATGTTGAACCATGCCGTGTAGCTGGGTATAATAATTTCTTGCGACTGAGGCACGAGCATTTTGCTAGCGGTTGCCGGCCCCGCGTCAATTTCAGCCAGCCTGACATTCATCCCACTCCCGTCTATAAGGGACTGAGTTGATGATTTTGATTATATTGGTTTCGAGGATTTTTCAAACTTACCTATCCCACCTGCATCCGCATTCGGCGCTGCTTCATCTCCAGCGCCGCTTGCAACCGTTTGCGCATTGGAATCGTCATTATCCGTACGATTTACGTCGCCTCGTTCTCGTGGCTCGGTAGCAGAGTCGTCACCCAGTCTAGAATCTCCTCTTTCAACACCCGCATCAGTGTCTACATCCATATCAGTGTTCCCCGCTATGGAAGCATCTGAGCCTTGCTCATTGTCATAGTTTAATTCATTGGCAGTCTCGTCGGGGTGATTGGTGCCGTTAATGTCGGGTTTTTGAGAGTCCATAATGAGCGAGTGATCTCTAGCCCCACCACAGTGTTGCTCAGCCTTGAATTATAGGGCGTTTACGCGAAAGTGAGAATCCGTGCGAGACAGACAAAGCTCTTTGGACGGAGGTCTGGTTGGCTCTAGGTAATGCAGTCTATAAACGACGTTGGAAATCAAATGCGCCAAGTGTGTCGTTGCAACGAATCTCTCAAAGTTCAAAACACGTTCTTCAAATGCTGGACAAGACGCGAAGGCCGTAGGCATGGCAGCCAATAAGTGGCACAGTCATATTTAGAGTGAAGTCTAAGATTACGTGATAGATTTGTTCATCACAAGAATAATTCATCTCGTTGTCGATCGCTGACGGTCGCTTTCTTCCTCCATAGCTATTTTGGCTTGGATTTTTGCCCAGTCCACTTGAACCTGCGATAGAAAGAAGGAGTTAGACGGAACTGTCCTGGGCGGATGCTGGGTGGAAGTTGGCAGGGCCTTACACTCTGTCCATATTGTACAAATTTCCTATTTGTCTCTCGCCGACCGACAGCTTTGAGGTACTTGTCCCGGAAATAGAGAACAGTGTCAACATGTGTCTTGTACTTGATGGCCAGCTCTAATGCTCTAACAAACGCAGATGTGGCAAGATTAGGACATGAAGCAAAGAAAGCGATATGTAGATTTACCATTACCTCTCCCAATTGAATAACCCAATCCACATTCTAATCGCTCTATATACCAGATTTGCTGACAATAAAATGTTCTCAGCTTCAGATGGTCGTCGTCGCAAAAGTGCCAATTCGGCAGCTCGTGCTTCTGCGATAGGAATATCGCGAACATATGTGATGTACTGGACTTTGGCAATTTCATCAATTGCAGCATATGCCACTTCCGCAGTATGCAAGTCCTGTCCATGTATGGCCATGGCTGCCAGACACGCCCATAGTTCTTTTATCTAGCGTCGCAGAAAGGTCAAAGTTAGCGTCTATGAAAAGTAGGTCCGACAGGGAGCTTACATTCACATATCGACATAGGCGTATTGCTTCTTCCCATTGCTTTTTCCGGGTGTGTTCTTGTAATAACCCAGGGAGCGGGGTAATGTTGCTTTATATTCATCCAAATGAGTTGTTTAATACCAAGGATAATCAGAGCGAAATGCACGCACCAACCTAACGGTGACCAGCGCCCCATCAGCGCGGCGAAGGGTGCATTGCGTGCCAAAGAAGTTTACAATCTGGGCGTTTTTTCCAAAATTGCTAGAAGATTGCTGATTATTTCGTACCGCGGCCGTTGCCCATGCCAATGCGTTGCCTAGAATCACGTACCTTCCATCCTTTTCAAATTTTGTCAAAGGTGCGATGTCTTCGTCGATGAAGACCACGTTCGGGTAATACCAGACAACAAACTTATAGTCCATCATCGCCACAAGCAGATCGGTATCAGCATTCCAGGCAAATGTTTCTACCATTGTACCTATGAACCATGTTCAGCAAGATCAGAATTATCTTACCGGACATTCAGCCTTGATGACTTACCCAGCTTTTTGAGATCTGGTTTCACCAAAGGTGTAATGTACATATTTCTATTTTTATCAACCAAGACCAACTGTCTGCCGACGGTAGATGCACACTGATTCAGCCCAATTTCCGCAATGTCGGCTGTGTGTTTAATGGTGCCATTGCCAAGGGGACGACCAGAAGCACTCTCGAAGATATATATAGCTAGTGAATGGCTGTTAGGAATGCAGTTATACGAGCATTGTCTGAACATACTTTTCTCGTCAGCTTTGTCCTTGACCGCGAGCACGTCTCCGGAAATGGATATCGTCTGCGGTGTCACGCATTCTGCTCGCAATCCAGCATACTTCGGGGAGCTAGCCAATCGACCTTCGTACGAAAATATTTGAATGCCCGTCACAGTGTCTACCAGAACAAAATACCTGCAAACAATGTCAGCGTCGTGCGGTCTTGGTAGCCGAAGGATATAGATTGTGAGGTCCGTACTTACTCAGGACACTGTTGTATGCAAGTTACTCTTCCATTGTTCGTCAAGTCTACAATAGCCGGTGTGTTCCAGTTCCGTTCACTGTAAACGTGACACTGCGAAGATGTCGCAACAACGAGATAACCAAAGCCAAGGGACACTTTCACGACACGGTCGCGGAAATCTTCTCGCAAGATTGACAACTACATGTTTAGCAACCACGCCGTCCAGTTGTGCATATCACGGAGCCATAATACCTAGGTTCTCTGTAGAGCCATTCACTGCGTCATGAACATGTATTGTATGGTCATCTAACAGGGTTACTTCATGATTTTTCCATTCGTAACGCCTAGGAGCTCGATTAGCATTCCATACGACTTACGCCCATCTTGAGATTGCTTGCTTTGGTCTACAGCAAGACCAACTTTCCTGCTTCTTACCTGTTTATTACATGTGCAAACACCACTGCACCAGAACCTCCAGCACAAGCCATTTGCGTGCCGTCGGGAGTCCAAGAGATGTTAAAGATGGATCCACTATTCAGTTTCTCCATCGCAACAGACCACTGTTATGGTAATGGTATACAAGCCTAAGCGGAAAGGCAGACAATTGATGGAATTCCAAGGCAGGACGCTCACGCATACTCACCCCTAGCTTGTCACAAACTCGTAGCGAGTTATATGATCCCACCGCAAACAGGTCTCCACTCGGATTCCACGAAATGGATGTAATGGGGTGATCATGAGGATTGCTCGAATACAATTGTCTGCCGAAGCTGTCCCAGACCTAGTATTTGTCTAAGCCACTGACGGAAACAGATGTGCACAAGCTATTGTCTTCTTTACCTTGTATTTTCTGTCTTCACCAGCGGAGAGAATGAGCCCATTTACCAAGTTCCAGTCGACTTTAAGGATAATTCCATCGTGTCCTTTCCACTGTTCTTATAAAGTTCTATCAATACATTGTAATTCAAGGCGATCACTCATGGTTCGAGAAACGGACCTGATTTGGCTTACTCGCAGGCTGCAGAGATTTTATTATAAGGTTCCGTCCGTTTGTAAAAAGTACTTGGTCATTGTCGGGCGACCATGAAAGGGAATAAATTGGATAACCTGCCAGTACATTCTTAGCCATTGCAGAGAACAGTTCTTCGAAAGGGGACCATACATACCAATCTGCACTAGGACAGATCGCAGCATGCCGCTCCTGGACCATATCTTCACGTGTCCATCTTCTCCCGCTGAGCCGATGTGAACATGAATAAAGATCTGTAATTCGGCCTGCACTCAAAATCCTTCAAGGCTTCGTACCAGTAATCAGTGCGGACCCTTCATTGTTCCATCGCAAACATAATAGGGCGCCTTTGTGCGCTTCCACTACTTTCTCTACCCTACCCGCTTTGGTACACAGGTAGTACTTTCCTGAAAGGAGCCAAGTGATGAGTGGCGTTGATGGAAGGACAACCAACTGAGTCTGGTGCACCGTTCCAAATGCCCTACCATCCGTCGCACCCGCTGCAAAAACCTCAGCCGCGGTCTGTCCTCCTTTTCCAGGTGGTACTGGGAACCAGTGCATTTCCGTTATGTAAACATCCACCCCTGACTGTCCGGCATCGAACAAAGTTGTTGTCACTTGTCCGAGACTATCCCCGTCCCCAGACCATCGAAAGATCTTTTGATCGTCCCTATTCAAGGATCTCAATGAGACTCACGTCCGAGAGAGTATCGAATATTTACGGCACACATTCTCATTATTTACCCAAAGGAATAAAGCTCATTATTACTTGTCCAGCCGACTGATGTAACAATGTCAGCATCTACAATATCGGAAACGGAAGTTATTTAAGTGTTCTCGAAAATGTTTAGAATTAATCAACAATTACGCTTATTTGATTTATCTTGATGGATCTTGAGCTTCATATTGGAGTAAATCTGTTGCAAGATATCAGAAATTGCTCGTGTGTACTGGCTTATTTTCGATGATCAGCAACTGCTGGCGGGACGTGTCTGCCTTAGGTAAGCGATCTGCGTGCACACAACACAGATCACCGCTCTGGCTGGAATATACTGGGAATACATAGTTGTTGGAAATGAACGAACTTTTACCAAAAGATCGAGCTGCATCCCTCGCAAGCTATGCAGACAAGCATGAGCTTTTTGATCTCTTCCAAAGTATCACATCCCGGATGGTAATGGACCGGCCGGATGATGTCATTCAGTTTCTAATTGAGCAGCTGCAGAAGCCTACCGGTGAGTACTTGCGAAGCTTGCCTGCATATCATTCAACGCTAATATATTTGAATGCCTGCACCAGCACAAGGAATTGCTGTCATCGGACCCCCGTCTTCGGGGCAGGCAAAAATTGTAAGGCCAACAATTGACGATAAAAAATGGACATTTCGGGTAGCTTAACTCATTATCTGGTATTAAAGGCTGAGCAACTTGCCCTCCATCTTGACGCAGTACATATATCTGCCGGTCGGCTCCTAGCTACTGCAATTGAACGACAAACCAGCTTAGGGACGCAGGCTCGTCCATACCTCGAGCGTGGAGAGTATGTGCCAGATAATGTTATGCTGGGACTTGTCACCGCGCGCTTGCAAGATCCCGAAGTTGGGATGCGCGGATTTGTTTTAGAAGGCTTCCCGAGGACAAAGGAACAAGCAAAGGGATTAATTAGCAGAGGAATTTTGCCAGAGCGAGTCGGTAAGTAGAGTTCGACGGGCATCCAAAGCGGTGAATTCCGCAACCTCGACACTCTCTTCACATCCATTTCTCGCAGTTGTATTTGACATCCCAGACGAAACTATCGTCAGCCGCTTGACGCAAACTCGCATTGACCCAATTACCAATCGAATGTATCATCTCACGCTAGATCCTCCTCCTCAGAACCCTACAATCCTTTCTCGATTGATACAGCGGTCCACCGATACTGAAGCCGCTGTGCGCACACGCTTGAATCAGTATCGGCGTCACCTCTTCGGCATATACAGCTCCTTTGATAAGGAGTGCCTTCGAAAGCTCGTCCTTCCTGATGGGATCATCGGCCATGAGGAAGAAGCACTAAAGGAAGTTATTTCCGAGGTTGGAAAAGGACGAGTAACGAGGGCCCCGAGAATGATGAAAGTAATAGTAGGTGGACTTCCTGGGAGCGGCAAAACCAGTGTGGCCCGCATGATAGAGAAAGAATTCGCTGTGGTTTGCGGTATATCATTTTGTGTGTATTGAATTTACGCCGGGCATGCCTTATATGTCTGCAACCACAGTGTCTCCCCGCACCGTAATCCTGGAAGAATTGTCTCTTGGCACGGGAATAGGGAAGGAGTTGGCCAATTATGCCAACAACCCCGATGACGGTAGATATGCCTTTCATGCCATTTTGCGCCAACTTGCTGATTAGGTTGTCTTTTTGTGGTCTATATACAGCACCCGATGATCAAATTCTCCAACTGATTGCCAATCGCTTGAAGCGTCAGGATTGCGTAGACCGAGGATGGGTTTTGGATGGATATCCGCGAACAAAGGCACAAGCTGACGCTTTAGCGGAGAAAGGCATCCTACCTAATCGGTATGTGTTGCTAACTGCAAGTGGGCATCAGACATGATATTGCGGACCTCTGCTAGGCATCTACCATAGCCATCGAACACACACTAAGTCCTTCGTACAATAGGGTCCTCCTGCTACGAGTATCTCCGGAGACCTGTTATACGCGGCTCACACAACGTCGATATGACCCCCTTACGAATCGAATGATCAATCTTGCCACGACCCCACATCCAGAAGTCACAAATCCGCTTCACTATCCGTCTACTGATCCTACTACGTGGCCGATTCGGCCTATAGATACCCCGTCCGCAGTTCAAAACCGGCTGCAAACGTACCCATCCGCCCAATCAGAGTTGTCAGCTGCTTATGGAGGAGGGAGAACAGTCAGCAGACAGGGAAGAGCTGCAATGGGGCGCGAGGGAGTAGCAATTGTGCAAGCAGTCGATGCCGAGGGTGTTGAAAGCGAAGACGTGAACGGTATTGTGCCTGGAATGGAAAGAGTGTTTGAAAGAGTTCGGGGAGCTCTGATGAGAGGTGGAAATATAGCTGTCGAGAAAGAGGATTAGATGAGTTACAGCTGGGAAGTGATAGTGTAAAGTATGGGCGAGCTGTCGTATGTGTCCCGGAGGTTAGGGTTGGGGGAAACCGTCCCTTGGTTCGGTTCGCACAAAATGTCAAACGTAAGCTAGTATTCTCTTGATTTTCATAAAGATGCTGAGGTTTTGGATATAATCGATACCAGGAAAAGTGCCCACAATCGTCAGGCCTTGATACAAATACTATCGCCAACTAGTGCTACAGGCTGTCATGTCATCATTATGGCTTGCCAGCGAGGTCGGATGCTTTTCGCAATTCTTGACCTAACTCACGGCGTGGATTGAAGCTCCTAAAGGGTCCATAATCGCAATTAGATTCGAATGCATCCAAATAGCATGAAGTAAGGATATTATTTACCTTGCACACTGTTCATATGCAACACCCAAGCCGAAACCAGTTGACATTGCTATGGGCCACATTTTCCCTTAAAGCGCAAATGAGGGTCTTTCCCAGCGACCATAACCGCACCACGTAGTCACTTACGTTTGAAAAATAAGAAAGACAAACCAACACCAACACTGATCCCCATGCCCGCCTTCACAACCGCATTCGACAAGCACTGGTCATACTAATAGAAAGGTGGTCAGGCTCATTTTACACAAGTAACTTTCTGAATCATGTTACTTGATGAGCAAACCTTTCTCGATAGCACCTCCTCGGCAGATACAACGTCAGGGTTGGCAACCATGTCGGCGATGATTGAATGCAGACCACCTGGGTCATCGTCGGTCTTTTGTCGTTCAGTTTGAACACGTGAATATGCACATCTTGGTGGCTTAGCTGCACCCATCTTTGCGGGGATCCCATCCGTCCTGCGAAATGTGTTCCATGCCTTCAATGGCCGACCAGCTTCCTAGAAATCACTACAAAGCTTGTTATCTTAACCGGCCGGGTTACTGACAGCAACGACACTAGGCAGGAGCAGCTGCTCTGCCTTGATTTCTGGTGCTAATATTCCTACTTCAAATGAGCCTTTCCCTTCTGCGTTGGTGGTGTATATTTGTGGAGATGGGTAAATGGATCCCATATAAGAAATAGCTACAGTGGTCCGATACCACCATTCTTTTTTAGGATTCCACACTGGGGGCCTTGTTTCCCACACTTTGGAGGCGGGCATTTCAAGCGTTGCATTATGGGTGATCCGCCGTAACGTGCTGACGGACTTACTTTCCTGCCAGGGGACGGAATTTCTGTGTCGTTGGGAGGATTTTCGGCGCTATGAAATCAACATGCGACAAGACGAGGATGAACGTCTTGAAGGTCAGCGGAGAAGATACTTGTCATGATCTTTGTTATCCTACAGGAAGACCGTACCATCTGATGGGATCAACCTGGCTGTGGGCCAACGCCGATTAGGTAGTTGGTGCAGATGCAGGATCTTGACGATTGGACTAAACAATCCGGAAGCTCATCATTTCCAGGGCCATTTATTTTATTTCTGACCATCTTGAGCTTTATTTATCATTCACAATAAGCATGAGCCAACGAATATTGGCTGCTGTCATCAAATTCCAATAGGTGATCAGTGCTTAGTTTGGCGTTCCAGGGGGTTGCCATGGATGTGTGGCTGGTATATTCATTTCATTCTGGTAAGATCATCCAGACTCCATCTGATGAAAGTCCATTTGCAGAAATGGGAGGGAAGCAAAAAGGCAAGCATGGTAAATCAAGACGGAGAGATACTAATGGAGAAGCTACCGGGCGAAGCCACTGGTTGAAGACGAACCTGTCTGAAGACTTTGAGTCTTTGTCATTGGATTACGATACCCCTCCCAGCTCGTCCCGCAGAGCGTCGCACCATTCCTCCCCTCGAGTCCGTAATGAATCTTCCCCCTCCTCGAGGCTGACTGTGGATGAGCTGGAACAAGCTGACCGCAAGCGCCTTGCTCGTGCTCGCGCTGCTGGGCAAACTCCCATTGCCGAGACAGTTGACCGTCACCGATGTTATGTAAGTGTGCCAGGACGTATTTTTACTACCACATTTAACGCTGGTTGCATCTACTAATCGAATTGTATTGTGTCTAGATGGAAGCTGTGCAGTTACCATCTGCCGAAGTTCACAATCTCGGTAAGCATTGAGACTGCGAATATCTGAATAAACCTGCTCGTATCGCTTACCTCCTTTAAAGTGAACCTGTACTCCGAGCTCCGATCCGAGAGTACAGCCCCTCGACATCGTCCAACCATTCTTCGAGAAGATTTTTGCGGAACTGCTATTCTATGCCGGGAATGGTGCAAAGGCAGTGTTGAACATGAAGCCTGGGGAGTTGACTTGGATCCCAATGTTATCAAATATGCAAAGGAGAGAACATTGGGCTTGGATGGAGGCCCGGAAAGTGAGCGTGTAAAAGTTGTGGTGGGGAATGTATTATCCGATCGAAATACCCTTGGCGTACCGAAAGTGGATATCATTGCTGGATTAAATTACGGCGTCAATTACTTCAAGAAGCGCCCCGATCTAATGGTTTATTTACGCAATTGCCGAGAGGGACTGGCTGACGGCGGTACGCTGATTGTTGACTTGTTCGGTGGGGCAACAGTCAGTTCGACCGGTGGACGGTTATTCGAACGAAGATACAGTGATTTCACGGTATGCGTTTTTTTGCAGGGCTTTGGCCAACGAATGCAGTGATTTATGTACTTTGTTTATGACTTGGTTTCCTAATCTGGCAGTATTACTTCGAGCAAAAGCCTTATGATGCTCTAACAAATACTTCCAAAGTGCATCTCCATTTTCGGTTTGACGATGGTAGGAGTGCCGCAATACCTACCCACATCTGAAAGCTCTCTCATCTAACTGCTACCATGCTCAGGCTCATGGCTGAAGAATGCTTGGACGTATGATTTTCGCGCATACACCATCATAGAGATTCGCGAGGCCATGATGGAGGCTGGGTTCCGATCCACTCACGTTTGGATTGCGGCGAGTACAGAAGAGAAAGAAGCGAGGGCCGATGCTAGCAAAGATAGTCTTGCTACAGATGACGAGGGGACCGATGAACAGGAAGAAAATCATGATAGCGACATTAGTGATGAGGAACCTAGGCATAGACATACTAACAAGCGCTCATCAACCCGCCGTGGATCTGGGACGGAGGGCGCGTATTCGTATGAGAGAGTAGACGGTACACTCGAGCAGTTGCAGTCATGGAATGGTACGTTCAGAATGAGCATTAACGCTGTTATGTTCCCCATGATCAGACGCAGTATTAAAATGTGTACCGTCTTGCAGCTTACGTGGTTGGCATTGTATAAGCTCTTTGAGTAGGACGATAAACACAATTGGACTGTGGTTATGTTCATGTTCACGATGTACATTTGACAGAATCATAGAATAGATTATCTCGTACTAGGTGAGCCGCTTTGGAAAACGAACAAAGCCGGCAAGGACTAAACAAGACAAGACGCATCAAAGGATTCGGCTAATGCCAGTAGGCGTACGTGGAGCACACGTATTACTAGACTTTCCAAGGCGATAGTCGATGGTAACAATGGGATATATAAACATACATGTTTTGTTGTGCTGCTAATTCTACATATCAATGAACTATATACAATATTTCTGAACAAAGAGACCGCCGCCAGTGTTGACCACTTGTCCAACAGCTTCCCTCATTCATCTACAGACTACGCTCAACATTTTCCGCGCTCTCAGCAGCTCCCCTCCCAAGTTCAGTTCTATCAATTATCAACCCTCGCCGTGACTAGAAGTAAACTAGACTGTACTAGAGTCACCAACAAGCTTGTCATCTGACGCCGACTCCTCCGCTGCTGATGGCCATACACCGCCTTTTCGGATGGGGAAGGGACCCACAGATAAAACTCCACGACACGGGTAACAAAGAGAGGCGGCTATAGCTGGATCTGTAGGTCCCTCTTGCATCGTCGAAAGAGACTGGTGATAACTCTCAAAGGCGGCAATTTTTGCATCAAGCTCAGCGTCCACTAGGGCTCCCAATACCATTGCAACATCGCTAAGAGGACTCGTGGTATCACTCTCGGCTGTGGAACTTGGTGTCGTCGGCTGAGAACCTCCGTCGCTGTTACTCGACCCTTCGGTAGAGGAGGTTGGTGATGAAGTACTCTGCAGCTCTATATCTGTATCTTCTTTCTCGTCCATAGGAATAGAATTATCCGTCGAATTTCCATTCTCCTTATTAAGCCCTTCATCTATTGCATCCCCTTGAATAAACTTAGCCCAATATCTATAAACAAACCTCTCTTGCAGTAAATTCTGATTATACTGCTCGTTTTCAAACACCCTGAAAGGTTCCGCCGCCCAATCTGTGCGATGGAACCTCAAGCTTTGTGGCCTGACCCAACGCAACCGGGCCAAAGCTTCTTCTGGGGTGCATCGATACTTTTCCAGTAAATATATGGCGAGAAACGTGCCTGTTCGCCCGACACCGGCCTGACAATGCACGATGACCTTTTTACCCCGTCGAATGAAATCACGAGCATGAGTGTTAAAGAGGCGAAGTTGGGAATAGCTTGGAATCGATCCATCAGGCATCGGTAGGAAGAGGACTTGCAGGTCATCGGATGGCCTGATATCGTCAAAAATATCGTCGCAGTATATTTCCTGCATATAATCACCTGCGTACACAAGTATCTAGTCAGATCCGGTAGCCATCCCACATTTTTTTGACACTTGAAACTCACAATGCTGACACAATGTCCTCAAATCGCTCCCTCCGCGAGGTGAAATCGGCGCTTCTGTTAAGTTCACAATCAGACCAACTCCGGCGTCGACTAGAGCTGGGTAATGAAAGCGCTCGCCCTGTCATAGAAATGCGTAGGTCAATCCAAACTGTGCCATGTATCCTTCAGCAACGACAAAACTTACAGGAGCGCTCATGCCTCCTATCATGCCGTCGTCTATCCAACTGAAGTGCCAAGGCAATCGCGGGTCCGTCGGATAGTAAAAGGCTGGTCTACCCTGTAGCCATCGAGACGGGTTTGCAACTGCTTCCATCCACTCGAGGTCCCCTATGGAATCTGTTTCGTCAACCTCTTCGACGGCCCCAGTTTCCTCCGGGACCCGAGCATGTAGCTCCTTCACAGGACATATCGCTTTATAATCGTATAGATGCAGAGCCTCTATGTTTGAAGCAAGGTCGGCAGTGTCGGCAAAAGGATCTCCTCGCCGATAGTCTAGAGTCTCTTCAACTTGTAGCATATCCTTTGCGGTGATTTCGACCTTCTTTTTCTTTGTATTTCTATTCTCGTTAACTCTTCTTTGTTCTTTCAGAGTGGGGGTAGAGGGAAGAACGACGTCGTTATATACAGGACAGCTCGGGTCGCAAGAGTGAAGGCATCTTGCTTCACCTGACCCACCCGCACCGTCGCGCTTCGGGACCTGAGACAAGAATCCGAAACGAGTCGATTAGCACATGCTTAGGTAATTCATTCCGACATGTCTATCCTTACCTTCGACCAGTTACAGTGGAAGGATTACTTACCACCGACTCTATGCGGCTTCTCCTGGACAGATGAACTCTATTCCGGCTTCTGATAGCCCGTCTGGTTCCATCTTTTAATGCTTACGTAACAAGTTTAGATCCACGGCGAGAACTGGGTTACGATTCGTAGAATATCTCTCCTATAAAGTGTACCAGCAATACCAAGCAGAATGACCTCTTCAGAGCCACCACCAGATATTGAATCGGGCGCTCCACCACGACGACATTTTCCTTTTTTGCATAATAAGAATCAACAGCAAAAGTCTAATCAGATCACACCTGAACCTGCGCATGCCACTAGTGGTGACCAATCTATCCTAAAAGATCTCGCTCAAGAGCTCAAAAATGAAACAAACAAGGGTACAAAGGCGGCCAAAGGGGTGTGGACGAACTTTAAAAAGTTTCTGAATCGAGGAAATGTCGTTGACATGGCGGTATGTCCTGATCGTAAACAAATGTTGCGGTCAGATCTTGATTGATATTAATATTACGATCGTTTTATTCTAGGTGGGCATAGTTATGGGAACTGCATTTACTTCCGTCGTCAACTCCCTCGTAAACGACATATTCCTCCCGTTCATCAGCCTGGGTACACCCACTCAACTCTCAAATCAGTTTGTACTTTTAAGATGCCCCCGGCATAATGGCGTGACCCTACCATGTAATAAGACAATGTACATTACACCAACAGACGGTAGGACAATGACAGCAGAGAATTCTTTGTAAAATACGAATAGCACTGATAATATCTGGCCCGTTTATCGTTGTGAAGCCAAAAACGCGGGAGCTGTAACATGGTAAGACTCTTGTGCTCACCAAACAGTACACCCGTAAACTAACCGCGCCTTCTGCAGGAACTGGTATATGACAGTCACTAATACACCAAACGAGGCTCCAGAACACTGACGCACATAGGTAGGGGGAACTTCATCCAAGTGATTATCAACTTTTTGATCATTGCAGTAGCAGGTGAGACATGCCATCAATGACCTCTACAGTATTTAATCGTTATCTTTGCACGTGCACTTACAATTGATATATGCAGTTTTTTTCATCGTGAAGAGTAAGTTGTGCGGCCCATAGAATTTTAAGCCATGGTAACAATATCGTGCTAACGCCCTCACATTAGCGTATGCGAGAGCGTTTCGCCGCGCTGACCCACCAAAGCCTCCTTCAACGAAGCCTTGTCCCCTGTGTACCAAAGGTAATCAAAGTTCAAGATCACTTTTGCGATTCATTATACATGTCTCATGTCAATTATTGACGGACACAGACATCCCACTCAAAGCGAAGCGGTGCCCAGAATGCTGTGGAGACATCCCGGAGCCCCCAAAGGAAGAGGAAACTCAAGACGAAAACTTACCGACGATCCAAATGGAAGAAAAGGGTAAATGAACAACACGTTAGGCAACCAATGCGCACTACAGCGTGTATTGTACCATATAAGGATGAGACAACCTTACAAGATACATTTCTGTATTCCTGTGTTCACATGATGGTAACAGCAAACTGAAATTCCTATTTGGAAATGACATATATCCATCACGACAAATCCATTGGCACTACCCCAAAACCATACCCTACACCATTCGTTTGTGTACCATATTGTGACTCGGCCGCCATAACATCAGCAACGGGACTTTGTGGCCCTTGCACTTCTTTTACAAAATCGGTAAACCTTGGGCTGACACCGGCATCGCTCAGACGTGCCAAAATCAACACCGTTCTGGCCGCGCTTCGCACCAGTTCATTTGTCTTTTCCGTTTCTTGTTTCACGGCATTCTGCTTCGGTTTAGAAAATAGCGTCAACTTCAAGGGTTCTACCATTTCATCCAGCTTTTGTGCAACGGCAGTAGGGGACAGAGACGCAAGTCGTTGTAGCATCAGATGAGTCAAGACCTTAATGTCATGGGATGGATCCGAAAGACCGTTCATCACACGTTGCAAGAAGCCGAACACATCTATCCGGGAAAGACAGGTTTCCAGTAGGGTATACATGCACTCGTACGCCGCCTACATTCGAAAATTAATTCTGTGTCACACTATGAATCCACGTGTGGCTACAGCACCCACCTTACGGGTGTCCAAGCCATCATCTACTTGATGCTTGAACGGACCCATCTCCACCACATGAATGAGTTCGCTCTGGAAAATATGAGATTGTTTAGTGTTTTTCAACACTGTAGATTATGAACCGCTCCCATCCACAGTGTACCTTGACAACGGTCTCATCGTAAAGTAGGGGCAACAACTCGCCGAGGGATTCGCGAATAAGATGGGGCTTATTATGGGCGGCCGAATTCAACGTGGTCAAAGACACGCGCCGAACATTCTAACCATAGAGTGTCAATGTAACCACACCGACGAAGTCACCTGAAAACGCTCATTACCAACCAAATCATCATCTTTCACAAGCCGCAGGAAATCTACAATCAAAGGCCGTAGAAGTGTGTCGAAGTCTTCATGTTCAACATGTTCGGTGAATGTAAAACGGATGGCAGTTACAACGGTAGCTCTCGCGTGAGCATTAGAGGCAGCCAACCGTGACTGCAAGTCGGGCAGGAATGTGCCAGGCTGTGACAAAGACAATTTGCCGAGGCACTCGGCAATGATATTTCGGGTTGCCTCTTCCTCTGTTTCTTCGGTGTGTTGGAAAAGCACCTGCCAAAGCTCCGGCGCAAACGCTTGTAAAGTAGATGTAGACGCTGCGGACGCCTCGTGATGTGAAAAGCGTGTAATAATCTCCTTAAGAGCCACCAAAACCAGGTAGCGCTTTTTGCCTCCTTCCCGGACCGTTGTAAGCACAATCGGCATATATCGTTGCAGATTACCTAGCGCGATATTGCCCAATGCAAAGGCAGCAGCCTGCTTTATCTCTTCAGAAGGTGATGCAAATAGCTTCAGGAGCGTTTGGTCCAGCTCGGGGTGCAAGCCGGACAGGTCCCTGAAAGTTGAGATCCATATTGAGTCAAGTGGTGCCTGCATATCATAAAGTGTGTCGACGATACGTACTTTTTCCGTCCTATTTCGCCCAGGCTCAACAAACTAACATAACGCATACTTTCCTTCGATGAGTCATTCTCCACTTCATTAATAAATTTCTCTATTGTCGGCGGAGCATCCTTCTCCCAATTGAGGCACAAGATCGCAATGGATTGCGCAATTACTGAGAATGCCTATTATAAGAACAATGTTAGCTCGGCCCACGTTCGACACCCGATCTTATGACAACGTACTTGTTTGCCTGCCACAGGGTGTCCAGGCTGACCGACAACTGGTTGCAGTAGCATATCAACACTACGGGAGAACAATTCGCTCCCGCCTGTACGTACAACGCATTGCCAAACTTGAAGCAAAGATTCTAGCCCAGGACCGGCACCCACCAGATGGGGCGATTCAATCATCATTTTCACGATTTGCGGTAGAATGTCCTTCTTCACTATTGGTAACACATCTGCGCCTGGCCCATTGTACACTACCACACAAACCACCGACATGGCCAAAGGAAGAATGTGAAGGTCGGAGTCCGATAGAAGGGGGCGCACTTCCGATAAAATGGTTGGGTAAATGTTGGCGCCAAGCTGCTTGCCGTATTGGCGAACGAATGTTTCGAGGCATTGAAGCGATGCCACACGAAGTTGTCGATGAGATTTGCGGAGGTAGGACGCAACCTCAGGAACTACCTCAGGCAGAATCGGAGTCAAGTCAATTTTCCGCGACGTGGCTGCATCCTCAAATAGGGGGCTCTCTGCAATGCTCGTCAAAACGCGCACCGTGGTTAGGCGTGTAAGTTCATTCTTCAAGCGATCGACCAATAGTGGAAGTACGACGGTCCTAATTTGATCGCTTGGTAGCAGATCACCGGCCTGCGACAGCATGATACCCAAGGCTACTATAGATCGTTCCTTGACTTCCAGATCAATATCGGCCGCTTTCAATCGATCCAATGTAGTGGTGTACATTAGCTGGAGGTACTTGTCCAACTCGGGGGACAAGAGGGGTCCAATTTGGTGTCGATTGCTTTCCTCGTCGAACGAAATTGGTCGCAATACTTTGGTCAGCTCAACAAAAACTGAGAGAGCTTCAGAAGTTATTTTGTAGAATTTGTCCTTAGCAGCCGTGACAATTGGCGGGACCAAGCGGGCTAGGTACTTATGGAATACGTGAGGCTCGTGAGTCATGAACAATATCCGTAAGAATTCCAATAATTCAATCTTCAAATTAGAATTGGTAGAACTCTTGGAAGGATGCCCGGGAGTAGCACTGGTTAAAGACGACTCGATTGCCGGTATGAACAGACCCATATGGACATCGAGCCCACCATCAAGCACCCGAACAAGTTCACGCAAAAGTGTGAATCCTGTCTGCCGCGTTTGGATCGACTTTCCATTAAGCTGCTTGGAAAGCGCTTTGCTCAAACGCGGAACATGCTCTTCGAGTAGTTCACGAGGACTAAGTATTCTTATGGTTAGCAGTCAGTGAATGAGTTGTCTGCATATATAGCACGTACCCTGTGACCTCCATCTCGACCGCTCCACTTGCCCCCTTCCGGCGCTTAGTGTCCCGCTTTCTGGCTGTAGAAGTTTCAGAGGCTTTTCCGATCCCTGCTGCAACGCCAGTCTGTCTCACGAGTGTTATAAAAGTGTTTAAAATATCTACTCGGACACTTTCTTCGCGTTCCTTAAATCTGGCAATCAAGACCGGCGCCACGTTCTGCAGCAAATCGACTAGCAGCTCTGAGCGTGTGCCTATGATGGACGCCAGAAGCTTCGAGGAAGCCTTGCGCACTTTCCACGACACATCGTCCTCATCAGAATAATCAGCATCATCATATCTACACGGTAAGGATACGTTAGCTTAAGGTTCTTAAGTCTCATAAGGCAAGCACGCACTCATCGTCATCTTCTTCTTCATCTTCCTCAGGCCCATTGCCCTCTCCTTCATCGTCGACATCCATCGCCTCTGAACCATCCTCGTCCTCGTCTTCATATTGAAAATTAGGATCATGTTTGATATATCTCAATGACACATCAATGACGGTAGGAATGTGAGGGGTCATTTCAGTAGGGCACCGCAATACAAACGAGTCCAGAGCCTGATCAACACAAAGCGGTATTCAAATTAGAGCTGTTGACCAGCGCACATTCATATAGGATCTTACATGTAAGCAATTTTCCCGTAGTTCGTCATCATTGAATTCCGTGTATTCGAGCACAAGAGGTAGAGTATCGTTAAGATACTGTCCCAAGCGATGAGAGCTGTATCGGCTGAGAGTGGCTAGGCATCCTATGAAAGTACGTAGCTTTTCGTGATTTGCAGACCTCCCTTCATTACGCAAGTCTGCAAGAAGCTTCTTCACCAATGTGTGGAAAAGATCATCAGGTATATGTGTGACAGAATTGCCGATGGCCCCTGTGGCCCTTTTGCGAACAGCAGGTCGGGAATGATGAAGGAGAGGATATAGCGTATCTTGAATCGATTTTTGTAGCTGGGAGCCATTCGCGCCTTGAGTCAGCGACTGTCCAAAGCGGCTTAGAACTTCGGAGAGAATGTCAATAACATCCAATTGTAGATCCTTGGCGTTCTGTGATAAACCCAAGAGCGCCAATGAGTCGCCAAGGAAGCAGACTCTACGTGACAATTGTTCTTTTTCATACCGTTGTAAATTGATTCAGCAACTTTGGAATCAGACTGCTCACGACTTTACTTGCAACCACCGAGCCGGACGGTATCTCTACTATGACGGTCTTGAGACTAATGCACGCAATATCACGAAGCTCTGGGCGCTTGTCCATCAAAAGTCGACAAAGCTGGTCGACCACTTCTTGCAGCTGGCTTTCATGTATTTTTTTTGTCAGCGGAGCAAAACTATTTGGCCGCTATTAGCCAACCGAACCACAGGAACAAGTTATGCTTTGCTTCCAGGCTCACCATTTTACCGCGAGATTTTGAACTTCACCATTTTGATCATCCAAAAGTTTGATGAGAGCGCTTACAACCTTTTTCTCATTAACATCCTCGAGAGCAAAGCCTTCCGTTTGGAGTGCAGCCATCAAATCAACTGTCGCCATATATCGATAATCGGAGTCGTGGTGAGACATCTACCGATAAATTGTGTGTTAGCAATACACCATGTTAACAAATGGTGAAGCGCTGCTCAAGTGGCAGTGCATATATTAAAATACAGCAGTCACCCTACTTTCTCCAAAAGGTTCGCTACCAAGTACGGGCTTGAAGGATTTCCGGCCATGGTTGCAGCTTTCGGACGTAATTAGGCGTTTTGGGCGGATGCGTATTCAATCAGCAGCCCACGGCTGGGAATACAATCAACGGTACCGAGAGTTCGAAGAGAGATTGGAAACTGTGGTAGGCGGAGACCTGATTTCGCGACCGGATCTTGTGGAGGTTCGGAAGTTCCTGCGAGGAAACGTTGGAGGGGTGGGAGGACACGTCATCCAGCCAACGGGGATTGAATCACATTGGACCCTGGTTATAAAGCCAATTACAGTACACTAAACAAATACCATCCCCATTGTAAAATACAAGTCTACAAATGGGAGTAGAGTGGAGGACAGGGCATTTAGCACACGTTCTGTTGCCTACGCACAGTGGCATTCAACTATACAGTCAATCTACAGAGGGCCTTATGAGAATGCACGTCTATAGAATGCCATAATAACAGGTAAGCCGGCAGGTAGGCTCTGTGTGTAGAGCGTTGGCTCAAAGCGGGCTCCACATTTTTCTTCAGACTTTGAAAACCCATCGTCGAGGGGTTTGTTGGATGCCACAGAAAACCCTATTTTGAACGAATGTTCCGTTAAATCCTCACAAAGTCCAATATGCCACCTGCTTGATGCATTCATCTCTGTGTCTTTTGTAATCTTCTTTTTCATGTTTCCGCTGAGAATCCGCTTCTCTTTTTCATCGCTCTCAACACGAAAAGGAAATGTGGAGAGCCAATCCCAAAGACAAGGCCAGCTACATGAAATTCATTATACTACTGATATCATCTACCTCACTAGCAGGACCTGGTGAGCCCTCCTTTCCATGGCGTGCTGGATGTGAAGCGCTCAGGTCACCGTGAACTGTGCCACTTTCCTGTTGACATGACAACGACCACATCGCAGTCAATGTCGCTTGTTGCAAACAAGTGTCATCAGTCCTTTCCATTACAACAAACTTACTACGCTACTTCTTTTTGCAACATGACTACTGCAGCGCGTCCCACCTGGAATCCAGCAGCAGGAGGTCATAGTCTGCGTGATACGAACGCTGCACCATCCTCCCTTGTCAGTAGCAGAGACCTTGCCACGCAGACCAAGCTCAAGCTACGTCAACCGGGTCAGAATGCGCCTGAAGATATCGATGCGCAGCTTTTGAAGGAGCGATTGGAGCAGAAGGAGAGAGAGCATTTTGAGAAGACGAGAGGGGAGAAGAGAAGGGATGGTAAGTTTCTGGCCATCTGTAAATTTCATGTGCACAATCCTCACGCTGGACTTGCCACATAGTGGAATTTGAAGAGGAAACTGTGAAACGAATGCGAGTCGAACATATAGACGCAGACGATTCTGATGATGACGATGATGATGCTGACGGTTCCGCAAGCGAGGGTGCAGAGAGGTAAAGCCTACTTGTTCACATGTCGCATCCATTTCCTGGCGCTCATCCGTTCCCTTTTCTTTCCAGCGAATCGGATTCTGATGACAATGATGATGACGACGAAGCCGAACTTCTCCGCGAGCTCGAGAAAATCCGCAGAGAACGAGCAGAAGAGAAGGAGCGGCTTGAGCAGGAACGCCTAGCAGAGGAAGAACTCAAACGGGAGGAGGAGGCTTTGACTGGAAATCCACTATTGCAGCCTTTGGCCAACAAGGATTTCTCTGTGAAGCGACGTTGGGACGATGATGTTGTGTTCAAAAATCAGGCGAAAGGGGTGGACGAGAATCCGAAGAAAAGGTTTATCAACGATGTATTGCGAAGTGATTTCCATCGCAAATTTATGAGCAAATACGTCAAATAGCGGGAGGTGTTAATATTATTCTTTCTATAACTTATTGTACAAATTTTACATTGCGGAAATGGTAACACCGTGCGTGTGCTTGAAGGCAATGCCACTCATGAAGAAGGCTGGACCAAAACGTCCGTAAGGTCCAGCGGGGCAATGTGGTGGTATGCACCAAGGTTCATAAGGAAAGTATGCGTACCACGTCCAAGGAAACATTTTTCACTTCACTTCAACGATGAGCTCATGACGTTCGTATCGGAAACATGATATTTGGAATGATCCTAATCTTCCATTTACACAATAAAGATAACTATACCCATCAAAACAGTATCAAAACAGTATTTACAAATAAAATGCCCAATTCAATCGCACTGTACAGTGTCCGTCATCCAGTATCATTATTATACTGCTCTCCGTTCCCACTGGGAGTGGATGAGACTCCGCAAAAGCCTTTCAAGACCACATCCCGTAGCCGCGTCACAAACGCTTGCCCTTCCAAAGATCCTACAAGGTTCGCATGTGTCGCGACGCTGTGCATGAGTTTCTCGACACGGGTAAAATTTGGATCGGACCGGGGCGCGTAGGGTTTGAGCAGATCCACACGGCTAAAGGAAAGAGTGAATACACCGTGCTTCAACAAGGATCGATGGAATGTGTTCGGACTACTCACTGTTCATAATTTCTATACTCCTTCAACAAACGCGTTAGCTGCTCAAACAGCTCCCCACTTAACGTTTCAGACGCCACTACTGTGACATTACAAGAGTAGGGAAGCCGATACTCATGCATCGAATTCCATTCCTGTGATACGCTTAACAATCCGAATCGTGAGCGCCTATCTGCAGAATATCGCGGATCATATGGTGTGACGATGGCACCAATGAAAGGTTCGACACCATCATGTCGTTGGAAGAGAGTCTGGTACGCAATTTGGTTTTCAATGTCGCGGATGGAGGGAATGGGATCAAAGGTTGGATGGGAGTGGTACCACCCAACCACATCGTAGCCTTTCGCAGAAAACACTTCACGGGCTTGCATTTCGGAATCAGGATCCATTTCGCATTGGACGCCCGTGCTAAGACTTCGACATGGGAATACATCAGCGACTTTCAGTATCCTTTCGATGGGATCGTATGTTCCGCCCAGAAGACCAATGATCTCAGTGTGTGCGAGGTGGGAGTGAACGTCCATGACAATCATCGCATTGGACTGAACGACCACGCGGAACGGGGCGGGAACATCTGTACTGTAACTTCGGGTAGGGATTAAACGGAATGGGTCATAGTCGCCCAAGATATCCGAGTCTGGTGCTCCCATGCTGGGGGCGAACCCACGCTGTCTTTGACGCCGTTTGAGAAGCCTCTTGTCATACTTCTCAAGTTCTTCGTCCGCGAAATACTTTGAATTCAGCGCAAACAGCCGTGCTTCTTCCTTGGCTATTGCCAAATCCTCGCCAGTTTGCGCGGATCCTCCCTCATCGTCATCCCCACCCAAGGTATCCTCATATACCCATTCTCCCCGTTCATTACGTACTCTCCGCCTACGTCGTCTCCCTTCCTCCATAAAACTCCACACACTCCCAGCTTCCAGCTCGGTCATATCATCGGCAAGATCCTCTTTTGGTTTCTTTACTCCTGTGCCGCCGTAATACTTTCGGCCCCCCTTTTCTGCACATCCCACATTGATTGCACCAATGTTTTCTAAAAATTCATGTATTCGGCCGATCGCGTTAACGTCACCTTCGCCTTTTAGACCGGGTCGTACGCTGGTTTTGGTCAGATACTTGGGTTTGCATTTATCCCACGCCGCGAGGATGTAATTTCTAATCTTCTTGTATCGCTCTGGCGTCTTGTGAAGAGTGCGGGGATGGGGTTTTTTGCCTTGTGATACAGCTAGGGTGGATAAAAACCACTCAGGCAGTGAAGATACCTCAAATCGTTGAATCGCGTCGCTATCTATCTCGAATGACGTCGACTCTTCGGCTGCTGACGACGTAGTCTCTAGGTCGTCGGGTATAAGTAAACGAGTAACCGCGCTTAGATCGAGCGGTGTCACAGCTCCTGAGTCCTCGGAAACTTCGGATGCTTTTTCAGAATATTTGACGAGCGGTGATTCATCCAGCTCCTCACTGTGCCCAGAGGTGGTATTTGCGCCGTTTGAACGGCTTTCAGAAGTTGAAATATTCATTTTGACTGGCCGAGTCCCAAGTTCATGCAAATCACTTGCCGAGGATGTTCTTCCAGGAGCTTCTACGGAGCTCGATTCTAGGCTTACGTCGGTAGCCGACACGCACGGATGACCATCATTTTCGGTCATTTGCAGCGATTCGGTGCCATGAGTTCCAGCCTCAGCCACCTCTCTGAGTGATTCCATATCTGTGACGGTCTGCTCGCCCTCGAACGACTCCTCAAGACAGGATGCTGGTGGCAGATTGTTTTCCTTCTCCTGCCCTCTATTCGCAGCTTCAGAGCTTGAGATATCTGACGCTAGCCCGACATCCTCTCTCGTAGCGAGTGTCACATTTTCGCCCGTGCCCGAAGACTCGTCATCGCCACTCTCTACAGCTTCCCTTTCTTCTGTTATGCCCAGATTTTCCACATTCTCTGCGCTTTCCTCGCCCGGAACAAGTACCACGTTCTCAGCCAAAGTCGTTCCTCCATTTTCACCTTTGCCTATCGGATCTTCATCATCGGTTATGTCAATATCCACGTCTTCGTCCTCTTCCTGCATATCAACCTTCTTGTCCACTGCCGGTATGTCCACGGCTAAATCTCCTTTGCAGTTTTCCGCACCTGAACCTTCAAAGCGAACCCCACCGTGGACGGTCAAGTGTCGGACATGGTTTTTGATTTGCAGCGCGGTCCGTGTTTTCATAAATGACGCTACGCGCTTCCAGGATCCATATCCGTATAGTCGCTGTGAGGGAAAACGGTAAGATCAATATTAGTACCGATCTCGCGCAAGCCAATACTGGTGGCAAACACGTACAATGCCTTCTCGAAGCCTTTCGTCCTCTTCCTTTGTCCATTTAACTTTGTGTGACGGAACGGACGCACCAGCAGAGAGCTTGTCTCGCTTTGTTTTCTTACGCAATCTGTGAGGTGATCAGTTTCTGCGCTTTCCATTGACGAAATCCCTGTAAAAATTTCAAAACTCTGGAGCTTACCCATCGTCCGGCCCCCCGCTCGTCCGCTTCTTTGCGATCTTCTTGTCATCCTGCTGGAATTTACTGTCGGATTTGACCAGACGGTCACCAGATGGTGGTAGAGATACTGTCCCTTGTCCAAAATAGAACTCTTCTTCCGCAATCATGGACTCAATGAGTGCGCGGGACTGTTCATCCATGTCCGCGTCGAGGGATCTTTTCCAGTCCTGTTGTGATCAACCCACAAGGTCAGAATTCAGCCAATATAGGTCATCGCCACCGCAAGGTGCTTACCATTTGCTCTGATAGCCAACCAGGTTCAGGGTACTGCTCCAGCAAGGTTGTCACATCTTCCGTTTTCAGCCCGCCTCCAGACCTAATTTGTACGTCACGTATGCAAATCATGTCAGCCCGGTTGTACATCTTCCCATCACATTCTGGAAATCAATTCTGGTGACAACAACCTCACTGATATTTGCTTCTGAGTCTCTGGTTCATGGGGTCCGCTCAAACCGTTCCGATCGCCAAGTTCTCCAACCTGTTGAGCGAGAATCTCTTCCTCGTCGTCGCCTTCGATATCAATATCCTCCTCCATGCTCGCCGGCAGCCCAGACTGTTGAAGTCAGCACCGGACAAGAAAGGATATCAACGGGGTGAATAGGTTATAGTAAACGGTAAAATGTCAAGAGCGGCGCCGATCATGGCAGACGAACGGTAACACTGTCACTGCTGCTGACCTCGACAGTAGGTCACGTGCCCCTACAATACTTGAAGTTTGGACAAAGTTGCAAGATATCAAATGACAACATTGACAAAAGACGAGCGTTCTGAACTCCCAGATTTCATAAGGTTACGGTTTTCCAAGGTGGTCTGGAAATAGTGGGTTTGGGAAAAAGTGACCAGATCCAAAAAGTGAATTAATCAGTATCAAATAATATCACAACTGTATACTGGTGACAATTCAAAAATGGCCATCGCAGTTGTACAATATTGTGACTGTTTTCCTTAGGATACGTCGTCGGACATTAGTTCTTGCGCAGATCAAAGGAGCCGGGTGTTAAAAGCAACTTTAATGGGTGGTAGATTCAGAGTTAAAGTTTTATGAGGCTTGAAAGGCGTCTTGTTGTCCGATGAATTCGGACCTCGAGCGCGACGCGATCGCAAGCCATGTTTGCTCGTCCAGCTGCCTTACGACTCTACGAAGGATCCACAATGCTTTCAGCAACCACCCAATCAACGCCAGAAGAAACGTTTGAATCTCTTCTCAAGTGTGTTAGCCGAGCCCATATTTCACACATATTTCAAAGGCCACGAAATTTACCATTATCGTAGATTTAGCACCGACGTCCCAACCACCTCGTTGTGGTTTCAACAGCTCCGGCAACACTGGATAGCTAAATATGAAGAGCCCGATACGGACGCTGAGATTGCCTTAGGAAAGGGGACAACGTTTCCGGACAATGATCGAACGGAACGATTGGATATTCCAGCGCTCTTGAGGAGCCAACCCAAAAACGTGGAAGCCGAGTTTAGGTTTCACGAGGTTCGCTCTTCACTTGACAGCCAGTGATTTCCGGAATGTAATTTAGTCATGTGCTTAATCGTAGATTCATGTGTTCGTAGGAACTATTCAAAAAGCTAAAATTCACGTATGTGGAGCAGAAAGCAAAAGAAGGTTTTCTGAAGCGAGTGTTGGATATTCCCCCCAAATTCCCAACCGATCACGAGATTGAAGAGATGGGTAAGGCAGCACTTGTTCATACTTTGTAAGTGTGTAATTCTAACGATATCGTCGAAATCCACTCAGAGACCCGATCCGCAGAAAAAAAAAATCTGTTGCGTGCCAAGAAAGCAGCAGTAAGGAACATGCGAGAGGAAGTCGATAGGCTAATTGAATCTGTTTATCATGGTAGGTCCCGAATACATAAGCTAATTGGTGTATGTGAATGCACATCCGAGATTTCGTCCCTTACTGTGCTGGGTATTAGGTCACGCTGCCCTCTTGGAACAATCTCAAATGGCGACACAACTATATGACGAGTACAAGCAGATGGTATGTCGCAGTACTCGTAATGCATAATTGGTGCTCAAATATGTCCGTATGCAGGATGCAGAACTACAGGAGTTGAACTCTAGACAAAATCCACGAACTGTAAGCGTAACACGATACGAATCAATTATAATGAATTACCTCACAGTTTCTCGATATTGGATAGATAACAATAGAAGAACACGAGAGGGCCGTTGAAGAGCAGGTATACTATTAGCACATCAGCAGAAGTTTTCATGGAAAATGTGTAATGTAAAATTGTAGGCAGCAGCAATCGCGGAACTCGAGGAGCAAGTTAATCACTGGAGGTCAACTCTTGAATACCGTCAATCCAAAACCAAAGCCGTGGTAGAGGAGGTTGCCAACCTGACACCGAAACGCGCCGAAGCGGAAGCATGCGCGGCTGAAGCCTTAAGAATATCCAAATCGAAGGATCCGAAACTGGAGGAGCTGGGGATATGGTTCGGTTTCTACGTTTGCCAAAAAGTTTCTGGAAGATTGCTGATATGTTGTCTGACACAGGTACAAGGAGCAGATTCGTTTATTGAAACAGCTACAAGGATTGAAGGACATCCGACATCCAAGTAGTTCCCAGGTAGAAATAGTGTATGACCTGGATGGGGTATCAACATGTACGTTGATGCTGAGTTTCAAGCGGGATGCAAAGTCATTGAGTGGGTGGGTTTTGGATGCAAAGGTATGTCAGCAGCTTGCGGTTCGAGATATTATCCTGGTTCTTACACATGAACCTTCCTCTGCTATCAGTTCGCAGATATACCCTACCCCTGCCCCATTGCTGATCTCCTCCATACTGCCAACACATATTTCACCTCCCTTGACGACATGCTTTCATTATTCACTCGTGAGATCCCACTCCGGGTTCGTAACCTTGTCCAAAGAGAAAAAGAAGTCGAGGATGTGTGTGCAGAATATGAGGGAGCATCTTATGACCCTGAAGCACGGGAATTGATCGTGCATATTGATGCTACGGGGAGGATATTTGTTATTAGAATAGGACATGGATATCCGCGGGATGGTGGGAGCGCTCTGGAAGTTGTTGGAGTTGAACCAAGAATGATGGAAGTTGAGGAGACGGAAGACGAGCTGGCTGGGTGGAAGGTGAGCTTCTTGTGAGCCGTGAGCACAGTACCTAGAATGTTCGTCTGACCTCGGTATTCTAGACAAAAATCGAGAAAAACGAAATCGCAAAGTTGAAAGATTTGGTTGCCATTTTGGAATAAACATCTGTCGACCATTCCTTGCATTTTCTTGTCATAATTTTCTCGTCCAAGTGTGGAGCGCCACGCATATTGCACGATCATTTGTGATGGTTGAACAGATTATGCATTATCAACATTTAATAACTCTACTATATACATGATTAACTACCATTGGGACAATTGCCAGACGACCCAACATGAGAGCGATTTCAGCCCAGCATATCCCATTGAGTCTAAAATTTTATTCCAGAATCCTCCCTATTCCCAAATCCTCGCACATGACCAATCCAGCCAAGTACGATAATAAAGGCTATCATGTACGCCAAAAGGTAATACTGTAAGACATATCGTCTTCCCAACCTCCTTGCTTGTTTTCCTTCCCTTCGGAAAAGGAATGAACCAATCACCCCGAAGCCATAGACGACAACCAAAATCAACGCGACAATGGAACCCTTGGGGAATTCGATGGCTACCGATCCAATGATCAAGCCATACACTAATGTCGCAGCGGCGAATAATACTTTGTCGATGGAAGATCTCATGGGATCGTGAACGTTTCTGTATAGATAGGCGATGACAAATGCCATCAGAATGCCTCCAGCGGCATACATATAGTGAGATATGCCGTGTTCCCAATCCGTTCGAACCCATGTACGGAAATCGTTGAAGAATGAGTATTGGGAGACGAGGTCCGGGTTCTCGTCCATGAAATCCACGAAAGGATGTTTGAACATGTTTGCAGCGGAGTGGAAACCGGCGCCTTGTTGATAGATTGCAGCAGATATCATAAAGAGCGTTCCTACCAGATATTTTTCTGAAAAGGCAGGGGTGTTTTAGTTACAGAGCGTGGGAAGCAGATTCTGCTCGCTGGATATCCATACCTTTAGTGGAACCTCGCGAAAATATTCCGCTCTCCAATATCACCGCAAAGTACAGGGGCATCGCCACAATGGGTTCCAGCAATCGTATGACATCGTTTCCAACATACCAGTTGCCTTTGATATTTGGTAATTCAACTAGCACTGGAACGACTGTGAATATTAAGGTGCATAAATTCGTCGCTAACAGGAGGGATAGAACGCGGCGGGTTTTGGGTTGTGCTGGACCTTCAGGCGAGTCTGGTCCATATGCAAGGGGAAGGATGGATGAAGTAGATGCAGAATATTCTTGTTGTGGCATCGTAATGGAATGGGAGGACGGTTTGTGGTTGGGCTGATCCAAAAAGGACGTTGGGACAGCTTCCAAGTAAGGAGACGATGCCATTGGGCAAGAGTATGTCTTTTATGGTGGTGGCAAAGAGTCAAAGTGTTCACCGAGGGGTTTATTTTGTAGAAAATCTGCCAAGTAGAAGTCCATTTGCCAAGCAAAAGACATACGGGGCGGAGCTGAGGGTCCGATGCACCAAACTCGTTCCCGTGGCTTTGAATGGTTCCAGCCGGCTACTTAATACAGTTTCGTATGGGTTTTCGAGCTCATACTTTGCATATTAGATGCAGGAGCTAGTGTTCGAAATGCCGGATATCTACTGTTCTAGTCGCTATTGCAAACTTGGCACAAAGTTGTCAGTATTGGACGATGTCGCCATTCTAAAGGATAGTTCATCGATAGATCGTTTACAAACTAAATATCTGCTACCCAGACAGATGAGAATGGGAGAGGCTATTCCACTTCTGCTCGTCCTGTTCTCAACCGTTTGTTCTGCAACCTTCTACTCTTAAATGCCCAGAAGCTTCAACAAAGGCTCGTTTTGATGACATGATGCAAGTGTGCCGTGTAGCCACACGTGACTAGAGCCAGGGCTTGAAAGCTCACCCGGTCGGGGAGTGCCATAAACCAGTGCTCCTATAGTTCTAATCTCGAGACACAGACCATGGACACCTTGGATAGACTCACAGCCGACCAGAGAGACAAGTTACAGAACTTTCAGGTCAATCAAATTATCATGATTGGTTCTTGTGTGAAGCAGCAGCAGCTGACTCCTTCCGTAGGCAATTACCAATCAGGAAGATCTCGACGCTGCCTTGGCGATACTCGAAAACCATGGCTGGGATCTTCAGGTGAGCATTTAATCTAGACCGCTGACTGTACTTGGGAGTGTTCTCAACTCATTGCGACCACCACAGCGATCTGTGCATAGTGTGTTCGAAGAAGTGGGCACTGATGACCACCTTCCAGAGGACGCACCTCAACCAGCTTCCTCCACTTCAACTAATAGTACGACTTCTGGTGGCCTACAAAGGCAGGTATGTGATAAAAAACACCAGTCCCGCCATCTTTTCCATGTCACGTTCATCACGCTGAGATCACTTCCGCATCTTGCAACTCTAGACCGTGTCGCTATGGACATTGCTGACTCTTCCTGTTACCCTACCGCTGCGGATTGCATGGGCCATCCTTTCATACGCAGGTAGCACCACTAGGTTGCATTGGCACAAAGCGAGCCGGCAAGTCGCATCTCATTCCCCCAATATTTAGCCAGTTTCCTGCCTCCAAGTCTCCGTCCGATACCACGCCCACCAGCGGCACAAACCACACGCTCAACAACTCCCCGCGATCTCAAAGCAGCAGCAGCAAGGTTTCTGCTCGACTTTGAGCAAATCTATGGCACCCTACATCCACAGTTCTTCCAGGGAACGTACACTCAGGCACTTCAAAAAGCAAAGAGTGAGATTCGATACCTCCTTGTCTATCTTCATTCTCCAGAGCATGATGACACTAGTGGATTTTGCCGGTACGGTAGCACTTGGTTTCGAGCAATACACGCGGGGTGGACGTGCTGATTGTGTTTCCTTCGATTTGACCAGCCAAACACTTGGATCAGAGAGTCTCTCATCTTTCTTAATCCAAAAAAACATCCTGGTATGGGCTGGTGACGTTCGCAATTCGGAAGAATTCCAGGTCAGCAATATTCTTTCCGCCACCAAATATCCCTTTCTCGCGATCATTGCTCCGCATCAATCAAGCCTCAAGGTTGTGGAAAGAATAGAAGGTGCGAATCATCATGCTTCGAATGTTGGTAGTGCTCTTCGTCATTTTGAACGCTCTGCTTGCATAGGTCCTTGTTCCCCTGATGAAGTGATTGCTGCTGTTACACGTGTAATTGAGCAAGTAGACCCCCAACTACTCTCCATTCGCGCCGAACGTCAGGCGCGGGAGCAAGCGCGGATGATACGAGAACAACAAGATGAGGCGTACCAGGCATCACTTCGAGCTGATCAAGAAAAGGTAAAGGGCCAAGGATTAGTTTGTACCGTATCCATTGTTGCTAACACATGGATATCAGGAGCGAAGAGCTCGCGAGGAACGAGAAAAACAAGAAAAGGAGCGTGAAGCGGCTGAAAAGGCGGAAAAGAACCGAGAAGCTCGCATCGAAGCCAAAAAGAAGCGAAAGCAGCACCTGACAGATACACTACCCGCTGAACCGGACGCGTCAGAGTCCCAACTGTCTAAACTGAGCATTCGATTACCCAGCGGCGAACGAGTGGTGCGGCGGTTCCGAGCAGATGACACAATGCAGAACTTGTATGACTTTGTGGAAACACGGGATCTGCTCCCATTGGAATTTGATGTCGATTTTGTGATTGTCAATACGTATCCCCGCAAGGTCTATGTGAATATGGAAGAGACGTTGCGCGATGCCGGGCTAGTGCCGAATGCGAGTTTAGTGGTGGAGGAGAAGATTGAGGAAGATGAATAGTTGTGGTCATGTCATCTTTGTACGCTATACGCCCTTCTTGTTAGTTAGAACTAGGTACGGGGCGTCAAGCGAGCAATCGGCTTTTATACTGAGACTTGTCTTCTTTCAATCTATTGGATGCAACACATGAAGGCGAACTGCAGAAGAGGTACTAGCACCACTTGTAGGTGCTCAAAATCAGTAGAGAAGCAAACTAATGTATTATTTACATTGGAAACATGCGGCTTTTTCAGAGTCCCTAGCACTTTTTTCACATCCTATTACCTCAAATCAAAGGCTTTGGAGCAAGTTATCTCGGCCCCATGTCGTTTTTGTTTTTAATGTGTGAAGCCACGAGCAAGGGCTTTCCACCAAAGATCACGTGGAGACATCCATGTCACTATCATGAGTCACTCCAACTTTGTCCCATTCTGGCGTGGTCCATCCCCCACCTTTCCTACAATCCTGGCATTCTAACGTATTGAATCAGAATTCAACTCATCGATTAATATGGCAGCCAACTGCATCTTCTGCAAAGTGAGTGTACATAGCTACCATTCATCACCGTGACTCTGTTCTTATTGTCGCGTCCGTATGCCATTTGTAGATTATCAAGGTACATTGACAAAGTCGAAAGTGATCTTGTCAGCCCCTTAAACTTTTCCTTATGAAAGGGCACGATTCCGTCCTTCAAAGTACTAGAAACGGAGCTGTCGTACGCGTTTCTGGATGTCAACCCTCTCGCCAAAGGACATGTACGTAATGGGACGGTCATTCATTTGCTCAGAAGAGTTCTAACTTGTTTTTATGTTGTTAGACGGTGGGTGGCTCGACTGAGAGATGCGCTTTTGCTTCTGATGCCCTTGTTAACTTTCCATGTATGGAATACGACAGCTTGTGATCCCCAAAGGTATATATGAATCCGGCTTTCATTGTTCACCATCACCCTCTCTCATTATGGGCACCCATAGAGCATGCCACTTTTGCGCATGAACTATCAGACGAAAGCTTGGCGGATCTACTCCCAGTCGCCAAGAGGGTCGCCAAAGCTCTTGATGCACCAAATTACAACATCTTGCAAAACAATGGCAGGCTCGCTCGTGAGTTGGCTGGACACACTTTCTGTTGCTGTTGGCTTCCATCTTGACGTTACCATTGTTTCAGATCAAGTAGTCGAACATGTACATTTCCATATCATGTACGTTTTGGAGTTTGTGTCTCCGTTATGTAAGGCTGACCATTTCTCCTTTTGTCACAGTCCTAAGCCGAATGAAGAAGAGGGCTTGGGGGTAGGATGGCCAGGAAAGACAGTGGACAAGGAGGAGTTGAAGGCTTTGGCTGAGCAGATTAGTGCCAAGATCTGAGCCCATGATACTGTGATGAATCGGGATTGGCTGGCAAACTTTACAGATACTATTATAAAAACGCTGATTGGAACCAATACTGGATCCGCTGTTCGTGCTATGGGACGCTTTTTGAATAAATGCGTTCTGTATGTTGTAGAAAAGGTCACTCTGGCATTTATATACTTGATGTTGACTGGCATTCCGCAACCGTTTTGTCGTCTCGAACTTACCCATACTCGACATAAGGTTGGTTAGTGAGATGGATGCGGAAAACCTCACACGTTCATACATTTTAATCGGAGCGTGTGGTGACTCACATGGCACCTGCCAGTTCAAAACGGATCTCTAGTGGTCGAATTTAGTGCCCAATCCACCTGACGCAGGTCATAGCAGCAAATAACTCTACCCAGCCAAGCCAAACCCGACGCAAAAGACCTTCTGCGCATATCGTACTCCGCACCTCCTCCCGTAGCCACATCATGTCTCAAAGTTATACCCTCCACACCCTTGCCTATACCGTGTTCCTTTTGCATTCAGCCAAATATGCCGTACACTCTGTCAGCGGCGTCCTTCTAGGCAAGAAAACGTCGAAAGGGATCGAAATCACGGATGCGGTACCATGCTTTCACGGAGAGGTTTTAAAGGGGAGCTTGGAGATCGCGTTTCAGCAGGTATAGTCAGGATGTATTTTTTTGAATGTGCTTTAAAGTTCATTAATGTAACTACGTTTTTTGTAGATCGAAATCTACGCTACCCAAACGTCGACTCAAATTATCGGGTTTTACACCGCAAACCTGAATGCGGCGGACAAGGAACCCTCGGTTGCCGTGACGAGAATTATGGACACTATTGACGAGCGCTTTAGTGGGGCGGTTCTATTAGTTGTAAGTGCTTCTATTTTGGTGCATTGATGGGGTGAGGGCACTGTGAATTGAAGCGAATGAATTGATCTAGCTTGATGCGGTGAAGGTTGGGAATGGAGAGTTGGGTGTCATTGTAAGTCGTTGCAGTCAGTTCTTTGCAGGATAAGGGGACGTTTACCTGACGTTGGCGGATTCTTTATAGCCGTATACGAAGACGAATGGTGGCTGGAAACCCTTACAATCCAATTAGTAAGTTGTGCTCTGCCTTATCCATTTACCACCTGCGGTCTCACTCGTCCCTCCAGCCTCGTCGGCCCCGAGATTCCACAGGCCACACGACAGGATTGGATCAAAAGTCGTGTATATGATGTGCTGGTTGATTTTGATAACCATTTAGATAATGTCGCATCTGACTGGCTACAAAATGGAAGAGTGAAGGGTTTGATCAAAGTGTAATGCCATGATTGATTGATTGAGAATAGAAGAGTAGAATTCGGGCATTTTGCGACTATACGAAATAATGTTGCTAGTAAACATCTCTGTGGATCTTTTCTCTTCATTGATCCAAGAATTCGTATATTGGCTATAACAAATGTCTCGCCTGCTTGTCTAGCATCCCGATATCGGATCGATCCGGTTCTTGAATCTTGCGTTGGATGCAGGGCGGTTCATGGTTATAATTGTTTTTGCCGATCAAGTTCCAAAGCGCTATCATTAGTCTAAACATCAAAGC